CTTAGGTATAGGTTCTCTATTAGCTACTTATAGTAGGTAAGGTTCTATCTTCTAAGTAAGGCATAGTCTAGCTAGCTATATTGCTTATAAAGAGATATAGTTAGACTATAATCTATAGTCTAGTAGTACCTATATCTATATTCCGTCTAACTTAATAGAGAGTATAACTAGGTAATTAGTACTAATATTATTAATAGATTAATCCTTAGCATATATTATTTATACTAGTCTAAAAAAAACTCTTTCTTACTATCTAATACTTCTTTATATTTAAAGAATCCTTACTACTTCTTAGCCTCCTTATAGCCTTTATAGTTATTATATAGGTATTATTACTAATATAGGTTTAAGTAGTAATTATTAATTAATAACTATTTAATATATATATACTAAGTATCTTTCTCTCCTAAGAAGTAGTATTATTATTACTTATCTTATAAGTAAACTTTATATATACTGTTCTTATATTTATACTATTTATTATAGTAGTTTTATTTTATGCTAGAGAACTATCTACTATTTATTTTATTATTATAGTATACTATATATAAGTCTATACTATAGGCTATCTATAAAAGGGTATAGTAGAGAAGGTTTCTTATATCTATTAGGTACTAAGGTGTTATTCTTTATTATATAAGCATTTGCCTAATATTAGGTTTATCCTATACTAGAATATCTTAGCTAGTGCATTATAGTATCTTAATAGTTATATAGTTATTTTATTAATAGTCTATAAACTATTTATTATACTATTCTTTAGGTTTCTTTAGAAGTTTATGGATAGATACTAATATATTCTTATAGTTCTTATAAATTTATAGGTTTAATATAACTATAGCCTATATCCTACTATTATAATATCTCTATAGTAACTTCTATAATTAAATATAAGCTACTATAGGTTTATTATCTATAATATTAAGTATATTATTATTTAGTGCGTAGTATTCTATACTTTCTTTATTATTATATACTATATATTTATTACTAATATATTATACTATATTAGCCTAGTACTTAGCTTCTAGTTATTAGTCTAGAACCTAAAGTATCTAGTTATAATATTCTTAATATTTAGTAGATTTATATTATTTAGTAGTATAGACTTCTTCTAACTACTAGTATAGTATAGGTATACTACTTTAAACGTTTTATTAGTCCTTTTTAGGTTTAATATACTTATTATCTATCCTAGATTCTATCTCTAGGTCTTCTATAAGACGTCCTATATTATTAGTAATTATTTCCTAATTACTAGTATTAGTAAACCTAACTTTACTAGATAATATATTAAGCTATTATATAACCTTATTCTTGCTATAATAGTCTCTAGTAAAGTAGGCTACTTTACTATAGCTATAATAAGTTATTAGTAGCTTATTAGTTCTAGAACTACTCTTATTCTTAATATTCCACTACTTAAGTCCTTTATTAATATTAGAAAGGTCTATAGCCTTAGTACTATAGTATCCTATATTAGTTCTAGTATAGACTTTTTATAATATATTAGACTAGTAGTATCTACTATACTATCCTTATTAAAGGTTATTTTTCTATTAGTTCCTAAAGGTATATAGTATAGAATTAGTAGCCTATACTTAGAGATTATCTTATAATTCTAACTATAGCTTATATAGTTTAATATTAATATTAATTATAGTATTAACTAATATACTAAAGATATTAGTGCTAGTGCTAGTATATATTAGCTCCTCCTTAATCTTTAGCTTAAGTTCTTACTTAAATATAGTTAAAAGTATAGTATTATCCTAGTTAGTATATATAGTAAGTTATTAGAACTCTATAGTATAGTTAGTAGTTAACTTAGTTTATATAATATATTAGATCTTATATCTTATACTAGAGACTTTATTAAATATGCTAAATATAGGTTTAATCTATTCCCTAAAAGTATTAAAGTTCTTTATCTAGATATCTACTTTATCTAAGGCCTTGCCTATATTATACTATTATATAAAGAGTTTAATCTATTTAAATGCTATACTATATATATAACTGCTAATAAGTATAACTCTTTTAATCTCTTTAATATATTTACCTTAGAATAAGAAGAATAAGTCCTATTATATAAGCTAATTATTAAGCTTATTATATTTGCTATAGTAGAGATTAGGTTTATTAACTATAATATTACCTATATAGGCAGCACTATTATTAGTTATATCTATATTATTAGACGTTAAGCTAGAAGTAGCTTAGTTTCCTAAGGTATTAGATATCTTAAGAGTGTTTAAAATATTAAGGTTATACTTTAAGCAAAGCATATAAGCACTATTTAATTAGTTCTTAGGGATAAATACTATTAGGGAAACTAAAGGGGTCTTATACTAAGAAGTATATATATAATCTATCTATCTTAAAGGTAAGAGGTAATAATAAGTAGTATAGAGTAGACTATCTAGCTTAAAGGTTAGAGTTAAGATCTAATATTATAGATTAATACTTAGGTTAAATACAAACCTTAAGAGTTATGTTCCTACTTACTATATATTATAGAGAATATAGTAGCTTACTATGCTTACTATAAGCTATATAAGCTAGGCTTACTAAGCTTAATATAAGCTATATAAGCTCTATATAAGACCTACTTTAGCTTAACTACTAAGGAGTAAGCTTATTATATAACTTATAATAAAACTATACTATATAAGAGAGCCTATATAATATTATACTAAGCGTGTTAGCACCTACTAGGTGTTAGCATCTAGTTAGTTATAAAAGGTAGATTATAATAACTCCTTCTACTTATAAAAACAAGTTAAATAAGCCTAACTCTCTACTAGCTTACTTAATAGCTTAGCTATTATAGTAAAAGCCTCCTTATAATTATACTCTATAGTATTAATTTAAGCTCTTAGTTTTATTTATAAATAGTTAATAGCTTACTCTAAGACTATTAGAAAATACTACTAAGATTTAGTTCTATTACTTATAATTAGATATAGAAATCCTAGACAACTAATACTTAGAACAATAACCTAACCTAATATAACTCTTATAGTATTTACTACTAGGTGCAATAACGTACTTTAGTAATAACCTCTTATAATAAGAATAAAGTAATATTTCTTTATCTTTATATAATATCTAATTAGCTTATACTAGGTATCTAGCTTTAGAGAAAGAAGGTATTAAGGAATAGCATTGCAACCCTTTAAATAATAGGGCTTAGGCCTTTATAAATAATATATTATTAGAATAGACTTACCTTTAAGCTAAAGGCTTAAAGAGAGGAGATAGTATTATAGATAAATTCTATAAGAATAACAAGTTAGAACTAATAGGGGATAATAAGGCATCTAAGTATAAAATAAGGTATATAGAGGTATAGCATAGCAAGGATTATAACTTTAGCCTTAAGGTAGACTATAATCTAATTATATAATAAGCTTAGTAAGTTAGTTAGAAGTATAGTTACTAACTTACTAACTCTTAGGTTAGTAGTTAGTAAACCTTATACTTTACTAACTTACTAACTACCTAAAACTATAAAGTATATAAGCAAGCTATATAGTATAGATAGAAACTCTATAGTTAAGAATATATTCTACTAATGCTACTACTCTTATCTTATTAATATTATTACTGCTAGGAGAAACTTTAACTATAACCTCTTAATCTATAATACCTTCCTATAATCTAATATCTCTATAGCTTACCTTACTTAAGACTAGCTACCCTTAGTAAGGTAAGGAAACCCTATTATACTATATAGGAGAGCCTATATAATATTATACTAAGTATATTAGTATTTACTAGGTATTAGTATCTAGTTAGTTATAAAAGGCAGATTATCACACTTCTATATTAATAAAAAAAGCTTTTTTCTAGCTTTTAGAAATATTTTTTTAGTATATTTATATTTAAAAACTATAAAAAGGCCTTTAAAGCTTTAGAGATTATACCTATTAATAGGTAGTATATCTTAGATTAACTAGATATTTAGATTTATATACTACTACTAGTACCTCTACTAGAAATACTATAGTAATCTTAGATACTAAGTAATTTATATAAATTTAAGTTATAAGTAAAGCTTATAAAGTAAGCTATTATATAATTACTAGAAGTAGTAAGAGAATAATTTATATAGCTTATAAAAAGTAGTAAGCTTATACTATATAAGAATATTATATTATTAGCTTATATCTATAAGCTAGAAGAGTAATTAGTAGTACTTACTAAGTAAAAAACCTAGAAAAGAAAGTAGATCTAGAATAGTAGTATAATAGAGTATAGTAAAGTAGTAGCCTCTATAGCTAAAAGTATAGCTATAGCTTATATAGTATTAAAAAGAGTATATATTAGTAGTAGATATAAAAGAGCCTAACTAGGTTAATAGCACTATAGTAACTATAAGAAAACTAGGTATAATATATATATATACTAGAAAGATATAGAAAAAGATTCTATATCTAATAAAAGTGCGTTATATATAGGTATATAAGAGAGAAGTAAGTAATTACTTAGATTATATATAGTATTTATAGTGCTAAGATAAAGTAGCCTCTTTAGTAGTATAGCCTCTTTAGTAGTACTTTATATTAGTATAAGTACTAATCTACTTAGTAAATATAATAATAAATAAAATTAATAACTTACTTTTATACTTAATTAGCTACCTAAGTCTTCTAGCTTTCTATACAAAGTTATATAGTATAGAGAAAAGATTCTAAATTTTCTATACCTAGGTAGTAAAGTTAAAGTAGTATTATACCTAGGTAGCAATCTTCTAGACATCTATTCGAAACTACCTAGCGTTAATACACTGTTCCTCTTAAAGCGCAGGGCGACATTGCTCCCTACGTGCAACTTGAGCCGCATGGCCCGAACCGCATGGCCCGAACCGCGTGGTACGAGCCGTGTGGTACAAGCCGTGTGGTACGAGCCGTGTGGTACGAGCCGTGTGGTACGAGCCGTGTGGTACAAGCCGTGTGGTACGAGCTAAGTTCCGACCACTGACACCGCCTTACACAGGTGAGGCATGCACACCTCTCTCTAAGCATTATCAAGGGTCAATTGTTGCTGATCCCTCAATCTGAAATAGTGTTGCTCCGCTTTTAACATCTTTATATTGTAAGCCCCTGGACATTCTCTGAAATCGGTGGGTATAATTCATTACCGGCGTATCCACACCGACCAACAAGCACCAAACTTTTCGGCGCAGTCATGCTGTGAGCCGCCAGGTTTCGTCCGATATAGAGCTCTCAAGTCTCGCAATGCTGCGTTTACCAGCCTACCTGGGTATAAGTACAGAAATGGACTCTATGTGATGACCACAACACGCAGTTGCAGCTCATCATATTCCCCACACGATCATTGAATCCTACCTAATGTCTGAAACACAGATCAGCCAACTTACCAGGCAACCTGCAACAGGTATCTCTGTACTCGTAGTGGGAGCTGGTATTGGAGGTCTTACTTTCGCCATCGAGGCCCATCGTAAAGGTCATGATGTTCGAGTAATTGAGCGCTCCCCTGAGGGACAGTACTCCGGTCAGTCAGTCTAAGCCTTCATTCAGGTGCAGCGTCGCTCAACAGATTTCTAGGCGAAATAATCATGATTACAACTCCAGCTCTCCATACTCCGAAGAAGTGGCCAGGCTTCATGGAACGTGTAGCAGAAGTGGCGTATTCACCGCTCTTCGAATTACGCAAGTTCGATGGCACCCCTATCGAGATGCATGCGCCTGGAGACTCCAAGAACCCATCTATCAGTATCTATCGAAGAAAGCTCCACAGCCTCCTCTACACCTATGCTAAAGAGCTCGGTATCTCGATTACGTTCGAAACTCGAGCGGTGGAGTTCTTTGAGACCTCTGATATTGGTGGAGTAAGTCTTGGAGACGGACAGAAGCTCACAAGCGATGTTGTCGTCGCAGCCGATGGTGTTGGTTCGAGGTCCCGCGCTATTATTGATGGCAACAGAGATGAACCGATCAGCTCTGGCTTCATCATGTATCGTATCTCCTTTCCCATAGGTCCAGCACTCAACAATCCTGTCATTGCGAAGGACTTCGCGGATCGCCATGATCAGGGCTACATGTATATTGGTCCAGGAGCGCATTTGCCTATCAGCAAGAATGGGGATCAGCTGTGCTGGCTTCTCACGTGCAAAGTATGTTACGGGCCTCTCGTTTGATAACCTTACTAACTACAATTAGGACGAAAACAGCACAGCTACGGAAACTTGGTCCAGAACTACGACAACTGACAAGGCCCTGAAGGCAGTTGAAGGATGGGATCCACTAGTGACTGAGATCATCAAATCCACGCCAAACAACGAAGTTCTGGACTGGAAGTTGATGTGGCGCAACCCACAACCGCAGTGGGCTTCAACAGGTGGCCGTGTAGTGCAGCTCGGTGATGCAGCCCATCCTTTCCTCCCGACTTCCTTCAGTGGCGGCACAATGGCAATGGAGGACGCTTATTCGCTTGCAGCCTGTTTGCAAATTGCAGGAAAGGATGACGTGCCTCTTGCAACCAGAGTCCACAACAAATTGAGGTAAGACCCAATGGTTCTTAGCATGATACGACTGATTGACGACATGCTACAGATTTGAGCGAGTCTCCTGCGCCCAGAAGCTGGGCTTTAAGAACCGCGAGATGTTTCACAACACCAAGTGGGAAAGGCAAGACCCAGGCTATAAACCGATGCAAAAGATGGTTGGGGACTGGCTGACCTATCATGACCCGGAACAGTATGCGTACGACAACTTCCATGATTGCGCTCAACACATCCTCTCAGGCGCTCCATTTGAGAATACTAACTCGCCACCTGGCTACAAATATAAGCCATGGACTGTAAAGGAGTTGTTAGACGCATCAGACCGCGGTGAGACCCTTGAAGACGAGGGTGACTGGTCATAGATATCAGCAGTATATTAGCGTAACCTGTTTAAAAGGCTAGTAGTGCGCAAGCATCTCTACTGTGTTCTAGAATTTTTTATAGATCTAATTTCAAAATGTTAAGAAGTATCTAAAGAATCTTAGGCATTAAACTTTTGTTATAATATCTTCTTAGGGTTTTAGACTAACTATTAAATAAATTGTTAACTATGATAATTTTGTTATTTAAGTATAGAATACAGGAATATAGTATTAAAAACCTTGTATAATAACCTAAGGCCCTCTATCTATAATATAGAAGTTATTGTATACTATTATATAAGATAGCTATTTACTATAGTAGTGCTGAAAAAGTAAGTAATCCTAAAATCAGGAAGCTAGATAGGCTTTGTAAGGTCTGCATTGTGCTAACAGCAGAGCTTGAAGATTGTTCGGGTAGAGCACCACCGGAAGTACCGTTTGGACCTTGAGCTGAGCCGGTTGGCTTTGTGATCCCGCTGCTGCCTGATGGCGAACTAGTCTGCACATCAATTAGTAACATATTCGACACTATATCCTATTTATACTAGAGCGTGCACTTACTGAAGTTGATGTGTTTGTTGCACGTTGGGCAGAGTCTTCGAATCGACGGTACCAATTCTCTTCCGGGTCACCAAGACACTCGCCTACAGTGACCGCCTTGTATCCAAGCTTTGTGATGGTTGAGAGCATGTACTCTGTGAGGTTGTTTGCAGTCTGTTCGATGATATCGTGCGAGATAGTGAGCCATTCGTTCTTCTCTGGTGTGGCGCCGCTCTTAGTTATGTTGCCTGTGAACCAGTCCTTTGAGTTCTGAATCCTGCTCGAATTTACTTGTTGGTAGTCATCGGTATTGACATCCCAGTAGATGAGATGGTAGCCAAGGTCGCTCATATCTTGCTGGCAGGCATCTTTGCAATCGATGTAAGGCGGGCGCAAATACGTCGGGATTTTTCCAACAATGTTGTTCAGGGCCATCTCCAGGTACCAGATCTGATTTTTGCGATCCTCAGACGAGATATCCGATAGGTTTTGATGTGTCCATGTATGCGAAGCAATTTGGTGGCCCTCTGTATCCATGCGTTTGATTGCATTGATGTGCTCTTCTGTCTTGTCGATTTGTCCTTTGCCGATGTTGTTACCTGTAACAAAGAAGGTCGCCTTTGCATTGTAGCTCTTCAGTAGATCAAGGATGTTCTCTGTGAAATCTTGGTGTGGACCATCATCATAAGTTAGGGCGACAGTGCCGGGGTTCTTGCACTTGTATACACCTGTCCCACCATAAGGAACTGATCCAAGCTTCGGGCGTGGGATTGACGACGTATTTGCTCCTTCGGGAGGATGGTTCTCTGCGCATGCAGGACCGTACTTCCACTGGCAACCGGGCGAGTAGCAGTGAGCTTTACTGGTTCCACAATCTGCAGTCTGTCAGTATTATAACAATAACCTAGGGACATTACACACACAGCCAACGCTTGAGCAGCATTTGTCCTGAGGGCAAGACCCTATTCCTTCACCACATTCGCGATCGTCCTTGCGTACTTTCAGGGCCGAGCTGTCATGGACGTCGGAACCCAAAAGTCCTCCGAGGTTGAGATTGGCAATCAGGTTTTCCGCCCTTCGGTCGAGGAGATCGAGTCCCATGATCTTAGGAAGTCCAGTGGTGCTATGAGCACTCACAAGTGGCACGAAAGCCGCGGCGAAGGCGACGGTCTTGACAAAGAGCATGCTGCAAGTTCTTACGGGCCTTCAGAGTACCTTGGTATAAAGAATCGGGGTTTTTGAAGAACGAGCGGATACTGTAAGCGAATGTTATCAACGCAAAGTATGAATCTGACACTGGTAATGACTGGTTCCACTTGAAAAAGAGGAAGTTTACTAGAGCCCAAAGGCGAAAGAAAGAAGAGTGAGAGTAGGGCGACAGACATAAGACGCAGGAAGTCGAGAATAGAATCAGGAGAATGCACCCCATGCAAGATCATACCCGCTCCTCACCTCATGGCGGGAGGTCATGACAGAAGTGTGTAAGGCATCCCACCGGTGACCTCAGAAGAGCAAGCCTGAGGTTGTTGACCCCTGGATGACAAGACCTCAACTTCGCTTGGAGCGACGCCAAAGATCCACATCGTGGTCATAAGGCGCACGATTGGAAGACGACGTCTTGGTTTAAGGCGAGACGTCCACACGAGGCAGTTGCCAAGCTGTAAAACCTCAACGGTGGAGATGCGCCGGACAGCATGTTGTTACAGATCGGATCCTGTAGGCGCCTGAATGCATCTGGCCATTCAATTTACATGATTGCGCCAGTGGTACCTGCCCTCGTTGTTGTGCCAATATGTGGCACGATGTCGGCAACTCTGCTGCGTTGATCCTACGATGGCTCAGAGATGGATTTTTATCAACTCTTGTCGTGGGCAAGGCAAGTGCAGCATGCTTTAAAATCGCGACTGCTAAATTGGGTCGGAGCCAATACATCTGTTAGGACGGTTGCAGATACAGGTGTCTTCTGTGAGTGGTCAGTTCGCTCCGCTCGTGCCCCTGTCTAGCCTTTTTGCGCGAACATGATATGTACCGAGGCACTGAGGCAGGCATCTTGGTGTTGTACGTCAACGGAGGCTGCAACGAAATGCCGAACGAATCGCAAAACGCCAGACAAACCAATGGACGTTTTGATGCTTGTTGCACCTATGATCGCGATCATATCTATCTAATGTACAAGAATTGCGGTGCGGAGGCCTCACGGGTACTGGAGCTGAGTCAATTTGCAAGTGAAAAAATTGCAGCCGCGCTTGCCAACAGCCCAAAGGATGTCAAGGGTGGGCGTATGCTTATTTAGGCATCCAAGACTGGCCACTAACGGTGAATTCCAAAAGAGACCAGTCATGCCGTCCAACCCTGATCATGACATTTTCCACTTAGCGTAGTCATTAATTTAGTAGGGTGGTTGTCTTTCTCACGATCCATTCATCAGCTGTTAGACTAGCGGTCTTCACATCAGATTGACTCACGCAGCTGTTGCAGTAATGCTTGCCAATATCCGTAGTAAGCCGACACCCATCACAAGATTATTACCAATCCATCTTTGGGGCCCACGGACAAGCTTTGGGGAGAGGTATATCGAGTTTTGGCGCCTGTGTGCGCCTACACAATTCTCGTTGTATCGTAGAGCCACAGCAACTGCTGCTGCAAGCAATTACTTTTATTCTACATTCTTCAGGGCTCGGCATAGGATGATAGCAATTGCACAGTGTATGTGCAAGGCGTCTGTGAACCACAGAAGGCTTCCCCTCTGGCCACACAAACATTAGATCGCATGTGTGCTCGTTTATCCAAATGCTCTTCTAAGAAACGCACAAAGAGATGATAGCATTAAGACATTATCATAGCAGATGTAGCCCAAGGATGATTATGAATGCGAACTTAGTTCATCAGGGCAAGTCCTCGTTCATTGTTTTCAATTATTCCTAGTCGCAGCTTCATCTCTGAGACAGATTCCACAGTGATGGAGATACTACCGTCCGAAACCCATTAAGACTGTCAAGTTCAGATCATGGCAACAACATTTGAAAGGCCTCTGCCACATTGTGCGGATGCAATTGGATCGAGCAATGCCAATTGACATGACTACGATTCCCTTAGTGGATATCTGATACAACAGCAGATCGGGCGTAACGTGGCGAGCCGATGCAGAATTTTGGATGTAGGTATGCCACCTGACCCATGTTGTTATGTTATACCTTTTCACTGACAGACGTACCTAGTTAGTGTCACAAACATGTTTTGGACTGTATGTTTTCGAGAAGAACAACTCACAATCAACCCGTTAGTTCAGGCAACGGGATCTCCGCGTCTCTCCTAAAGTGCAACTGTTGCCGTCGACAAAGTATATGGCACTTGAAAGTTGCCGTGCTGCAAGAGCTTTCTCCGCAGTTGAGCACTTACTGTGCGATGATTAGTTTCCTTCTCCACATATTTGTTGAAGCCGGTCCACGCAGATCTCGGTGCTCAGGCTGCTCACATGGCGTGTTGCTTCCGTCTGTGCGGTCACGACTCGGAAATCGATTTGGTGAGTCTGATCCTTTGTATGCCTTATTGATAGATCAGGTTGGAAACAATGCAACTCTTCTGCTGCTCGAGCTCCCAATGTGTGTGCTAGCGGTCTTGGCGAGGGCTCAAGGTGAGATCAAGCGAAAGTAGGCAGGCAATGTATCAGCGGCTGAACGCGATTCAGCTAGAGTACACTTTACCTCAGTAAATATTTGGAGTTGTCAATATTGCGTGCGTTCTTGATTGTGGCTGCCACCGGCGTATCAAACAGATCTGATAAGCAGAAGTGGCGCATTGGTCATTCGAAACGAGTCAACTTCTTCCAAGTACCTCAAGCTCAATGCATACCATAGGAACCGCGACATGACTGCCGCTGTGCGAGTTTCAGACTTTACGTGGACATGAGAGGCAGTGTTCAAACGATTCAAGACTTGCGAATCTTGAGTCATATAATGCGTGACATGTACGTAAATTCGAGTTCGGATATATGAGAACATGTCTACCCGTAGCAGGGGAAATCAGCGGTATGTCCTCCGCATTCAACTAGACAGCGGCGGCGATGTGACCGTCCAATAAAGCACCGATGTCTCCAACAAAAATGCTCAAGATGAAACAGGCTCCTCCGAACGCAATGGAAATCCAGTATGGCCACCGATATGCAAGAGAAAAAGCTTCTTGTGCGCTTGTAACGATGATGCTGTAACTATTCCTGTCCAGAATTAAAGAGTTTGTAGCCAATATCTCGCGCAGCTGGACGAATTGAGCATTGGAGACAAGCTCGGTCATGTGTTTAATGAGCGCCAATCCTTCAGGTCTGAAAGGGTTAACGATGGCTTTCCCAGCAATCGTCTCAGTAGCCACAATCTGGGTTGCATAGATGGTGACATTGTGGTAGAACAGATTAGAGGCTATCGCAAATGTGATAGCACCTCCGATGTAACGCAGACTGAGCGTGATCGCGGTCACAGTCGCGATGAGTTCATCTGGGCATGCAATCTGCGCAATGATAGAACATGGAATGATCACGCCACCGACACCGAGAGAAGCCAGAGTGACAAGACCGTACATGGTATTGAGATTGTCCGGTGTCGAGATTGACATGGCACCAGTGCCCGCAGTCATTAAAGCGGTAAAGAAAAGGAGCAACAAGCGGATGCGACCTTTCGTCGCAGGAATGAGAATTAGACAGATGGCGGCGCCGACGATGATACCGAACCCGATGGGTAAGGATCTGACACCAACGCCGATCGGATCATCACCTGGATAAGTCAGTATGCTCTTTGAAATGCACACAAGGTCGCCTTACCATAAACGTTGTAGATCTGGGTGGGCCAGAACAGCAGCAACACGAAGAAGTTACCACCGCTAAGCCAAGTGATTAGCAAGATGACAACCATAGTCTTCTTGGCCTTCTTGAATAATGCCCGTGGGACCATCGGGTGTGGCGCATAAAACTCCCAAACAAAGAAGGCGGCGATCATGATGATGCCAATGACTAGAGGTACGATGTTATGTACGCTTCCCCATACATACTAAACGGACGTCAGTAACCATCTCGAGTATATCCATAATGGATAGCTTACTTGGGAGGCGCCCCATTGAAGGCCCATCATGAAGCAGGTGATACCACCAATGCTGAGAATACCACCAATATAGTCGATACGCTGAATGACATGGGTTGCTGTGTATTCTGCTGTAAGACGAGATGGATCGTGATAACAAAAGACACAAAGGAGCAGGCCGATGAAGTTCCAAATGCCAACAAGGATGCCGTTATAACGCCAGTTGCTGGCTTCGGCGATAAGTTGAGCGTATAGCACTGAAGGGCAGAAGGGCAAGATTGTCAACACGACGAGACCGACGTACTTGCCGCGGTCCTTCACAGGCACGACTTCGGCTGTCCCAGCAAGTGCGATGAGTTCATTGAGACCTGCACCAATTCCAGAGAAGACATTACCCGCTACGGTGGTCAATATTGTGTCTCTGTGAGTTGTTTTATTTACGTACCAATAGCGATGTTCATGGAGGTTGCGGTTGCAGTAATGATAGGGCCTACAATGAGACATACCTGCCCTACAATGGCAACCTTTTGGCGACCGAACAAATCCGAAAGTGCACCAACAAATGGGCAGAGAGCGGCATTGGGGATCAAATAGCCAATGACAAACCAGACCCATCTGTCAACACCACCGATATCGTTGTAGATGAGAGGCAGGACAGAGCCAAATAAGAAAAGAGGGATCTGCGAGCCGATCCAGAGGAAAGACATACACGTCAAGGTCATGAATAGTTTACCATTCATCTACAGACTACTATCAGTACGTCTTCAGACTTGATGACTGTTTCGACTTACTCTTTCGTGGACAGTTGGACCCTTACTAATTGTAGGGGCTAGAGCCAACTGCTCGCTCTTCTCAGCTTCGCTGGGCGGTGTCCGATCTTGCCAGTGAGCATGTGCGGTGTGGTTGCCATCTTTTTCGAGATCACGAACATCAACGTCGTGAGGTTCATGTCCTGGTGTTTGCATAGCATGACCCATGATGTCTGTTGTGGCTTGTCGGGTGCCGGGGACGCGAAGAGGTGGTGAAACGTCACAGAAAGTTTAACAGGCGCGACTCCTGGTTTGCAAGACTGTGTACGTGTGCAGCTCTATATCCTCATGGACGAAGGTGCGGGTGCGCTAAAGTCCCTAAGTCAAAATCAATATCAAACAAGCCGCGGCAAGTTCACAGTGGAAGCATCATCCAACGCGGGGGGACACTGCGCAGATCTTCCAGCCTTAACGAACACGGGGCGAGATTATGTGCCAACCAAATAAGGTTGGTCGGTTCACGCCTCATCGATCGGAAGGCGGAGGTTTTGTGGCTGGCGCTTAAGAGGATGCGGGGTCCCGCATGGTTAACATGCATTAGCACAAGACCCAAAGCAGGCTAGCGGTTCCCCAACATATGCTCGTATGTACACAGAAAAGAGATCATTTGCGCTCAACGTGGCATTGCTTTCTTACCATTACTTTTTGATCCCACTCCTTCCCTTTTTGTTCCGAGGCAAAGTGCGCATGTTGCTTTTCATTCCGGTTAGGTACATTTTACCAGGCAACTCGCTCGGTCCTTGATGATCCCAACGACATCATCTAGCAGCGTTTACACTGTACCGAGGTTCCCAACGATCAACTTTGGCTCCTATTGGCCAAGGACTACTTTATATACTACCTAACAGGCTTGTAAGGACTCTTGAGAGCCCGACCCGGCCATGATCCATCTCACCGGTTCACCTGTCTACGACTAGAACTAGCTCTCTCTTGGACATACCATACTACTGTAGAAGCACCGCTAGTGGCCTTTGATCTTTTGCGGCCATAGTCGCGAGCTGTAGTCACCATCCCGGAAGGATGCCGCTTGTGCCATTCTAGTATGCACCTCCGTATACCCAGGACACGATCCGGCGTAGAATTCCTGGCGCCTGACTTCAAAATTCCCTTGTTAGCAACGCATTCCCGACTCAATCGAATGTACTGTGGTTGGATCTCGATACTGATAGTAGCAAAGCTTGGCTGATACGCAATCGCGAAGTGTTGGCCTCGGTTGCTACTTGGGTAACCTACTAAAGAAGGCTTTTGTATCCGCACGTACTGTGTATATCAAGCTGCATATGTTTCGTGGTCAGCAGAACATAATAGAGCTCTATGCAGTGCTACGTTGCTGTGCCATATGTCTTAACCCATGTCTTTCTCATAATCTGGCGAAGGCTGAAATCGGCTTAGTCTATGTTCGAGACGTCATTCCCCAATGCAGTTGCGCTTGTCCGCCCTATATCAACTTCTCTAACAGGTAGGCGGGGTATCTAAACTACAGCGACTCTTCTATGGCATCCGGCATACTTCGTTCATGACTGCGGTTCAGCCTTTGCGGTTGGTGTGAAGATGGTATCAATCCTTAGGGTACACGGCTCGGTGTACATCGAACCAACATGGGGTATTGCAAAGAAATGTCAGTATAGTTGAAGGGAGTAGCCCGTTCGTCGATACTTCAACGTAACCTGAAAAGCGATCTAGTGAGTTATGTACGTGACATGGTAAGCTTTCGAAATCTCCGAGATGGCGCTGAGCACAATCTTGGAACAAGTCTGACCCATCAAGCAAAGTTTTTAGATGGTTGAATGAGCTAGTGGTGACGGAAAGGCATGGCCGTCGATTGCTTGATTGAAAATTGGATTTTATTTTGATGCTTTGACCCTTCGCTCCGGGCCTCTGCAGCCGAAGCATCCGACCGACCATGCTCTTTCAGAACTATGATCGATCAACGATCTGAAACTATCCTGCGTGGCAAAATCTTCGCGATGCAGTGGTAGTACCTCATCCGCTGGCGTGTCTATCAAAGGGTAAGCGCGCGCCGTCGGGGTTGAGGGTAACTACTGCCCATACTACATGCATACAGAGAACGAAGTGTGAATTAAGAATCTATCTGAATGCTTGACTGATCTGAACTTAGGTGTTGAGAGCAGCTTATCTGTAATGTCAAGTACGATGGAACCGTCACAACATTGACAAAATGTCTCCAGCAACGCCGAAACACTGACGCATTTTTGCATGCCTGATGCTAGTAAGTGAAAATCTCGCAGATATGTTAGACTCGATCTGTCCTTCTAATTTTCAGAAGTCATGGCTTCTGGGTCGTAATGACGCTTGTTCGGTTTGAAGTAGGCCTGTTGTAAGATGAAAGTCGAATACTAGCGAGAGGATTGCAGAGCCAATGGGTAGAGTCTGCGTGTACAAGTTCACATTAATATTGGCGTAAAGATCTGCCGAGAAGGCGTCTAATCACAAATCCGGACTTGACTGATCCATCCAGAAATACGGCGCTTAAAAGTACGAGCCAAGAGAGTATGGCCTTGCATTTTACAGGATCCGAGTTCGCTATAGGGGTTGAGCTATTGGTGACAGCAAATCCGTCAGGTCGAATGGTCGAGACTCAGATGGTGCATGATGGATGGTGATCTATTAAGAGGGTGAAGAGTGCCCGATTTGGCGCCGGGTTCTTGTCGGGATGATGGATGGCTAGGAGGCATTTTTGGGGAAGTCAGGTATCTCAACAGCGTTAATAGTCTGAATCGCCCAAGATCCAATCGACAGTTCATTCCACGCTTGTCTGTGAGACATACCACGATCTCAGAAACTGCACGTATCGTGCGACGTGTGCAGGACAAGACCGAACGGAGATGTCGAAGCACGATGATCTCGAGAGGGTGTTGCTAAAGTTGCACGCCCGAACAGCACGCACAATAAAGCGGTGCAACCCGTCTTACGCTGGTAACCATGAACTCCGTCAAATGCATCTACACTGTAACTTGCAAAAGGAGGGATCCTCTTGAGTGATCGTGGCGCTTACTCTCAGCTCCTGCATTTACTTGCAGCTAGGTACTGAGCAATGCGTCTTCAGTTCGGAGAGGTGTACGCATGCGGAAATTGAAGTGGTCATCTGTAATCTCCGATCTGAGAAATGAAATGAATAGTGGCATAGCGGTAATGAGAGAGACGCTAAGTGCTGAAGTGGATGGGTTGAGAGTTTTTATGCTTGTCGCGACGCTGGTGATCGAATTTCATGCTGTTAAATGCGATCAGTTGTCTTGTGGCCGCGACGAATGGGTACGATGGACTCCCGCACGCACTTAATAAGCCAGCCTCAAAAGCGCTCAATGCCGAGCGATCTTATGTATTGATCGAGTTGCAAGTCTAAATGATGAATACTTGTCATTGAGAATGTTGCAACTATCCTGCACGTTTGGTACCACCTTTTCATACTGCGATGCCATGTGTCCGTGATACACATGTCCAGCGATTTGTATGATCTCTCGTTGTATATTGTGACTATCCACCACTCACGATTCTTTCAACTTGTCCTCGATGTCATCCAAGTCCTCCGCGCTGTCAATCTCGATAATCCTGTTGACTTCGGCGGTGTTGCGCATTAATTCCTTGGCACCTGCGTACAGCATCTTCACCTCGCTATTACATGTGATGGGTAGGTAGTATAGCATGACGTATGGTACGGATAGGCGGCCAGAATCCTGATGCTGTCAATCAACTGCTTTCATACACCGATCTAGGGAGTAATACGAGTGTAAGGGGATAGCTCAGCAGCACGAATCTTGGCGCATGGTCTGGCAGCTCGTCTGATACAGATGCAACATCCGAGTATATTTCATCGTCGACAGGTCTGATTTCTAGTGTCTTCTTATCGATCTCGTCTGAACCACGCCGGTATCAGCCTTACTCTAGGTCTGGAAGAGGAGGCGCATGGCGGCTAGGGACACGAGAGAATCGTACAAATGACAGCCTGAGGATCTTTGGCGCGCGAAGTGCCCAGTCTGAACTTGCGTAGCTTCGTCTTCGTCTCCGTTGTAAAGGTGTAGAGTCGCGACTCGGAAGCCTAGTGCAGATGTTAGTGTGGGCGCACAAGAGGAAGGGGGCACTTACCATGTTATCAGGTGTCTAGATGTGAAGCTTCGGGACCGAATACAGCAGCAAGCTTGCGGCGGTGCTTCGTGGGTGATCAGAATGTTGTACGGCCGGAGCAATCTTGACGATGATTTGGTGCGAAGGTGGGGGCAGGGATGGGCGACGTCAGAAAGCACGCTAACGCCATCAACCCTGAACGCGCCCTCCTCTGCTGTATTTACTCTGCTTAAGGCCACTACCCATCTATTGACGCCAGGATAAGGTTCTTGTTGTAGAGTCTCATGATTAGCCGGCTCCAGCAGGTCGCTCGACACCTCTCACGTCCAATTCCGAACTTTGCGCATTCATCCGCGACGAGGTGTGGAGTCGCATCAGTCACGTCATCGATCATGGCTGGCTCAGCACCACAGCAGAAAGGGCTGATTCACACCGCAGCATGTCTGATTATCGGAGATGAGGTATTAGGAGGCAAGGTATGCTTAAGTCATATCGCGAGCTTTCATACCTGTTCATACTAACACCCACGTGACAGACCGTAGACACCAATTCAGTATGCTGCAGCTTGCAACACTACTTGAGCCTCAACTGACTGTTACAGGCCTACTTCGCCAAATGGTGCTTCTCTCTGGGGATCAATCTTCGTCGTGTCGAAGTCATCGCTGATGACGAAAGCGAAATTGTCGAAGCGGTGAAACGCATGTCCAACAACTATGACTTCGTTGTCACGAGTGGAGGCATTGGCCCAACGCAAGTCATCCGCGTGAGCTAGATTAAGAGGTGCTAACACGGCATTGCAGACACGACGACATTACTTACCAATCTATAGCTAAGGCCTTCGGCTTGCAATTGAAGCTGCATGACGCAGCTTACGAGCGTATGAAGCGTCTCTCGAAGCCGCACAAATCGCAGCCGAACTTTGATTGGGATGTACCCTCAGCCGCACTTACGGCCAAAAAACGCATGGTTGAGTTGCCAACTGACGACGCGGTTCCTGATGAGGATCAGGTCATCTTTGTCAATGAAACGCTCTGGGTGCCTGTGAGCTGTGTCAATGGCAACGTCCACATCTTGCCCGGCGTCCCCAGACTGTTCGAAGCCATGATTGATGGGATGAAGCCTCGCATTCTACCACGTCTGACAGATCCAGAGGGCAAGGGAGTACTACGCATTTTGATCTCAACGCCTCTGGCCGAGAGTGCTGTTGCTGGCTACTTGACAGAACTGGCAGCCAAAGCAGAACCGAGAGGTGTTAAGGTTGGCAGCTACCCTCGGTGGGGCAAGGACCACAACACAGTGACCTTGGTGGGCCGCGATGTCGAGTTCATGGAGAGCCTAGTTCCGGAGGTTGAGAAGAACGTGAATGGCAGGCGTGTGGAAGTCGAAGGCCAGGACGATGGCAACACGTCAGACAAGGACACCTAGTCGGCCAGACTGGATGGCGTTCATGTGTGTGTAGAGAAGCGCAGTGAATGTAACATGACCCGTTAGTTTCAGTTTGCGTGAACGCGTTGGGCTGTGTCAGCATGGTCCCAAACTCAGGGGTCAGGGTTCTCGAAGCCTGCACAGAAGGTGAGCCGCGTTCCACTCTGCTAGGCCAGTGCCGAGACCAATGGGGCACATACCCTGATAACACCATCTTGATTGTGCGATGTGAGTGGTATGATGTGTGAAGAGATTGATGATCTAATTTCCAGTCGCACTCGCCTGTAGCATCCAGACACTGGCAGGCAACGTGGTGCTGGCGGTCGTGCGTAGAGATGTGATGTTGTACCACCATGTGCGTTTTCAAGAGTCGCTTGTGGCACTCGTACGCGCCGTCTGGGACAGGGTATGTCAATGGCGCCCTGAAGCCTAGGGGGCCGCGCGACGTCGCGGATGGCAGCATGCTCGCGATCCATGCGTGCCCGTGCCGCAATGGAGAGAGCATAGATCGCAGGAGCGACGTTCCCCAGAGCCGCCGCTCTAACCGCAGCGTCGCTCCAAGAGCCGCCCTACAGCGCAGCGATGATGCTGCAGACTCGCTGGGCGATGCAGGCCGGATAGCAAATGCGTCCGTGCGATTGCAAATGGACGCCGGCGGCACGGCTTGCAGCACCTGCATTCGCCTGACTGGTGTGGAGAGTTCGGTGGTTGGTTGACGCACGGCCGCCGGCCTAAGCAGAACTAGCGCTATCCGCAATGAAAGCCGAACGACGAACTCTCCCATCTCCTCGAACACTGCGACTGCGTCCCCTGGCCGTTGCAATCGACCGCCGTATCTCTGCCTGGACACTCATCTCGAGCCCATCTGTTGTCGTCACTGTTGCGCTTATCAGCCTGCGCGTGCCTTTGCCTCCCTTGGTGCTAGGGCCAGCTTCCCGCCTCCTCTTTACCCTCCCGTCCTCAACATCAACACCAGACCAGCGCGATGGCCTCCAAGTTCCTGCGAGAATACAAGCTCGTCGTGGTCGGCGGCGGCGGCGTCGGAAAGTCGTGTTTGACCATACAGCTTATCCAGAGCCACTTCGTTGACGAGTACGATCCGACGATTGAGGGTGAGTTCATCTGAGCGCTGCGCAATAAGCTCGAACGGTGGTGCTGCGGGCTTGGGTTGACATGGAGCAGATTCGTACCGCAAGCAGTGCGTCATCGACGATGAGGTTGCTCTCCTCGATGTTCTCGACACAGCGGGCCAGGAGGAGTATTCTGCGATGCGCGAGCAGTACATGAGGACAGGCGAAGGTTTCCTGCTCGTCTACTCCATAACCGACAGGCAGAGCTTCGAGGAAATCATGACATTCCAGCAGCAAATCCTGCGTGTGAAGGACAAGGACTACTTTCCCATGATCGTTGTCGGAAACAAGTGCGATCTAGACGGCGAGAGGCAGGTGTCGACACAAGGTACGCTGCACCGCACTTTGCAATGCAATGCACTTCACTGACTCGTTGCGTAGAGGGCCAGAACTTGGCACGACAGTTTGGCTGCAAGTTCATCGAGACCTCGGCGAAATCACGCATCAACGTTGACAATGCATTCTACGATATCGTACGAGAGATCCGCAGATACAACAAGGAGATGTCCTCATACACAGGCGCACCGTCTGGCGCGCAGAATCAGAACGGCATTGCCAAGATGGGTGTCGACGATGACACGGAGAAGAAGGGGGGCTGCTGCGGTTGCACAGTAATGTAAAGAGCTGGGGATGATGTTGTTGTTGTTGCGCACGATACGAAGACAGTCGAAAGATACCTGCCCACCGTCGGCACCACCACCATGCCCTAAAGTCGGTGCCGTCAAGGCTTCGAGAGGGGACACGCGATACCATTAGCACGTACTGCCATTTAAACTCCACGGTCGAGCCATGCGTTCGAACCGTGCTTCTTTTCGACACTTTCGTTTGGGTTAGCTTTCAACCTCGCTGTTGAACAATGGTCTCATGCTGGCGCGCAAACCTTTGGTACGGCACCACCCGCGAGATCTAGACTCATTATTTCCTTACGGCATATCAGTACGCTCTGTACACCTGTGTTTCCTAACTCAGCTATTCGAAGATGCCATGTCACTGCATGCGTCTCGGAACGACCTGCAAAAGATTTCATTTTCCTACTTCACTTTGTTCGCTCTACTTATCAGCACTTTAACTTCTATGGACATAATTCAGCTCAATCATCACAATTCCTGCTTTCCTGTCTGCAGTACTGTCTCGCACAGCTTGCGCGGATAGAGTAAGGAGACCTGAAAGTATTTCCGCCGTGAGACGACGTGACGCGTTCCTTCACTCAATTCTTCTCCTTGGCGGCCACCCGATCAAGGTCATCCCACCAACCTGAGCAGCTGTGGCGACTGTGCTTTTGGTGTCTACCCGTGAATCATGTTCGGGCGCGGTCATTGGAGGAAACGCTCTGTACGTCCATTTCGGGAACAATCTCCGGTTGAAGTCGAAAAGAGGGGGCCTGGGGACGAATTGAGTTCATAGAATCCGACCTTGTCGGCATGGCCTGCCTACCACCGCCATTCGATAATCTAACAGGGCGCACAGAGCTGCAGGCTCAGTGACTAGCAAAGCTCCGCTTGAAGTGTGGGGATATAGCTCAAACACGGCAAGATTGTACGGCTCGCTACTGCCGAACTTTGCACGTGCCCGAAAACTGACACGTGGGAGCTGCCACACACGACAACACCCCTTCTGGGAGTCACCGCTATCTATTGGCCTCTGGTGGTGTACATCCCTACGCTGTGCTCGAACAGTCAACGTTAAGGGCCACTCTGGCAACGTGCATCGAGAATCGTTCAACTTGCAGCCAGACTGCTTGCGCAAAGTTGACACGCAAAGGTAAAGACAAAATTTGGAGCAGCTTGTTTCGAGACCCATGAGTGAGTATACAGCTAAGTACAGCTGTCTAGGCACGCGGCACAACGACGACAATTGGACTTTTGCCAAGCCATGCGCCTGACAGTCCACAATCCGCCCGACGTCTTTTAATGATAGAGTCCGGACGACATACTCTAGAAGCAATCACCAAAAGCCATACGGGAACGATAGATACACACGATCGTACACTTCCCTCTCTGAGAACTGCACCCCATCCGTGCGCCTCTCGCAGACCTCATACATAATGTGGAGCGTTTGATCGACCGCACCGGATTCCCTTTGAACCTTGCCCTGTTTTACGTCACTGTAAAAAACTTAACAGGTGGGTTTGAGAACAAGTACTACCTGGTCAAGAAATGAACTTAGAGGCGGGAAAGCAGTGAATTCTCGTACAGCCACCGCTTGAGCTTGTCGTGAAGCCGACTAAATGTCAAAGTTTCTGCGCTACGACAATTTGTGCAATACGAACACTTGCATTATGATCGGCTAGCAACCCTCCCAGGCTTCCTGTTTCGTGGTCCTCGTTCACAACAGCAGTCAGGCGTGTTGGAGCTTATTTACGTGACACTTGGAAGCGGTATCGATGACACACAGCTGCCCAATGCCGGGCAAAAGCTGATGGGAACTGCTGGGCCTATGCGTAGCTCTTTCCGATATGTAGCCAGTGTGGGAGTGACTGTTCGTTCCAACGTACGGTCGCACGAACGAGTGCCATGTGCATTCCGGAAGCATGTGAACATGGCTCGAAGCTGCTCCGTGAGCTGAGAAGGCACTCTCGTCCTCAAGAATCCCTGTTTCAGGAAGTAATCAGAATGCGAGAGGGATTTGCAGGTGTGATAAGATGAAGCGGGGCTTTGGCACGTGATCGGCTACCAACTTTGTTCTTGCAGTATGCAGGTATTTCAGTTGCAACAGTCCATACCCAAGCAAAAGTTAGTGCTGTGCGGTGCAAACTACCAAATTCATTGAAAAACCTTGGTAACAGCGCTTTCTTGTTTCTTGTCACGTTACGCCAATGTGGTGGGGACATTGAACGGTGCCCTGCCTCCGTCTTGTCATCTTGTCAAGACCTCCAGCATGCCTGATGAGGAAGGTGACAAACTCTTACATGATGGTTTATTGACGCTTCACCACTCAGGAGGGATTGATAGTGCGAACAGCCTTGTCCCAATGACCTGGGAATGATTGAACGCCATGTACGACAGCTACCTCCAGCTCATAGTGATTGGGCCTGTTATCTCTCTCTGCTTGGCCCTCCACGGCATACTTGGCAATCCGCTTTGTATGCCTCAAATGTGCTGTGAACAGAAGCTGCTGATCTCTTGGTCTGGCGCTTCCCACCGTTGGCGCCCAGACTTGACTTGTTCACACATTCGTGTTGTCTTGCGGCCAAATAAGGCAGCTGGAGAGTACAGGGTCTCTGATCTGACGAGTATTTAATGCTCCAGCTTCTCTACAGCGAGCCAGGTCGCACGGATAGACCTCATCATGTCGCCGGGCAAACCTCTTGACATTGCAGACGCCACCACTGCTGACACCCCTGCTTTAGTTGACACTTCGAATGACCAGACTGTCCTCGGAAAACAGGACCCGCACTTCTCGACAGCTGAGGAGCTAACCGGACCCAATGGCGAACAGTATCCCACAAATGAGGACTGGGCTACTCTGCGACGCGTCTATGGAAAAGTCAATTGGATGATCTATGTCATTGGTGTTGTCGAGATGTGCGAGAGGTTTGCTTATTATGGAACCACAGCCGTTTGTATGTGTGCTATTGAAAGTACCAATACATAAACGTAGACGCTGATCGCACAAGTCGTCAACTTCATTCAGCAAGACCTCCCTACAGAAGGTCCATTCCCCTCAGCGGGTGCCGCAGGCACTAATGCTCAGGCTGGTGCTTTGGGAATGGGTCAGCAGGCTTCCACTGGACTTGTCCAGTTCAATTCGTTCTTCTCATACGTCATGCCTATGGTTGGTAAGTATAAACTCGCACGTACCATGGGCTATGCTAATTCGATTAGGTGGCTGGCTTGCCGACGAATACTGGGGAAAATTTAAGACTATCTACGTGGCTATTTTGCTGGCTACAGCTGGACACATGCTGATCATCATTGCTGCCATCCCACAAGTCATCGCAAGCCCCAATGGTTCATTGGCATCATTCATCCTCGGCCTCATCCTTTTTGGGAGTGGAGTGGGCTTCTTCAAATGCTGCATCTCACCACTTGTGGCTGAACAATACGAATACAGTCACCCAAAGGCTTACATTCGTACCGAACCGAGCGGCGAACGGGTGATAGTCGATCCTGGTATCACTATCTCGCGCGTGTATATGCGGTATTATCTGCTCATTAACATCGGTGCTTTGACTGGTCAGATATCCATGGTCTATGCGGAAAAGTATGTTGGCTTCTGGCTATCTTACCTGCTGCCCACAATTCTCTTTATTTTCTGTCCTATCTTGATGGTCAGCCTGAGCAAGCACTACGTCAAGAAACCTCCACAAGGTGACGTCCTCGTAAAGGCTGTAAAGTTATACGGCTTTGCGATGCACGGAAGATGGTCACTAAACCCTGTTCGTACCTGGACGAACTTGGCTTCTCCTGATCTGTGGGATAGCGCCAAACCAAGCAGTCTTACGAACAAACCCGACTGGATGACATTCGATGATGCATGGGTCGACGAAGTCCGTCGAGGTATTAAAGCCTGCCAAGTGTTTTTATGGTTGCCCATATTTTGGCTACCATATGGACAGGTTTGTCACAGCTGCATACATGAAGACTTGACAGCTAATCACACTGTGCAGATGACGACTAACCTAGTCTCTCAAGCAGCCACGATGGAGCTGAATGGCGTGCCGAACGATGTCATACACAATCTAAACCCCTTCACACTCATCATGTGAGTCACCATCGCAGCTCTTAAAACATCACGACGCAGCTAACAGTATGGTACCTAGTTTCATACCCATCTTCGACAAATTCTTCTACCCACAGCTCGCGCGAATGGGCATTAACTTCACCCCGCTAAAGAAAATTCAAGCCGGCTTCGTCTGCGCGATGCTCAGCATGATCGTCGCAGCGCTCATTCAACATTTCATTTACGAGAAATCGCCTTGCGGCAAGTATGCAAGCTCATGTGACGAGTTGGGTCCACCTGACCTCACTGTATGGGTGCAGGCGCCAGCTTACCTGCTCATTGCCTTCTCAGAGATTTTCGCCTCCATCACAGGTCTCGAGTACGCTTACACCAAGGCGCCGAAGAACATGCGCTCCCTCGTCACTGGTGTGTTCTGGTTCACGCATGCGTTTTCATCGGCGATTGCTCAGGCTTTCGTCCCTTTGGCCACAGACCCTTTGTTAGTGTGGTTGTATGTTGTCATCGCAATCCTCACCTTTTTTGGATGGATTGCGTTTTGGTGGACCTTCAAAACTCTTGACAAAGAGAATGACGCTCTTGACAAGCTTCCCGAGGGGGGTTACCTTTCGAACTCAGAAGCGCTTGCAGCGAAGACAGAATCAGTGGAAAGGGCATGAGCTTGAATTTAGTTTTTGGGTTTGGAGGACATAGGGATGGAACGATACATAGTGGGCAGCAATAGGTACTAATCAGATGGTCTATTCTGCAAAATAGTCTGTAGCTCTTGATTCATCAATTAGCTTACACATGTACCCCAAACATGAGCTTACGTTACAGCTAACCAACAAGAACTATGTAGTCACCCAAATTTCCAGCAACCAAAAAGCCGGCGCCCGGCACGTCGGCAGCTGTGTTGTTTCAGCCCATGCTAGCGTCTCCCCCACATATATAAGCGCCACTCCTCAGCCCCCTCTGGAAGCCACATCTCCACCCGAGCTCACCAGACCACGATCGTTGCGTTGCCTCTGCTATTATAACTACACGCCTCCTCGCTTGCGTTCATTCATTTCGGGCCTAACGAATAACGCCAGTAATTACGTCAAAGACTTCCGATGGCGTCATGATACCTGGGAAATGCTTCCTGAGGCAAAACATGACTTGACTTAACGAGCATTTATCATCATATCGAAGTATACACATGAGAGCGTCCTAAGATTCGTTATGTTTCGCACCCAGACACTGGACCAACGGACCCTGATCTGTCTCGATGGCCTTTTCCGTTCCAACGTGCGAGTCGACATTGGCAAGCCCACTTACATTGCACCCAGGCACGTCCGACCAACCACTTCGCACTGTTATAGGATTCGACCCGCCTTTATCGCAGCCAATAAACTACAGAACTACGACCTAAGAACTCCGCCTTTGTTAACAAGAAAGCGCCTTCTTGCCTGATAAGCACTGCATATTGCCAAGTGGCTAGTCAGACGTGGATGCAGTACGAGAACATCGAGATTAAGGCCACAACGTGCTGTTTTGAGTGCCACTCAACCAGGTCTGCCTGCCCACAAGCATGAGCACACTTATCGTCACATTTAATCATGCCCAGCGCCTGTTTCGATAGCCCCTTTCGTGGGCACAGCTGTAAGCGCTCGTGTTGTCCGCGGCGATGAGTCTTGTCGGCATCAATCTCTTGATCAAGATTACACCGAGAAGGATTGCATACTTCTGCTATGTATCCCGCAGCACAACGCGGTCGGTCTTGAAGTTACAGAATGCTTATGTAGTGTTCGTCTACATCGAAGCAACCTGTGCCAGGAATCGAACCGACAATTTCATCGATGCCGTTTGGTACGCAACCTCGATCTGCAGGTGTTTTGCAAGATTGGTGATGTTCATCTGGTATTGGTGGATCTCGCAACCCAGCTATCTGAAACGCCAAGTAGCATTGCCAAGCACACTTCCGCCAGGTCCACTCTGCACACAGCCTCGGGATTGGAAAAAGTTGTTGCGAACAGTCTGCTCAATGGCGGGAACTGCTAGCTGGAGATCTTGGCACGTCAACTTCTGGAAGAGTGGAGCCGATCCCTGATTTTGTTTCAAGGATGGGCGTTCCTTCTGCATTTATGAAGGCACTCGGATGACCTCGCCTGACCCTTGCGCAATTTTGCGTCCCTCTCTAGCATGCATCCGGGCGGCACAGTCTACAGAGGGCGGCGTGGTGATTATATAGATATATGTGTATATAAAGGTCACAGTCAAGTTCCTCCCTGACTTGCTCAAATTCAATCCCTCTCGCTTCACTTCGACCATTCCTTTCACTACGATCCAGGAGATCTAATTGTCACTCTTTTACTAAGGAGATCGTTGAAGTACCATACACGTTCCAACCGAACCTAAATTTTCTCAAGTTAAACATGAAGTTCTCTCAAGTTCAACTTGTGGCACTTGTTGCTAGCATCACCTCCGCGCAAACACTCAACATCCCGACTCCTGTGGGTGATATCACGTCGCTCCCTGAGCCCAGTGTCATCACAGGAAGTGTGGACTACGGCAACAGAGAATTCGATCGTGGCCACCCGTGCGACTCTGATTTGGACACTGGCAGTGAGAACGCCGTCTTCATCCTTGCGGATGGTGCCAGCCTTTCCAACGTCATTATTGGCAAAGATGCTCTCGAGGGCGTTCACTGTGAAGGTAAGCTGACAAACTCCAACCAAGTTAGAACATTCGGTTCTGACTGATATTCAGGATCGTGCACGTTGACAAACGTCTGGTTCCGCGACGTTTGCGAGGATGCCATCTCTGTCCTCGGAACTGGCGATGCAACCATCATCGGTGGAGGAGCCCAAGAGGCCAAGGACAAGGTTGTCCAGCACAACGGTGCTGGAACTGTCACTATCAAAGACTTCACTGTCGTTAACGCCGGAAAGCTGTACCGCAGCTGCGGTGACTGCACCAACAACGAGGCCAAGTCCCCCCGCAAGGTCATCGTTGAGAACGTCCGTGCCTACGGCGTGACCTCCGATCTTATTGGAATCAACTCCAACTTTGGCGACGAGGCTACAATCAGCGGATCTTGTGGTGTGACCAAGAACGTCTGCCAGGAATACAAGGGTGTGAACAAGGGCAACGGTAAAAGCGAGAAGGTCGACGGCAAGACAAGCTGCAAGGGTGCTCAAGGTCTTCTTGAGACTCTGCCTGCGTGTGGTGCTGGTGACGAGCTCCCCGAGACCGAGGTCCCATCTGCGACTGCCTCTGAGGGCGTCCCTTCAGCTACCGCTACCCCTAGCGAGACCGCAGCTCCTGAGGAGACTAATACTCCTACCCCTACCGCATCCGAGGCCGCCCCAGAAGAGACAGAGGTCGAGGAGGAAGGCGAGGAGGCTCCTGTCACCTCTGCCACCCCTATTCCTTCTACCCTGCTCACACTTACTAAGACTGCTGAACCATCCACTCCCACCAAGGAATCTTCCAGCGGTAGCGTTGCGCTGTATGGACAGTGCGGAGGAAACGGCTATACTGGTGCTACCGCGTGCGCTTCCGGTACGTGCAAGGTCCAGAACGACTGGTACTCTCAGTGCGTTTAAGCTTGAGCGATTCTGGGGAAGAGAATGACGGAGTTTCGATTCTTGTATAATTATTAAATGAGATCATGTTTAGCTAGCGCCATGACTGTGTTCGCATGTAAGACTGCCAATGACCTGTTTAAACAACAAATCATGTCGCAAAAGACTCTGGTGCTGCGTGTGTGTGACACCATCTCGCAACACATATCTATTGCACTACTACATCTTTGTCTTGCGAAACTCGGTTTTCAACTCTGTGATGTGTGTTGATAGTGATGCGTTTATTCACATGCGATCAGCCTGCTTGAATAAGCATTTCCATGTCACTTCGGCTCAAGTAGTGATATGTCGATACATCTCGGGCTGCAAGGGCGGAGGAATTTAGCAATGTGTTCCCTAAACACACTCCGTGTGAGATGCAATGCCACCTAGACAAACCTAATTACATGCCTCCGTTCTTATGGTCAGGCCGACGCCCTCTCCAGGCGTTGAAGTAAAGTCGGCGCGACGAGGTCATTGTCGTCCATATGCGAGGAGTCGGAAACAGTTCCAAAAAAGTAGCCCAGATAAGTCGTGATGCAGCGCTACATATTCCTCTGTATCCTCTTCATAGTCTATATCTTCTTCTAGAGTAGAACCTGATGTGCGGGCCCTGTCAAGTACGTGTGCTTTGAGTAAGTGTCCATGTGGGCCGCTCTTCGGGACTGGTATCATCCTAGCAGCCGTACAGTCAATTGAGAAAGCTTTCAAACCGTAGACCGTATTATAACAGTATTAGTATAAGCCCGGTGAGCGCTGCAAGTTCTCAGTCGTCTTGATTTTTTTTCATCTCGGTCTTGATCTTCGTCTTCCTCTCCATCTTAGGCTTTGACTTCGGCTTCATATCCACATCCACATCTCCCTCCTCTTTGCCCCCTGTCTGTGCAGCTTTCTTTTTCAATCTGTCCCACTCCTTCTGTTCCTTCAAGAACCTCTCCTTCTTCGCCTGGTAGCCATCATATCTCTTTACTCTCTCCCAAACTTCTTTGAACACGAGGCTTGCTTCCAGTTTCTCATCTCGACCCTCGAAATCCTTGTCTTTGTCCAGCTCCTCACCCGTCCCCTTGTTATACTTCCTGCCTCCCTTGTGATTCGCATAACGCTTCGCGCGCGTCATGCCCATCTGCAGGAACTTCCGTGACATGTCCATGCCGATGAAGTCGTCAGCTTCGCAGTAGGCAAGGAACTTATCGTAGATTTCTGATGAAGACTTTCGTGCGATTTCGGGTGTTTTGAATCGCCAGACGGGTAAAATTTCAGATTTGTAAGGCTCGAATGTGAGGACGCCCATTTCGCCGCGAGCGACGCGGTAGGCCATGCGTTGGGCTTTTGTCAGTGGTTGGGCAGGCATACTGGACTTTGCCGTGGTGGGTTGTAGTCTGATAGTAGACGATAGAAGGCTTTGAGAGAGCACATTGGTGGCATATTGCCGTTGTCGTGGAGGAGGTCAGAATCCAAATCACGATGACGCAGCCATGCACAGAAGCCGAGGCACACGCCCCGACACGCTGTCACGACTCTGCGTGTCAACAGCAACGAGGCAGCAAACACCATCGTTGCAATGCACCATAATAGTTTTCGACCTGGGACATTGCGAGACGGCCAGTATGGAAAGTGCAGACAAGGCAGACTCACTGCAGCCTTATTGGGCGGAGCCGCAAGGCAACCACAAGCTTGGCATCTTCGCGCAGTTTATAGGCAAATGCATGGGTGGGTATGTTGTACGTTCGCATTGCAGTAGAATCAACAGTACTACCAACAGCTATGTCTCTCCAATCAAATGCCGACTGCTCCTCCGCCGCCGCAAATTCCCACCCATTGCTGCTGCCAGACGTCCTCTTCGAGCTTGTTATCCATCTTGATCTCTACTCGCTCTTACAGTGCCAGCGCGTCTGTCGTACGTGGGCGTCAGTCATCTCGCGTTCGCGCGAAGCCCAACGAACACTCTTTCTACAACCAGACCACATACCATTCGATGCTTTCAAGGCCGTGGAAGAGCGCGATATCGCCTCCAGAGATCCTATTGCATGGCAAAAGCCGTCGCAGCGCATTCCTGAACGCCCAGAGTTTCGCGCACTTTTCAATCCATGGATATACACACATGACTGTGAGCCCATAACGCTCGCCGCCGACAACATCACATGGGGACGGCCAGCAACAATATGGCGTTTTACAGACCGCGTGTCGGCTGGTCGATTGGGCTTCTGCTTTACGCCGTCGCAACTCGTCAGCTTGGCCGACGCAACTCAGGCTAGCTGGAACGGCATGTTTCTTACGCAGCCACCTGTTAAGAGGACACTGGTCAGCGTGCAAGGTGGTTATTTGCCGAAAGAATTATTCGATGTCGAAAAAGAAAACGGTGTCAGAATAGGCGATATTATGTCACATGTGAGGGGTACACAGGCAGTCAGAGTCATGAGAGGGAGAAAAGGCGAGACGGATTTTACGACGTTGGATCTGAAGTTCGATGAGCATTTCACAGGGATCAGGTTCTTGCCACTTCGGCATTTGGTGGAGGACCAATTCGGGAATGTTGATGTTAAGACTATCTAAATCACGTTTACGACAACCCTCGCGTCACAAAGGTCGCCATACAGTGTATTTTAACATCTGTGAGTCGAGCACACATCCATCCCCTAGCAATAGTCAGAAGTCAGCTGGTACGCTCGCAAGAGACTCCTTCCTCTAAACTGTTGCCGAGCCTCATAGCCAACTGGCACAAATATCAATTCCAGATCTAGCGCCAAACGACCATAAAGATGGCGATTCTTTAAGAACGGAATATCGTAGCAATTGCTCAGCGTGAAGAGAATGTCACTGAACCGTTCCGATCCGTATCCCTTGATTGATTGGTACGCCGGCGCTCGCTCAATTCGAATATCACACACGACAGAACAGAACCAAGATGGCAACATGTGATGTCTAAAGGCAGATTGAGCAGGAAGTGCCAGATCAGTTGGATTTATTGATATTCAATGAAGGAAGGAATGCAGTTATGCGACCCAGTTCTTCTGCAGATCTCTCCTGCTCCACTGATGGCTTCCCTTCGAATCACCTTCCCTGTGCTTCTCATCATAGAGCTTCTTCGTCAATTGTCTGTACAAGAATTTACCGCCATTATTGTACACAATGCTATGGTCGCTGTCAGTGAAGAAGGTGTTTTGCATCTTCTCTGGTGTAACACGAGCACCCATCAATAGATCGACAAGTGCCGCCGAGTTCTGGAAATGCACATTGTCGTCACCAGTGCCGTGTTGGATCACAACACCACCAGCGATGGTCTTGAATCCAGTGGCGTCGTGCACGCGAGATTTGTTGTAGCCCTCGACGTTGTCCTCGGGCAGTTTCATGTAGCGTTCTGTGTAGATGGAGTCGTAGAAGCGCCAGTCGCTGACAGGTGCGGTAATGAGGGCGAATGAGATGATATCGTCACCGACTTCAACGACCTTTGAGGAAAGGTAGCCGCCGTACGACCAACCGAAGATTCCGATGTGCTCGCTGTCGACCCAAGAATTCTTCGCAAGCTCCTTAGCAGCCCAGATCTGATCCTGAGCTTCAAGATCTCCCAGATTCTTGGTGACGGTGGAACGGAACTCGCGGCCCTTTCGTCCGGTACCACGGTTGTCGACGGTCAGAGTGATATACTCGAGCTCAGAGTCGGATGCGATGTAGGCTTTCCAGTTCAAAGGACTGAATTGCTTGTGCACCTCCTTGGCATTGGGTCCACCATAGGGGATAAGGACGAGCGGGTACTTCTTGCTAGAGTCGAAATTGGGAGGTAGGCGTAGCATAGCATCGAGCGTGAAGCCATCCGGGTGCTCGAGATCCAGGTAGGTGATGTTGGGCAAGTTATAAGTTGTAAGATTTCCGTAAAGAGCCTTGTTGTCAACGATGGTACGTACTGGCTCAGTCGAGTTGACAGAGTAGAGCTCTTGGTACGGAACATCGGGTCCGGCGTAGCGTAGAACGTAGTAGGATCCTCCGGATGAGAACGACGCGGTCCAGAAAGCGGAAATGCTGTCGTCCACAAGCGCCTTCTTTTCACCCGTCTGGAAATTTACCGAGTACACATGCGACTCGGTGCTATGGTGCTCGGTGGAGGTGAAGTACACGAGACCGCGCTTGGCATCAACCTTCAAGACAGCGAGTACTTCGAATTCGCCAGAGGTTAGAGCGACCGGGTCGCCACCCGTGACTGGAAACAAGTAAATGTGATTCCAGCCACTCTCGTCAGAGAGATCAAGATAGTACTCGGTACCATTGCCGTATGTGGCATTTGCGGTTTGAACAGCGCCAAGGTATCGAGTCGCAATCAGGTTCTCGAGCCAGCCGTCGGTGCCATCGCGCTCGCGAATGATCGAGGAAGTACCTGCCTCGACGTCGATAACAACGTACTTCTCAAGATCCTGCACACGGTTGAATGCACGGTAGACAACCTTGCTGTGAGCATCCGTGAGCCAGTTTACTTCACCAATAACGAGGTCGTCTTCAGGGAAAGCATCAATGGCAACTGTCTCGACCTCGCCAGACGCCACATCGAGCAGATTGAAGCCAACTGTCGGGTTCTTCGTGCCGACCTTGGGGTAACGCAGCTCCAGTTCGCGAGCATAGACAGGAGCTACTTCAGCATCGTCCATGTAGTAGGGGATTCGGAATGAACCAACACCAGTCTCGTTGAAGCTCAAGAAAGCGATCTTCTCGCCGTCAGGGCTATACCACAGAGCATAGCGGTCACCGAAGATCTCCTCTTCGTAAACCCAGTCAGGGACGGCATTGAACCAGTCTGGACCTCCATTATCGGTGATCTGGGTGATATTGCCGTCATTCCAGATATAAAGGTTGTTGCCTTTGACAAACGCAACCTGAGAAGATGAAACGGGGCTCCATTCAGCGTATTGAATCGTGCCGTTAGACTCAGGATCGAGGGAAACGGTCTCTCCGGTTTCAACGTTTTGAATGAGGTAGTCCGCATAATAAGAGTGCCTGAAAGACGTCAACAAGCATGTTGACATTGGTACCAGTCTTGTCTTACCTGTACTCTTTCGTATAGTTTACGGCCCACAGAACGTGACTGGCGTCTCCAGAAATGAAGAAGTCCCAGTAATCAGCCGGGACCTTATCAGCTGACAAAAATGTCGAAGAATCGCCAGTCGCGACATTCTCGAACAGGAACGACCCATCAGCGCCAGTGTAAATGTAGTCTCCATCCGCACCAGTGCTGACCCAGCTGAAAGCCCTGGTAGAGGCAGACAACCGACCAGGCGCATCGGTAGTGATGTTGTAATTAAGACGCAAGGTAGAGTTGCTGCTACCGAGTGGTTGATGAGGCTGTCTCGGAGGGTCAATGGCCTGGACAAACGGCAGAGCCGCAGCAATGATCGTGAATGAACGCATCGTAAGAAACAACACGACTTGCGAGACAAGAGGGGCGTTCAAGCACGCAAGTTCCCGCCGCGCTGCCGCAGTTTATGTAGTTCTGGTCGTACATGCCCGCCTAATGTGCACCCGATATGCAGCTGCCAGAAGAGGCAGTTGTCAAGACATTGGGTCGTCGTTGCCAAGAAACCCAAGCACCCCGGCGCCCGGCTTTTGACTGGTTTCTTCGTGTTCGCCGCAAGATTACGGGAACATCATATTATCAGAGAGGAAGGTGCCAGCGACACAAGCGGGATCGCGTGCGATGCAAGGATTGCACGCAAGCGAAGGTGTTGATGGGTGACGCGATGGCGGATTGGCGCTTGCTTGATCGCGCAAAGACCGGCAGGCACGGAAGGCGCTAAAACGTCGAAGCTTGTCTTATCGGCTCCTACGTACCTCGTCCCCGTCCTCACCCTCACATCTATTTCACCAAATAATCCAGTGTTGTACCATATTGCATGTAAGGACGAATCAATCGGCAAGCGTGATGTTATCCGCCAGACGGTGTGCATGAGTATCGATATGTAACACAACATCACTACCGAAGCTACAGCACAATGTGACAAAGCACCACCTTGTTTCTATGGAGAGCTAGCTAGTGCTTGGATGACGTGTGTATAGTAAGATACAGTACCTTCAATTTGATGGAGACTACACAAGACGCTAGTCAAAGAAGCAACCTAATGCCTACATAGATACACGATCGATCATGGAAAAATGCTGTTTGTCGATCTTCGCGAGATCTTGACGTTAAGCTGACAACTTCATTATAAGCCCAACAGCATCGTTCTGCTCTTTTTTCGGCACATGGGCGTCTTCTGGCCTCATCATCGACCGGCCGGTTGGCTTGCCATCTGTGTTACCACGCATTCTTCTTTCAGTACTGTGCAACCATCCTTCAGGTGGTCACGAAGTGAACCTTTCGGCATTGTCTTCTGACAGTGGTTGCATGTCACTGTTGGTGCCTTTGGGCACGCTTTTAGATGCACCACGATGTTCAGAACGGATTGGCCACAGTGTTTGCATTCTCGGGCGGATTTGCAGTCAAGATAGTGGTCATCATACTCATCTCGAGCAATCTTCTTACCGCATGACAAGCAAGAACGTAACCACTTGAGACACTTCTTCTTATGCGTTGCGAAATCCGAATGGTATTCTCCACAATGTCTGCACTCTCTGTCCCCCTGGGTATTGGCCTCTCCTGTAGCGACGCTAGTCGTCGGCGACCGAAGTCTGTAGCCAAGTGATCTGATGCTGGGTTCTTGCTCGTTCGGAAGATCTTGATGTTCGGCCAGGACGACTGGGTTGATTCGTGTAGACGCAATGATAGGCATGTGTGTCGATGAATGGCAGGAAGTTACAGTATCACCCGGTTCTTGCGGCATAGAAACGTAAGCCTCCTTGAACACATGTACGTATGTTTGCTGAGATGGCATCGTGCATTGTGCTGCGTTGTTGTATGTTGCTCCCAAATTACCTGTCAAATCTTCGCTGATCACCACCGGATCGGGCTTTGACCAGCAAACTTCTTCAGAATCTCCCTTATAGCTCTTGGTCTGGACGAACAAGCCAGCGCACTCGACATCTCTCGAGCTCTCTCTGATATCGTCTGTTTTTCGGGCTAATACGGCAGTGTTGTGCTTGGGTGCGAGCGTGACAGGGTCACCTATGCTTTGATCCTGGGCTGAAAGCATGACGGCGCTGGCATGAGTTGTCGTTGGGTTGTTTCCATCTCCTCGATTTGACAGCGACTGACACCGAATCGTCAGAGAACTGCAAGATACTGAATCATCCGTCGCCCGCGAGACGGCGGCAAGGGATGGAAATAGACGCCGACCGCTGCTACTAGCCACCGGCGTTGACAATAAAGTGATTGGAAGCTGTGCAGATGCTAGGAAGTTCTGAAGTCGGCCTTTAGACGCGCTAAGAGGATTTTTTTGCTCCTGGTGCTCTTGGCATCTTCGCAGCCACTCCAAACGCTGGGCGATGAACCGCCCGAATAAGATATGAAGGATGAGAAAAATGAGTGGTCGTGTGAACCTCCAAACAGTGCTTTCAGAGATCCACAGTTGCATGATGGCGGCTATCGAAAGGCGAGTACCTAATGTAATGAAGCAAGAAACGACTGTGGCCAGAGTAAGTTGGAAGGGTAATGTGTTGGTAGAACTTGCGATTGGACCTGTCAAGAGACCCCGTGGATATTTGGCAACAGGACCCTTATGTACAATAGCAAGTGAGGTGAAGAATAGTTGAGTTTTCTCAGAGTTAGGGTACCTTGGCACCTGAGCATGAATGGTGGGAAGCCAGCGGTGGCTGTCGCTAACCTTTTGGTCGCTGCATGTGAAAGAAGCCAGATGCGTCAAACGTCCTCGGATTTCTTTTTTGCACTCAGAGCCACAATAGGCTCCTCTCATTGTTCGCGCTCGTTGTTCAATAAAGAGTGCGCCCGCCAAGTCCTTAGTTTCATCTCAATGGACCAGCCCCGTTTGCTTAGTCCGGTGTGGGATCACAAACTAGAGTCGGAGGTATGTCAAAGAACAATACTATGTGGATGCAAGTAAAGTCGTACCTCATTGCACCTAAGATGAAGCTTCTTGCAGATCGCCGTGCGCTCTTACCAGCTGGCCGGTGACTGCGCGACAACGACATGTAATCATTCTTCGCTCCTGCTCTTGGAGGCACAATGCAGGAAGCGCGTTCCATGACCTTAAGTTTTATTAAGTCCGAAGCACGAACTTCGTACAGACCTCACCTCAACGCCTGCCACAATGGACGATGCTAGCCTTTCGGGTCTGTCACCGATAGCTCGCATGGCAAATGCCTCGAAGAAGCCTGCGGGTTGGCGCCTAATCAACATGACTCGATCTACAACCCGACCTCGTCCTGCTCCGCAGAACCTCGGGCCCTACAAGGAAACAATTTCTGTTTGGTCAACAGTCCAAGACGATTTCGAACAGCGTCTAAGTCGTTTCGGCATCAAAGTCTCCGAGGCTACACCTGATAACCCACCTTCCGAAATTGACAGCAAGCCAACTGTACACGCAGTTCGCGGGGCTTGTGAAATTATGGACAACTCCACCCGCGTCACTGCGCCGCATGTGTTCAATCCGACAATGTCCACGAATGAAGACTTTCCGCCGCTCGAGACTTCAACGCTGGCGCCCTTCACCAACAGTACTGGCGAGTCCAGACTTGAAGACGTAGAGCGAGAGTTACGGCAGGCGCAATCAGAAGTACAATTCTGGAAGCAGAAGTGCGAGGCTCGAGAACTTGACCTCCAGGCAGCCTATAGCGAGACGATGAAATGGAGAATGGAATACGAGGATCTGTATGGCGCTATAATCCGAGACCAGCAGATCCAGCCTCGTGATACGTTGATGAAGAGGCATGGCACGAAATCTTTAGGCTAGGCCTAACACGTTGCTGTGCAATGGGGAGGGACTATGCAGGACACTCGAGTGAGGCACAATCAGATAGTATCCTCAAATCATAGACCATCAGGTATTGTTTTAGCCCATATATCATCCAGCAAACCGACGAATTTCGTTGCCATCTTCTTCCCGCCCTCTTCGCTGGGCTCAACCCTTGCAGTGTAGTGCTTTGCGAGTTTTCCATCCAATACCTCGTACAAGGCGCATGGTACGACCTCAGTGCCTTCAATTTTGATTGTTTGTGTTGCCATTCTGAACAGTGTACTGATCGCTGTCTGGAGCCGGCCAGGCCAGCTATTGTAGCCCAAAACTTTGAGTTGGGTATCCGCCCAACTCTGCTGCCCAAGCCCAGCTTTTAGAGGATAGTAGATCATACAGACGATCACAGCTCGTGGTTTTGTCTTTGCTACCATCTGACTGATATATTCCTGGGTCTTGTTGCCAAATATGTATCCGAAATATCTGATAGACGATGTATTTCCTTTGTCGAGCGACGACCACGAAGTTGCCCAAGCTAGTTGCAGCATGTGCCGAACCGTACAAAGAAGTGGCTTGAGGGCAATGTCATTAGCTCCCACGCTGACTATCAGCACATCCTGTGGGCGAATATGGTCGCGTATGAATTCATCGTGTGCAAGGAGCTCGTGGTCTCGTTGACGGAGCATGGATTCTTCCACCGCAGTGTTGAGGCATGTTGCCCGATCACCAAGAATATAGTTCATCCAGAACGCAACGTCATGTTTGGGTGTCGGTCTGTCCAGCACATGCTTATATATCTCAGGTACGTCAACCTGGAGGTTCTCATCGGGATGGACCCAGTATTTGTTGTCAAGGGACGAGTCGCCCGCAAGGTATACGATGGGTTCGTTCGGCCTCTTTGCCGTGGCAATTGCATGGAAAGATGTGAGATCCTGGATTTGATGACCTTTCCATTCAAAATAAAATCTCGAGCGATTGATCTTGCCAACGCTTTCTGTCATGATTGATCGTTCGGACTGAGGGCAATACAAATGGAAAGTCGAAAGTAAGTGTGTCAACCCAGTGTATCAATGGTGTAGAGGATACATATTCATGCGGCCTCATGGCATAAGTATAAAACGCATTTCACTGATGTTACGTTCAGTCTTGAAGTGTAGGCAGCAACGAACGTCACCTCACGATTATGACGTCACCGGCACAATGGCTCCACTTAGTGGTGCAATCGCTACAGCGAAAACCAGAGATAGCTGTACGAGACGTCTCTTCTACAACAGACAGCTAGAGGCAGGAATTATCTTATATGCAGATTTTACACAATGATACCAAGGTTTCTCTCGTCGCGGCAGAGGTTGAGGTTCGTTGACTTCATCTAATGGTGATGGGCACAAATTATTGCGCTATCTGTCGTTTCCCTTTCCGCAAATCAAAAAGATGTACTCTGAACCTTTCCTCCTCAACATATAGCTGAAAAGTGTTCAACTTATGTCAACGCAGGTTTGCGACGGTGTCGCAAGACAAGATGCTCCAGTATGTAGCTTTGTTTCCATACGGACAATGTGTAAAGGCTGCTGTAAGAGGGGCAAAGTACTGGTAGCGAAGCGTTACATAATGGTCAGTCACTTAAGAGCCATACTTTGTCCGTCTCGTCACGATCACCACGACTCAAGCCTCACAAGCATTATAAGTAGGTATCTCCACCGATCAAGAGTGGGGTCTTGTCTTAGCCCGACCTGCCCCCACTACTTACACGGGGGGCCCCACTCCCTGTGCATGTTCTGCAAGTGTCATGGCAGTTCCGATAACTACGAAACGGACATACCTGTTGCCAAGCACATTGCGCGGCAGCTGCCGATTCGTTTTATGCATAAGTAACACCGAGACCCTGATGAGTGCGAAAAACGTTCACCAGTGATAAACGATCTCACGATGAAAGTACATCTGTTTGCCTTGTTTGCAGTATGCGCCCTGGCGATGCCACCAACCTATTGCGAAGATGAACACAGGCCCAAGACCATCATTATTGACACCGACTTGCTCGATCTCGTAAGCGAACGCCCCGTTGGTCCCAGTGCAGTCGCTAACCGCAATCTGTAAGATCGATGATCCAATTGCCATTGGTCTCGCAAACATCCTTCAAGTGCGTGGTGAAGCCAAGATTGTAGGCATTGCGTCAAGTAAGTCGATGTGAATATGGCTGGCAGCAATAAATCATAATAGCCATTGAAAGGTGTGTTCAGCCGATACGTACCGCCTGCAATAGACGCCATCAGTACTTATTACGGGCATGGCAACGTTCCTGTCGCAATACAAAAGCCGGTCGACAACACTGTGAGCAACGAACTTACCCCCTTATACAATGGAATGACGTCTCAACTCTATCATTGTAGACGAGAAACCCTACATATCCTCAAGTCAACGAGTATGTCACCGGCCTGAACTCCAAGTTCCCGCAAGACATAGGCGATGGCAGCAATACCACGGATCCAGTCATCCTCTACCGAAAGCTACTTGCTTCGAGCCCGGACCAAAGCGTCACGATTGCGAACATAGGGTATCACGATAATCTATACCACTTCCTCCTCTCACCACCCGACAAAATTTCACCGCTCTCAGGCTCACAGCTTGCAAAGAGCAAGGTTGCCGAGTTTGTCGTGCAGGGCAATCCGAACGGTACTTCGTTCAACTTTGGAGGCAACGACCCCAAATATGCGCAGTATGTGCTGACGCACTGGCCTGGCCTTGTTACGTACGTGCCGGACGCAATCGGAGATACCGTGTATTTTGGGTCAAGACTGACGACGGAATTGGACACCACTACAAACCCAATTGCTTATGCGGCCGCTACGAGTATTGGGGTTGGCAACGTACATCAAACCTGGGATTGTAAGTCTTGTGATTTGACGATGCGTCAGTCATTACTGATAGCTGTAGCTACTGCGATTTACTACGCCGTCCGTGGCCTTGACCAGGCGTATAGATTTGAGAGGGACCGAGGCAAAATCTCGTTTCTTGCGAATGGAACAGCAGTGTGGGACTATGAGTTTCCGTCGAGACTGCAGCGATCCATTGAACTAAAGATCGACAATGCGACATTCGCAGCAAGGGTAGAAAGGATACTTCTATTCGAACCTTAGCCTGGGGAACAAGGTTATATAGTTGACAGACTTCTATAGGCCCTGACTTGTGGCGCTCGAGCGAGCAGTCCATGCTTCCATACTTCAATTCTCCCGTTACTTTGCTAGTAACCGCTCATGGGCTGATGCGTCATCATGCCACCCATCCTCTGGACCATGTGATTTCCACCCTCCGAATCATAACATGCACATACATGTTTGCGCATCCACACTCAACCCATCTGGCAGACTGTCTCGTCAAAGACGATTTCCTTTCGCACACTAACCACCTCAAGATAATCCTCTTCATCGTACTCGGTGTCACAATCGCCCTGATACAATCGGCAGGCCTTTCCACATCTGTCTTGGTTCCCATAATGCACCGCAATCCTGCGAGGGCAGACGTACGTCTTGTGGACCTTCGGCACGTAATGCCAATTCTCACTCATGCAACCGCTCATCGTGTCGTGCTTGACATCCTTTAGCTCCATCGTTCGCGGTTGATATGTATGGATGGTAATAGCGTTCAGGTAAGCCTTCTTCTCAATCCAGCTATGTAGACGATCAATTTGGAAGTACTTTGCCTCTGCTTGCAGGCGTTGATACAAGTCGTAGTCAAAGCCTTGGTCCTTTGACCAGAAGAGTGGAAAGACAGAGGGTCGGCGCATGAATTGAAGGAGATGATTGAAAAGTTCGGGGTCCGCGTCGAGAAAGTAGGTGCCGTCGCGCTGGGGTGTCCAGTTGAAAGAAGTAGACAGCTGGCGCTGAAAGAAACCGGACTCAGCGTTGAGGACGTCAGCGGAGACTTTAAAGGGCCTGCCAGCGACATCAAGTGTGACGATACTGGGGTAAGTTGGGTATTGGCCAATGATCTCCGAAACCGCGACACGGTTTGAGGGTGAGCGAAGAGCAGACGGGCTTGAGGAGAGAAACGCTCAAACTCGAGCTCAAGGGCATCAGGCAGGTCGGTTTCGTGGATCGCCATGTTAGAGGTTACTTGTCAGTTGGCAAAGGTCAAGTATTGAATCCGACATTTGCAAAGTGCAGATATGAAGTGACGCTAATTCGCCAAAGGGTTGTTCACAATGAGGTGACGTATCTGTTCATCGTGAAGGCGACGCTAGAAAACAAACATCAAGCGATAAGGCCCCCGAGAGATGTAATGTGACAAACCCGTTCTGAATCTTTAGTGACCAATCCAGATGAAGGAGAAAGGTGATAATAGTCTGTTGCTCTCACCTTCACTTATGTTGCTTCTGTCGCTGTGCTCAAATGTCTCAAATATCACTGCATAGCTGGAAACCGACTTTGTGCTCCAACTCACACATCGTAGCCGAGGCGCCCTCCATTCTAACTTTCACCTCTCTGATGTAATGTTCCGCTGCGATATTACAATCAATACACGCCCTCAATGTTACATCGTAATCCTGCCTCGTCGCCAGCGATCGCTCCATGATGCCACTGAGCTTTGACTCCGCAACCTCACTTGTAATCTTGATCGCCTCTTGTCTCTCGTGCATAATGCCTGAGATCTTGTTCTTCACCGTGGCGTCAACGGTAGTGACCTTTCTAGGATATCATCTGTGTTCCAATATCACATCGCTGAACTCGTCCTCGGCAGTCTGGGCATTTCCGGCAGCTCGCTCTATAGCGTCCAGTGCGATAGAAGATTTTTTGGCTTTTTGAGAGCGCTTAACAATGATCGTGTTGTAGAGATGCTACTTATTTCCCAGGCCTGCACCGAAGTTGTCGGGGCGTGGTTGTGAGCTACCTTTTGGTATGAATGAACTTGGGCCGTCGTTTTCAGCTTGTTTGGTTTCAAAGGCTTTTTTTGCCATGCCTTCTGCTTGAGAAAGGATTTTGATAGCTACTGTAAGTCCCGATTTGTCTTTTCCCGCAGTCTAAGTTTGGTATTTGGGTCATCTTCGGTGTCGGGTCTGGGCTATTAGATATGCCGAAACCGTCACTGTTCACATCACCATCGGAAATTCTGTCATCAGCCGCATATTCGACATGCCTCAATGGGCTGCCGGTGTTAGCCCATATGGCGCGTTCGGCGCTTGTTTCACTGGTATCGGAGAGGCTTATGACGGCTGAGTCGGCGTTGTGGGTGCGTTCGTGCCTCATCTCATTAGTCTATTGGCCATGGGCTCCGAAGTCAAGTGATGGAGGGACGGCTAGTGTTTACAGGGCTTTCAAACTAGTTGGAACATCAAGCATAGGTGTATGTGCAATCGCACGAAGAAGATGAGTACACGAGTATACTGGCAACACTAAACCCACCCCTGCTACCATGTAAGTGCGCTCATTGCAATGCGGCTGACCATTCATGAGCTAGTTCCAGTGCTCATCTCGCGCAAGCTGAGCACCTATTACTCAGCCTCGGCCATAATCTGCTCACCCTCGTCGAGCATCTCCACCACCCTCTTCAAGTTGCCAACCATCTCCTTCGCCTGACCCACAAGCAGGAGTTTCTCCGCGTTGGCCGGGAGTCCCAGGTAAGTAGGTGGCTCACGCTCCGGAAGATCATTGACCCACTGCATGAAGTCCTTCCAGCCTGTGGAGCTGGGCAATGCCAGACCCTCGTTATGCTCGGTGTCTTTGACGATCTTGAAGTTCTCCTCGAATGCAGCAGGGGTCATGCACTCTCGCACAATAGATGCGAGTATGTGCCAGTCTGCTTCGTCGTCGATCTTACCGCCGTACATCTCAATGACGAGTGTAGTGATCATTTCCCATGGGATCTTGGCAGGCGCAATGTTGGAACGACCCTGAGCAACGGTGTCGATCCAGGTATCTACGATGAAGCTACAGCATTCATACTGTCATGGGTTAGTAACCAGTCAGGCTAAGTGAAGGGGTAAACTTACATCGCTGTCGTTAAATTCCCAGAAGCCCTTCCATCCAAGTGTTGGTGCGTAGCGGAGACGCTCCTGTACTACGGCATGCAAGAATGACAGAATAAGATAGACACGAGCTTTCTCAACAGGCGGTTTAATGGCCTTCTCGGCGAGAGAGGACAGCGAGTCCTTCATGTTTGCACGAATGCCAGCAGGTTGCTCGTAAGAGAGCACACGAGACGCTCGAAGTAGATTGACAGGGATCTTCGGGCTTGACTCCATAGATAGGAAGAGACGGAAGTCAGGGTTGGGCTTGAGTGCCTCGAGTCTCTTCTCTAGCGATTGCAGCCATTGAGGGGTTAAGTGAACATTCTTCACAAGCACCCAGTTGCCCGTCGTGGCAGCGTTGGCGATTGCCTTGTCTGCCGTCGATGCGCCTTCGTTGGAACCCATGGCAATGTTGGCGCACGACACGTGTTCCCTCTCAACGAGGTTGTCGACCTTGTAACTGGCGTCAAACCCAGGGCTAGAGCTAAGGGCGATAGGGGTGATGGCATTGACTTCTTTGACGATATCGCCAAGGTCACCACCAGCGTCCAGAATGCCCTTGCCAAATACCTCTGTAACGAATCGCTCGACCGCAGGTACGAAGCGGTCGACACGGAACAATTTGACGAGAATGAGAGCCCGTAATTGCTTGTCAAACCTGTTGAGACCTTCAGGCCAAGCTTGTGGTACGTGCCGCTCAGCGAGCTCTTCAGTGAAGAACGCACCCCAACTAACATCTTCGACCTTGTCGAGTTCGTCTTTGAAGATGGATAGTTTGCTTGCGCGTTGTAACACCTCTTCCTTTCGCTCAGGCTCGGTAGATACATCAATTGCTTCGATATCAACATCAAGGATCTTGTCAATCAGTGCCTTATCCATCTTGTAGGGCGCGGCTTGCACCAGAAGCATCGCAAATGTGACACGATCCTTCTGCAAGAGCGAGAGCGAAGTGCGGCGATAGGCATCAACGAAGAGTTCGGTAATGATCTGATCAATCCGAGCGGTATGGCTGGTGCTAGAACCGTTTCTGACCTTTCGGAGCACGGTCTCGAAGATTTGTGTGAAATACTGCAGGGAGAACTGATAGAAGTGGTTGAGGTGATGCAGTTGCTCTAAGACGGCAAAGATCGCCGAGCAAGAACGAGCAACGACAGTGTACTCCTTTGTGATGTTGTCAACTTCTGTCATGACACCTGCAGTCTCGGAGACTTTGTCTGAGATATCTTTTGCCTCCTTCTTAAGTGTCTCAAGGGTCTCGATGACCCGGTCATCATCAAGGATATTTCCACGAGATTCGTTGAGGGCTTGTAAGAGACGCTTCTCGAGTTGGCGAAGGTGGACCGCGAACTCGCCCTGCATTTTAATAAGGTTGGAACGGCGCTCGTCAACATCGGGTCTCTCAGACTTGAGGACTTCGTTGAGTGTTTGCGTTTGCAAGCTGCTTTGTGTGACCGTGAAATTGACAAATGTGGTACGACTGCAGATATCGGGAGCGAAATTGGCTGACGGGTCACGTGTCGAGAGGTATAGGCGGAATGTTGGCGAGAAGTCAATTTCCTGTTTACCGAGCTGGATGAGCACACGGCCGCCAGTTTTCTGGTATTCCTTGTTAAGAACATGGTTGAGAATGGGATCCAGGTACTCAGCATCCTGGATCAAGATGGGGTTGCCGAAACGCAGTGAACTTTCGAGCTGCTTGACGAATGAGTCGTCCAAGAAGCTTGTGACAGTTAGACGGCGATCTTTGCATTCGTTCTGCAAAAATTCTGTGGTTCTGCCGGATGGATCGATGATAAGTGGGTACCTATTGAAGCGCTGTAGTACAATGGCGTTCTCGGTGCAGAGATCGTCGACGGGTAGACCATTCCGCTGCCACGTCAGCCGATCATCGGTAGTGGAAAGATACTCCGTGATTGGGTTGGGTGTCTTGAAGCTGATACCGGAATTTTTGAGCTGGTCGTACCAGTCCTCTGTCAGGGCTTTCCTGTACTGCTGATCATAGTAACCGGCATATGCAATGAAAGCCGCAGCAACGAGAACGTCGCCAACGATCGTGTCGATCTGCGAGTCAAATGATCTGCTGCTTTCCCCCCAACGAGTCTGTTCGGAAGAGAGACTGTCAAGCAGACGTACACTGCGATCAACCTTGAATTGGACAGTCGACATTTCAGTCTTGATCGCTTGCGTCTCGCCGATCAAGACAGCATAGTCTTCCTCGTAGCGTTTGATATTTTGGTCGAGTTTTTCAATCAGCGCCTGGGTGTCGCGTGCGGCTTTCTCTTTCTTTTCCTGCTCTTGTTCGAGCTCAGCAACTTCCTTACGAAGTGGTTCAACGCGATGAAGTATTTCGGAGTACATCACTTGTGCTTCGACCCATTGTACGAGGGGACCGCAGGCCTTTGATGCGCGATTGACCTTTTCGAAAGTGAAATCCTCCTTGTTCAGGTACTCGTTGTTCATCTTGCGGCGCAGCGGAGCAGTCATCTGCCTGTCATTATCAAAGGCAACAATGCTCCCAATGAAATCATCCTTCCTGACAATACCCTGGATGACCTTCCAGTTTTCTGGTTTGTGACCCAAGAGCGTACACACAGCCTCTAGTGCAAGCTTGACACCAGCTGGTGGATTGCCCATAGATCGAACTTCGGTTAGATGCTGGCGCTTGATGTTCTGTACACTCTTTTGCGCCTCAAGGACAGCTGGTTCTGCCATGTCCAAATCTCGATTGACCACCTCACTTCGCTCCTTGATCGCGGCACGTTCCTTCGCGAGCTGAGCTTCTAGCTCTTTTGCGCCAGCTTTCTTCTCCTCGGCCTGGCGCTGGTCCGCAACCATTTGCTGCAGCTTCTGATTTGCCTCTGCAGATTTCTGCTCGAGTTGGGTTTTCTTCTGAGCGAGACTCGCTCGCAAATCTCTAACCTTGTCGAATGTGTCCCTCAGCTTTTCCAGACCAACGTTGAGATGACGTTGTTGTTCCTCGAGATCCTCGCGCTTTTCATTATAAAGCTTGACATATTGTGCGACGAAATCCAAGAAGTGGCGAGGTGTCAGATACATTTTACGGCTCTGCGTTCTCTGTAGCTTGTCGTTCTTGCTTCGCAGAGAGTGATGAACCGCAACCATAGCATTGACCACACTCTCGCGATGGGATGGTGGAAGGGTGAGCCCTTGATAAGCAACAGGTATGCTGTCTGGCGCGACGTAGTTAGATCGATCCAAATCCACGGAATGAGTCAGTTCAGATCCGACCTGGAATAGAGCTTGGTCTGACCAATCTCCGAACCAGTTGAGTACGCAACGGTTGAAGAGAGCGGGACTGGTAGCCGCCTTTGAGGAAAGACCTTCTTCAGGGGGGTTCATCGTGAACACAACGTGTAGATTTTTGACGATCTGCTCGGTGAACCACTTGTAGAGCTCCTCTTGGGAGTCTAGAATAATTCCCTGTCGCTGGGCGCCCTCCTTAATGGATGTCATCAGTGTAGCATACTCGTCACCCTCAAAGAGACCAGGAACTTCGGCGTTGGCAAGCAGTGTGTTCATGCGTTCCAAAAAGCCCGAGTCGAGTACGTTGGCTTCATCAAGGATGAAGCAAATTTTCTCACCCTTGCAACCGCATCGACGAAGCACGTTGCGAAGGTCATCGTCGAAGTCATCGCCCGTGTACTTTCCGTGTACCTTGATTTGGTACACACTCAAGCCATTCATCCAGGCTACGAAGCGTGACAGCGTAGTCTTCCCCGAACCACTTACACCGATGAGGATCAGATGACCCTGAGGTTGTCGGAATACACGATCGATACGGAGAACGTGTTCGAGGACGTCGTTGAAAAGGATCAAGGGCACGTCGACTTCTTCTTCGCAAAAGGTTCGGAGGCGGGCTTTGACAAAGTCTCGAAGCTGCTCACGTTCGACAGGCACGTAGTTCTTCGACAGCCAATTCGAGAATAGGATAGGTCCACCGAGGGCTTTTTCCTCATTCAGAGTGGGGAAGTGCTCCAACGCGATGCGATGCACACTCTCCTCAGTCCATGCTCGCTCGTCCTCGGCAATTAGACGATCCTGGAACAGTCTTAAGGCCTCATGTGCCCAGATTCTGACAAGACCTTCGATTGGTAATGTCTCAAGTGGGCGAAGTGCTTCGTAGATACCACGGACCCAGCGTGTAAGCTCACGGGGCGAGTAGACATAGTGTGGCTGTATATCAGGGGTGAATCTCTTCTGTGATTCGGAGTACAGCTGCACCATGGCCCTTGTCAAAGCATCTGAATAACCGCGCAATGTCGGAATGATCTTCAGCACTGCACTCGTAAAGGTTCCGTAAATCTGCAGCAGAGATTGTTCGCCGGGATAATCTACCATGACGAGTGGAGCATGGCGTAGGAAACGCAGGCCCATGGGCGTACGGCCAGCGTCTGTGGGCGGATTACAAGCACCAACAAACTGAATTCGGTCCAGGGTAACCCAAGTCTTGTCCGATGTCCTCCAGAATCCGTTGTGTTCCACGAGTTGGCGCAGGAATGAGATTGCACGCTGAGTGCCGTACTTGTCGGGTGCCGGCAGGTTGATCTCGTCGCAGAATATGATCAGCCAACGACCGATCTGAGTTGGGCTTAGCTGAACACCATTTACAGTCTTCTTGTACTCGCAGTATTGCTCAAATGTCTTGATGAGCAAGTCGGGGGTTGTAGCACTGGAGAAATTCAGACCAACGACTTGCATGTGCGGGAGTTTGCGAAGAGCGCTGAAAAGCGTCATGGTTTTGCCAGAACCTGGCGGTCCGCAAAGAAGTAGCGGCTTATGTTCGGCAAGCCAAGAGTAAAGAACATCCTCGTGGCGGACAGTATCGAGAGTGGGAATGACGACATCGGTTTGGACGATGGAGTGGGTATTGACCTCGACATTGGGTACCTGATTCTGCCACATGTCCCAGTCCGGCTTTTCGGGCTTGGCATCATAGTCGATCAAGGATGTAGACTCGTTGAGAGGTGGCAGCTCAACGTCAGTCATACTCGCCACAAGGTCACCAAACTGCTTGCGATCTGACAGCGGGCAGTCGCCGACAAGCGCCCAAACAATAGCAACGAGCAGCTTCTTTGACAAGTAAGCCTCCATCTTGTCGTCTTCGAGGGGGAAGTCTTGGTGCTGAACATTGTACTCGATGACATTGCGACATGCCTTGTTAAGAAGCGAGAACAGGGTATTGAGAGCGCGGATATCCGTGTATTCCATGATATGCTTGAACTTGCGAGCCATGCTGAGCGCTTTTTCGATAAAACGATCCTGTGTAAGTTTGATCTTCAGGAAGTCCGCTATGAGACCCTGTGTCGCAAGTGTCTGTTGAGCCATCTGTCCAGGCGCAACAGAGTCATCTTCGATATCTTCAAAAGGAGTGGTCTTGAGGTTTTGGATGTAGTTGTCGATCATCATGTCGACGTTGACGGTGTCGTCGCTGAACCACACCATACCACAACGAGACACTGTAGCGAGTGTAGCGTATTTCAGCGTTTCGACTTCGAACATAATCCGAACATTGGACGGTAGGTTGAGACGCTCACCGTTGGGTAGGGTGAGAAGTTTGTTGTCATCGAGCACCGAGTTCAAATTTTCGACCCACTCGGGATCGACGTCGCCGTCGAATACAATCCAGTGGCGCTTGCTGTCCTCTCCGCGAAGATTGTCGACGATTTTACGAAGAATTCCGGTGAAGAGCCCGTCGGTCCACTCGCGTGTAGTGTTGTCCAAGGTACCGTAAAGCTGCTCTTTGGACATGACTTTGGGGTCGATAACGTGGCAAACACCCTCCACACCATCGGCTTCTTGCAGCGCGCTTAAAAGCGTCCTCCATGCTGCTGACTTGCCTGAGCCAGACGAACCCACCATCATGACACCGTGGTGCAGGTTCTGGATCTGGTAGAGCTGGATAATCTTCGTCATCCAAGCCTCACTGACGACCAACTTTGAGGTGGCTGCTTGTTTACGGATAGCCTCGCTGAGCTTATCGAGAGGTGCTGGGATGTATTGGACGCCAGGGAATGCCTCATCTTCGATGCTTCGCATGATCTCGACATCAGAACGAATAAGCTTAGGCGCAATCGTCTCTCTAAGACTCTGGAGAATGATTTGAGGTTCCAAGACGGCTTCATCTGCCTCCTCGGAGTCTGTGATGGCAATGCGAGCTCGCTTTAATCCACCAGAACTGACCAGAACGCTCTTCAGAGCACGTAGACCAAAGTCGTAGTGAGCTTGCGTAGAAAGGCTGGAGGCGCAGCTATCAAAGAATGGGACAACCTGCTTAGAGAGATCTTTTGCCTGTGAGAAACCCTGGGAGTATAGCATGACTTCAGCAATCAGTTCCTTGTCAGGTTTGGACATGGCAATGCTTCTGAACAGCTTTTTCAGGTTATCAGGCAGGTTGGATCGACCTGCATATCCAGGGTTCATGGTGATGAATACACCTGTGTTGCCATTGACCTTCAGCTGACGACCGATGAGCTCAATTTGAGCCTTGTCATCTTCGGCACCCTTCTTGAGACCAAGCTGAATGTTCTGGATTTGTTGTGAGACAGCCGAAAGGATACGTTCCTCAAGGCGATTGAACTCGTCGAAGCAGCCCCAGGCGCCGACCTGGCATAGACCGAGGAAAATGCGACCCATGGCTTGGAAATCGAATGTATCATCGCAGCAAAAGACAAGTGTGAAGCGACCGAGCTGGACACCGAGAGCTTTAACTGATTCGGTTTTTCCGGTTCCGGCAGGGCCATAAGGTGACCCACCAAGGCGTTGGCACATGGCCTGAGTGAGGGTGAGGAAACAGCGATCGGTCAATGGTGTTCTGACAAGACGGTCGGCAACACCCAGGTACTCAAACCCGTAGTCCAGGACGGCATTGGCCATCTTGATCCTCAGTTGCTTGAGCAGATCATTACCGGGCTCGTGTATATATCGCATTGAGAGAAGCCACATGTGATGTGTTGGTGAGCGGGCACCGACTTTTCGCAGCTTGTGAATGACGTCCCGTTGGTGGACAAACTCGGTGATGAGATCCTCGCATTTCCTTCGGCGGATAGGTTCGAGATCGCCGAGGACCGCTGAGGCCAAAAGTTTGAGAACGTTGACCTGCTTCTCGAACAGTTCGGGCAGAGATGTGCCCTCAGCAGTCAACGATGCTTCAACTGCCTCGGTCCAGGCGATCTGAGTTCCAAGCACAACAACTTGAGTCGGATATTTCCCAATGTAGTCGCTGAATGCAGACGGATCCATGGTATCGGCGGCCATGAGCTGAGCGAACTCTTCCGAGGCTTCAAATGTCAATTCTGCGAGAGTCGTTTTCATGTTCTTCTCGAGTGCACCCAGCCACTCGTTAATCCGCGGTGTCTGGACTAAGGAGATCCTTTGACGCAGTTCAACCACCTCACCCTCTTTAGAGGAAAAGCCTATAATGACACCATCCTCGTCCGTAGTCAGGCCTGAAATACCCGCAAACATTTTTCTCAAATGCTTCGCGATGCGGAGCACATCGTTACTATTTCCGATGATCTCGAGAAGGTCCTCATCACCAACGAAGTAGAAACGCGGGAAGGCTACACGTTCCCGCTCGAGGTACTCTCCCAAGGCTTTCTGAATCTTAGTGAGCATATCCGCGAGTCTATCAAGCGACTGTTGCACGCCAGTAATATTGAGAGCCTCCATGACGAAGGGCTGACGTGCAACTTTTTTCATGACCGTCAGGAACTCTGCGTTGATGTTGTTAAAACGCGCTGACTCCATTGGCAGCAGATGCTTGATATCTGCATTGCCAGTGAAAACTCCTTCGAGATAGACCCATTGACGCTGAACATCAATCCACACGTCAAATAACACGTGAACGCGATTCAGTCTATCCTCCCAAGCAGAGGCTTCTTCTTCAAACTCCTTGTAGTAAGGAGAGTGACGTATCACCTGTAGGTTGTTCAAGTGTTCGCTACACTGAGCAAAGAGTTCGTCCCAGCCCTTAATAAGACGACACTTGTTTTGGTAATTGATAAGGTCCAGAGCATAACTGTTCCACGTCTCGCGGACCTGCTTGATGAACTCTTCCAATGTGTTCTCGCCTACTGCTTGGTCAAGGACATCGCGAATGACCTTTTCGCTGGGTCCAAGCTTGAGGTCCCATACGTCGCCCAGCGTCATGGAGGTCGGCGAGTATCTCTTCTGGGGCCTCAATTGCTTGAAAATCTTGACCCAATGACGCTCACGTATATGATCAGCCCGTAACTCTCCAAGCAAGGTGTTGTCCTTCAAGAGTTGCTTCAGCGTGCTCTGCACGTGATCAAAAGCTTGATACTGCCGGAGCTTGGCTGGCATAGCCCTCAGATCAGATGAGCGGTCTTCGAGGATTTTCCTCAATTTTCGAGGTTGTATGCTGGTCCACAACTCCTCACGCAGGTCGCTAAGGGAACCCCAGATGGTACTGATATTGGCCCAGACTTGCTTAAAGTCCGCCACTTCATCGTACAGGTCGTTGAGAACTGTGATAGGCGATGGTGCCAATTGCAAAGCTTCTTTTGCCTTGGCAAGATTGCTGGATTCGGTGGTCAACTGGTCGATTCTCTTGTCGAATTTAGCAAGGATGGCGGAGGCAGCTTCGGGTTTAAGATCGCCAGCGACAGGTTTTTCTGCAGCCCATTCGCTGATCACGTCCGAGATCTTCTGGGTGACAATCTTGTCTTCTGCAGCGATCTTGGCCCGAAGTGCATCAGCTTGATCGTCGGCAATCTTCTTCTTCCTGTTGAGCACCTCATTCAATGTCTGCCACTCATGGTCAATTTGTTCCATCGGCAGCCAGTTCTGGGGAAACTGGTAGCGTTGACGATTCAGAGTAGCTGTTCCTGATCGGAAAGTCGCAATCTCGGGTTCCCATTCCGAGACCTGACGCTTGCATTGCTGCACGGTGGTAATGAACGATACAGCCTGCGCGGTCGATGAGGCTTCAAGAGTCTGTACTTCAAGATCCTTGCGTGCTTTCGCAACATCAACGAAGACCTCATTCATACGTTGACCGAGCCTGTTAGCGAACTTGGCGAGAATCTCTTGTTGCCACTGATCGTACTTTGCGTTGACCTTGACCTGCACCTGCTCGTAGTCAACCGTGACGTAGCCGAAGCGTCGACTGATATCTGAGGTGTCGAATGTGGAGCGGGTCTTGCGGATCTCTTGCAGAAGCTGCAACCATCGCGAAAGGTCTTCACCAAGGACGTCGTATACGTGTTCGGATTGCAGATCCCACAAAGATTGGAATTGAAGCCACTCGTCAACGTATGTAGAGACGTCGCCCAGCTTGCCCTCGACTGCACTGTACACTTCAATCAACGAGTCAGTGCACTTGCCGGGAAGATCAGAGAACTGATTAGCAGCAACATCCTTCGTCGATTCGATGCGAATCTCGTAGCGCGAAGCCTTAGTTTTCTGAAGAGTACAGACGACTGCAAGCCAACGCTGTAGTTGCTCGAGCCAGCTTGCGCGAGCATACTCGACCGGTGGACTGAGATAGATGACTTGGTTACGCATGGTAATCTCCAGTGTAAGTTCTGATAATGTCGGTCTGACCTCGTTGATTTCCCCAACTGTTGGTTCGCTGGTAGGCCGGCGAACATATTCGTCTTCGCCCCCATTGTTGAAGACGTCGATCCACTGCGACATAGCGTACTTCAAGCGAACGAGAAGGATGCTTTCGATCCGGGTATTCATCTCCGAGACCCACGTCGTGAGGTTGGCGTAGTTTTCCAGGTTCAGCTGATCAACAGACTTCTGGACGATCTCCAAGTTATGTTGGAAAGCCTCCTTGTTGTATGGACATGTTTCGAGTTCCTTCAGCGCCTTTTCGACTACGGCGTTGATACTGACGAGAGTAGCGACCTTGGTTTGGAGTAGTGAGGTCGCAGCCTGGAAGTCCCGGACAAATTGCACATGTTTACTCTCACTCCGAACACTTCCAGCTCCCGCGGGAAACCCAGGTTGGCGAACGTGCAGGTCGTATGCGTGGACAAACGACTCCCACTTCAGAGGCACTCCCTTTTGAATGAGGGATTGAACGTCGTTGGCGTAGTTGTTGAGGAGAAGAGCGACTCCAGTCAGCTCCGAGATGGAGCGAACCGTCTGGGTATACGTTCGGACACTCTCCATCAGGCTCACAGCGTAAGGGTAGACTCGCTTGGCTTCTTTTGAGATATTGTTGATACCATGCGGAACCTGGTAGCCACGCCACGTCAAGTTGCGCACTTCCTTGAACAACGCAATGACCTGGCCATCAAAGTTCACATTCAACTCCAGAACATTGCCGGCAGCACGGTTCCTACTGACAACGAAGAGGCGCCCAGATATCGAAAGCTTGTTCCGTGCGACTGCCTGCAGCCATGTCTCGAAGATGGGCCGTGTGTCCAACTTCTTCTTAAACATGTTGCTTTCCGCCTGAAGCTTTTGTCCTTCCGCGTGGAGAACCCAATCTTTACCGAGAATGTCCTCGACCTTTCCCATGTATTTCTCGAGCTGAATCTCGATTTGTCGCGCCCAGATAACAGCGCCAGAGACTGGAGGGAAGTCTCGGAGTTGTGCCATTGCATGTGCCTCAGAGTTCGCGTACTGGCGCTTGAAACGTTCGTGCAGAGCCTGTATGTCCTGCTTGACACTTTCGATGAGTTGTGTCTGATACTCTGAGATGGCACCCCGAATCTTGGGTCGCACAAAAAGAGGATTGAACTTGGAGAAAACACGGAACATCTCGCTCGCTGTCTTTGCAGTACCCAAACGGTCTCGAAGTCGAGCAATAATTGAGTTTTCGACTCGCGAGGTACGCTCGTTATACTTTTCTTCGGCCTGTTCGAATAGTCGTGTGCCCTCTGGCGAAACATCCAGGACGTCAACATCTTTAAGGACATCGTAAGCCTCCTTGACCTCTTTTACAGCATCCACATCACCGATATCTTCGACAATGACCTCCTTAGGCTGCGAGCCATCGGAAGACATAGATCGAGTCCCAAGAACGTTGACAATGGTGCGCTGCAGCTGCTCGTGATTCTTTCTGAAGGTGGTAACATAGCGAATACGCTCTTCGGTCTCGCGATGACGCGGGTTGATCTTGATGGGGATGAATTTCTCGTTCCTCCGTCTCGTGACCTCGCGTGCAACATTCGTGAACTCCTTTACGTCTTCCTCCCAGGTGCGCCAGATCCTCTCTGCAACATCCATAATGGCTTGGAACTCGGGATAGTCCATGTGCATCAATGTACGGCCGGAGAGCTTTTTGTGTAGCTCGACGTCAAGGTCTGCTGAAATGGCTTCGACAAGAGGCAAAGCTCGGCGGATCGGGTATGGGCAAATGCGCAGTTTCTTGTTGAGATGGTTGAAGATCTGGTTGATGGCTTCGTCTACAGAGACCAAAGACGTGGAGGTATGCAGTTGGTCCAGTGGGAACTCTCTCATTAGCGAGTTGTATTTTTGTACCAGATCGGTTTTCTCCTTCAGGCCAGTGTCCGCACTGAAACTGACTGTGGCCTGAAAACGCTTCGCATTCTTGAGCACATCCAAGGTCAGTCTCACACCAGCACTACTAAGCTGAGTCTCGATGTCATGGAGTCTAGTTTCCATGGAGATCCAGAAATTGATCTCTTGTTGTGCTGATCCCGTGGAAACGTCGCGAGATGTCTTGGTGATGTTCTGTATCGACTTGATCCACGCGTTGACTGTTCCCTGTAGCTGGTTGAGAAAGGTGCTGTCCTGCACAACAGTGGTCGGAATCAGGTCTGGAGAGGGTTTCAAGCCGCGAGCTTCCGCTTCCTGAAGTGCCAGTATGATTTGTGGGTGGAATGGCAGAAGCAGGTCAGGAATATCAGCGTTGTCTGACAAGTGCTGTATGGCCAATGCCAGCTCGGCCATCTTCTTCTTCGCTGCAGAAATGCCCGTTCTTGAATCGCTGTCCCCCTTGCTGCTGTAGAGCTCTTTCGGGTTGCGCTGGCTCTTTGTTTTGTTGTAGCTATCAAAATACGGTTCTACGGCGACCTGGATGAGAGAATGGATAAATTCGAAGGGCGCACCATCTTGCGAAGAGGCGTTATTAGAAAGTATAAAGCCGGGAAGTGTCGAAATAGTAACCTGCTCGTTGAGGGGTATCGAGGAATCTATGGGTATCGGTCGCTTCTGAAGGACAACAAATGCTGCACAATGAGGAGATGAGATTATTTCAGTAGAAACAGTGTACGTGTAATGCTGGGAGACGCCTGTCAAACTGTCAGCTCGAGCTCGGATTTTACGGGTTGGACACGCTCACCGTTACTTCCTTCCAGCCCGTCTATGGTAGCCTCTGCGGTTCGCTCCTTGATGACATAAAGCGCCAACTGGTTCTCCTTGGAGAACTGCGCGCATCTCTGCAGGGTGTCGGTGCGCCTGTCATCTGAAAGACAGCTACCGGGCGCGCGGAGATCTCGCTCTGCTGCGCCAAGATTGACCTCGAGAACCTTTTCCAGGTAGTCGACGATAATCTGAGGGTCGATAGTAGGTGGTGTGGGGCTAGGCGCTCGCGATGCGCCATTACTGGCCCCTGGGGAGAGCGGTCCCTCCATTGTGAGCTGCAGTGCGTTTACTGGCGAGGAGACATGTGAATCCTCGTTCACTGCGAGGTGAGTAGTATTTCGAGGTATGCACTCTGTTGGAGGCGGTGGATCGGTGGTGGAGAGGAGGTGCGGTCACGGCGGTGAGAGGGGACGTGGGCAGGCGACGATGATAGTGTTGATCTCCACCATTAACAAAGTCGCAAGTCGCCAGGACGCGACGCGGCCGTGCACGTCTCCCGCACTTAGACCGCCGCAAGGTGCGGAGAGGTCGTGCGTTGATTGGCGCTTAGCTTCAGACACCTGCAGCATGTACAAAGACGTGGATTATGCTTGAAACGCGCAGAGCGTGTCGCGAGGGTGGCGCAGACCCTTCTGATTGTTTGTTTATTTGCAGGCGAAGTTTGCCCCGCGCATAACTATCTTGTCAAAGGGGCTGTACGAAGTATTGTAAAGACAGTTGCAAGGATCCACTTCATGGCTTGATTGATGGATCATGGAGCTATGTATGTGTGTATACTGACTGGGTCCTTGTAGTCTCCGTGGACAGCTCGACAGCTCGACAGACTCGTGCAACGCTTCCTGTGCTCATTCTTCAGGCTCCCAGACCTCGATCTTGATCCTCCAGTGCGGCTCCAGTGCGATGCCCTTGAGCACTGCCTCCGTCTGCTCCCACGGCACGCCGAAGCTGCCGCTGTTGATCTTACACATGCGGACCTGACTAATCTCCTTGTCTACCTGACTGATCAGCTCCAGCAGCATCTGCATGGACCTGCCAGTGTTTCGTAGGATCATGTCTGGCTTGTCCTTGGCCTTGCCGTATTTGGCACTCGTAAAAAGACAGCCGATCCAGTGCTGCTCAGCGCCATCTTGAGGTGTGAGGAGCTGCGCGGTGCCTGTTGGCACTGGGTGCGACTTAGTGTGTTCCTTTGCACAGAACCTGTGGTGCTCTGCATACGCTTTCGGGTATTGTTGTTTGAACGCTTTGGCAATGCCCGCGCCCCAATGGCCTTGCGTGTTGCACGCGTGGATCAGCACACATCCTTTTGGTACGTCGCCAAACATGTCGCCCTTGCGGTATGTAAGCTGCAGTGATAGTGAGGTATCGTCTTGCTTCTCAGCCATCTCTAGCCCGCCAGACGGGACGTGTGTGCAGTCCATATGCCGATGTTCGTTCTTAGGGGTGAGATTGGGCTTCTCGAATGGAGATGGCGAGCTTGATGTCGTTCTTTTGAGCGCGCCATTGTCTGCCTTTCCAGGCTCGGCGTTGATGTTGGCGCTGCGGTGCGCTGACATGGTTGATGCTGGCCGTGAGATGATGCGAACAACGGCGGCAGGAAAGCAGCTGCACGTGGAGTCAAGGCGAGAGCAATACGATGCTGGTCTATGGAGGACGCGGAAAATGGTTCTGCTGGATAGCATTGGGGTGAGAGAGCAGGTGATTGCCCGTTTTGCCTGCCCTTAGCTGTGCGAGCAGCAGGCACCAAGGGCTGCGGGCAGGCACCTTCGAGCCAGCTCAACGTCTAAGCCATTGGGTGCAATTCTACGGTCTATCAATTGCACGGAAAGCTCTGCGATGTTGCGCAGGCTCTCAAGTAAGTATAACAGATGCTACCGTCGACGATGGCATGCGGGAGATCGAGGGCTGCGGGCGCCCTCTAGCCCAGGCCAAACATCCAAGCCATCAGGTGCCAATCTGCACTCTCCAGACACAGATCACCTGCTCCCAGAGAGCTACGCAACGTTGCGCAGACTATCACCAAGCATGTCAAGCACGCCAGGCGCTGCCGTGGACGTTGGCCCGGGTTGCGGCGAGGTGCACGACGCCGCCAATCAGCGCCGACCATTTCTGATGATGCTAAATCGTGCTTTTGGTGCTTGAATCTTCAACCTCGCCCCGACGACATCCATCACACCCACCCTCCCCCCCGCGCCCACGATGCCCACCCTCGCCAACAGCGCCCGTGCCGTCGCACGATCATGGACCGCCCACCAGCTGCCCGTCGCCCGGGCCGGCTGCACCGCCATGCAGACCCGTAACGCCTCGGCGTCGTCGTTCGACAGCCCCTTCAAGGGCAGCAACGACAGCACCAAGATCCCCTCGTTCGCCGCCTACAGGAACAAGAACGGCGAGCAGAGCACCAAGGTCTTCCAGTACTTCATGGTCGGCACCATGGGTGCGCTGTCTGCTCTCGGCGCGAAGGCGACCGTCCAGGGTAAGCTTGCCCGCCCGCCGCGCCCGCCCGCAGCGCGCCAGAGCTCCGCAAAGCGACGGAATCAGGTCTCGGAGCACTGAGGAGCATCTGGGAGAGCAATTGGCTGTTCTGCGGATGATCTGGAGCTGCAGTCCGATGGAGAGCACCCCAGCTAACGCGATGCGCGACAGACTTCCTCGTGAACATGTCCGCGTCCGCCGACGTTTTGGCCCAGGCCAAGGTCGAGATCGATCTCGCCGCCATTCCCGAGGGCAAGAACGTGCGTTTACCGCCAGAACCCGGATAGCACAGAGCGGCAGCTAAGACAGCGCAGGTCATCATCAAGTGGCGAGGCAAGCCCGTCTTCATCCGCCACCGCACCGAGAGCGAGATCAAGGAGGCCGAGGACACCAAGTGGGAGTCTCTGCGTGACCCCCAGTCCGACGGCGACCGTGTCCAGAAGCCCGAGTGGCTGATCATGTTGGGTACGGCGCTCCACAGCACGCTATGGCGCGGCTCGTGTACTGACAGCAACAACAGGCGTCTGCACCCATCTCGGTTGTGTGCCCATCGGCGAGGCGGGTGACTTCGGCGGCTGGTTCTGCCCCTGCCACGGATCCCACTACGACATCTCAGGCCGCATAAGAAAGGGACCCGCCCCGCTCAACCTCGAGATCCCCGCGTACGACTTCCCTGAGGAGGGCAAGGTCGTCATTGGTTAGATTCGCGCATTGTGTAAAGTAGCGAGATGAGTCGGAGGGGGCTGGCTGTGTCAATAGGAGCAAGCATCACCATTTCCTTTGGTTTCTTACTTAGATTCGGCTTGTGTGCGTAGGAATGTAACACCAGTTAGAGTCACGTCGCGTCACGGATCTGATGCAATGATGTGGTCCACGCGTTTGGATTCATGACTACTGACCACCGAGGAATGCCTTGACGGCTTCCACCGCGCCTGCGAACTTGCCCGCCTCAATCAGCGCCAGGTGGCCCTGCGGCTTGACGCCCATCTCCTGGAACGCCCTCTTGCTGTCGCTCGCGCCCTCGTCCACCGGGGTATCGTAGTCAAATGTTGTGTAGCCCGCAGCATGCTGGTGCAACACCTCATCCTCAGGGTGGAAGTAGAACGTCTCGTCCTCGGTCTTGCCGGCCTTCTTCTTCTTGCTGGGCGGCTGCCCCACTGCAGGCAGACTCGACGCCACCTCAGAGTACGCTTTCGAGAGCACCAGATAGTGTGTGAATGCATACGGCTCCTTCTCTTCGACAGCCCACTGGATCTCCTCCATCAGCATCGTGTACATGGGCGGCACGATCTCGTGGGGCATGTTGATGAAGCGCTCGGTCAAGATGAGGCCGATTTGGGCAGGCGCGGCCGGGAGCAGCTCGGGTGCCTTCTTGCTGAGGTAGGCGTGCAGATCGCGAATCACTTTCTTGTCCTGCGCTGCGTCAGCTTCACACCACAACACCACAGCACACAGCACACAGCATTACCTTGTGCGTCTCCAGATTCAGCACAGTCAGAAACGCATACGGATCTGTCTCGGTGCCATCGACCTTGACCGTGCTGCCTAGTAGGGGTTGCGACAGGATCAGGTCGGCGAGCTCAGAGAGATCAAAGAGCTGGTTGTCGACATCGAGCAGCTGGCGCAGTAGGCTTTTCAGGCCGTGGAAGTCGACCTCAGGATTGGGGTCGAACCACTCAAAATCTACGTTCACCATGTCCATGTCCTAGCGATGTATAAGCGCAGCGCATGCAGACCAGCGTGGGAGATGCGCCAAACCTCGTCGCTATCGGACTCGTCATTGTTCTTCTTGTCCTTTCCCTTGCTCTCGGGCGCATCGGGCAGCTCTTCTGGGTCCTGTTTCCGCTTGGCCATCTTGTATGTGTGGTGTTGCGACCGCGCCGCCAAAACGTGAAGACCGCGTCGGCATACATACCTGCAATCGATAAGGGCTGGAAAAAAACTAGGGCTAGAGCACCGAGTCAACACCGCAAGCCCCGCGCTCGTCTTCGTCACTGCTTTCCCTTCACACTTCTCTTTTTTTCTTCGTCATACCTTTTCGTTCTTCATCCACGCTTCAATTCACCGGCCAACATGACAACCGACATTAAGGACGCCGTGCCTCCGCACAAGACCTTCGACACCATTCTGGTGCTCGACTTTGGGTCCCAGTACACGCACCTGATCACTCGACGGCTGCGCGAGTTCAACGTCTACTCGGAGATGCTGCCATGCACCACCAAGCTGGCCGATCTCGACTTTACACCCAAAGGCATCATCCTCTCTGGTGGCCCGTACTCAGTCTACGAGGAGGGTGCGCCCCACGTCGACCCCGCTGTCTTTGAGCTCGGCGTGCCAATTCTTGGAATATGCTACGGCCTGCAGGAGATGGCCTGGCACTTCGGCAAGAATGCTGGCGTCGCAGCTGGCGAAAAGAGGGAGTATGGCCACGCACACCTGAACCTCCAGCAGCACGGCGGCCATGTCGACGAGCTGTTCAAGGGCCTTGAGAACGACATTGAGGTTTGGATGAGCCACGGCGACAAGCTGAGCCACATGCCCGAAAACTTCGTCACGGTCGCTACTACCTCCAACTCGCCCTACGCTGGTATCGCGCATAGCTCTAAGAAGATGTACGGCATCCAGTTCCACCCCGAGGTCACACACACTCCCCAGGGCAAGGTTCTCCTCAAGAACTTTGCCGTCGATATCTGCCAGTCCACGACCGACTGGACCATGGGCAAGTTCGTCGACCAGGAGATCGCGCGCATTAGGAAGCTTGTGGGAGACAAGGGTCAGGTCATTGGCGCCGTCAGCGGAGGCGTCGACTCCACCGTCGCCGCCAAGCTGATGAAGGAGGCCATCGGCGACCGCTTCCACGCTGTCATGGTCGACAACGGCGTGCTCCGCTTGAACGAGGCTAAGCAGGTTAAGGAGACGCTCGAGAAGGGCCTGGGCATCAATCTGACTGTTGTCGACGCCTCTGACCTGTTCCTCGACCGCCTCAAGGGCATCACCGACGACCCAGAGAAGAAGCGCAAGATCATCGGCAACACCTTCATCGAGATCTTCCAGCAGAAGGCCAAGGAAATCGCCCAAGCCGCTCACAACACTCCCAGCGCTGGCGAAATCGAGTGGCTGCTTCAGGGTACCCTCTACCCAGATGTCATCGAGTCCCTCTCTTTCAAGGGCCCCTCGCAGACCATCAAAACCCACCACAACGTCGGTGGCCTTCCAGCAAACATGAACCTCAAGCTCATTGAGCCCCTGCGCGAGCTCTTCAAGGACGAGGTCCGCGCGCTCGGTGTCGAGCTCGGCATCAACGAGGAGCTTGTCTGGCGCCACCCCTTCCCAGGCCCGGGCATCGCCATCCGCATCTTGGGCGAGGTCACACGCGAGCAAGTCCGCATTGCGCGCGAGGCAGACTACATCTTCATCGAGGAGATCAAGAAGGCGGGTCTGTACAGGAACATTAGCCAGGCCTTTGCAGCGCTGTTGCCGGTCAAGGCAGTGGGTGTGATGGGCGACAAGAGGGTGCATGACCAGGTCATTGCGCTCAGGGCGGTGGAGACATCCGACTTCATGACGGCGGATTGGTATCCGTTTGACGGCGAGTTCCTTAAGCGCGTGTCGAGGCGCATTGTGAACGAGGTCAACGGCGTTTGCCGCGTCGTCTACGACAGTAAGTCTGATTGCTCTTGACATATTGGGTCAAGATGGCTAACATGAACGCAGTCACCAGCAAGCCCCCAGGCACCATTGAGATGGAGTAAGCATCTACGAGTGTCTTGGCACAATGCATGATAGACGGTAGCTAGGCTCAGCCCAAGGAAAGGAGTTTCACGGACACGGAAAAGCACATGAATAGATGATCGAGATTTGATGATACCCTGCGAACAACGCGATAGACGAGATCAATAGAGATGGTTCTGCTACCGAAGTGCTGCCAAAAGTACGGACACGATGTGACGAATGAGGTGCCAACATAGTCGGGCGTGGTCGGCGTATGGAATGAAAATTGCGGTACTCTGGTAACACATGGTTCTTCCTGTGGAGTTTCAGGGCCTTCGGGTGTGCAGTTGTGGTGTTGTTATTTTACTCGTTGTTTGAAGCTGGTCATGAGAGGTCGGAAATGCTCAGCCAGAACTGCAACCACATCGGCCATGCCTGGGACGCGACAGTAGGATCTGACCTAATTTCGGCATCCACGAGACCGAAGACCCCAGGAGCCCTCGTAGCTCCTCCCAACGACAGATACATAGTGTTTGATTCTCGCCAGCCCTGGCACATGTCAGCGACGGCCCTCGCACGGGCCTGGGACCTCCGCGTCCTCCGCAAAGAGAGCTCCGCTGCTTCTCCACCTGGCATACCTAGACCAAACGTCAGCTCGACGCGCCACGTTGCTGCCGGACCACGCCATCTGCCCACGCCGACTGCCCACGCAATGCGATGAACCGCCCCTCGGCCTCGCGCTCCCGCTCGCGCGCCCGCCCCAACGCCGCGCGGACCGCATCCTTTGCGCCCTCGCTGCGGCGGCGCACGACGTCGCAATCGGCGCAGAGCCATGACTACGACGACGCCGAAGCAGCGTCGACGGCGCAGGCCGACGCGGCGATTGCCAGCGAGATTGCCGAGATCAAGCGCTACGAGGACTTCACGACGATAGACTGGGTGCAGGACGCGGCGCGCGAGTCGCTGCGGCGGAAGGCCCGACGCCGGGCGCGGCTGGCGCAGCCCGCGACACACACCGGGCGCGTGTTCCTTGGGCGTGGGCGCGGCCGCTGGCGCCGCAAGATCGCCGAGGCGTATGATGCGGGCCAGGCGTGGATTGTGGTGACGCTGGTCGGGGCCGCCATCGGGCTCAATGCGGCCTTCCTCAACATCGTGACCGAGTGGCTGTCGGACATCAAGCTGGGGCGCTGCTCGACGGCCTTCTATCTCAACGAGAGCTTCTGCTGCTGGGGCGCCGAGGGCGGCTGTCCGGAGTGGAAGCGCTGGAGCACCGTGTGGCCCGTCAACTACGTGCTGTACATGCTGTTTGCGGCCCTGTTCGCTCTCACGGCCGCCACGCTGGTCAAGAGCTTTGCGCCGTATGCCGCTGGCTCGGGCATCAGCGAGATGAAGTGCATCATCGCGGGATTTGTGATGAAGGGCTTTCTAGGCGCCACAACGCTGTTCATCAAGAGCATCGGGCTGCCACTGGCGATTGCGAGTGGGCTCAGTGTCGGCAAGGAGGGGCCCAGTGTGCACTATGCTGTCTGCACCGGCAACGTCATCAGCCGCTTCTTCGACAAGTACCGACGAAACGCAGCAAAGACACGGGAGATTCTGAGTGCGAGTGCGGCCGCGGGTGTCGGCGTCGCCTTTGGCAGTCCAATCGGCGGCGTGCTGTTCAGTCTCGAGGAGATGTGCAACCACTTCCCGCTCAAGACCATGTGGAGGAGCTACTTCTGTGCGCTGGTGGCTACCGCCGTGCTGGCTGCAATGAACCCCTTCCGCACCGGCCAGCTCGTCATGTTCCAAGTCCGATACGACCGCTCGTGGCACTTCTTCGAGATCCTGTTCTACCTTGTCATCGGCGTATTTGGCGGCCTCTACGGCGCCTTCGTCATAAAGTGGAACCTGAAGATGCAGGTTTTCCGCAAGAAGTACCTGTCCGCCTACCCCGTCACCGAGGCAGTGGTCCTCGCTGTTGTGACGGCCATCATATGCTATCCGAACATGTTTCTGCGCATTGACATGACAGAAAGCATGGAAATTCTATTCCAGGAGTGCGAAGGTGGACACGGTTATGACAAGCTGTGCGAGTAGGTCTTCTCGCTTTATCTCTTCTTTAGCAGTGTCACATCGCTAACTCCACCAGCCGCGACCAGCGCTGGCACATGATCCTGTCCCTCTTCCTGGCCTTCACGCTGCGCACCCTCCTCGTCATCATCTCGTTCGGCTGCAAAGTCCCAGCCGGTATCTTTGTACCCAGCATGGCCGTCGGCGCAGCTTTTGGCCGTATGATTGGCATCCTTGTTGAAGCACTGCACGAGTCTTTTCCCACCTCGGCCTTCTTCAGCGCTTGCCTGCCCGACGAGCCCTGCATCACACCCGGCACCTACGCATTCCTCGGTGCCGCAGCGGCCCTCTCCGGCATCATGCACATCACCGTCTCGGTTGTGGTCATCATGTTCGAAATTACCGGCGCACTAACCTACATCCTTCCGACCATGATCGTCGTCGGCGTCACCAAAGCCGTCAGCGAGCGCTTCGGCCACGGCGGCATCGCAGACCGCATGATTTACCTCAACGGCTACCCCTTTCTGGACAACAAAGAAGACCACACCTTCGGCGTCCCCGTCAGCGCCGTCATGTCCACGACCACCGCCTGCCTGCCCGCTCACGGCCTCACCCTGCGCAACCTCGAGGCCACCATGCACAATAACGCATACCAGGGCTACCCCGTAGTCACGGACCTCGCTTCCAAAACCCTCCTCGGCTACATCGGCCGCACCGAGCTGCGCTACGCCCTCGACAAGGCGCGCACCGATTCCCGCGCCTCGTCCTCGTCGCGCATCGCGCTCGCCGCCCCCGTTGACGATACCCACATTGATTTGACGCGCTTCGTCGACCCCACGCCGCTCACAGTGCACCCTCGCCTCCCCCTCGAGACCGTCATGGAGCTGTTCAAGAAAATGGGCCCCAGGGCGATCTTGATCGAGTACAGAGGCCGTCTCACCGGTCTGGTCACCGTCAAGGACTGCCTCAAGTACCAGTTCAAAGTCGAGGCAGCGGGGCACGGTGGGCACGGCGGCGCTGGCATCGGCGAGGACGACCGCATGGAGGCGCTGTACAATATATTGAGTCGCGTGGCGGGCGGCGTTGACGGGGCGTGGCGCAGGGTGCTGGGGAAAATGGGGTTGTCGCGCGGTGGGGCGGTGCGATTAGACAGCCCAGTGGTGGTACGGACGCCGCGGGTTAGAGACGAGGGAGAGGAGCTGGAAGATCGGGGGAGGCCGGGGAGTAGATAGACAGACAGACAGATAGATACGACGCGCAAGCACTTCATTTTCTACACGTCTGGTGTTGAGTGATTTCGTGTGATGGTGCCTCCGTGTTGAGACCGTATAGAGCCGTTAACGCCAATACGCAATGCTACCAAACCATGTGTTTCTCCTAAGCGCTGAAACCTCACCGGCCGTTGATCGCCGTGAAGCCGCCCGAGCTGATCTGTGGCGGCGCAGCGACGCTCTCTTGCTTCTCCTTCTCCTTCCCTTTCCCGTTCGCGCGCGGCGGCCCGCGCATCTCCATCTCAATCTGCATGGCTGCGGGATCTTCCTCGCCCTCGCTATCCGCGACTCTGTCCTCGCCCGCTGCGCCATCGACATCCATAGCCTCTGTCTCCGGCACGAGCTCCACGCGCGCCAGTGGATCCAGCTGCGTGCCACTTGACGGAGTGTCGACAGCCGCTGTCTTCGCCGCAGCCACCTCTGCTGCCGCCGCCTGTGCCACCGCCGTCTCTGCCACGATCCGCGCCAACAGCCTCTTCGCTTCTTTTGTTTGCGGCCCAGACTCCGATGGCGGTGTCGGCTCTACCTCCTTCCCCTCCTCCACAGCCTTGCGCTTGCGAAACGCGCCGTACTGCGTCGTCTTGGGCACGACATCGACCAGGAACTCGAGGTTGTCGGTCTTGCTGACGGCGCCGCTGACGTCGCGGTACTGGATGTTGCGGCGGGGCCTGCGCTCGGCTTTGACGACGTTGTGGGTTGTGACCGCGAGGTGCTGGATCATCATCTCGGTGGCGAGGGCGATGGCGAAGGAGGCGTTCTTGGTGACTGTCAGGCGCTCCGGGTCGGCTTGGATTATTTTTTGGACGCGGGCAACTGGGGCGGTCAGCGGGGTGAGTGCTTGAACGAACATGGCAGGAGCTTACGGGGGAGAGACACATGGCCGGTGACTTCCTTCGAGGGCGCGATTGGGGTGTTGTTGTACGGCATGCTGAGCAAGTGGGGGAGCTGCGGCGGGAGCTTCAAGGTGTGGGGAGAGTGTCGCGGTCGATGGTGGTGGTGGGGGTCTACGATGGTCCAAAAAGCGTTGTTGTGTCCAATGACGCGTTTATTTCGCGGAACAGAGCTGCCGTCGGCGTGTGGCGCGTGGGAGAAGGAATGGTGAGTGTGAAAGATGCAGGCGCGAAACCGAAGGCCGAGCCGCAGGGAAGGTCGTACCGAGATAGCGCCATTACATACTAGGTATCGTGCTACCTAGATGTCAGCATTGCTATCTTGACGCTTGAACACCAGTCATCACACAGGCGATTGTTGATTTTGCATTCCATTGAGACTCGATTGACCTGCTTGTACAGTTCACCTCTAGAGATGAGGTTCCTCTCGGTGTTGCTTGCGGCTGGAGCTGCCTCTGCCGAACTATCCCAGATACCCTTCCAAGCCACCCCAGAAGTCGAGGGCTTCCAGACTTTCCACAGCCAATTCTCGGAGCATCACTCTATTCGCATCAAACAGCAGCAGAACGACACAATCTGCAATGCGCACTCGAAGCAGTACACCGGCTGGCTGGATGTTGGCGCCAAGCACATCTTCTTCTGGTATTTCGAGTCGCAGAACACGCCGTCCGAAGATCCGTTGTTGCTATGGCTCACAGGCGGTCCTGGCGGATCGGGCATGATCGGTATGCTCCAAGAAAATGGTCCTTGCTTGATTAACGAGCATGGCAATGGAACTGTCTACAACGAATACGGTTGGAGCAAGAACGCCAACGTCATCTATGTCGACCAGCCAGCTGGAGTTGGCTTTAGCTATGTCGATGAGGGCATACCAGTACCTGCAACCAGTTTTACCGCTGCGGAGGATATGCATCACTTTCTGCAGCTATTCACGAGCGACATATTCCCGAAACTGAAGCATAATGAGTTTCACATTACCGGCGAAAGCTATGCTGTAAGTGTCGTAAATACCTCTAATGATCAACATTCAGCTAATATGAACAAGGGTCACTATGTGCCTACATTGGGCGCTCAGATCGTGTCTCAGAATCAGCTCTACCCCAAACGACCTCAGGTAAACCTCAAGTCGATCTTCGTTGGCAACGCCTACGTCAGCCCTCTCGACACGGCCTTTGGCTACTGGGAGACGCTTTGCACAACGAACCCCGGCCTCGAGGAACCCGTCTTCAACCAGACACGTTGCGACATCATGGCCACCCATCTTCCTCGCTGCCTAGAAATAGCACGTGTCTGCTACAATCACCCTGATCCAGCAATATGTCTTGCCGGCGAGGAGGTCTGCTGGAACGGCGTGATTGTGCACTATGATGGCGAATCCGGCGCGGGAGGCCGCAACCGCTTCGACATTACGCATCCTTGTGAGACAGGAGATGATCTCTGCTACCCCGAGATCCAAAGGATTGGCGAATACCTCAATCTACCCTGGGTGTATGAAGCCCTGCACGTACCAAAAGCAGTCGGCAACTACAGTGTCTTTTCTGAGGCCGTTGCAATTGCGTTCTCCTTGACAAATGACGGGGGCCTCAGCACCCAGCCGCAGGTCCTGTACCTATTAGAGCACGGCATCGACGTGCTTTTCTACCAGGGCAATTTGGATCTTGCGTGTAACACTGCCGGCAACCTACAGTGGGCCAACTCAATGCCGTGGAAAGGTCAGCCGGCGTTCGTTGCGCAGAGCAAGAAGACATGGAAGGATGGAACACAAGAGATTGGCTGGTTCAAGGAAGTCAAGGTTAAGACTACCAGTGGTAGGGAGACGACCTTTGCACTCAGCACTGTCAATGGAGCGGGACATCTAGTGCCATTCGACAAGCCAAAGGAGGCACTGGCTCTTGTGGACAAATGGCTGACCGAGCGCAGTTTTGCATAAAGTATGTGTCAATATAGATTGTGAATAAACCAAGAACCAACAGCTCGATACCTACCGAAGGAGCTCAGAAATTGAAGAAGTTGTGTAACTCGCCGCTAGTGTGGGTCGCCATATTCACGGCAAAGCCGCACATCGCCACGAAGTCGGAAGATCGTGATACACGGCAGCAAGAATCGGCCAGGTACACATCACAACCCACTTTATCCCGCAACAGCGCATCATCGTCCCGCAGTGCGTTTCTCTTTCAATACTGTGGATGCTGAAGAATTGGTCGTGGGCTTCCCCACTAGATGAGATCATAGGTAAATGCGCGACTATACGTCATCGTTCAACCGTCGCACACGACCCTTATAAAGGGTCTGCACGCGTCAAAACATTACGATTCTCACACATCTACAACTTCAATTGCATCAAATCTTAATCCACTCGTCTCAATACCCTTCAAACCAATCCCACTTTATACCACAATGTCCCAGTCCAACGTCGGTAACGCTCAGGTCTACGAGGCCGGTGACCAGCGCAACTACAAAGACTCCGAGATCGAGGAGGCAAAGAAGGAGAACCGCTTCCACGAGGGCAAGGAGAACTCTCACTTGGCCAACGATGCCAGTAAGTTGTCACTACATCTAGATTGTCACAGTCGATCATACCTCGACTCTACAACCTCAGCTCGTCAAGCAAACTCAACATACTAACGCCACCACAGAGGATGAGCGCACTATCGCCAACAAGCTCGAACGCGAGGCCAAGCGTGAGAAGGAGGACGATGACAAGCTGAGCGAGGAGGACCGTCTGCGCAAGATTGACGCTACATTGCCCGCAAAGCTTCACGGCAACGAGCCCAGCAAAGGAGCCAAGCTCGACCAGGAGCTGAGGGAAGAGGAGCAGGCTGAGCTCGAGCGCAAGGGCAAGGCCTAATTGCATCGTGCCGGTAAAAGGTTGATGCTAAGATACCCTATGTGAAGAATGACCAGCCACTGCGGCGGCATTAATGAAATGAAGTAACGACCAAACAAAATCTGCCTATGGCATTGTGAAATGAATCATTTGTATACATCGACATTGTACGACACCAGATTTTCGTCTGCGATACCGCAGGACGTTGGATAATGACGACCACCCCTCCACAGAATTCGTGATGACCCCTCCACCAATTCCACGTCAAAGCTCCCGCTAGCCTACGGACCTAATAATCCCGACTCCACAGCCATGAATAGCCGCAGCTCCGCCTATCAACACCAGGACTCTTCATAAGCAACCAGCTGCCCCATCTTTGCCGTCTATCACGGCTCGTACCTTACATGAATTCTCTGGGCAAAGGAAACCTTTTCCGTCACACATACACATTTTCCCGAAGCCTCATCGCTCATAAACCCCGCGTCTCGAGCTTCTCGTTGTCCGTTACACAGCAATTGAACCTTCCCACAGCTTTCACGAGAATGAGTTCCTCCCAAGCAAAGCGCCTCGCTGGCAAGACCATCCTTATTACCGGCGCCAGCTCCGGTATCGGGAAAAGCACCGCGTTTGAATTCGCGCGCACACAGCCCGATGACCTCAAGCTCATCCTCACAGCTCGCCGCGAGGAAGCGTTGAAGGAAGTCAAGAAGGAAATTGAGGGATTGGCAAAGGGCGTTAAGGTCCATGTTGTGAAGCTGGACGTCAGCAGTGTCGACGAGATTAACCAATTCGTTGGCAACCTGCCAGCGGAATTCAAGGAGGTCGATGTACTCGTGAACAACGCGTATGTCTCCCCATATCATGCCCAATGTGATCAGCTCTTTCGGGACCCAGAACCTTAGAATCAGAGGAGCTAACTCTCTCGCAGCGGGCTCGTCAAGGGTGTAGACAAGGCCCCCGAGATTCAGCAAGCTGACATCAACGTCATGTTCCAGACCAACGTCACCGGCCTGATCGCCATGACCCAAGCCATTCTGCCCCTGTTCCTCGCCCGCCCAGACGGTGGCCGTGGCGACATCATCAACATCGGCTCCATTGCCGGTCGCGAGCCGTACCAAGGCGGTAGCATCTACTGCGCTTCCAAGGCCGCGGTGCGCAGCTTCACCGACTCCCTGCGCAAGGAGCTTATCGCCAGTCGCGTGCGCGTTATTGAGATTGACCCTGGGCAGGTTGAGACAGAGTTCAGTGTGGTCCGATTTGGCGGCGACAAGGACAAGGCGAAGAAGGTTTATGAGGGCGTTGAGCCCCTGACTGGAGACGATATTGCTGAGGTGGTTGTTTTTGCTGCTGCGAGGAGGGAGAATGTCGTTATTGCTGATACGCTGGTCTTCCCGAACCATCAGGTATGTTCAGGGGGTGTGCTATGGATAGGTGGTCGTATGCTAACATGTCGCAGGCGGCTGCGACGGTCATGCACAGGAAGTCGACATGATATGTGCAGTCCACGACCGGGGGGGAAGATGGCTGCCATGGAAAATCATAGGTGTACATCTCCCAAATACATTATCTGTCTGACATCACCGAGTTTCCTGGGACTTTACATGCGTCTGATTCTTGCTCACCTGTAGGCTCCTAGCATTGACGTCGTCAGGAGTAAGGCGCTTGCAGTGAAGCTCACTGTCCAGAGCACTAACCCAAATCAATGAACTGGTCACGACAACGAACCCGTACATTGCAGTTGAACCTAGGGTAGCATGAGAGCAATTGCTGCGCTTCACCTGCCATGCGTTGCTTCGTTGTTGCGTTGCTACGGTAATCCCAAGGCAACATTCACTCGGGGGAACTCCGGGCACGTACCCACTTTCTTCTCGAACCTGCGCTTCACTCAAACTGCCGTAAACTCTCATCCACAGTAAACTTTCCATATTAAACTCTCATTCACAGTAACAACAGCTTTTTCAGTATGCACTTTCTCGGCTTCGCAAAAGATTGCTCACATCTATATGTCTGATACTCATCTAAAGACCTGCAGCGCCGTCATCATTGAGCGCTCACCAGCTCTGCAGCAGCCTCTCATACAAGCGTCTACCTGGCCTCGCGCCTCTGAAACCTCACCTGCAGAAACCTTCCTCACTTGCGCCAAAGCTGTCGCTCCAATGCCTTCGAGGCGCGTTGAATTGCATTCAACATCACCCCAAAACTCCTTCCTGTGTCAAGATGCACGCTACCCCTTCCAGCACCTGACCCCACCTCGCCCGGTCCGAACTTCTTTCGCAGGCCTAGGTACATCCGTTCACTGGCGCGGCCCTGGCCTCTCACTGTTCAGAATGAACCCCGCGGCGAAATGCGACATTCAAGATTTCCTCCTCGGTGCTTGTGCAGCTCAGGACAAAGAGCACAGTGAAGTATCGCAGCCTACGGGCACGAAGACGATTTACATCGTTGAGGCCGACAGTGCGGGCGAAAGCCAGGAAGCACTGTGTGAACCAACGAACTCAGAGACACTGAAGGGCATCTGCAACTTCCCAGTTGAGGGCCACCATGCTGATCAACCGAGCCAGCTCGTCGAGCATCCTGTCACAATGCTTGACGACATGCCGCAATGGCTGTCACGTAGCCAAGGTGTGAAGGAGGAGGAAACTTCCCTTGCTGGTTACGAGTTCGACATAGACTCAGACTCGGACGAGAGGGAAGACCTCGACACACCTTCTCCCCCACCGCCACACATTCCTACTCTCGAATCGATCTCAGAAGTCGATGAGGACATCGAAAGCAACGACGGCTTCGTGAACGTCATCGACGACGAGCCGCCCATGTACTGCCGCAACCCACACTCCGCAGACCACCCCCACTGCCACGGCCGTATTGTAGACCACCAGTTTGGCTACAATGCGATGGATGCCGAGCTGGACTTCCAGGAGCGCTTCGTGTTGACGCATGGTAGTGTCCATAGCGTCTCGCGATATCGCGACTGGCAATACCTGAAGTGGGAGTGTGGGCAGAGCACAGTGCATGGGCGGTCGTCGTTGCGCGTTGAGGTTCAGGTCGACGATGACCAAAATCTAGAGGATGAGAACGACCAGAACTACGAGCTCGAGGTCGAAGACGACCAGAGCCCGGGAGACCGATTGGTCTGCCTGATTGAGGAAAAGTATGGACCGCTGACACGCCACGGTCTGTTGAGTACGGTGCCGGCACGATCAGAAACTCAATGCTCTGAGGAGTGCATCTTCAAGATTGAAAAGTTTCTTCATGCCGAACCACAAGACGATCTATGGCTCACAAATGGAACATTCATCAACGAGAATGAAGAGCGCGTTTCTGAGCCAAGCATGGTCTTCGTTGGCTTGGGCGATGATGCGGAGCCTACACCTCCAGTCACACCATCTTCCAACTACACCACACCCTCGATGACCGAAGAGGCGCTGTTGAAGGTATGCAAGCTTGACCTGGCTATCACCAACAATGCTGATTACTTGCAGATTCTCAACACACCCCACGACGAATTCATCGAGCATTGTGTGCAACGGCACCAAGCACGTAGGCAACAAGCAGTATCTGTGAGACAGCCACGCAGCGACGCGACGTTCGTTGTAGTCGATAACACCACGCGAGCTTTTGAGGAAGTAGACAAGGTCGCCACCGAAGGACCTTTGTCCCCTTCCGACACCACAGACAACGCCGCAGAATCGACGGAGTCACCAGTGGAGGCAGCTGCATCTCTAGCCTGTCCTTCAGGATTCAGCCCCCAAGCAACGTTGAGTGAGTGTGATAGTCACCCAGCAAGTGTCCTGAGTACCCGGTCTTCGCGCGACTCGATTACCGCTGAAGTCTCATTCTCCTCTGAGCGCACTTCAGTCACGACGAAGTCGTCCAACGAGAGCCTCAAGTCAGACCGGCAGCGACTGATCGACACACTCGATGTTCAGGTCAAATCTCATGGAGTGTTTTGCAAAGTTGACTCAGATGAGAAACGCATAGCAAGCATGCCCATCCTGAGTCTCTCAACATCAGACATCTGCGACAAGGCGACGGATGTCTCAGCGCTAGTTCACGATTCTTCATTGAAGTATACGATTGCTACCTCGAGCGAATCCACTTGCACCGAGATCGCTACACAGAATCACTTGACACGAGTCGTTGAGGTTCAGACTCTGTTGCCATCAGCGACAGAGCAAGCAGCGGCTATGTCTACCTACGCCTCCACCAACGATTGCATCAACGTCTCGACACCATCTGCTGAAAGGGAGCAGCACACCTTCGATGATGTTCGGTATGATTTGCCAAAGCAGCAGCCGTCATCACCAGTGTTGGATGATGCACAGCGCTCCAACACACGACAGCGCTGGAGCAGCAAGATGAAGTGTGCTGTGAAGAAGGGAGTCCATGCGATGTCGAATGCGACAAAGCAAGGTGCTCGTCGAGCTGTCCACTCTTCTAAGAAGCTCGGGAAGACTGTTCGGTGCATTGTGCCAGTTGCCAGGAGCGCCCGCAACCCCTATGAGACCGTGTTGCTCAATTGAGATCTTCACCGTCTGCAATGAAGCAGACTCGGTCATCATGCCATCGATTTCCTTTGTATAAATACCCTGATTTTCTTTTGTGCGCTTCGAATGTCGAAGCTGGACGCACAATGCCTCTTTGTCTTGGTTTTCATTGTCTGGTACCTGGATCGGACCCCGAAGATAGCATTAATATTATACTTGACGTTCTCACACATCATTCTGCCCGACCCAATTGCACCCGGTGATGCTCCAGCGATTGGTACAAACGTGCGGTGATACGAACACAATGTTTGCTGGCGGTGTGACGAACGGGTTTGGGTGGTCCCCTCAGCAGAACCTCGATATCTTCAATTTTGCACATTCACATTGATCACAATATTTTGAACTGGGAATTCTTGCTAATTGGAGTTATATTCTAATGTGCCAGATGCACAATGTATGTTGACCCATGGTTCTCGTGTGCGTACAAGTTTGGTTCGCGCTGCCACCAGCAAGCACATACAGAGATACTTTCACTCGATCTCCCCCAACAGCCCTGAAGTGAAGAGTGAAGGTACCTGCTTCCCCAGCCGCACGACCCACTGTTCCCAGTCGTCGTCCATGGTTACAGGCCTGCGCAGCCACCTCTTCACCCACACATTGACCACTGCGATATATAATTCTGCGCACGCACACCTTTCCCCAAACAACAACCGCAGCTTCGACATCACTTCTCCCTCATCAATTCTCGTCTGCCATTGCATCCATTACACTTATAACTTTCACACATACATACCAATTCCCTCAACATGGCCTCGTACATGTACACCTCCGCCTCGGGCAGCAACTGGGATGACGACGAGGACGACTTCAGCCTCGAAGTGTACCAAGCTGCTGCCAATGTCTCAGCATCAACATCCGTCCGTGACGAGCTCCCTCCCGCACCCACCACTGAGGGTCAGGACGAGGAGCCGTCCGCTTCGACAGTCTCCAGCATCTTCGATGACTACTTCGATCAAGATGACCTGCCAACATATGCACAGAAGGTGACGCATTCTTGGTACTGTCCGGATTTGCGCCCTGCGTATGTTGAGTTGAGCCACCAAGATGGCTACGCCTACCCCGAAGAGCGTGTCCGATACTCGTCCAACTGGACCGCAACCAAGTTGCGCATGGGGGCTAACTTGAGGATGCCAATGATGATGAAGCCCTCGCCGCTCAAGTTGTCGATGACTTGGAAGGACGACAGCCAGGGTGACTTCATCCAGCATCGCGGCTTGATGTTCCCTTCACTCCCATTACCGGTGATGGCCTACGACAGCTCTTCCGAGGAGGAGCGGGATGAGGCACAGACGCCACCTGGGTCGCCTCCAAAGGTGCAAGCTACTATGTACAAGGGTCATGTGGAGGAGGTAAGTCACAGCACTGAATCCCATGGTCGCCATCCAACTGACTCGAAGCAGTACGACCCAGTCACCGGCATCATCGATGTGCCCGCTCACAGTACTGAAGCTGACGATAGTTACCTTTCGTCCGGCTTTGGTGACTTCAGCCGCATCGCTGCTGACTCAAGTGTTGAGGATGTTTTGAGCGACGTTGCCACCAGGATCCAACACAACTACGTCAACGAGTCTATCGAACAAGGTGGTCTGACATCTGAACCTACAATGGTTGGTGTTGACACAGAAGCAAGCTCGGTGACGGAGCATGGCCAGTCTTGTAAGCACACAAAATGTCACACTGGCAAGCCATTGTCTAACGAAATTGCAGTTGAAGTCGAGTCATGCACACCACCGGGGTCGCCTGCTCGCCGCAACGTTACCGAGGATCACCACGAGCCATATGGCACCTCCTCTACTGTAATCGCCCATGAATGCCTCCATTGTGAGGTCCCTCCGGTTGCAGTCACTCACACCGCTGCTGCTCATTTGGATGATCAAATCGAGAGCCCTGCCACAGACTATATACCGTCTGAACACGCTGCTGATTATGACAACGTCGTGTCAGAAGCATCGACTTCACTCCGCATGACCGCCATCTCACCACCAGATACCCGGTACATTGGCGAATCCACCATTACCTCATTGGTGTGTAACACAGCCGCTGTAGGCTGGTTCGCTCTCTCCTCCGTTCCTTGGGGCCGCCTTGCAATCGCCACGGCAGGCGCGCTGCTCGACGTCGCCATATTCGTGGCTCGACACTAGGCGCCACAACATCTGTCTTCTCTTTGTCGCACGCACGCATTCGTCGGAGTTCTATACCCAGGTCACGGCGCTCCACATTTCTCCGTTGCCGAAGACATTAGCAGCATACATACGGCGCCTTATACCCACTCCATTTGTCCACAGCGGATTTCTTTATCATCAAAAGGCCTTCACATTCAAGCCGAAGTTCCTCAGATCATTCCATCTTGCATCGGTATCTGTCAGAGCTATGCTCCCCTCTGGGTCGAGTCAGTTCCGACATCACAACACCTCTCGTCTCCTCCCATCGGAACACTACATCATACTGGCATCGACATGATCAACTCCATGCCGCGCCTGATCTCGCCTTCGGGTTTGAGAACGGCTGCGGCATGGAGTTGGATCACATGGTTTGAGCTTGGGCCGATGGACAGCATGGCGGTCGGTGGTATGGGGACTTGTGGTTTAATTTTCTTGTATATAATTCGAACTTTTTTGCACCCCAACTATTTCAGTTTATGTGATGATTTGCTTGACATATTGGAGGGTCGGGTCAGGTTCACGACTGCGCTTTCATTCATCGGGTTTGAGGAGGATGATGTAGTGCTGATACCGTCACGTCATGGTATGCAGCAGTACCTTTCCACCTCCCCACTCTCTAACTTAGAGTGAGCCGGAGAAGCAGTATCTGATGATGATATGTAGAGGTCCGATCACTGCCGATGTGATCAATGTCCACACCGATTGCAATATCTCGTCGCTGACGCACCTCGACAATGCGGTTCATTGCAGCACAGACAAAAAGCCGAACTAAATTTTCACGCAGCAGTCTCTGAAAGGCCAAACAGTTCGACGAGATTCTACGCATACGACAATTCAGAGTCCAAGATATAACCGGCTGGGTCGAGGGAAAAGATAGCGAACCATGATGACCATGCAATTCAGTGAATTGTTCGAACCATTGTTCAACTCGAGTCTCGAAGAAGAGCCTGTATGAGGCATTCTAGCTGTCGAGAGTTATTGTTGATATAGCTACAGCGGTTCGAAGACTCGAATTCTTGAAGTCCTGGGGCAGTGAATGAACCTTTTGTTAATCTGGAACCCTAGACCTCTACGAGTGGGATACTTGGTGGGGACTTCGATGGCGAGATCGTGAATTAGTCGTGAGGATTGGTGGGAAAGTGGGTCTCACGTAGCAATAATGAGGCATATTATATATATGTGGTGCTTACAGGGACCCCGAACCAGAGATAGGTTACAATTCGACCCGCCTTGAGCTTTCGACTGCCTGATAGAATATGCTGAAATCAAGAACCATTGTTATGAGGTGCAGGACAGGCATGAACGGTGTGATAAAAGTCAACCTCGTTATCTCAGAAGCCGAATTATCATAACTCAAGGGACCAGAACCACTCCTAGACTCGCACTCCCAGCTGGCAGATCTGCTGTGGTTCGCAAATCCGCAACCAGAGACTGCCTCACGAGCGCTTCTCAGAAATATACAAAAGGAATGCCGTGTCCTCTCTTATTCCATCTTCACAAACTAAAAGACATACAGTCTAAAAGCATACACCCAATACCAATCCAGCCAGCACCAACAACCGGCTCCAAAGATCCCATCCAACACCGCCTCCAAAGCAAAGCAAAGCATACCAGATCCCGCCATCACCGCCTCCACCCCTACCACCACACCCACCACCACCACCCCACCCACAATGTCCGGCGAACGCAAGTACCAGCGCCGCTTCCTCGGCGGCGGCGGCCGCAAGGGCCCTACAACGAAGCCCACCAACGGCGGCCTGCTCTGCGCGATAGCGTGCTTTCTGCGCTGCCTCTCATGCGTCTCCAACTAGAGTACGAGCACCACCGCACTCTCTAGCATACTGAAGAGCATTCTAACCGACGCAGGGTTTCGGCACCACGTGCCAGCAAGGACAGAACCTGTTGTACGATAGATATGTTGTACAAGAGGGCATTTAGAAGAGGGGTTCATTTTGTTCTGGGTTGGAGTTCTGGGTTGTGATTATTCGTTGTAGTTTTGGGATGCAGGGTACACTGTAGAGAAAATACGAATTCGGGGTCCTTCGGCTCTGGTCTGCAAATCCTGGTTCACTAACGTGCCTGTGTGGGTCTGCCAATCAGATCCTATGAGATTCGTGATTACTATGTAATTGTGTGTGCAGGACACTCGTCGCCCGTGTGCACTGCTCGACCCTGCCTCTTCTGGTAGGGTACGAAGGCCTCCTGGCTCGGTGACATGCCGACTGGAGCACCTGGTCATCTGGCTGAATCGCAGATGGGCTGTTGCGAGCGTGTGCTGCAGTCAGGGTCAAACCGCGTCACATTCACCATACGGCTCGCTCCTGTTGAGCGAGCACATGCCAAGCGGTCCTGACTAGCTTGAAGACCAGACGTCTTCTTTTGCATACCAGATCCGTCTATCTTGTTCCTCTCAAAATCCAACTCAACGCAGATAACAATGTGAGTGGTTAGGAAATCACACACGAGAATGAAGCCATCCACATTGAGCTCGGCCATAGCCCCTCGTAAATTCGTTACTCCTGGCTCATATGTGAGATTCTGGACTTGCGTCGTGTGCGGGAAAAGTCCAGAAAACAGCCCTTAAGCTTTACATCACCAGGACTCCCCATTGTCTTGAAGAGGGGTATGAGCCCAGCGAACTCAACATCGCTTACGGTTAGCGAGAGAGTACATTGATTTTCCCCGATGAAAAGCACACGCCTTCATTGAAACTGTGTCACAAGTTCAATGTCGGGTGTCTGATGAATTGCCTTGACATCGGCTTCACAGGCTTCGTCAATGGCTGCTAGCTCAGCGCTTACCCTAGCTCTCTCTTCGTCCCTTCTCCTCTTCCGATCGGCAATTTGTGCTTCTCTCAGTCTTTCAGCACGTGCGTGGATGTCAGATAGCTGATTCTCAGCGCTTCGCTTGTGTCCCCGTGGAGTGCCGATTTGCTGGGGCAGTGTGCTCCTGATAGCCGTGACTGCCTGATCGTCGACGTGAACTATGTCATTGGACGCATTGGTGTTGGCCATGCGACTTGACGCTGAGGATGTGGCCACTGTCGAGACACTGGGATCAGCAGAGTGCACAGAGCGACGTGCTCGAACTCGTCCAACGGGCGAATAGGTATGTGCAACACTTGGGGTAGATGACCCGTAAGCTGAGTCTGATCCTAGTATCGTAGGCGACTTGAGACTAATAAAATCTGGTGGCACTCTCTTTTTACCAAAGCTCGAAGGTGGTGGCGAATCATCCATACGAAAGGGGGTGGATCGCCCTCGTGCTGTTGAGGGAGTGGCTTTCGGTAATCGAGTGTCAGGCTGGGGCTCGCGACTGTGCACATGGACAATCATGTCCAGGATCTTCTTGTTGTGTTGACTCTCGAAAGCACTCCAGGGCAATTCGCCTTTGACGGCAAATATAAACTGGCAGAACAAGAGCAAATAATCACCGCCGTCAAAATGTTCTCCTTTCCGAACTGAAGCATTCTCTACGATTGCCTGATTGTAGGGTGGGCGCAGAATCCTTTCAACTGATTTGGGCACCGAGACAGTGGACCGTTTCGGGTTTTCGTCTTTTTCTAGCTTGTAGAAGACATGAACCTCAGGGTTGAGCTGTTTATCTTCCAAGAACGCGTGAGCATAGTTCAGCTCTCCATCCTCACCTATGCAGATGGCACAGGATTTGTAACTTTTCTTCCTGATATGGACCAACGAAATGGTACGGATTAAGCTGAAGATGTAATCCGAAACGGCTGCCTCCTCGAGCTGGCGATACAGGAGCGGTTGATTAAGCCTATCATTGGCAGATTGGTCTCGTACATTGACGGTAACATTGTCAACAAAACAAGGGCTCCCGCTATGGAGCCTATCTGGCGAACCCGTTGGAGAGACATCGTCGCCCGGATCTTGGACAGAGCCCAAGGGTCTGGCGTCACCATCTGCATCGCTCGGCCACTGCTGATCCGGGGATGTGCTGTCTCCACTGTCCGAAGCGGCCGACTCCAAATTATCCAGGTAGTTGTCGAAGTCATCGCCCGGTCCAGATGTCTTTGAATTGCGGGATCGCCTGGTCCTTCTGTCCAGGGCTCCGTCGCTGTTTATCGAAGCAAGCGCTTTTTTCAACTCCAATGCGAAAATGTGGTAGGCGTCTTCGTCGGAACCGTTGAACAAACTGCCCGCGTTGTACCAGCGGGTGAGCGCTGAAAGATTTCGTTCAGCGCAGTCTCCGCTATTGGCAGCCTTGTCGAACGGATGTATAAGTGTGCCACCAAATGTGAGATATATGCTGACCGCTCGAACCGGGATTGACCTCAAAGAAGTCACTACTTCGATTCCGCTTGCATCTCTCTTGTACTTCATGTACATGTAAGTAACCTCGTGTGGCAGTTCCTCGGTTACGTGTGCGAGAATGCGATGTCCACCGTTGCCGACATGGGAAGAGATTATCAAGGCCCGGCCATCAAAGCTCTCGGGGAGCATGTACCAGGACATGTCATAGAGTTCCGGTATGGACGTGAAAAGATGCTTTCTGTAGTGCGGGCTTTTCATCATCCTAGCTGCTGCTCTGGCGTCCATCTCAGTTTGGATCGCTAGGGCATTGCGCTGCAGAGGGGCGACAGAGGGCTCGGAAACAAAGCCTGACATGTTGGTCGGCAGTCGGCGTGCGCGACTTGAAACAGGAATGTGGACGCTGCAAGGAGCAAACATGCGGGGGTCACGCTGGTGTTGAGCGACGAACTCAAAAATCCATTGCGCGCCCGAGACGGAGGAGATGCAAGGGAGCAGAGAGGAGCGAAGCAGGTGTCACGATTCTGGACGGCGAAAGTTGGGGAGACGGGCGATGGACGGGGCACAGTGGTAAGTAGATGTACCTGACGAAGTCGAGTGGCTGGCTGCTTAGTGGCACTTGCTTCTTCGCCCTGTCACTTTCTGGACGGTTGATTGTCAAGTCTCAGGCGACACAAGCCATGCACGCCCGCCAGGGAGCGGGGCGGCTGCTGGGCTGCTGACGGCAGTCGATGTTGCATCCCACGACAACGCTGCATTTGGCTGCGGACCATGCGCTCCTCCAACACGGCGTTATCGGCGCGTCTCGTCTGGCTGTCTGTCAGACCCGTTCTCCAGGGCTCAGACGGCATGTGGGCCCCGCCCGGTGTCGCTACCGGATCGTCGCCGGCTCGGTTACGATGGTGCAGGCGCGTTGCCAAGCGCAGCAGGCACGACCGGCGAAAGCGCACACGCATGGATCGTGCATTGCAGCGAGGCGGCCAGTCATGTGATCCAAGGGCACGTCGCCCGGCCTGGCGCAACAGTGCGTCTGCCGCGCGTTTTCGAGATACGGACGAGCCCCACCGGAATGCTGTCTAGTCGCGGGTTAGGCGCTCGGAGCCAGCGGGCGCCATCCCCTGACGCCTCTCGACGTCGCAGCAACTTTGCGACCAAATCCCATCCACTACCCCGGGTCTCTGTCGCCTGCACGCAGATGAGACACGTCGCTGCCCGCGACCATGCTCGCCAATAAACAGCATATCGTGCCGCGGCCGGCGCGCCTCCTGCTCTTCCTCGCCTTCGTCTACGCCTTCTGCTGGATCAAGGGCTGGCCGGTCACCTACGACGATGAGGAACTGCCGCCCAGCCAGCGCCCGAAGGCGACGACAGCCCTCGGCGAGCACCGCGTCTCTGCCGACGGCCTGATCGTCACCGTCACCACCGCCGAACAAGACGCCTTCACCAAGCTTGCGCCCGCCCTGCTCTGTCTCGACCCCGCCCACCACAAGGACCTGCTGCTGATGGGAGACGCCATGATCAACATCGGACCGTTCCCGGTGTTCGATGTTCTGGCGAAGTATCCTGCCAAGTACGTCGCCAAGACAGACGAGCTGGCGAGGTACAAGCGGCAGCGAGAGTATGCGCGGAAGGGCCTCCCGCCGAGCAGCCTCCAGGAGAAGGACCCGAAGAAAGAGCAGGCCGTACTGACGGCCCTGGCCAAATACAAGCTCTTTAGGGCCATGGAGAGCACTTGGGAATACCGCCCGAAGCGGGACTGGTACGCCTTCACCGACGAGGAGACCTTCATCGACCGAGGGAACTTGCTGGATTGGCTGAGCCAGCACGATCCGAAGCTGAAGCACTTCTTTGCCAATCCACCCATCGCCGTCGTGCCGGACGCTTTTGCAGCTGGTGGCACTTCCTTCATCCTTTCTGGCGAGACAATGCGACTTCTGTTCCAAGACCGGAAAACCATGCTGCAAAACTTCAAAAACTGGGACCCCAGGCTTCCAGACTACCCCTCGGCCCTCCATTTCATCGAGAGTTTTCTCAAGACCGAGCTTTCTCTGGAGATGAAGAGCTTCTGGCCTGGAGTGTCGGGCTTCAATCCAGCCACCGTCACATACTCGCCAGGACTTTGGTGCGACCCAGTCCTTATGATGCACCACGTCTCTGCTGGCATTGGGAATCACCTGTACAAATTCGAGAAGGAGCGAGCCGAAGAGCAAAAAATCGACAGCACCCTGCGTTACGCCGATCTGTGGTACCAATTCATTGGCCGAGAAGATCTGAACCAGACCCGCCATGACTGGGATAACCTGTCCTCCGAATCCACCAACAACAGATGGAATATCTTGTTTGCCAACGAGGGCAACGCCGACGCCAGCCGTGCCACCAGAGGAGAGGAATCGTGGGAGGCGTGCAAGCAGGCATGTGAGAGCAATAAACACTGCCTACAATGGTCATACTCTTCCATTGAAGCGCCCAACTGGAACGAAAACGGCTTCACCAAGTGCCATCTGAGCAGCAGCATGCGCCTCGGCGCGCACGCTGAGCCAGAGCAAATCGAGGTCAACGGCGAAGCCAAGCCACGGACCTGGACGAGCGGCTGGAGGAAGGACCACTTCAAGCGCTGGGCAAATCAGCAGCGGTGCAAAAACCAGCAACACTAAAGGAAGGTCCTGCTCACAGCGCATTCATGCATTCCAGTCCTGCGATGACTTGGCCTACGTGGTGCTCTTTGGTGGAGCAGGTTGTTCCATCGTGAATTCACGACCGTCGCTGCCCCATTGTGTAGTCGACGCATGTCTAGTCTACCGAGCATAAGGGAAGTAAGCTAGCTATCATGCATGGCTCGTGCAATCAGCTCATCATCCATTCTGGCGAGCCATCTGGGCGATTTGGTAGCCGCTCAACGGCATGCTCCTCGACTGTCGGAACCCCTCTGCAAGGTCTTTGCGTTCTGCTCTGCTCCTGGGCTGGCTGGCTCGGATGTGGTGTCGCGTAAGTGTAAGATACAGCAACTACGGAGGAACGTTCGAGGAGGTATGGATTGGACACGGGCGACCTTAATTCGACGGAGTTGGAGGGAAAACGGCGTGGATCTGGGCGCTTTTGATTTGAAGGGACGCGCTCAAAACATATACCTTAATTGCTTCGCATTATCACCTGTACAGGGCTCACAATAGCCACTTCAGCAGTGCAAGCGCGAATTGGCTGAGTCTATCCTTGGGAGTCTATGGACAGGAAATGGCTGACTACCCCGCCGCGACGGGAGGAAGCGAGGTGAAGTGAATCTAAAACGCTTCACTGACATCAGCTGGGCACCTTCATCGTCGTCTTTATTTAGCTCCTAAGCAGACGGCACATAATACACTTCAACTACACCTGCACTACCCAACATGCTAGATGATATCTCCCTAACGCGCGTCCCTCGGCTGGCTCAACGCCTCTCCATACCACTGCGCACAAGATCACAGTCGCTGTACAAGGACACGTTCGGCCCAAGCTCCCGCCAGGTTGCTCGCCCCATATGCTCTACGAATTCGACGACATCTCCAGCACGGAGCCCCGTCGTTCACGGCCATACCACGAAGGAGGTGCAACCAAGATCCAAATCTCGAACGGTGAAGTATACGTGGGATGACGGACCGCGCGACACACCTGGCACTGCCGCATACTACAAAAGTAGGGCCTTCCGCAAGGCAGTCGACAACGGTAGCACACTGGTGCCTGGTCAAGGAGATGGGGCTAGCCAAGATTCTGACAGCGCCGACGAAAGCTATAACAAGAGGCCCAAGCAAGTGAAAAGAAGGTCCCTTGTCGTGATCTTCAGCAAGGCTGGTGTGCGCCGCGCGACTTCTCAACGCAAGGTGGACAGGCGAATGCAGCGTGCGAATCGCAGACTGTAAGCAGTGGAACAATTTGACGTAGATATGCGAGAACTGACATGGTGCAGAAAGATGCTGAGGCCTCTGGGAGGTACGGATCGGGCTTTCAAGTGAGATTGGGACAGGTGCTTTGGACATGTCTGTCATCTGAGGAGTCAATGCTGTATACCTTTTGATACAGTGACACAGTAGCTAAAAATGTAATTAAGGGACCCACAGCTTGTACCTGTCCATGCCAAGTAATGTGCGTTTGTCGACCTGCAGGTACCCGAGCGAACCGCAGCGACATAGCTTTCATTTACTACGAGGCGCTTTGTAACGCTACGACACAGCATTTCCTTCACTTGTCTTACAAGCAATTGGCCCCACCGCCCAATTTTTTACTCCCATTACCACTCGTGGTCTCGACTCTCTTCATCTCACAACAGCACCAATTCATAACGCCATACAGCAAGCCCTCATCATCCACCCAACACCTTGGCCGAATCTACACCCACACAACCAACAATGCACATCCCCCACAAAGACCCAAATCCCTCCAAAGACCAACAACCCCTCGTCCCCTCCACCCGCTCCCTCCAAGGCCCACCAATGACATGGACCACCTTCCACGGCCCCCCGGTCCCCCCCGCCCCAAAACCACCAAACACACCACACTGGCGACACACCACCACCACGCTCCAGGACCAGCGCACCCGCTTCGCCCTCCACACCTCCCCGACAAGCCCTTACTGCGCGGCCCCAACCCGCCGCACCATCCTCGCCCTCTACACCGCCGCCCTAACCGCACTCGAACACGCCTCCCCCGCAACCGCATCCGCAATCGCCACAGAACTCACCCGCAAAATCAACATCGCCCTCGACCTCGCACAGGCGCACCCGCACGACCCCGTGTTCTACACCAACGCCGCGCACTTGCCACCGCTTGAGCCGCAGTACGCGCAGCCGCGGCTCGACGCGGATCCGTATTTCTACGCCGGGTGGGGGAGGCTCAGGGAGTGGAGGCGCGAGGGCTGGCCGAGGGAGTATCCGGGGCGGGCGGTGCAGAGGGAGAGGTTGGGGAGGGGGAAGAGGGGGGGGAGGGAGGGGGATGTGGAGGGGTTGGTGCTGGCGATGGAGGCGAGGGCGAGGGACTGGGGGGATGAGGTGGATGCGGATCCGGGGAGGGCGTGGAAGTGAGGGTAGGGCTGCGACAGTGTGTTGGATTAAGGGTTCGTGGAGGTCGGAGAGGAGGGATCGTCTAGGCGGGAGGAGCTGGGTTGGTGTTCGGGAGGGATGTGCTGGTGGGTTGCAGGTAATGTGTAGATTAGACTTTGCAAGGTCGGGTCATGGTGTCTTCGTTTGGTAGTACGTACAAACTACATAAAAGAGTCTGCATGATACAGATGCGTGATGGTACAAGCTGAACACTGGCTTTATATCAAGCCAATAACGACGGTTTACCCTGCAGAATGTCAATCGTGATGTATGTGACCAGTCAGATGCTGTTGTCACATCTCGTATCCATACATAGGATGTGGACCTGGTCTGGAAACAGCAGACGCACTGCGTCTTACCCGCGCTGACGAGTGTCGAAGGAGAATGTAGAACAACGAGAGGCAGTGCAGTAGTGGTCAGTTATGAGTATTCCTTCTTGACATCCACTGTGACCATGTCGAGCAAGGAATCCGGCAGGTCACTCTACTGCGATGGCCCATTTAGTACGCTCCACACAGGCATCCACACTGTATTGCTTTGCCCCGCCGACCCCTTACTGTTGTTTTAGCATATACAATACGGTGGAGGACGACAAGACTAGTAAGAAGCCGATGAGATTGAGTTACTCGGTAATTTGCGAGGGCTAGCTGCTTCAAGCTCTCTGCGTGATCGGACACTCTGTGGATGAGTTACGGTCAGTCAGCAGCGCATGTTGATCTGTGTCGAGGAGCTTCTAATCCAAGCAGACACTCCATGACAAAGGCTGAGGCTAATTGTAGGCAAGAGCCTCGGCCAAGGGACGTTGATGTACACGACCCCACGCGATGTGGGGCTCCGCAATCGCGCCGCTACCACGACAGCAAATCGCACCTTGCGCGTTGCAGCTGACCATCTCGTACTTTGCATCAAACCCCTCTCGCCTGCAAGTACAACAGCAACGCCACAATGGCCTCCGAATCGCCCTACACCAAAGCGCTCGCCGCCATCGACGCCGCGCACGCCCTCGACCCCACCAAAACCCCCATCAACGGCGAGGACGTGCCCTACGAACTCCACTACGCGCGCAAATGCACCTCCTACCTCGAGAAGCGCGCCCCAGACGCGCCCGAGCACCTCCGCCTCGCCATCCGCGCCCAGCACTTCCGCCGCTGGGAAGTCCCGCGCGCCTCGTACCCCATGACGCGCGTCGGCTACCACGCGTGGCGCACGTTCCTCAAGAAGCGGCAGGCCGAGCTGGTCGAAGCCATCTGCGCGGACGCGGGGTGCGCGGAGGAGACGACGCGGCGCGTGGGCGCGCTGATGCGCAAGGAGGATCTGAAGGCGGACGAAGAGACGCAGGTGCTGGAGGACGTGGCGTGCTTGGTGTTTCTGGATGATCAGTTTGAGGCGTTTGAGCGCGAGCATGACGAGGAGAAGATCATTGGCATTTTAAGGAAGACGTGGGGGAAGATGACGGAGAGGGGGCATGAGCTGGCGCTGGAGATTCCGATGGGGGAGCGGCCCAAGGAGGTTATTACGAAGGCGTTGGCGGGGTAGATGGCATTGCATTGAGAGCCTCGAGCATGCGTCGAGTCTGCGAAGTGCTTCGAGTCTGCAGAAGTGCTTCGATGCGACGGCTGTCCACGACGTCCTGCTGCCAATCACGCGCCGCAGAAGCTTCCAGCCGTTGCACAGCCACAACGCCACATCATGACGTCGCTGTCTCCAACCACAACGCAGGTATAAGAGCTGCCTACGAGTCTTGCTTCTCTGCACACCCACTTCTACTCCTACAAGCCCAGCCAGTCACAGCCTTTCGACTGCCTCAACAAGAAAACAATGTCTTCCACGTCAACATCTGTCAGCTCAGCGACCGCGCAGACAGCGCACGATGTCTCGCACCCGGAGACCCAGAGCGTAGCCAGCGCAACCACGCAACAGAGCGATCAAGAGAAGGAGCAAGAGAAGGAGGCCGAGCGACTGTACGAAGAGAGGATGGAGGACGAATACGCCAAGCGCGAGGGCGGCGCCTAAGATTGTAATTCTACGACTGCTCAATTCACACATATACGACAATACAACGACCATACGAATTCCATTTGTGCAAGTACTCGAGCAATGCTCGATGGTATTATACATGTTCGATATTATACATGCCATACCGCGCGACGTCCACCCCTGTTATACCAGCTAACTAATGCGATACGACTAATGGTCCCTGCAAATCCTAATCTGGCCCAATCAACTCGTGAGTTTCCCCGCACAACCTCTGTTTGCAAACACTCGGAGAAAACAGCGTTTCGGCGGAACCCAGTGTTCGGCGCTGGAGCGAGATCGCCGCTGCACCTCACCACGTGAACGCCCGACATATGTCCTGCAGCCTTGCCAATGCTCCGCTGCCCGGCACTTGCACCGAGCTGTCATCTCAGCAATTGTGGGGGACTGGGATCGGCACGCATGAACCCTGCGACAGGCATGTTGTTTCGAACACAGGCGCCAAGGCAATCTAAACACTGCCGCTCCGAGATACAAGGCACCTCGCGACTGCTGGCTATCAAACAGCACCCGGGCGAATTGCTGCTTGCGGAAGCTCGCTCACCCTGCAATATGTTTCCATGTCGTGTTTTAGACTGATAGTGATGATCAGGGACACAGCATACTGTCCCGGGCTCTATAAAGCCTCACCGCACCCTGACTCCCAGCGCACCACCTCAAGTCCCAGAAACTAAGCAACCATGAAGCTCTCCATCCTTGTCCCCGCACTCGCCTGCCTCTCCACAACCCAGGCCGCCATCTCCTGGACGCTCGCCAAAGCAAGCGCCCCCACCGCCGACCAGCTCGACGCCTACACCCGCATCGAGTCCGCCATGCGCCTCGCCGCCGCGCGCTACAACCGCCTCGGCAGCGCCACAAAATCCATCCGCGTAGCCTACGCGCCCGGTGTCCCCACCGCCGAAGCCAACTTCAACGGCGACCTGCGCTTCGGGTCGAACCGGGCGTACATGAACGAGCGCACGGCGCTGCACGAGATCAGCCACACGCTGGGGATCGGGCAGACGGCGGCGTTTGACCGCAAGTGCGCGGCGGGGGATTGGCGCACGGCGCTGCCGCTGTTGCGGAGCTGGGATGGGAGTGCGGCGGTGATTAACTGTGGTGGCTCGCATATTTGGCCGTATGGGCTTAATTATGATACCGAGTGGAGCGAGTCGAATGCGAATCGCCATGTGCAGTTGTTGAATGCTATGATTGCGGATGGGCTGCAGGGGTAGGGTGTGGATGCGTAAGGTGGAGGTTCTTGTTCATCTTGTTTATAGGTACTTTGGGACGTATATATTCTTTCACCCAATGGGTTCAAGTCAGCTTATACTCGACGCACTGTGATTTCCCCTTACTTATGAGCCCTCGGTTTCCTATATAGTAGGCTACGCGGAACCAATCAGCCCGCGTGAGTCACTCATCAGGTAACAGCACATGCATAATACCATATATATTCGTGTTTACCAGACTGTACGAACACCCCCCTTGTCGGCCTAGCGCCCCAATGATCCAACACCGCAGAAACCGTCAGCTTGCACAAGCAGACGCTGGACAGGCATGAGTGTGACGTGTAGAGAGAGATGCGGGTTCGATTCTTGTAGGTGCGGCGTGGAGGAGAGGTCAAGTTGCGGCCGACGCAGCTGCGACGCCGGAAACGAAGGATCGCTGCGCTGGAGTGGAGGTAATGCATTGCAAGTTGGAAGCCTACTGGGTATGCTGGCGAAGACGTAATCTTCCAAGACCGCCAGAAGGCAACAGATATATCCAGGTGACACGCCCCATATCCCCGCATCTACTACCCACCACCCACTACACCACACCACACTACACTACGTCTACCGTCAGCACCCTTCGGAACAGTACCCGGACGAAGCAATTGTAAGAACATCTCGCACCCCTGGCTCAGACTTGCCTTTTAAACAAGCACACCACCACCCAAGTCCACGACGCGCCCGTGTAAAGACAGCGCCGGAGGACGGACTGAGTGGCTCACGCATTTGGTACTCTCTAATCACAGCCAGGGGCGCGAGACAGCGAAGAAGAAAACAAAGGACTTACGCGTGTATGTGTGGTGGGTGAGTGACTACGTGACTACGCGAGCACGTGCGTGCCCTTGGTCTTGCCCGTCTCCATCTTGGCCGTGCGCGCGCCAAACTGGATCGCGCGCTTCTTCTCGCGCGCGACGCCGCGCAAGCCCAGATCCCACGCGAGACAGCGCAGCGCGCGTTTTGCAGGCTCGATGAGCGCGTCGGGGTCCTCGGCGGGGGCGTGCGGGCGGCCGAAATCGCATTTCTGCTGCACGGGGGTTTGCAGGGCGAGCGCGATGAAGGACTCGTCGAGGAAGGGGAAGCGGGCTTCGCGGCCGGAGTGGCTGATGACGCGGTCGTCGCGGCCCAGATTGCGCTTGCCGAGGCGCGAGAAGTCGAGAGCGAGCTCGTCGAGCAGGCCGGTGTAGCTGTGCCGCGCGAAGGCGGTGGCGTGGCGCTGGTAGCCGCCGAAGAGTTCGTCTGCGCCGAGGCCGGAGAGGAGGACGCGGGCGGGGGTGGTGTAGGGTGATGTGCCGGTTGGGGAGGAAGTAAGGCCAGCGCCGCGCGAGGCGAAGTACAGGGCGTATGAAATGGAGAGGTCCATTTCGGTGTTGTGCGGGTGCATGAGTGCCATGACTGTTGCGCGGTGGGCGAGGGTTTCTGTGTAGGGCACATTGACCTCAATGAAGCGCCACCGACGTGGACATACGCGCTCCAGCTCTGCGTGCGAAGACCGTCCTGTGATGCGGTCGGGGCAGAGCTCGTAGGGACTGACGCCAGGCTCCAAGTTGCTGTGGATGCGCGGGTTTTCAAACGCAACATTGAGCAGGTCGATGTCTTCACTGAGAGGGAGGAGGTCGTGACATAGCCTTGCGAGGAGGGTGCAGTCCAGCCCGCCGGAGAAGAGGATTGCGATTTTGGCCGCGTGAGTTTCAGATGGGGATGCCTCAAAGGCTTCTCGTACGTGCTGGGTGCGCAGTGCTACAGACCGACGCAGTGAGTCGCCTAGACTAACTACTTGACTATGATCCTGGCCGCCGTCAGGGCTGTCACGGTTCATGGGCGGGAATGGGAGGGCCTAGTGACATTAGCAAGCTTCTCAACGTGCAGGACCTACCTACAAAGGAGAGTCCGCCCGTCTCGCCCAGGCGGGTGTGTGGGATATGTGTGCTACTGGAGGAGTCCGTGAAGTGATTCAAATCAACCACGTAGATGCCATCGGCCTCGACCTCAGCCCAGGCCTCGCCCGTGGTGTTGTCGCATACGCTGGACAGGACGAGCGAGCCGTCTGATGTGGCCTTCTTTAGCAGCGAGCGGCGTCCTAAGCAGTCTCTGCCATAGTAGAGGTGGTTGTTATTTGCATCGTAGAACACGATGGCGTACGGGCCTCGAATATTAGACAGCAGCTGTATCACGGCACGCTTGCTGTCAGGTGACTCGGTGCATGTCTTCAGCCGATCGAAGACAACAGCAGAGTCGCTGCCCGTCACGGTCTCGTCCCCAATAGACCAGGCCTCGCCGTTCCAGCACAGCACAGAGCCGGCACTCACCAGCGGCTGCGGGGTGATTGCAGTGCCTCGCAGCGACAGCACCGTCGACAAAAAAGTCGCACTAACTTCCCCAACATCTGACTGGTGCAGGCCGGTGTGGTCGGGCCCGCGGTTGCGCAGGAGGGCGGCAGTGCGGTCGTCCGGGACTACGTGGCCATGGCGACTGAGGGCGCAGAAGATGCCGCACATGGAGAGTTGAGGTTGTGGTGTTGTGGCGCAGGTCGCGACGCTAGCGCACCCTTGACGCCTACGGCACCAGCGGCCGAGCCGAGCAATGCGGGCCCGGTCACCAGCGCGGGCGCAGCACCAGACACACAGAGCGCAGACGACACCCAGCAGACGCACCGGAGCTCCTCGTCGATGGAAAGCTGCTAGCCGCCACTCAGCCCGCAGTGCAGCGCCGAACGGCCCATGTCTCTCCCGAACGCAGCTCCGCCCGCCGCAACCGACGCCCGCCCGCATGAAGCGCCGCCAGAAGCAGGGGAGGGGGTGGCCGAGGTGGCCGTGAAGGGGTCCACCGGGGCAGAGGCAGGGGGGAAGGAGGATAGCACGGCAGACGGCATAGCGCCAGACACAGCGACGGACACAGTCACGGCAACTGCAGCGACCACGGATACGGATACGGTGACGGAGTCGGCGACGGACACTGCGACAACCACAGCAAAGGACGCGCCCGAGCCTGACGACCGCGAGCTGGTCGAGCAGCTGACGGCCAAGACACAGGAGTTCGCCCTCGAGCCCACGGCCAGGACGCAGGAGCTCGCCGTCGATCCGCCCACAACCAAGACACAGGAGCTCGACCCGCCCATCGCCAGCACACAGGAGCTTACCGTCGATCCGCCTACGACCAGCACACAAGAGCTCGCCCGCGACCCGCCTACGCCCAAGACACAAGAGATTACCGTCGATCCACCTACAACCAAGACACAAGAGCTCGTCGACCCGCCCACGCCCACGTCCACGGCAAAGGGCAAGGCCCCCGTGCGCTCGCCGTCGCCGCCGCCACCACCCCCCAAGGACGACGGCTACCTGGCCACCAGCGTCCCCAGTCGCTCGCCGTCGCCGGCGCAGGACAAGAGCGCGCGCAGCTCCGAGGACGCCGCCGCCGCTGCCTACGCGGCCAAGCTCGACGGCAGCTCCGAGGACGAGCAGTCGGAGATCCAGAGCATCATGGAGCAGTTCGAGCACAGCGGCCTGACCCCCGACGCCATCCTGTCGCCGCGCCTGGAGCTTGCCGGCCCGCTGCTCGAGTCGCCCTCGTTCCCCCCGCGCCACTCGAGCCTGCCCGTCGACAAGCCGCTGCCGACCCCGCACGACGACGCCGCCTCGGTGCACTCCGTCTCAGTCCAGTCGCCGCGCGCCGCCTCGCTGTACCGCGTCGGCACCAACACGTCCTTTGTGGAGCCCACCTCCCCCAGCGCCCACGCCTCCCAGTACAAGCCCGCCCAGCCGGCCCCGGCGCCCGAGCCCGACCTGCCCTTCGACTTCCACCGCTTCCTCGAGCAGCTGCGCCACCGCACCGCCGATCCCGTCGCCAAGTTTCTGCGTTCCTTCCTGCTCGAGTTCGCCAAGAAGCAGTGGATGGTGCACGAGCAGGTCAAGATCATCGCCGACTTCCTCGAGTTCATCGCCAAGAAGATGGCCCAGTGCGACGTCTGGCGGTCGGTGTCTGATGCCGAGTTCGACAACGCCCGCGAGGGCATGGAGAAGCTGGTGATGAACCGCCTGTACAGCCAGACCTTCTCGCCCGCCATCCCGCCGCCCGAGCCGACCTCTCCCCGCAAGGGGCGAAGACGCCAGGACCCGCCCGGCCCCGGCCGCCGCGGCCAGCACCAGGAGGACGTCGAGCGCGACGAGGTGCTGGCCCAGAAGGTGCGCATCTACAAGTGGGTGCGCGAGGAGCATCTCGACATCAAGGACGTCGGCGACAAGGGGCGCAAGTTCCTCGCCCTCGCCCAGCAGGAGCTCCTCAAGATCAAGACGTACCGCGCCCCGCGCGACAAGATCATCTGCATCCTCAACTGCTGCAAGGTCATCTTCGGCTTCCTGCGCACCTCCAAGTCCGACCAGTCCGCCGACGCCTTCGTGCCGCTGCTCATCTACACCGTGCTGCAGGCCAACCCCGACCACCTCGTCAGCAACGTGCAGTACATCCTGCGCTTCCGCAACCAGGACAAGCTCGGCGGCGAGGCCGGCTACTACATCTCCTCGCTGATGGGCGCCGTGCAGTTCATCGAGGGGCTCGACAAAACCAGCCTGACCGTCACCGACGCCGAATTCGACACCAACGTCGAGGCCGCCGTCCGCGCCATTGCCGAAAAACACTCAGACGCCGAAATCCACCCCGACTCGGCCGCAGGGCCCGCCCACCTGCACCCCTCGCCCTCCAAACACCGCCGCATGCCCTCGCCCCACTACCACCACGTCAGCGAAAAGTCGTCCCCCTCGCGCCCCGAAGTCAGCACCCGCAACTCAATGGAAGCCCAGACCGCCGGCCCGCGCCGCTCGACCTCGCTGCGCGACCGCGCCCCGGAGCCCCCCGCGGAAGAGGAAAACGCCGCCGTCGCGGGGCTGCTGAGGACCATCCAGCGCCCGCTCAGCACCATCGGCCGCATCTTCTCCGACGATCCTGGGCCGCAGCGCAGCGCGTCCGCGTCGGCGACGCCCGTCGGGAATGCGAATGCAGGGCATGCTCAGCTGCCGGGGCACGACCGCTTTCCCGGCGCGTATAGCGAGAAGCCGCAACATCAACAGCAGCAGCAGCAGCAACATCAACAACAGCAGCAGCAGCATCAACAGCAGCAACACCCCGATCCAACCGCCCGCCGCGAAAGAGCAGCAGACGACGCCGCCCGCCAGGCCAGCGCAGAGGCGGAGCAGGCGCGCCGCATCCAGGTGCAGGAGCACCGCGTCGTGGTCGAGACGCTGACGGGCATGTTCCCGCAGCTGGACCGCGATGTGATTGAGGACGTTGTAAGGGAGAAGGAGGGGCGGTGAGTTTTCTCTCTTTCCTTGTTGTTGTCGAAACTTGACGTGACGTGGTGTGGGTGATGTGGGTGAGGAGCGACACATGCTGACGTTCACACAGGGTCGGGTTAGCTGTGGATGCGTGTCTCGCGCTCGCGAATCCGTAGCCGGGAGGCACTAGAAAACAGTGGTCAGCCCGCGGCTTGCAAGGGTGGCGCTGGGTCGCGCTACAGGGCCGCGGCCGCGTACGCGTGTCATCGGATCTCACGACAGGACTTGAGATATCTCGCGACCCCTTTGGGCGGCTGGTGCTGCGTCTGGCACCTGGCCAGCGTTGTCGCGAGATAGTACGCTAGCAGTGAGCGCTGCGCCGGGGCGAGGCGAGGCGAGGCGAGATACCACCGCGCGAGCTTGCGTGAACGGTGAACGGTGAACGGTGGAAGGAAGGAGAGAAGGGGGGCTGGACAGGGCGGGGGCATAGCATGGCATTTGAGCGTCTATATATCTGCATTCACATCCATATCCACATCCACAATCATATCTATAATTGCATCCCCATCCACAACAATCTCTGGGATAGAGTCTTCAAATCGATGGGTTAGATGGAGTGTCTTGAAGTGAGTCTTGGACCGATGGGTTGAATCTATGGGTTTAATCTGCGGGTTGAATCTATGGGTTGAATCGATGGGTTTAATCTGTGGGTTGACTTGATGGGTTGGATCGATGGGTTGGATCGATGAGTTGAAGTGTCTGGGATACAGTCTGGTATACAGTCTCGAAGCGAGTCTTGAAGCAAGTCTTGAAGCAAGTCTAGATCAAGTCTGGGCTAGAATCTTGAAGCGAGTCTCCAGAAGCGAGTATTGAATCGATGGGTTGGATAGAGTCTGGACTTGATGGGTTGGATAGAGCCTGGACGAGTGTTGAAGCGAACTTTGAATTGATAAGTTGGATCGATGGGCTGAAGCAAGTCTGAAGCGAGTCTTGGACCGATGGGTTAATAGAGGCTGGAATCGATAGGTTGGTCGTGAGGAGGAGGAGGAGGAGGGAGGGGGGTTGCTGTGTGCTGTATCATGTGCTGTGCTGTGTAGTGTGCTGTGTGGTGTGTTGTGTGGTGTGTACTAAGTAGTTAATAGTGGGTATTTGATACTTTATATTCAGCACTAGGAATTTGGTATTTAGTGCTTGGTACTTGGTACTTGGTTTTTGATGCTGGGTCTTTGGTACTTTGTATTTGATACTTGGTGTTTTAGACTGGGCATCGGGTATTTGGTATCTAACACTTTGCACTTAATGCTTGGTATTTGATGCTTGGTATTTGAGACTGGGTATTTGGTACTTCGTACTCGATGCTCAATGCTCGACATTCGATACTCTGTACTCTGTACTCTCCACTCTCACTCTCCACTCTACACCCTCCCCTCCCTCTCCCTCTCCCTCTCCCCCTCCTAACAGCCTCCAGACCATACAACACACAACCCAAACAACACAACGCACCTCCCCAGCGCCCAGCACACACACGCGACACCACCCCCGACCTCAAAACAAGCCTTCCGCCCGCCCGTCTAGCCCCCCTCCGAACAACCCCCTAGCCCGCATTCCGCCTCGCTAGTGCGCCGCTAGGTCGTGCGTTGCGCGGCCTAGATGCGCACTAAAAACCCGCACGCAGAACTTGTTCGGCTCTGCAGAGGCTCCGCAGATCTCCCGGCGTCGGCGTTCTAGACCCTAGACCTGGACTTAAGGGTGCGGGTTGGGGAAGGGGCGGGGTGGTTCCGCGGCTGCTACTACTACTGATGACAGGAGATGACAGGACGGGACAGGACGGGACAGGACGGGACGTGACAGAGCGTGCTTTGATTTGGCGGTGCGTGCGCCAACGGGTGTGCGATGTCGTGGCGTGCCAGAGGACTTGAGAAGGACTGGAAGGGTGGTCGCAGTCGGAGCGGGGAGAATCGGCGACAGGGGGTGCGGGTGCGGTGCGAGTCAGCCCGCGACCGAGGGCCAGAAGGCTGGAGCGCAGGAATTCTCTACCGCGAGAATACTCTGCCGCGAGAATACTCTCCGTGGTGGTGTTTTCAGTCGGCGGGATGCGGTGTGCGGCGACTCGCGACGTGCGACTCGGCAGTCGTACGATGCAGCAGTCGTACGGCCCATGGGTGCAGACTGCCTCGGCGATCATCCTTCACCTCACCCCCACGGCCCGTGTCCGCCCTGCGCCCACTGCACGGCTCCCCCGTCCCTCGCGCCGTTCCACTCCTGCGTATTCTGCGGCTGCTGCACCTGCCAGTGCTCCTTCCCGTTCTCCGCGCCCGCAGAGTGCTGCCGCGGAATGCCTGGCCCGTACACGACCGCCCTGCGCGTGCCGCCCGTGGGCTGCGGCATGTCGGGGATCGGCTGGGGCGAGGGCGTGGCGAACATGTGCTGCGGCTGGGCCTGCGACTGGGTCGACTGCTGGGGCGAGTCGTATGCGAGAGGCTGCTGGTACGGGCTGGTGGATGTGTTGTCGAAGGGGTTGCCGCCTGTGTAGGACATGTTGGCCGAGAAGGGGCTTGTTTGCTGCGGGAACAGCGATGGTGGTGTCGTGGGACCAGGGTACATGATGCCGGGCGTGTGGGGCGAGACTGACGGCATGGGGACCCACTGGGGGGGATAGGTGGAGGGGATCTGGTGGGGCGGGGAGGTGTGTGGAGATGTTGATTTGCGCTGGTAGAGCTGTGCGGAGAGCGCGGCGGACTCGCGCTGGAAGCGGTCGCGCCAGTGGGTGAAGCCGAAGCGCAGGCCGAAGTTGGAGAGGATCTGGGTGTAGTCGTTGAGCGCATTGATGGCGCGCACGGTGGGGTCGAGCGGCGTCATCTGCCCTTCTGGCAGCTGTGGTACGGGGAAGGGCGGTGGCCCGACCTGCGCGGGGGGTGCGAGCGGGTCGTCTGAAGTCATCGGTGGACTCGTCGTCGTCGCAGGCGGAGATGGCGGGACTGGACTGAGGATGACGTCTAGGTTGCGCGAGAGCACGTCCACAAACTGCCTGCCTGTCATGTACGCGCGCATGGCGTCGTAAAACGTGACTGGAGACTTGCTGGGCGACGCAGGCTTGTTGAGGATGGCCAGCAGTATGACAGAATATGAGATGCAATGCTCAAAGATCAGCCGCTGGGCATACTCATCAATATGCGGTATGCGCGGACTCGGCGACAGAATGTAGACGTAGCTGTAGAGCAGCTCCATCTCGAACCCTATCTTGAACGCTGGTAGCGTGCTTTGCGGGATGTCGTTGAACCAGTCAGTCATCCGCGCGTACTGCTTCCAGATGTAGGAATATGCCTCGGGCCAGGGGTCGCGTCCAGACTGGAACAGGTCCATGTACCATTCGGACTGGATCTCACGGATTCGGAACAGGTCCAGGGCAGAGTCGAAGTTCTGCTGGAAGACGGGCGTCCGCGGCGAGCTGTGTCTCGGCGACGACGCAGTATTGTGGCAGGGGAAAGCCACGTTAGTTGACTCGTCGGAGAACGAGAACGATCTGGTCTGCACGAGAGATGTGGATCTGGGGGGTTAGAATTTGGCGGTAGTGTGAGGGTGATGCACATACCGGTCAATGGCGTAGACACACCAATACACGCGCCTTCGGACTTCCAATTTACCTTTCGCGACGGTGACATTCCTGGACGGATCCTGGTGGATGCCCAGGTCAACCATGGCTCTCGAGGCGGCGCCAATGAGGGTCCAGCTGTCGAAGTGGTGCGGGTCCATGGCGGCGTAGATGGTGAAGAGCACCAGGGCCTGGATGCTCGTCACGTAGCCCGGGTGCAGGACATGCTCGGCGTTCTCCAGTGCAGCATTGACGTGGCCGACGGCGTCGGAGTAGTGAGTGTCACCCCGCTGCTCAGACTGCGATATGCAGGCGATGGCCAGGACCATGCGAACGATCCACCTGTCCCAGGGCGTTGCAACGTCGCCCTGCTGGTAGATGGCGTCTATCGATCCGTACAGAATGGCTTCCTCAAACACGGGCATGAGAGTGAAGACATTGTTTAGAAAGTGCTGAATCAATGGCGTTGCAGCGTGCTTTGGGGGCAGGGCTTTGTGGAGTCCTGTGGGGAGCGCCTCCTTGGCTGCAGCAGACAGGATCAGTCGGGCATACGACATCTCAGTTGTGAAGCCGTAGAAGTCTCTCGCCGTGGCATTGACGGCGCTGTGGAGTCAGCATCAGCATGGCTCGTTAGTTGTGTGGAAGACTCACAGAAGGCCGAAATCCGACACCAGCTCGTCAATCTGCGAGGCTTCCTTGCGGCGGGCAGCGCGCTTGCTGATGGGCTTGGATGCTTTGACGGTGTCGACCGAGGTCCTGCGGGGGGTGGAGGTCTCAGACGAATCCAGCATCAAGACGGTCGACGACTTCCTCCTGTTCCTCGACTCGGCAATCTTCTTTTCCAGACGCTCAACGCGGGCCTCGAGGGTGGCCACATAGCTCCTCTCCTTGCCCCGGGCGAACTGGTCGTTGGTGCTCGAGCACTCGGACGCACGATTCGACTTTTCACAGGCTGTACAGGCCGGCAGCTTGCCATCACACTTGACTTTGGCGGCCCGGCAGCGCGAGCACGCGGCCACCGGGCGGCTCACTCGGAGAAGCGGCGTGTCCAGGACCATCAGGTCGGTGCCTTCAACAGACGGGTAAGCGGGCGGGGTTTTCATGGCGGGCGCACAGCACGTGGAGGGCGAAGGGTGCACATGGGAAGGAGCGTCACAGACAGGCAGGCGGGCAGGCAGAGGGCATGCTGCAGTAGGTAGAGGGGCACGCTGCAATGGAGGGGCATGCTGCAATAGACGAGGGCACTTACCTACTCAGTACTGCAGCGCTGGAGAGACGGCGTCAGGCCACAGGCAGGTCCGCGGATGCAGCAGTCTTCGCTGTCTGACAGGCGGGCGCTGCGTGGTGTTGGGCGAGCGACGGGTGGCGGTCCAGTGCGGGCAAGTAGCGTCACGACTGGCTGGACCCTGGGCAGTTCACGGCAATACTGTTGGAGCGTAGCGCAGCACCGGCGAGTCAGCTACTGGATGGAAGTAGCCAGCGCCGGCGTGGTAGCAGCAGGCCATGCAGCGAATGCAGACAGGGCGCAGTGGTGCGCCGGGAGGCTCTGTGCTGGGCCGGCCTATCACGGCGGCGGTCCTCGGCTCGAGCTCGCGGCCAGGCTCACGTCGGCCTGTGGCAGCACGCAACCGTGACGACCGCACCAGCTGTGTCCTGCGTGGTGCCGCGACGGCGATTGGCTGGGGCAGCGGCAGTTGGGCGTGGGAGTGGGCGCCGGGCCAGGGCGGTGCTAACCACGAGCGGCTGCTGCATTTGCTGGGACGGGCTCGGTGTTCGTTGTGCGAGTTGAGCGCACATGCAGCGCGACGGCGAGGCTCGCTGCCTCCTCCTCCCACCTGCGAGCTGCCTCGGATACCGCCCACCGCCCGCCCGCGCCGCCCCTATGGCAGTGCATGCCGCGCGCAACCAGCCGAGCCCGACCACCCCTCACGCCCGCGGCGACGCCTGAGGACGGCGCCATGGAGCCCGCACGAGCGGCCAACGCAGCGACGGAGCGCGCAAAGACGGACGACGACGGCGCCGGCCAGGGCCGCATCGCACACACGCTGACGGCCTGCTGCCGCTGCCGCACGGTGAGCTGGCGCGAGCACGAAGCACTGGCGGGACACTGACGAGCGCAGCGCAAGACTCGCTGCGACCCCGGCCTGCCGCGCTGCGGGCCCTGCGAGCGCACCAACTCGCACTGCGAGTACTACGACCCCACCAAGGCCCGCCGCATCCCGCGCAACTACGTCGTGCACCTGCAGCACAAGGTGCGCGACCTCGAGCGCCAGCTGGCCGACCTGGACCGCGACGACGAGCCCGATGCCGAAGACGTCATGCGCGGCGCCGCCGCTGTGCGTGTGCAGGACACGGACGAGAGCAAGTTCCTGGGCCCGTCGAGCGGCATCACCATCACGCGCCTGGTCATGCAGCTGGCGAAGCAGTTCACCGAGTCCAAGACCATCTCCGAGATTGTGCCCCACGCCCGCCAGCGCTCCATCAAGGCCGCCTTCGAGCAGGAGGACGCCCGCCCGACCTCCAAGGTCTACCCGCTGGTCAGCGACGTGGCCGCCGAGGACCTGCCCAACCGCGACCTGACCAACCTGCTGGTCGAGCTGTTCTACTGCAAGGTCCACCCCATGTACCCCATCTTCCACGAGCCCACATTTACCCGCGACGTCGAGGCCGTCTACGCCGGCTCCGCCGACCCCTACCAGAACTACTGTCTGCGCATGGTCATCGCCATCAGCCTGCAGAAGATGGACACGCAGTACGCGGGCCTCGCCGACAGCTACTATCTCGCCGCCCTGACCTACTTCGAGGCTGCCATCAAGCCCATGAACCTTAAGACCCTGCAGTGCTTCGGCCTGGTCGCAGGCTATTCCCTGCTTACCCCGACCCGCACCGCCGTCTACTACATCATCGGCCTCGGCATGCGCCTGTGCCAGGCCCTCGGCCTCCACGAGGAGAAGACAGTGACGCGGGGATCCGGCGGCCGGCCCGCTGATCCGCTCGAGGTCGACATGCGGCGCCGCCTCTTCTGGAGTCTGCTCACCATGGACTACGGCCTGTCCCACAGCCTGGGCCGCCCGGCCCACTTTGCCGCTCGACGCCAGCACATCGACGTGGGCTTTGCCGAACTCGTCGACGACGTCTACATCACCCGCGAGGGCATCAAGCCCGCCCCGCAAGCCTCGCTCAAAAAATGGATCGGCATCCACTTCTACAAGATGCGCCTGCTGCAGCTGGAAATCCGGAAAATGCTGTACCAGCGCAAGACCGACGAGCCGCGCGACGACCAGCACCCGTGGTTCGCCGAGATACAGAGCAAGATCGAGGCCTGGCGAGACACGAGCCCGGAAATGGACGGCGGTTCGGGCTTGAACAAAGTCTGGTAAGTGCGTGGTCTTGTATACTGATCTTGCTAACAGCTCAGGTTCGTCGGCCGATACAACACCATGGTCGTCTTCATCTACCGCCCCTCGCCCCAGGTCCCGCGGCCCTCGCTGCAGGCCGCCGTGCGCTGCTACGACGCCTGCCAGTACAACATCTACATGAGCAAGCGGCAGATCGACATGAAGCTGGTCGACGTCACGTGGATCTTCGTGCAGTCCATCTTCATGTGCATCAACACCATGCTCTGGACACTGTCCTACCAGGACGTGCGCCGCCAGCACAGCCGGGAGGAGGTCGAAGGCCATTTGGCCGTGGCCATGGAGTCCATCGAGCTTGCGTCTGACCGATGGCCTGGAGTCGCCTCTGCCATCGAGCTGTACCACAACCTCATCGGGGCGTGCATGGAGATCTACACCAAGGACGGCGACGTGCCCATAACAGCCAACTCGCCCTCCGACTGCGCTTCCGTCGTGTCGGGCAGCCTTGTGGACGGCATCAACAGATCTCGCACAACGAGCCCTGCAACCGTGTCCACCACATCGGTGAGCACGCCCAAGGACAACCCCCCGCCGTTCGGCTATTTATCAAACCAGGGCCAATTCTTCAACCACGACCAGACACAACCCACCACCACCACCTTTGCCAGCTCGCCCATCACCCAGTCCTCCCAGCCCCCACAGCACTACGACCCCAGCCCGAAGACCTCCATGGACGCCAACGTCCCCATCTTCGCCTACCCGCCCACAACCCAGTTCTCCGCGCTGCCCGCCACCTTCGCCTCCATGCCTACTTGGAACCCAACCTTCGCCTACCCACCCGATCAGTACACCGCGCCGCTGACCTCGCCGCTGTACAACGAGTACTACGCCGCCAATCAAGGGTACGAGATGGCAGACTACCTGAACCCCGGGTGGAGCCAGGCGCGCGCCGAGGGCCTGAACCAGCAGCAGCAGATGCAGCTCATGCACGACTTTGAGATGAACGAGACGAGCAAGATTGAGGAGATGATCCAGCAGAGCCATCAGTTGTTTGTGCCGCCGCAGATGCAGACTTTTTGAGGGGTGCTGGACTTGAGGCTGATTGAGACTGATCGAGGACGGTGACGTACAAGCACCGACGCCGAGTCCACCAAAAACGCGCTTATGCACATAGTCCACCAGAAACGCCCATATGCGCCGAGCCCACATGCACCGCCGAGCATACTTCACCGTGTGCCGCACGCGTGACGCTCCGCACTTCACGACATGCATACGCCGTACGACTCGGCCGGACCGGGCGCTGCCAGCCACTCCCCAACCGAGGAGTGCACAAGCACCGTGCAAGATGCGGGTGTAGAGATGGGCGGTGGTAGACGGGCTGGGGTTAGAAGAGGGAGGATATTCAGGCTGGGCCTTGTGTTTGTATCAAGAACGTACATTATCTTTCCGTCGTGTTCTTTTCTCTTGACTGCTTGCTCTTTCTTGTTGTGCTTTCTCTCGCCTCACGAGGTGGACGAGGCCGCGATTGCAAGGTGAAGGCACGCCCACCGGCCGCCACAAATCCAGACACCCCAGCTATTGTAGCTCACAATAGCAGACTCACCCAACCGCAGCTATTGTCGACAGCGGCTATTGTCGACAGCGCACAATACGCCTGGGTGCATAAGAAGCCCGCCCTCCTCCCTCTCACTCGCTAACTGCTCTCAATCCCGTTCTTCTCAATCACGTCCTTCTCATTATTCTGCTGTGTTGTATGCTCGTGGCGCTGGCGCTGCTCTTTTCTAGTCTTCGCCGATTCGATTCTCGCCTGTCCTGGAGACCTGCTTTCACTCAGTCCAAGAGACTCCGCAGCACACCGTCACACTTCGTCGGCACGCTACGCGACACCCCGTCGCCCACGCTTCTGAGCCGTTTGGAGGCCTGCCTTAATCGGCCACAACACTCCCCTCCGCGTCAACCACACTTCGTCACGTCACGCGCAGCCTTCGCCATATCAACAACACAACGTCGCGTCTACAATTTCCTTCACATCCAACATCAGCCTTGTCCCAGCCCGCACACCAGCAGTCCAGTGTCCTTGTTCGGTGAACAACCAGACCACCTTCACACCACCCACACCACTCACCACTCCACCCACCCATCACACTCCACAATGCAGCCGACCACGCAGCCCACCCGCCTGACCTTCGCCCGCCTCGCCGCCAGCCTCGAGCGCCTCGCCGCCAGCCTCGAGCGCCTCGCCGCCACCCTCTCCACCCACTTCCCCGCGCCCCACGACGCCCAGCGCGCACACGCCCTGCACCGCGCCGTCGCCGCCGCGCTGAAAACGGTCCGCGCGCGCGCTCGCGGCGTCCCCGGCCCTTCGCCTGGCCAGATCAAGCGCGGGCTGCAGGACGCGGTTGATGGGATCCATGCGCGGTTTGATGGGGGTGCTGCATCCTCCACCACCACTGCCGCCACAGCAGGAGCAGCAGCAGCAGCAGCACCAGCACCAGCAGCATCAGCAGCAGCAGCAGCAGCAGCATCAGCAGCCACAGCAACAGCACCACCACCACCACCACCACGCCGCACCCTGCGCCCCCGCCCGCGCCCCGCGCCCGCCCCCCAGCGCATCGAGAAACCCCCGCCCCGCGCCCGCGGCCGCACGCCCGCCCCCCGCGGCCCCGCGCCGCCCTCCGCGCTCCTCGATCCCGCCGCCGCCGAGCGCGCGGCGGCCGCTGTCGCGCTCCTGGGGCTCGCGAGGCATGGGGAGGGGACTGTGTTGAGGGGCGTGAAGGGCTCCTCCTCCTCCTTTTCCTCCTCCTCTGCTGGGGCTGCTGGGGCTGCTGCTGCGTCTGCGTCTGCGCCTACCACCCTCCGCGCACCCGCACCCGCACCCGCACCCGCACCCACACCCAGGCCCGCACCCGCGCCCGCGCCCACCGCCCTCCACGCCCCCCCATTCGCCCCCCTCCCGCTCCTCCCCCCCTCGCTGACGCCACCCCGCGCCTTCGAGGCAGGCGTGCGGTACGCGGCTGCGCACTTTGGAGGCGGGGTGGGAGGGGCTGGGGTTGTGGAGTTTGTTCGGGGGGAGGTTGGGAGGATGGAGAGGGAGGGGGAGATGAGGGAGATGAGGGGGGAGATGAGGAGGGGGAGGGAGGAGGGATATGGGGTGCCTGCTGTTGGGTATGCGGCGGTGGGGTCTGGGGTTGAGTTTGGGGGGAGGGGGTTTTGGGGTGTTGTTTAGGTTTCTTTTTGTTTTTTCTGGTTTTTTGCTGGTGTTTTTTGCTGGTGGGTTTGTGCGGGTTCTAGGTCTTTTTTGTTTCGGGCGCTGGGGGAGTTGTAGGCCTTTTAATAGTTTGAATCGCACATGCTTATCCCCGGGAATGACTTTGTAGTGCCCCATGTGCGTCGTTATTATCTGCACTGTGCTATTCTACAAATTGTGGGACTCCACTGTAGGCTACGGGGGTTCCGTGTCTTCACTGCTGCTTTGTGGACTGCTTGAGGTGAGCTCGACGTGCGACCGAGGTGGCGAGTGCATCGCATCGCACAAGTCAGAAAGGCCGTTACGAATCTCGATTCCGTGACCGTCTATACATATGTACAAGAAGAATCTGCCCCGTGAGTATCACTCCGGACCCCGTTTTACACCTCGCATCCCGCATGCCCGCTAGTGGGACGGCACACGGCCGTTGAGTCGTGACTGCGTATCCAACCCCTCGATCTCGTCTCAATTTCAACCTCAAACCCAGCCCCCCCATCTCTCAAACGTCCTTAACAAACCCCACCTCCACCACCCCCTCAATCGGCACCCGCAGACTCTGCACCTTGGCCCGCGTATTATCCCTTAGCACAATGAACCCGCGCAGCAGCACCCGCCGCCACCACGCCGTCGCGGGCCGGATCCGCATCTGCTCTTTGCCGATGATGTAGAGGATTGCTGCGGGGGGCGCGAATGCGCGGTCGAGGGTCGCGAGGCGCGTTGCTGTGTCGTCGCGTAGTGTGGGCGCGGGAGGGGGGGAGATGGAGGGGGAGCGGGGGTGGGTTGTGGTGGACGCGGGGACACCGACGGACGTCGCCACGGCCGCACCCGCAGAGGGGTTTTTCAGGATCCCCGACGCGCGGCGCGGGTTCGGCGGCGGCGGGGGCGCGGCGTCCGGGTGCGGTTTCGCGCCGCGCGCGACGATGTGGGCGCGGACTTGCTCGTAGATGAGCGCGGAGAGGTCCGGGGTGAAGACCTCGTCTTTGTAGCCGTGGTCGACGACGAGGCGGTAGCAGTGCGGGATCGCGAGGCGGGTGACGCTGTAGCGCAGCTCGAGCGGGACCGTGGGCGTGGCGAACGGCCGCAGGTGGAAGAACACCATGACCTCGGGCGCGGTGACGAGCTTGCGGATGAACTGCGAGAACACGATGGGCGTGGTTGTGCCTTCTTTGTCGAAGAAGATGCCGACGCCGCCCATGGAGCTTAGTTCGCGCCCGCCGAAGCGCGGGGTTAGTTCGAGGGTGCCTGAGGAGCGCGCGCGCACGAAGTGCGTTGTGGTGTAGTGGTCTTCGGCTTCGGATTTCCACTGCGCTTCTTTGCCGAAGCGCCACAGCGCGAAGATGCACGCCAGCACGCACGACAGCAGGATCGTGAACCAGCCGCCGACGGGGACCTTGGCGAGCGCGGAGCTGAGGAAGGTGCCGTCAAGGCTGCAGATGGCGACGAGAGGGAGCACGATATAATAAGGTTTTATACGCCACACGAGGATGGCGATGAGGGTGACGAGGATGGTGTCGAAGAGCGTGACAAACATGACGCAGACGCCGTATGCGTCACCGAGGGCGGCGGTGTTGTTGTAGATTGCAGCCACAAGAACGGTGCCGATCATGAGCAGCCAGTTCACAACAGGGATGTAGAAGTTGCCGTAGTACGTCTTGGAGGTGTGGATGACCTGGATCTGGGGGAAGTAGGAGAGCTTCATGAGCTGGGCGAAGAGCTGGGGGGATTAGCCAGGCGCAACAAACAGCAACACGACTTACATGGAAGGTGGCAGTGATGATGCACTGCGACGCGATTATGGCCGCGAGGATGGCGATGATGAAAGACGGGATCAGCCACCCCGGCGGCGCGCAGTTGAAGAACGGATCCGCATACGCCTCAGGCCGCTCCGCGATGAACGCCGCCTGCCCAACGTACGTCAGGAGCAGACTGGGGTACACGAACCCGATCCAGCTGACCTGGATCGCCTGGCGACTGTAGGCGCCAATGCCGGCAAACAACACCTCCACGCCGGTGAAGCAGAGCAGAATGCCGCCGAGACTGCGCCAGCCGTCGTACTTGTTGCGGGCGAGGTAGTCGAACGCATAGTACGGGTTGAACGCCTGCAGCATGCCATGGTCGTGCCTGGAAAGTCAGTGCGGTCCGCAGTACCACTAGTTCCACATACCGAGCGAGGTTGTACATGCCGAACGCCGAGTTGAGCGCCAGCCACACAATGACAATCGGGGAGAACGCCTTCGACCAGCGGTTGATGCCAAACGGCTGGGCGAGGAATAACACAACCAGAATAGTGCACGTCACGCCGATGATGGTCGACTTGGAGATGCTCCGGTTGATCTCGTTCAGGCCCTGCACTGCGCCGAGGACGGACTGGGCGGGGGTCAGGACGCCATCTGCAATGGCCATGGACACGGCGAAGACGCCTATCGCCTGGAGGAGATAGCGGAAGAAGGTGGTTTTCTCAATCGTCGAGCGGACGTGTTTTTGCGATCGACTGAACAGAACACGTGATTTGCGCGATCTTGCTGCGTCGCGAGGATCGCTATTTGAGATGTTTGCCTGACTTTATGAGCTTTGAAATGGACATGGAGTCTTCACTTACATATCGAGAGAGCAGCGAGTATGTGCTAAACGATCCACCCTCGCCGTCGTTGTCGGCGCGCAGAATGATCAGAACATACTTGAGCGTGACTATGACGGTGAGAGACCAGATGATTAAGGAAAGCGCCCCGCGAATATCGGCACGACTGGGCGGCTTCACGAATGTTGAAGAGAAGACATAGAGAGGCGATGTCCCGATATCCCCGTATATCACGCCCACAGACTCATACGCGAGGTAGAGCAACTCGCTCACGCTGAAAGCCTGCAACAGTCAGAAAAGTCTGTCGCTCGCACTACAACATCCCTGTCGCTCACACTTCAACATACCTGTCGCCCCTTGTACCCTCCCTCGTCTCGCAGCTGCGGGTCTTCATCCTCGGGAGTCTCAAGCTCCAACGGCTTCTCAACGTCCAACGACGGTCGCCTTGCGCCACGTGACCGCGAGCGTTTTCGCAGCGCCGCGCCCTCTCCCGCGTCGACGGAGGGTTTTGCTTTCGACCGAGATGACGTGTCTGGAGGTTCATGTGCAGCGGGCATGGCCACTGGTGCTGCGGCTGGCGCCCTGAGGCAGGGCTGCGGACTGCGTGAGTCTGGAGCCGGAGATGATGAGCAGCCCGTGGTCAATAAACGAAGTTCCGTACTGTCACACGGGCAGGGAGCAGAGACCGCCGCGTGGTTGGTCCTTCAAGAGCCGGGTTATCGGACGACCCATCTTTCCACGTGCTGTATAGAAGGTCGGATGCCTTCTCTCAGGAGGGGGTGGCTTAGAGGGGCGAACCCTAAATCCGGCATGGTCTCGGCTGCCTAGCGCCTTGAAAAGCGCCATCTCCATCTCTTTCGAGGCGAACACGCGGGTGCCCGGGACTTAACGCAATTGTGACTGGCGTGCTCATGTCGGTTGCTGAACGACGCTGCAGGGCTGGCGACGAAGAGAGCACAACGTGGGCAATGAATGCCGATGATAGGCGAGCCGACGTTGGTGATAGCTGTGCATGGTGATTGCGACATTTGCAAGCCACACAATCCCAGACGTGATGCGGTCGTCTTGACGAACGCGGCGGTGAGCGCAGGATGCGGGTGCATTGGAGTTGATGCAGGGTGGGCGCTGGGTGCGGGAGGTGCCGGTCGAGGCAACACGACCGAGTCTTGGACCATGAACGTGAAACAGAGGCCAAGTTATGCAGCTGCTTTCAAAGTGTGGTGGTGGTGTGAAGCTCCTGCGAGAAGTGCACTTCGACTAGGTCATCTTGTGCACACCGGGCATGCTGTACAACACGGCCACGTTACTGAGATCCAAAGGATTGTAGTGGCATCACGAGACTACGGCGCTTCTAGATCGGGATTGCCTGTGCTCATGGTGCTCAACGTTGGCTGGATGACTGCATTGCAGGTGTTCCGATTGTTAAAGTTGGCGACACGAACTGCCTTTATCGAATCATTTCACATCGCGTAATCACTGGCCAGTGGAAGATGGACGGGTAATGTGTTTCTCACTATATTATTGTAGGAAAAGGGTATTTAATTGAGGGTCAGACAACGCCACGCTGAATACAATTTGTCCGGGTATCGAGTTGATCAGTCCAAGGTAGTTCTGGAAATACTAGCTTAGACGCCAGCCATGTCAGGTGGGGGAGAAGTGTCGTTGCGAGACGAGTTGCGGATGTGGAGAGCAGAGAGCACGGTGGTGGCAAGGAAAAGCAGCCTACGCTATGTTAGCAGATTGGTCTCAAAGAAACAGCGTCAGACTGACCAGAGGAAAGCTCCAAATACGATCGCAGCAACACCGCTGTTGTGGAAGGTGCCGTGGCCCCACCAGCCGCGGTAGCTCTCGCGCCACAGCACAGCCACGGCGATGAAGGATGCGAACCAGAAGAGCATGGTCAGGAATTCAACAGCCGCGATCGCGAACTTGTGAGCAGCACGAGGGAAGCGCGTGGGTGTGAGAGTCAAATATGCGACCGCAAGCAGAGTCCATACTGAGGTGAAGAGCATGAAGTTGAGGCTGTGAGGAGACCATGATGCCCATGGGTTGGTATATTGGTCGACGACTGCACATGTTAGTGATGCACGTAGACTATCTAACTTCAGTACTCACGGTAAGCTGTGAGGCCCAAGACGATGATGGCGAAGACCAGCTGCACGCCCCGGATGCCCAACACGATGGCTGGAGCGACCATTGTTGTAAGTTGTGATTGGTTTGATGTGGCGGAGGATTGGTAGGATTTAGATGGGATTTGTTGCGAATATGCCTTTTGAAGACTTCGCTGTCAAGAGAGGTTGGGCTGAATGTGAAGTCAGTCACCCATCACGCGCCCTCTATTATACATACACGCCCAAGAGCGATGATGACAGCCATGGAAAGGGAGTCTTGTTTTTACGGATCGTACGTCATGGGCAGTGGCGCGTGATCATCGGGGACGTTGATTGGCTCAGACTTCGTTGATGCGACAAACTAACAGCGCGTTTTCGGCATAGCGGCACAGCGCACAAAGATCTGCCCTGCCCCGTGTGCGTTTGCAGTGCTTTGATGGGCGACATCATAGTCTAGATCCCTTGCCTTGTGCTTCATTCTGTTCGACTGAGTCTGAGCGACTCCAGCCACCGCGATGGCTCCCTCAAGGCTCATTCGGCCTGTGCCGACGTCGCGATCTTGACAACGCGGTGTTGTGGCGGTGCGCTCACCGCGTTTCTCACTGCCTCATTTTGACGTGGCCGCAGGGTATGTCGGCAAGAACGGCACCAGATCTAGGCTCAGCCCGTTCCTTCCTTTGTAGCTCGATGATATGAACGTCTGCCTCTGCCGTTTTCCAATTCTCAACCTTTCAGCAAACGTACACTTTGTGCAAAGCAATATGCACGGGCCCTGAGCCTCGTTGGTCGTATTTACGTCATGCCAGAGCGTCAGCACTGGTGTTGGAGCCCCTGCGTTTCAAGCGATCGATAAAGGTAGGCGAGTTTGTGTTGTACAGCAATCAGCACGGTGTCGAGGTATAGCGTCGCTGTTCGTCAGTATGACAAGCACAACGACAGGAGGTAGTGACGACCATCGACTTGATGAGCGGTCTTCAGTTGAAGCTGTCTTTACCTCTGGCTCAAATCATCGTTTCCTGTCTCTTTCTGATATTCAGCCTATCCGTCTTTAGACCCCTGGATCTACGCCCTCGAGTGGACGATTGCACCTGGCTTGCGAGGATCGATGCGGTCGTATCTTCCAACAGCTAGGGCCTTCACCCGTCCGTTACATCTTTCTTGGCCGAACGCGATTGCTTTCAATGTCCGGACCAACTCGACCGCGTTTCAGCCAACGTGATTTGACCTGGCATGTTGCCTCTTGATGCGATCAATTTTGAGCGGTCAGCTTACAGGGCTATTCAACGCCACGGGTGACTTTGTGAGCAGCACCTGAGAAAGAGATGGAATCTGCCCGGTTTTGTTGTGCACTGCCTCTAGCAGGTCCCATAACTGCGACGGTCACGCGGTATCGGAGGTCATCGACGGAGCCAAGCCGGCTGAACCCCAACGCTACTGTTCCCCCGCGTTGCGACTCCACACAGTTCGTCTTATGCAGTATCTAACGGCCCGTGTACCCATTCACCGCGCCCGCGTCAAGACGGAACATTACCGAGTGCCCGTTGCTTTACACTGTCGTTGATGAAGACGCTCTTCTCTTTGACGACCATGGCCACTGCAGTAACCACATGTCTCGTCGGAACCTCAACAATCCATGGGTAGACGAGTTGATTGATAGGAATCGAATAGTCTCTGAACTTTGAGGTCTCGCTCCTAGGACCGACTTTGGAGTTTTCATGGATCGGATCCTTGCACCGGAGATGCGACAGAGCCGCAATACAATACATGTCTTACCAAGTCCACGGTAGAGTGCCGCGTGCGGCTATAGTGAACACAAGCCCGTCAAGGACCGCGTTTTCCCAATTAGGCCAGTGAAATGCTTACTGTAGATGGTCTTGGCTTGCTTACTTGCATGATACCCGTCTGGGGCCGTCAATCTCACCCTTAATAGCACAACCTAAGGATGCAACATACCAGGTCGCATTGTCTACACGAGACAGGACATCTGCGATTGGTCCTCAGTCGCCCTCGTTTCAGGCTTTTCGGGACTGTTGGACGATCATCGGTAGGTTTATGACCCGACGATTGGAGGATTCGTCGATGTATTTACCCGGTGCCGAGGGTTACCCTGAAGTGCCCAGACGCCTAACCCTCCTGAGGTGTCGTTTCGGTATTGCGGGTTCAATTCTCCGCCTTTCATCACGCGAACAATGAGGGACCTGGGGAAGAGCCGAAAGATGGGGGATGCAACATTGCGACCCTTGGCGGAGACCATCTATAAGGTTGTGCCCATGCCTTTGCAGATGCTCGACAGCGCTTCGCAGCCCTCGCTTCATCGACAATATGGCGATCCAAGATGGTACCTCCGATCCGATCATCACGCGCATGGTCGCGGAAGACAAGGTACATTTGACAATGCCTGCTAATACAGCTGTGTGCTAACGAGTTTCAAGGTGCCATGGTACAAGAAGCCCAATCTCAGGTACATGTACCTTTGGCTGTTTTTATGCTGCATGGGTGTGGAAATGACATCTGGTTTCGACTCGCAACTGATCGGCACACTACAATTCTCACAGCCATTCAATAAATGTAGCCCGACCGGAGCTCCAGTCCACAGCAGTTGCTAACGGATACAGACTTTGGCGATGGCTACCAGACCCTCAACTCCAAAAAAGAGCTGCAGTGGGACATTAAGCCAGGCATCCTGGGCTTCATCTCATCATGCTATCAGCTTGGCTCTATCGTCGCAGTCCCAATCGCACCATGGCTCAACCAGAGATACGGAAGACGTTGGTCAATCATGGTCGGCTCTGTCACCATGGTCATTGGAGCAATCCTACAAGGTTTCGCTCAGCATAGTAAGTGCACAGCACCTGTCGTCGGGCATAGTACACGTACTGACTATGCATACAGTCGGTATGTACATCATCGCTCGTATGCTTCTCGGCGTTGGCATCCTCTTTGCCATTATCTCAGGATCCGCCCTCATCGGAGAACTCGCCTATCCTAAGGAGCGTGCAACTATGACCTCGCTCTTCAACGCCTCGTACTTTATCGGGTCCATTCTCGCCGCATCTATTGCGATCCGCACTAGTGGTATTGCAGGAGACTGGAGTTGGCGTCTTCCTTCGCTGCTCCAGATCTGCCCCTCTATGTTGCAGATCTGCACCGTCTTCCTCCTACCTGAGAGTCCCCGTTGGTTGATCAGCAAGGACCGCGATGACGAGGCGTTTGCTGTCCTCACCAAGTACCACGCCGAGGGTGACGCCGACTCTATCCTCGTCAAAGCAGAGATGGCGCAGATCCGCTCGACTATCAAGCTTGAAATGGAGCACTCTAGCCAGTCCTGGCTTGACCTTTTCAAGACCCCCGGTATGCGTCGCCGAACCCTCATTGCTGGTTTCCTTGGCCTCTTCACCCAGATGAGCGGCAACACTCTCCTTTCGTACTACCAGAACCTGCTGTTCGGTCTCATTGGCTACACCAGCAACTACGCAAAAACACGTATCAACATCGCGAACCAGTGCTGGTCTTTCATGAACGCGATGGTCATCGCCCTTATCGTAACACGCTTCCGACGCCGCTGGATGTTCATGCTGTCCGCTGGCTCCATGACGCTCGTCTTCATGAGCATGACGATCTGCTTCCAGCGCCTCGAGCTCGCTCGAGATGCCGGCTTCACCAACAAATCCGCTCAGTACGCCGCGCTGTTCTTCTACTTCGCCTACTCGCCCTGCTACAACATTGGCAACAACTCGCTCACATACACGTACCTCGTGGAGCTGTTCCCGTACGCCCAGCGCTCCATGGGTATTGGCTTCGAGCAGATTTTCGGCAAGCTGGGAGGCTTCTTCAGCATCAACGTTAACCCGATTGCGATGAAGGCGATCAGCTGGAAGTACTTCGCCATCTACTGCGGCTGGATCACATTCGAGTTCTGCTTTGTGTACTTCATGTACCCCGAGACGTACAACCGCACGCTCGAGGAACTCACGTTCTGTAAGTCACAGCGTGATGGTAAATCGATAGGACAGTTGCTAACAGCGGAACAGTGTTCGAAGACAAGGCCCTTGCCGACGAGGCCGTCAAGGCGGTGGAGAAGCAGGTCAACAGCGCGCATCTGGATGGCGAGGAGCATGGGAACAAGTCGCACGTCACAGCCGTCGAGCGGGCTCTCTAGACGTCTCACTTCCAAGTATCTATTGGCAGACATGATTACGACTCATGACATATTATGCACACGTCAATTATGATTGTTGAACATTGTGAACACATGGGTAGATCTACGTGCGCAACAATGCTAAATGACCCTCATTGATCTTGTGTTACAGACCCGCACCCTTTCCCATGTTCTCGGCGGTGGGCTTCACAGTTTAGTTTTCCCGTTATTTGCGTATGCGAACTGCCACAACGTCCTTTGCAACGTCAATATGACATTGAGCTTGCATGGCCTAGAGTCTCTGCTCGATGGTTCTGTCAATCTCTTGTGCCCATCTTCCTTAACTCGTGTGCACTTCCCAGCAAGTCCTACTCCTGCCCACTATCCCTCCGCAAGCACCTAGCTGTGAACAGCGTCTCCAATCCCGGAGCATTTAGCCGCTGAATATCCCACTCGCAAGCCTGGCTCTCCAGATGAAGCACAAGAGAACTCAAATGGCCGAACGCCTTCCTGCAGCCCTCAGCGCGGCACACAAACGGCATGAGAATACCGTTGTGCATCCACTCATGCACCTCGCCCACGTTGACACGGTCCGTGCGAATCTGCGCGTGGATGTCGAGATCCATGAACAGCGGCGAGTACCACCACTCGCCCAGCACCTGCAGCAAGAGCGCGGGATCGTGGAACTTGGGGCATGCGCCGGACTCCAGGTGGTTGATTAGGCTGGAGAAGGTGCGCATGGGCAGCTTGCAGCCCCAGCACGGGATCGCGGCGACGGCGTGCTTGGTCATGTGCTGCGTTTCGTCAGTGCGTGTCGATGGGGAGGCGGAGGGCTTACGATGCGCAGGTTGCCCTCGTGGGGCGTGTAGAAGCCGCACTGGTCGCAGGCAAAGCACTGGTGCAGGTGGCGCGCGAGGCCGCCCTGGCCGGCGCAGGACTCGCCGCAGTGCGGACATGGGACTGGGAGGTTGCAGCCTTCCTGGTGTTGGAAGAGCTTGGTCTGGCTGGGGAAGATGCGCTTGCATCCGTCGCATCGGAAGTGGTCACGCTCGTGGTGTGTCTCGAGGGCGGCGATATCAGGGCCATCGAAGTCACAGCCTACCTGCAGGCAGTGTTTGTGAACTACGAAATTAAATTAGCATACTACAGCCATACATCAAAGAACCCCAAAGCACGTACCTGTAGTCGTCCTCCAGTGTTTGTCGCGCTCATCCTGGGATCTGAATGGTCGCTTGCAGGTGAGGCACCAGGTGTGTTTCTTTGCTGTCTTCAGGTGCTGGTCTAGCTCCACCTGGCTGCGGAACCCAAGCAAGCAGGTCAAGCAGACAAAGCGATGATCTACCTGATAGTTGTTCTCGAAGTGGTTTTTGAGTCCCCAGTCATCCTTGAAAGCGCTGAGACAGAGATTACAGAAAGTCTCGTGGCCTTTGGTGTGGTCAACGTGGTTCTGAAGACCATTGCGGTCTTTGAACACGCGAACGCAGAGGTTGCAGTAGTGCTTGTGATCTGGTGTTTGCTTTACATGGCTCTGAAGTGCGTTCTTGGTGGGGAACTTGATGTTGCATGCGCCGCACCAATTCTCGTGGGGATCATAGGGCTTTTCGCTGATAGCTGTGGCATTAGAGACAGCGCGCGCGCGATCTGGTGGGCTTGATGTCCTGCGTGGAAGCGGCCTTTGAGCAGTCTTGATTGTCAGTGTTCGAATTGATGGCGCAGCTACTGGTGCAGAGGGAGCGCCGCGCTTCTTGACATCCTGCCAGGGTAGAGGATCATCCGCGACTTGATTCAGGAACGGATTTTTGGTAGGGTCTTCAGGTGGAGTGGGCGTTGGTAGATCCACTTCACCCTCACGGAAAAGAGAGTATCGATTGACGTGTTGAGACGCCATTGCCGTGGTCTGGTGTGGCATACCAGCAGAGAGTGAGTGGAGGATGGAGCGATCTGGCAGACGCAAAGAATCGAGCGGACGGTGAAGCTGGGCAGCTTGATGGTGATGTACCGTCTCGAACCTCTGAAGCGATGGACCAATCAAGATTCGCTCTAGGCAGCAAAGCTTGGGGACACCAAACGGGAGCAGACATATGCGGTACAACCAAAGTGAAAGCAAAGGCAGACGTACCACACCCTATCGAGCTGCAAGCACGCGAATAGTTGAAATCCTATCATCTCAGCGCGTGCGCACGTGCTGTTCTCGTGTGTAATCATCCCTCGAGGGAAGGTGCAGAGGGTGAGCCATAGGGTCAATACATCAAGCAATCTTGGACAGCGCGACATGCTCATAGAAGCATGTATCTGCACTAGAATGCACGAGTAAGTAGTAGCGAGTGGACGTTTATGTAGTGAACTATGACTCTTGTCTTTATTTTTGCTTATCTATTAACTTAAACGTTCAGTGCCTTGGCGATGGCCTCTCCGATGGCTGTCGCACTCGGGGGGTTCTGGCCGGTGATCAAGCGTCCGGAAACAGCAACCTTGACGCCGAAGGGCTCAGCGGCCTTGACGAAGTGTCCTCCGGAGGACTTCTGCAGGGCAGTCTCGGGGAGGAAGGGCACGGCATCGGTCAAGCCAACGATATCCTCCTCAGCATTTGTGAATGCTGTGATCTCCTTGCCAGCGACCAAAAGGCTACCGTCCGAAAGCTTGGCGTTGTAGAAGACGGCGGGCGCGTGGCAGACAGCCGAGACAATCTTGCCAGCTTCCCAGAACTCGCGGATCAGCTGCTGCGATACGGGGCTGTCGACAAGATCGAACATGGGACCGTGGCCTCCGACGTAGAAGATGGCATCGAACTCATTGGCCTTTCCAACAAAGTCCTCCAGCTTTTGTGTGTTCTGGAAGATAGCCTTCTGGTTCTTGAAAAAATCGACAGAGACATCGTCCTGAGCAGCCTCAACTGACGCGGGGTCACAAGGAGACTCACCACCCTTTGGCGATGCGAAAGTGATCTCGGTCTTCTCATGCAGAACGTGCCAGGGGTGGGCGAGCTCGGGCAGGTAGAATCCGGTGGGCTTGTCGAGGCTGCCCAGCTTGTTGTGGGAGGTAAGGACAAAGAGGATCTTGGGGGCCATGATGAATGAGGTGTTGTGGTTTTCGGGGAAAGGTTGCAATTGGAGTGAGATTGGAGTATTGGAGTATTGGGGTGTGAGTATTGTATGGAAATATGCTAATTGGCGGGGTCTCACTCATTCTTTATATCGCCAAACAGTGATGTTGGCTGGGACGCTACTATGTCATCGCGGGGTTATCGACCATGGTAGCTCCGTACATGTCGCCGAAAAATCGCGGTGTCTCTCCATCACCTTCGGCTGGCCTCCTTCAAAAGCTGCGGCTTCTCCATGGCATTACCTCGGTGCAACACCTCGGGTTCTTCGCGCATGACAACAGCCAACGAGATCTTACAACAGCCAGCTGGGGGCCTCTGCAGTAGGCCCGCGAGGTTTTTTGCATATTGGTGTGCAATTCTATTGTGCAGAAAAAAACGAAAACATGCACATTCGCAGATCTTCCCCTGTGACCTCATCGCCCAACGCGCGAAGCAAGCGCGGTTGCTTGTATCCTCAATCTCCGGAGGTAGATTTTATGCAGCGATCTTTCTACTCAGCTGTCCTGGCATCCATGCCCCACTTTCGCATTGTTCATGCACGTACTTTTTGAAAACGCCACGCAAGTAGACGAACTCCCAAATATGGGCTAGGCATCCCAACGTGTACGTTTGCAGGTGAGTGAAAGTATCTGAATGAGGGGTAGTGCAGCGGACGAGCTTACGACACCGTTAATGCCAGGTAATCTGGTACAACGACGTTGAGATCGGAGTCAAGTGGCATTGAGGCTGCTCTCGGGCTTCTGTGACAGTCCGCCATGGCTTAGGACAGGCTGATACTGTGGTAAGTGATTGCAGCTAGCCCTCATCTTTGTCGTACACACAGGCTAGGTAGGCAGTAGGAATACCGTACCTAGTCTAACTGCTTTCAGATAACCATACACGTGATATCCATTCAGGTACAGTGCGGGTCTCGCGCTTTTTGTCAGCACCAATCAAAGTGCACACAGGATTTTTTATGCAAGATGATAGGTACTGTCTACAACAAGTGTAGACTAAGATACGGTAAGACAGGCCAAACATCCAACCACGCTGTCCCGGGCACATCCGAGCATGCACTTGGCACTGCAGGTTCAAGTGAGAAGGATCGAAGCCTCGCCAGACCTGACTATTCAAGCGTATCCACAAGCTTATTGGCCAGGTATACGAGAGGATGAATCCTTCGAAGTGCTTGCTGCTCGGACGCGCCGGCTTGCAGCAACACAGTGAAGGCTTGGAAAGCCAATCGACAGATAGCCCACCCACTTTGTGCCATGATCAAGAATAGCTTAGCAGGAGCATAACGCTGGCAAAGGAGACAGATATCAATACGAGTAGAATATTACGCTCTCCGTCCCGTTTTTCAGCTATTCCAGGGTTCTAGTACAGGAAAGAGCAGCTGCTCACAACATGAGTCAGGAGCCCGGGGAAGTTCTTTGCTCTTGGGAGCGCGCTCACTGTTCCTGCTGACAGCTTCTTGTATTTCAACCTGCCTTCCGGTCCATCATGAACTGTTAGGCGATCCAGAGGGATAGAAAGAGCTTCATTGAGCGCGAAGTGACTGCCATGGTGAGGTGTGTATTGAGAGTCGGCCCGCCAAGGTAAGAGATAGTTTCTTTTGGACTCTTTGATGGGCTACGACTGTTGGTCGAGGTTCATCCTTAGCTTCATACTGCTTTTCATCAGTCACACAGGCCACGCGGATACCAAATATAATATGGTCGAATCGTTGCTAGGTAGGTAACTGATACAGATCTTGTACCGATTCCCGACTTCCCGGCGTCTGAGATGATCCGAAATATGGTGGCGTGCATCTTTGGCAACATGCCATGATGACTTGAACAACATGTGAGTATATCCTGCTGCTGCATAACCGAAGCTCAGCTCATTACAGGTGTATATACCACGAAGAAGCTTTCACCAACTTCTGCCAGCCTGGCATCGTTATCTGACACGCTGATGCTTTGTGCTTCTCCATCGGCACTGGTGATGTCCAGCAAACTGGACTGATGCATACCCCGGAGTACAGAATCCACAGCGGATGCTTACATTACACACAATTGCGGCACGTTCGTCGCCGGGATGGGCGTGTAGCTTTCAAGGTGAAAATTTCCGGCCTGTGGCTCAGACGCGAAAAGCAATCGTGCTTCTTACGTGGGAGCATAGCGTCGGTACTTGGTGCGCATGGCGTAGATAGTTGAAACCGATTGATGTCATCCCTTTCAGTAATGGCTGTCTATACTCATGTTGGAAGGAAACGGAGGAGATTGACTGCCGATGTTTATGTTAGGAGGATATGGCGATATCGGTGTACCGGAAGGATACGACGGGCTGTAGGTGGAAGGCGCGGACATCGACCGTTCACCGTGCCATTCATCCTTCTCTTCCTCTGGTGAAGACAGCTCGAGCAGCTTCTGGGGTGAGCCGACTGTCATACCGAGCTGCGTCAACTTGTCCTGGAGGATGCTGATAACCGCGGGATTTCCGCCTCGGAAGCTGGAAAGGACCTGCGAAAGAGAATGGATGAGATCACGTGGGCCAATGCCGAAATGCGATTCATGGTTCATGGCAGGCATGATAATCATCACGTCCGCTAGTGAGTTGGCAACATCGAAGAGTTTCGACTCCTAAGGGACTATTAGTAGGGTTATTCGCGCTGGTCAGACTGGTGCGCATACCATGCCTGGTCCATGAGCCTCTACACTCTGCTGAGACAGGCTACTCAGATTCGATAGAACGTTCTGCGCAACTTGTGCTGGGAATGAAAAGGAGAATTCGTTATCGTTGTGCATGCTGCTCAGGTTTGTGACGTTGAGTGCATGCTGCCATAAAAAGATACGCATCCACTGCTGTGTCATAGATATGTCAGCCCGTTGCAGCTCGTTCTCAAGGCTTAGCGGCGCTTCATCGCTACTGAGTTCCTGCTGAGCCAGTGCAAGTGCGCTCCTAGCTGACGAAGGATCCGCTGTAATGGTAACGTCCAAGATGTTGAAGAGGCGGCAGAGCTGTATGAACGCTGGAGTGACCAAACCGTCGTTCAGATTTTCCAATGGCGGTAGGTCCGGCGCTCGCTTCAGTGTTGTGGGTACATCGTGCTGTATCGAATGGGCTCTCTCGGTGATGAACAGAAGCCAATAAAGTCTCAAATTCTGTTGCACCTGCTCAGGGCTCATGTACTCGTAGTAAGAAGGCTTGTGCAGCCCGAGGACATGTGCTTTCGTAATCGCTTCTCCCAGGTAAACAGTTGAGGCGTTCATTCGGCCGATATTCGCAGAATAGACGTGTAGAAAAAAACTACCCAGTATCGAAAAGAATGTCGTGTGTTCTAGGTGGTCGCCTACATCGCGCATACGCCTCGCCTCTGCATCGAAGACACCACTTGAAACACGGTAGTGTCCTTCGACTGGGCTGCCTGGCTCGGCGTCGATAGAGAACTGGCTTACAACGGCAGCCGAAATGGCGGTGGCCAGAGCGTAAGCTTCCACGTCATCCGGATGAGTGAGGAGACGTGCGGTCAGGGCCTCCGCATCAACGACAGGCCAGATACCGTATCCTCGCGTCTGGTAGACATCCAGGTATTGGGAGATACAGGACGTAGAGATCCGTTGAGGTTGGCTTGACACGGTTGGCAACGCGGGACCCATGGTATCAGGCCATCCTAATGACTCGATTCCAACGTCGTCTATAGATGGCAGTTGATCGATGTATGTGTATTCGGTAGGGCTCGGACTTCCCGGATCGAAGCTTGCCTCGCTGTTACTCCTCGACCCAATGCCATCTTGACTGCTCTTGCTGCGCTCTTGCAATCTCCTGATAGCCGCTTCTGTTGTTCGACGAGGGCCCTTGGGGCCGGATTTCCCATGCGTCTTAAGAAAGGTACATTCCCAGCTTGCGGCTTCACATCGGGAACAGGGTTGGTTGCCGTCGCAGCGCACTTTCCTGACAGAGCAAGGATCGCATGCTCGCCGCGTGCCCTTGCGCGACGCAGAACTGCCACTACTCATCCTCACGCCGCCCAGCGACACAACTTCGCGTGACGTAACAGGAAGTGCTTGCGCGGCACCGGAACCCTTCCTTAATTCGTCATGGCACAGCTCGCGTGCAAGTCCGTTGTTTCCGGAAACGTGAATGAATGTGGGACTCGCAAGGTATGTCGGAAGATAGGTCGCGAAATAAATCGGATAAAAAGGTGTCGACCGGGTCGTGATGTAAACGCGCTCACTTCCTACCAAGAGGCATTGTGCGGAAGGGCTTGCAGCATGCTGACGTTAAAAACAAAAAGGTGGAGATGCGGCTACTTTTCGGCCCACCCTTTCCCTGTTCGAGCTGGTCGATGTGAGCGAATCAGCGCCATACGGGTGCGCCGACCGTGGCCGCTCAACGGCTAGCAGCGCTGACAACTTGTTGGGCGACGTACCACGCCGCAGGTCCATCTGGATCCTCAGCCTCAACCGAAATTTTTGCCTGTTGCTCGAGTCTATCCTTGAGAATGTAAGCAGGTACAAGGGTGATACGGGCGGAGACGGCGTCTGCCCTGCGTAAGGCGGTGGCTCATCGACGAGCTTGCGACACCAGCTGCAGCGTGGCGTGCACGTTCATTGTATGTATAGGCCCTATAGGGCTGATTATAGACCTTGGCGAAGCCCGTGATGTCGTAGCATTTGACGATGAAAGCGATGCATGTTTCCAGCAGGTTTGTTCTTTCAGTCTTGGGGACCCGACGCCAGTACGTTGTCACGAGCAGAATATCGCATCGTAGACGCCAACTTCGAGAGCTTAGCTCTTGTTTGTAGATGAGGGTTGTACGAATTAGACATGATGATCAGTAACGACTTTGGACCTTTCGGCGCCGAACTAGTTAGACTAAGCCCTGCACCGGTCCGGCGGCATCCTTCGAGCCTCAACATAAATGCCGCCAACATTAGGTTGCATTCTACAATTCGCGCAGCAATAGAAGTCGAGTTATTATTCGCAGCGGGAGCCCTCCGAGACCGCAGCAAGCCCTGCTTCTTAGCTCCCTCTGGAACGCGCAACCGAAAATATGTGCTCCGTGACCGCCGTCACCAGTGGCGTCAGCTTCGATTCTTCGAGGTTCGTTCTAAAGCAACACACATTTGCTAAGCGATCTCGGCGCATATACGAGCTTACACTCAAATAAGCGCACGACTACACATAGGTTTAGATAATCAGGATGATGTGCAATCGCTCGTCAGTGGCACGACTGCTGACCCAACCTTGAGGTGCAGACACAACTAGTGTGATACCTACTTGCGTCGATCAGCGTAGCTCAATAACCGGATCTCAAATATGGGGAGCCGCTGGGAGACACGCTAGACAGGCGAGACGACACCTGGGGTATCCTGAACAATATTCGTTGTTGTGGTGTTGCATCTTTCAAAGCCTGCGCCGACGCTCACCAGAACCTCCACGTTCTACACTTCCAGAATTATGTGACAAATAGCAATATCGCATGTGACAAACAATTCAATTACTAGGTATTCAATTACTGCTCAGATGAAATAACCACAATCATTAGTCATCCATTCGTATAAGGGTATCATATTGTTCGAAACGCAGTGAAAATCTCCAAACGCCCTCAAGGTCTGGCTGCTTCAAAGCTGTCGCTTTGATCCCTCCGCACCGACGATATCACGACATCCTTCTGTATTGTTATACCTCCATGCCGCCCGCTCCGCATGACTACCATCTGGATCTCACTGTCCTCGCTGTGCGCACCGCGCCTGACGCTCTGCACCCCGTCTGCTCCCCCACCCATATGTCGACTCTCCGATCGTTCGTAGACTCTGAATTCGCTCTCATGATCCGAAGAGTTCGGTAAGGAGGACCGTAGCTGGTTCAGAATCGTAAACTCTGTCCTGAGCTTCACCGCATATACGGCAGCTTTGTAGTAGCCCTGCAGAAAGAAGAAACCTGCATAACACAACCCAATAAGGCTACAGTCCAGACATATGATAAAGATGTTGACGAGTATCAAATGTTGGAGCACGCGCCTGGTGGTACGGATGTTGGTACCAAGAAGAGCGACGTTTTGTAGGTGCCGCGCTGTTTCGCGAATGTAGAGGAGCGAGATGATGGTTTCTTGGACGAAGAACGCACCGAGTTCGATTCTGTCCCATATCAGATTCACGTAGCCGAGTCGATGCACCATGGTCGGGTGGCGCTGGAGATGGTCAGCCTCTTGAATAGATGATGTGGCGTGTTGAGGCTTACTGCAACCATGCCCAGGATGACCGTCCCCAGACCAAAGATGGTCGCATTAACGACGATCATATAGAGAACATAACGTCCCGTCTCCACTCGTTGGAGGACGAGATTGAGTCGCGAATACAGCACTACAGACTGCGATGTGATATACAACCACCACGACACGTGTATTATCACGATTGCGCCGTAGCTTTCCCAGATCTTGAAGTCCAGAAGGACAATGAGAAGAGCGTGAGTAATGATACTCAGGGCACAGGTGAGACAGGACCAGAAGTATAGGCTACGTCGCGTTGCTCTGGAGAGCAGGCGTACACTGACTTCGACACTCAGATACCAGGCAATCCCAAGGAACGCAGCAGCCGTCATAGCCGTGGGCAGCGGGGTAATATTTGCTGTTGGCAGCTCATCGTTGTCGACTTGAAAGGCCATAGCTTAGAGTCAGGATGGGGGCGGTCGCATGGTGTTTGCATGTCCTGAGAGCCAGCAGACTGGGCCAGATAAACCACCCAGCATGCTGGACGGCAAGGTCACAGATAGCGTCTAGGGTTGTAGATAGCGAACGGACAGGGCGCACCATGCTCAAAGACCGTTGGTGGAGGCGGCTGCAGATGCGCCCCGTAATGCAACCAGTAGGCGAGGCTGAGCATGTCTGGCACACGCATTGCTCGAACGGTGCAAATGCCCATTTCACCTCCCAAGACGGGGATAGAAGCACCTGTGCAGTAATCGCACGCGAAATGCGATTCGTCTGATCAGACCAGCGACGTCCCGTGCCCGGTGATACGCCTCGAGGGTGTGTGAGCTTTACGCCACAGTGCGCGTGGGAGCAATACCATTCGACGTCTAGCCGAGTGAGGATTCCCGTTGTGCAGAAACGGGATGAACGCCGACCCGTCAAACGCCAATGCCACGTGGGTGGGTGAGCGGCTGGCTGGTTCGAGGCATCCAGAACTTCTGTTCGAGAAGAAGGCTGCAAGCTGGCTGGTCGGAGTTGGGCGGTCGAGTCGTGTGCGGAGCGCATCACATGCCTCGGTCCATCACCCCACAACACCTTCACATTTGAAACAGCGTGGGACGGAAATTGTCCGTCAAGCAGCGAATGTAGGTGTGCGGAACGGTTTGCCGTTTCGGAGAGCAAATGTCGGCTGGATTGAAAGCGGATGTACTTATCCAGCGAGTGCCAATTGGTCATGTGAAGCGCGTGCCGGCAATTTCACTGCTGCGCTGCACTGTCTCGAGAGGCAATGATCGTTACGACTTAGGTCTCGCATTCTCACTCGCATGCATAGATTGTGCATAATATCCAAGATAAACTACGAAACGTAGTCGTCGTATCTGTGATAAGCCAGCTCCGAGCTTCTCAACTCACCCGGTACTTTCAGGTGCAATTTCGAGACAGGCAAAATCTCGACAGCTGCTGAAGACAGCCGATACAAACATCTTCCAGATGTCACGATGCTGACATCAGGCTTGCAGGCGTTTGAGAAGCTCTTTCGACCATCGAGTGTGCTACCGCGGAGGTATCGATGCATGATTGGCTGAGATTTACGCACGGACTTTGTACAATGTTGACGCTGAGGCTGTAGTGAAGCTCTACTTGCCCTCAATCGCTAGCACCATCAGCATTGCACAAGAGATTCTAGCACAAATTCTCGCTCAACATCCTTTCACTGAAATCGCCTCGGTCTTGATCTGCTACTTCGACTTTCCATATCACTAGCATACTGGGCTATCTACAGTCAGACTCTAAACTTCGACATCCACACCACAATGGCGCTAAACGCGTACCTTAACAGTACACCTCCTCTTCTCGTTCCTCTTCATCGCTAACATAGTACAGAGAAAGTATCCGTACTGACCCTCGATGGGCGAACCATGGTCGGCACGCTCTTTTCCTGCGACGGCTCCATGAACCTCGTTCTAGCCGACGCATACGAACGCATCATCCGACCGGCAGACGAAGGCGTACCGAGCGAAGAAGTGCCTTTGGGGCTGTACATTGTGCGCGGTGATAGTGTCGCTGTGTGTGGACGCGTGGACGAGGACGTTGATACCAAGATTGACTGGACGAAGGTGCACGGAGAAGTTTTGGGGAGTACGAGGCACGTGTGAGGTGTCAAGCGGCCAGGGATGTTGGATTGAGATGGACCCCAGTACTGAGACCGTCAGGCCGAGGTTGGCGTTGCGACGCGTCGCAAGACGGAGCCAAGCTGGGCACGCGAGTTGGTCAAGAATTTGGTGGAATGACTAGGAGATTAGAGGGCAAAGCTGGAGAAGAGATTCGAGAAGACAGCGCCGACCAGAGATGATACCCACGAAACGAACAAATACAGCGTATGTTTCCGCGCTCGAAAAAGAGGTTCTCTCGGCTGACTCGACAGAACTAAAAGTTGATATTGAATCGCAAGCTAATATATACCACGAGAAGAAACTACTTCTGTCTGCAATACTGATGTTCTCGTGTTCTGCCATCGCCTCTTCAGCGTCTCACTGGATGCCCCTCCCTACCCCCTCCTTAACCCCCGCAATAGCTTTATGATCCGCCGGATTCGCAGCCGCCTCGTATAGCACACTAACTGGCTCTTTGTTCAGCTTCATGAAATCGCCCTTAAATGCTAGATAACTAATCCGCGTCTCATCTTCCTCGCCCTGACTCCAATTGTCCTCAAAGAACAGCGCCAGGCTCCTCGTGTTATTGAAGTGCACCCTCTTGACCGGAATCTCCTGGACTTCGCTTGTCCTCGCAATCTCGAACGTCTGTGTGGGCGACTTCTCAGATGCCGTGTCGAAGTCCATGTCCTCCCCGAAGTTCGCAAACACTTTGAGCGTCTTTGGCGAAGACTCGCTGTCCGACGTCCGCAGTAGAATCGAATGCAACCGCACTTGTCCTGCGAATGGGACTAGCATGAGCAGCTGCTCATCGGCGCTGGACACGAGTTCTGGCGTTGGCTCGAGGCGTTGCGCCCATGTTTTCTGACAAATTGCGCGGCCGCTGTTGCTGTCGTCCTCGTTTAGGGTGCGCAGCGCGCTGAAGTCGATTTGCGAGTACAGTATGTTCTGCAGCGCGGGTGTGATGTCATCGCTGTGATCGTGATCGTGGTCGCCATGGTCGTGGCTATGGGATTCGTCGTGGCAGTGGGAGTGCGACATGGTGGGTGACGGCAAGATTGAGGTGGCAGTGGCGGGGTAGTGGGGTAGCCGAGTTGGTTGTGAGGAAGGAGTTCAGCAGCGATGTGGAGAGCATATCAAATATGATACTTGTGACTACAAAGGAATGGTGAGGAATGACGGCAATGCAAGACATGACCGCCACTGCAAATCGAGCCTCAAGAGACACGAATCGAGCACGTGCACCTTTCAACCAAATGATTTGACGTCTATCATGCTGTATGTGAACTCCAACACTTATCGCTGTACTCAAAATGCCACCAACGCCTCGCTCAATGCACGTATGTCCCCGATAATGACTATGCCAGCATGGGCTCTGCCCTCTGTTCCAACTCAGCGGCACGTTCCCTGGCTCGTCTCTGCGCCCTGTCTCTCGCTATTTGTGCCCTCTCTTCTGGCGTGAACTCCGGTTGCTGGACAGGGGCGTCGGGCAAAACGACGCCGTTGACCTCTTGTTCGAGAGCCTCGAGCTCGTCTTCGACTTCGTCCTCGTCTTGGTTCGACATCTTGTTGGCGAGGAGCTCGCTGATTTCCTGTGACTGACGTTAGTATGTGGCGAACAGATGAGACAGATCTCTGCTCAGGTAATAGAGCAGGAGAGGTGCGCACCTCTTGATATGCCCTCGCCTCAGCGTTCTCCCCCAGCAGCTTCTCCACATTCTCTATACCACCCATCTCTTTATGGATTTCCTTGAGCACCGCAGTACCTTGTTGCAGGCCAAACAACACATCCTTTTGTACAAGTGCGAACTCGACGTCACTTGTAAGCACCTCCAACTGCGCCAGCTGTGCATCCGTCTTCTGAATCAGTCCTTCCTGGTATTTCTTCCGCCTAAGCGCCAACTTGGCTCTATTTGTGTCGCCCTTGGCTAAGCACTCTTTTGCGATCGCCTTCTCACGATTCGTCAGCACAGTGATGCGCTTCTGGTACTGTCGCAGCTTATCGCGCTGGTTCTTCATGTCCAGGATCGCCCTGCAGCCGTTAACGATGCGCCTGAAGCTGGAGACACGAAGACGCACTTGTCCTGGGCAGAGATCTTGTTCGAGCTACTTGAGTTCCCCATGCTGGCAGTGTTTCCATCAGCGCATCAGTGTATGTCACCTGCGTGCCTGCCTTGATTGACTTGACGTATGCGTAGCCGACGCCGGAGATGGGCCGACGCGCTAGTCCGCGCTAACGCTATCGATTGGGACCCTGGTCCGAGGCTCGCAAAATATTTGTGGACTGTGAACCTTGACGAAGTCCGGAACAACCACCAGCATACACCCTTGACCAGAATCACACGATCGCTGCCTGTAATCTGTTCAGTCTCGACCGCCTTGAAAACCCCCAGGCTGGTACCTACCCCTCATGGCTCCCCGCGGTAGATCATTGCAGCAAGGTCTGGATCGGGACATCTACCAGATTGTACGCAAGTATCTTGACGACAAAAATGAGTCACCTCTCAAACTTCGGGTCTCGACCGTGCAGGACTACATCCAGAGGTCAAATTCAAGCCTTAAAAGGCGGTCCAAGAAGCAACTGGAGGATTCCATCGAACGCGTGATTGAGGTGATGCGCGAAGACGAGAGCGAGGTTGACGACGAGATTGCCGATATTGAGGGCGACTTTGGTGAAATGGACGATAAGGCGCAGAAAGAGAAGGAGAGCAAATCAGCCGACTGGATGAACAAGCAAATTGTGGGTCAATGGGCCAGTACAGGCACCGTGACTCCCTCCACGGTAGCGAATGGCGATAAGAGCAGCAAGAAACGCGAGTCCAAGGCCAACGGGGAAAGGGAGAGCAAGAGGCAGAAGAAGGAGCCCAAGGAGCCCAAGATTGACGTCGCCCCACCGTCTGGTGTCAGCCTGGAGGACCTCGGTGGCGTGAGCAAGGTCATGAACCAGCTGAAGGAGCACCTTGTTCTACCGCTACTCTGCCCGGAAGAGTATGTGCAGCGTCAGATCCCCATTCCTCGAGGTATTCTGCTACACGGTCCTCCTGGATGCGGAAAGACGGTAATCTGCCGAGCGGCCGCTGCAGAGCTGGGTGTGCCATTCATCGAAATTCTTGGACCGTCCGTTGTCTCAGGCATGTCTGGAGAGTCCGAGAAGCAAATTCGGGAGCATTTCGAGCGCGCCAAGGAGGTGGCTCCTTGTCTGATTTTCATCGATGAAATTGATGTCATTGCACCTAAGCGCGACAATGCTCAGAGTCAAATGGAGAAGCGAATTGTCGCCCAGCTTCTCATCTCAATGGACAGCTTGGCGATGGAAGGCAATGACGGGAAGCCTGTTATCGTTCTGGCAGCATCGAATCGGCCGGACAGTCTGGATCCTGCGCTCCGCCGCGGAGGACGTTTCGACACGGAGATCAACATGGGCGTACCCAATGAAGCTATGCGAGAGTCCATTCTCAGAGCACTCACGCGCAAGCCCAAGCTTTCCGAGGACGTCAACTTCACCACCCTTGCCAAGATGACTGCTGGCTTCGTGGGTGCTGATTTGAAGGATCTGGTCAGCAAGGCGGGTACCTGGGAGATGGAACGATTCCGCGAAGCTCTGGAACTGCAAGCTGCGGCCAACGAATCCGAAATGGACATCGACACGACAAAAGTTACTGCTACTGAAGCTGACACAATTCGGTCATGGAGACGACTCGTCTTGCGAGTCCGCGACAAGGAAGCCATCCGCCCCGCAGGCTTCGAAGACTCTGTTCTCTCTATGCAAGCTTTTCAGGCTGTTCTTCCTACCATCACACCATCCTCGAAGAGAGAAGGATTTGCTACTGTGCCGGATACAACGTGGAATGATGTTGGTGCACTCAACCGCATCCGGGACCAGCTTCATTGGGCCATCATCGCGCCCATTCAAGATCCCGAACGGTTCCGCAGAGTTGGTATTACAGCTCCCACAGGTGTGCTTCTCTGGGGTCCTCCTGGTTGCGGTAAAACCCTGGTCGCCAAAGCCGTTGCGGCAGAATCCAAAGCGAACTTCATCAGCGTCAAGGGTCCCGAGCTGCTCAACAAGGTATGTGCCTCCTTTCTACTGTCGAGGGTATGACTAATCCCAATCTAGTACGTTGGAGAATCCGAACGCGCCGTTCGCCAAGTCTTCATGCGCGCTCGCAGCTCCGTCCCCTGCGTCATCTTCTTCGACGAACTGGACGCCCTCGTACCCAAGCGATCCAGCGAGCTCCATGAGGCTTCTGCCCGCGTTGTCAACACGCTGCTAACCGAGCTTGACGGCCTCAGCATGCGCGAAGGCATCTATGTCATTGCCGCGACCAACCGCCCGGAGATGATCGACGAGGCTATGCTGCGCCCCGGACGTCTCGAAACCCTTCTTTATGTAGAGCTCCCCAAGCCAGAGGAGCGTGTGGATATTCTACGTGCCCTGATCAAGCAACGCGGCGTTCTGGACGAGTCTTTGGCTGAGGTGGGGAGGCGCGAGGAGTGTAGCAACTTCTCTGGCGCTGATCTGGAGTCGCTGTTGCGGAGGGCTGGGCAGTTGGCGCTGAAGAGGTCTGCTGTTGTGATTGAGGAATGTGACTTCGTGGAGGCTGTCAAGGCGATCAGGCCTAGTGTTGGAGACACTACGAAGTATGAGGCTCTGCGCCAGCGCTTCGAGACGAAGCTCATCTAGACCACTACGTAAACAGAATGCATGTGCCATGTAGACATAATACATGTGTGGGAATTGTTGAAGCCGTCCAGGATAGGACATCAAAGCTGTTCTTCGAGCTGTACACGATGTGGCTTACTCTAGCCTCCACATTGTTTATTAAGGCAGACGACAAACATCAATGACATCTGCCGTTCACCCCCTACATACATACACACGACCATGTCCCTTATATAGCTCGACACCTCTTGACCGACACTCCTTTTCTGAAAACCCCATCACCGGCATCTGCGAATCAACACACAAGCATATCCAAACCCCGCTACCAACACAGCAAAATCACACACCTCCACCAGCACATGTGGTGGGGACATCCACCAAGGTTTCAACACGAATGTGTACCAGACTGTCACGTCGGCATTATTACGAGCTTCTGAAGTCCTCAGAATAGTACTTCAGAGTTGCCATTTTGATTGCAGGGTAGATGACGACCTCCAGGCTAACACCGCTTTTCACTTCTCTTCTCACAGCTCATACCACCAGTCCTCTGCCTGTAGATATCTAGTCTGTGGGGTGATCCCGAAAAGGTGTGAGTAGGCTACATACATCGCTCATGGCATCTTGTGACAGCTGTGAAGTATGAGGGGCCACTGAGTGACCGACTAGCTGTACTTCGAGAGGTATATACGCGAAGCCTGAGTCGAATCCGGGGTGTTGAGTGAAGCACGCACGGCAGTGGGTTGGGCTGGAGTTGCTCTAGGCAAAGCATCAGCGTGACGATGTCTCCAGAGCGACTTCTTACGCTGAAAGGGAAGAAGGTGATGCCATCCGCACCTGCCTGCCAGAGCAACTAGCATCTCACCTCAACTTTACCTTTTGCTCACGAGCTCGCTCACTCATCCACTTACCTACACCACTCTCCTTTAGTCACCTCTTTCATTACCCAACCAACGACATCAAGCCCAGGCAACCACCCGCTCCGCACGCAAGCGTACCTCATTCACACCAAACAACAAAACACCGACACCTCACCACTCACCACCCAACAGGTAAGCACGCTCCCCACCCTACTCTCCACACTAACCCCCCCTAGCACAATGTGCCGCTACCGGAAAAAACTACACACATGCACGCACCTCTCAGACCGCCCGTACATCGAGCTGTGCCGCCCAGGCTTCACCACCAACACCGTGTGCGCCAGCATAAGCACCTCTGAGCCGCGGCGCTCGCACTTCCCCTGCTGGCAGTGCATCAAGACGATGGCGCGCGCCGAAGCGCTCGAGGCGCTCGAAGCCGCCGAGAGACGCGTGGCGGCTGCCGACCAGGCGGCGCGGCTGAAGGTGGAGATGGAGAAGCGGGAGCGGGTTAGGCGCGAGGCGAGGGAGAGGGCGGAGCACGAGAGGGCCGTGGAGGGGGAGAGGAGGGGCGAGCGCGAGAGGGAGGTTGAGAGGGTTAGGAGGGAGGGGGCGGCGTGGGTTGTTGCTGAGGCTGGGAGGGGGGGGAGGAAGAAGGGGAGGGGTGGGGCTGTGGGGAGTCCCGGGGCTGCGTTTGGGGTAGTGAAGAAGGAGGTGGAGGTGGCGAGGGAGGGGGCAAAGGAGGGCGTGAAGACGGGCTTGAAGGAGAATGGGAAGGTGGGCTGGAAGGAGGAGAAGAGCGAGGTGGGTGGGAGAGCGGGGGTGTGGGGTCCTAAGAAGATCCTCAGCAGGAAGGAGGGCGCTGCTGGTGTGCTGGGCATTCGGGCTGATGCAGTCGACAAGAACGGGAAGAAGTGAGGGGCGGGAGACAAGCAAGCTGCGGGCGATGTACGGAACGGCGTTCTGGACATGCAGCAAGGCAGACTCGATCGCTATCACTTCGGCGAACCCCATCACGGTCACATCGACAAACTCACATGCATCGATAGCGGAGTTTATCTAGGAAATGCAGATTACACACCGACTCTACGTGCGTGTCAGCGATGCTCATTCTGTCAACTATCAAGGGTATATCCATGCCTGTGCACACCTCACCACCCATGCAAACGTCAATATCCAGCACGGCCAAAGCCTAACAACCCCCGCAAAGAAGCTACACCAACCAACCAACACCCTACGCCCTCTTCCTCCGCATCGCCTCCCCACTCTTCTCCCTAGCCCCCACACGCACCACATCCACGATCCGCGACCCGCCCAGACTCTTAATCGTGTCGACCAGCTTGTCCCCGTCGTCCAGTTCCTGCACGTCGTCGCCGCCGCCGATGCTCTTGCCCTGCACCAGCACGTTGGGCACGGTGCGGCGCCCCGTCATGGCCGCCAGCGTGTCCTGCAGGCGCGCGCCCAGCGGGTGCTCGTCCAGCTCGACGACGTAGGGCGCGGGCGTGATGGTGTATGCGGAGAGGAGGATATGTTTTGCGCGCTTGGAGAAGGGGCAGTAGGATTTGGAGAAGATGATTACTTTAGTCAGTCAGCGAGGGAACGTGCAAGGCGAGTGCATAGTCATGTGGGGGCCTACCCGGGCTCTTCTTCAGAATCGCATTGAGCTCCAGCTCGACCTCGCGGTCCTCGGCATCCTCGACTTTCACCTGGTCGCGCGGCCGCCCGCCCTGCGCCGCCACGCCCGGCACCGGCTTGTCCTTGTCCTCGAGCTTCACACGCCCGGCGACGGATTTCTCGCCCGCGACCGCCTTGTGGAAGTCTGCGCTCTTCGCCGACGCGGCGGCCTTGGCGGCGTCTTCGGCGGCCTTGAGCCGCGTGCCCACGCTGTCGGCGTCGCGCTGCTTGGCGGCCGCCGCGAACTCGTGCTGCTGCAGTGCTTCCTGTGTTTTCGTGTAGAAGTCCGAGGCGTGTGTGGAGGCGCCGGAGCGCGTGGTGTAGATGATGGCGAGGAGGGTGACGAGGAGGAGCACGCCGAAGAGGCGCACGCGGCGTTGGGATGGCATGGTGGGGTGGTCGGCGATGCGAGTGGTGGCCGGTGATGCGGCGAGGGTGGTGTTGTGGTGTTGTGGTGTTGTCGCGCGGACGTGGCTCGATTCGGCGGTGTTTCGCAAAGGGGCTGCTCACGTCGATATGGCCAAATCGATTGTGTATGCAAGGCGGAGGTCAAGACGGCAGTCGGCAGATGTCAGGCGAGCAATTGCAGATGGAGTGCGTCGCGGCTGTAGCTTATACAGAATGCTATGTAATGAGCGTGGAGTGTTGCAGGGCCAGCGCGCTATGTGTGCAGCAAAGAAGCGCCGTCTGCTGCGAGTGCTGACATTGAGCAAGCAGCGAGGGCGTCTGCAGTGGAGGGAGTGGAATGCGCGCGCCTTGGCGTGAACGCATGTGCGAGGCCAGCGCCGTCTCCGCTTCCCCTGATGGCCCGCACCCTTGCGAACGTTGGGCGCCCGCCCAGCAGCAGCCCTGCATGCCCTCCCGCTCTGTCACGGCGCACGTGTTTGGATACCTACTTTTACGCACTCTGCCATTCTACCACTCTATGTGTTCTGCTGTCTGCACACACGAGCGCCCCTGACCTCCCTTGCTGTGATTGAAGGCCCTCGTGGCTTGCACTACCGTCAACCACCGCGGCCATTACGTCGTGTCATCAGCGACTCCTTTTGGCAGGCGTCCCACTGGCCAAAGTTCAGACCGAGGTGCACCAGCAGCGGCACGGCAGCCTGTCCGCCGTCGCGTGACAGTTGAGATGCAGTCCCCTGAGCGGGCCGATTGCGCCCACACGACCAAAGGCTCAGCTTGACCAGCATCGGTGTACTTGCGTATAGCGTTCTGGAGTGAGAATCCCAACAGTATGCTGACGAGGATCCGCACGGCGAGCGGACAAGCAACAAGCTCAAGCTGCACGCCCAAGCTTCCCCGCAATCCGCCCCGCATCAAGCTTTGCCGGACCTGGCTGCTGATTCTCGACGCTGGCCAACTCGAGTCTAGCCCGGTCTAACTCGCTTTTGCCTTCCTTTCCATCACCAGCTGACAAAGGTGCTAAAAGTCCTTGATTGTACTCGTACAGAGCATCCAAGTAGTTGAAGCCCTCGTCTTGCCTATCGCCATGTCTTCAGGCCTCTCGTCAACACCGATTGCGATTGCAGTGTCTGCGACCGAAAAGAGTAATGGGCATTTGGGTCAGCGTAATCTTGAGATTGCTACACGTGCGCTGGTTCGTGATGGGCTGGTCGTACTTGAGGACATGATTGACGATGCTGTGCTCGATCGACTCAACGAGAAGATGGTCAAAGACGCATACGAGCTGCAGAGCCGCAAGGATAGCCCGTGAGCAGATCTCTGAGGTGACTACCATACAGACATTGATGAAGTCAGATACAACTACAATAAAGGCAACATCCAGCAAGACCCGCCTCTGACGTCGGAGTACTTTGAGGACTCCATCTACATCAGTAAGTCGTCTAGTGAGCTTGGTGCGTCGACTAACACCGCAGACCCCATCGTGACACAAGTAACGTCAACCACACTCGGCCCACACCCCTCTCTCCGCTTCGTCTCCGGAAACACTGCCCTGCCGCCTACCCCAGACTCGCCCCCAACATCTCAGCCCACCCATACCGACGCCGACTTTGACCACCCTCACATTCCCTTTGCGCTTGTAATCAACGTGCCACTCGTAGCTATGGCGCCCGAGAACGGCAGCACGGAGGTCTGGCTCGGCACACACAGCACTACCACCATCGCGGACCAGGAAGGCGAGCACGGCGACAGAGCCAGTGGGCGCATCAAGAAGAATCTGCTTGAGAAGCGGCGGGGAGAGAGGGGACCCAGCCAGCCAGTGGTGAAAAAGGGGAGTGTGGTCATCAGAGACCTGAGATTGTGGCATGGCGGGAAGCCGAATCTGGGCCACGCACCAAGGGTCATGCTTGCCATGAGTGAGTCTGGCCGGTCAACCCCAGAGGCATGTAAGCTGATTCTTCGCAGTCCACTTCGCGCCCTGGTACCGGAATCAGATGGAGGTTGAGTTTGCCGAGGGCCTACGCGGCCGATTGAGCAGGGCGAAGACTGGTCTTGACATTGCAGCCACATTCGCCGCGGAAGAGGAGGTGATGAGCAACTACCTCAACAGACCCTATGGTAATGCATACGACTTCAACCAAGTCGACAGGATTGAAGACGTGTTCTGATGGATCAGTCATCATCCAGTACCCTCGGTTTGTCACGCTGGCTGTGTATTCGCTGGTGTCGATTGCCACTTCGGGCTTAGTGTGATTATACTCCAGCATCCCTACACCGTTACAGAAACCATAGCCTGTCAACCACGAAAACGACATCCTCAATTGCAGCAACTCCAGTCAATACAACCAACCAGTAGCACCCGCTAGTCTCGCTGTTTTCAAGCTTTCTCGGCGTCGCCTAGCCATTGGTGCCAACCCTTTTGTATAATGCTCAGTCAGCACCCTTCTGCACGTCAGCATCTTCACACGCAACCCGTCTTGGCCGCGATGGGAAACATCAATCGCGATGCCCCACCCAAATCGCCGTTGCAACTACTCTCGCCTCACTAGCCACCAGGCCGGCAACCACCATGGTGACCATGCAGCTCGACCAGGTCGCGTTCGCCGTCGAGATCCCCCTCATCGGCCTGGCCCTCGGCGCCGTGATTCTGCGGCTGTGGTCGCGCGTCGCCACCAAAGGCCGCCTGGCCACAGACGACGTCCTGATCGTGCTGGGCTCGGTACGTAGCGCCGCCCACTACCCCGACCCATGCTGAGCACCCAGGGCTGCGCCATCGCGCGTACAGTCATCTCCTGCATCAGCGCAAACGACATCCTCGGATACGACCGCAAGGGGTGAGTCTTTCTCTCGTCTCCCACGTGCCTGCTGACGCACCCAGCCCCGACGAGGCCGCCGAGGTGCTGTACTACCAGCACATCTTCGAGCGGCGCCTGGCCTACCTGTTCGCCGTGACGCTGATCCGGCTGTCGATTCTGGCGTCGTACCTGCGCATCTTCCCCGCGGCGCTGCGCTCGCTGCGGCGCTGCTGCTACGCGCTGTGCGCGCTGACGCTGGGCCTGTTCGCCGCGGTGCTGGGCGTGCTGGTCGCGTCGTGCGCCGACATCGACAAACTCTGGACGCCCGACTGGCGCGCGTTCACGGGCTCGCGGTGCTTCAGCAGCGCGGCGTACAGCTACACCGCGGCCGTCGGGGACTGCGTTACCGATCTGTGCGTGTTCATCCTGCCCGTGCCGTTCGTGCTGTCGCTGCACCACGTGGCGGCGCGGCAGCGGGCGACGCTGGTGCTGGTGTTCGCGCTGGGCGTGGTGGTGTGCGGCGTCGCGCTGGTGCAGGTCCCGTTCATCAAGCGGCGCGAGGACAACGGGACGTACTTTGGGCCGGCGATCAATATGCTCGTGGCGATCCAGATTGCGCTGGCGCTTGTGGCGGCGAGTCTGCCGGATCTGAGGGCGCTGGTGAAGCGCGTCAGGGGGCGGAAGAAGAGTGCTGGGGACGAGGGGAGCTGTGGGTGAACGGGAGATGTGGGAGGACCGCACGGAAGCAGGCACTCATGCCAAACCCCCTGATACCGCCTAGAACTTCTAACCCCCCAATCCAAAAACTGTCACGGAGAATAAAATCTCAATGCTGTACTTTCACACTCTACACTCCACCCTGTGACACTGCCTCAGCACCACCCGCTGGCGTCAGCACACCACTGTACAGCACACCACACCACACCACACACACTCATCCCCCCCTCCCCGTCCCAGAACACAGGTACTACACCGCACACACACCCCTTCACACCCCTCCATCCACCCCCCAGCGCACTCCCGACCACCCTCCCCACTCTCGCAGCCCACGTGCACTAGCCCGCGGAAAACCCTCCGGCACCAAACGCGGGGCAGCCGCTAGCTAAGCGCTATCCGCTAGCCGGTAGCCGCTAGAGCCGTGGCTAGGGACGTGCTAGGACGTGGCTAGGGGACGGCATGCGCGGTCGGCACTGTGCTGTTTGCAGCGCTGGTGCGGGTGTTGCTGATGTGTGGGCGACCGCGATGGCCTGGGTGTGGATTGACGTGTGGATTTGGATTGATTTGGTGGCTTCTGGTTCGTTGGTTCGATTCGCTGACGTCTAGCTCGTTGGTTCGCTGCTCGTTGATGCTGATTCGATGCTGACTCCCGTTGCTTCGATTCGCTGCCGCTGCTCACCTGGCGTTGTCTCGGGTTTGAAATGGCGCCAGCGCGCGCTTACGACCCGGGACGCGAAGACGGGAGGGCAAGGGCGGGGGATGCACGCTTGAGCGCGGGTATATAGACTAGGCGGCGCGGTGCGGGGGGGCGATAGGAAACATACATATCTACATCGCAGAAGTGTTTTTTGTGCTGGTCTTTGACGACGCTTTAAAGAGGGACTGGACTGGTTGGCTTGCTTGCTCGATTGATAGATCTGCTCGATAGATCGTCTTGATCGATTGGATTGAGTGGCGCGTTGGTCAATTGGCTGGTTGATATATCACCGCGACATGGCGGATACCTACGACTTCATCGTCGTCGGCGGTACGTCCCCCCAGTCCCCACACAGCCCTCTCTCACCCCACCCCGTCTCCTCCCCACCTCACACAGCCCCCACTAACACTCGCAGCGGGCACCTCCGGCTCGCTACTAGCCCACCACCTCTCGACCACCGCGTCGGCCCCGCGCACCCTCGTCCTAGAATCCGGCAGCACGCCGACGGGCGCCTTCCTCAGCGCGCCCGCGCACCGCTACGCCGCAGCCCTGTTCCGCCCGGACCTAGACCACGGCTACGTGTCCGAGCCCGAGCCCGCGCTGGGCGGCCGCACGATCGCGTACACGCGCGGCAAGGGCCTGGGCGGCTCGTCGCTGCTGAACTTCGGCGTGTACTTGAAGGGCAGCGCGGCGGACTACGAAGAGTGGGCGCGGCGCACGGGCGATCCCGCGTGGGGCTGGGACGTCGTGCAGCGCGACTACGCGGCCATCGAGACGTATGAGGTCGCCGGGGCGGAGGAGTACGCGGATGTGGCGTGCCCCGGGCGCGGGGTGCATGGGCAGCGCGGAAAGGTGAAGATCGGGCTGCCGCCGAAGTTGGAAAGGGGCGTGCTGGAAGGGATGCAGGCGCTGGTTGGGGCCGGGGAGAAGGTCAATCTGGATCCGAATAGTGGGGATCCGATGGGGGTTAGTGTGTTTCCGTATAGTTATAGCAAGGACGGGAGGTCGACGAGTGCGATTGCGCATCTGCGGGACGGTGGGGAGAATCTGGAGGTGTGGACGGATGCGAGTGTGACGCGGTTTCTGTGGAGTGAGGACGGGGAGAGGGTGGTGGGTGTGCAGACGGCGGATGGCAGGAAAGGTAGGCGAGAAGCGGAGTATGCAGTGAGTACGCTGACAGGTTGCAGCGTTTGCCTCCAAGGAAGTCATTCTTTGCGCGGGCGCTATCGACACGCCTCGACTGTTGCTCGTCAACGGTATCGGTCCCAAGGCTGAGCTGGAGAGCGTTGGGGTTACAGTCAAGAAGGACCTGCCCGGTGTAGGAAAGCATCTGCAAGACCACGTACTGGCTTTCATGAGCGTGGAGGTCGACGGTGCCATGAACGACCGCTGGGCTTTCGAGTCCGACGAGAACCTGATGAGCGAGGCCACGGCTCTCTGGGAGAAGGACAAGACCGGGGCCTTCGCTCTGCAGCAGTCGTGTCTGTGGGGTGGATTCCTCAAGCACCCCGAGCTCACGTCCTTTCCAGAGTACCAGGCGCTGCCAGCAGCGACACAGCAGTTCCTCACCCAGGCCGACGTGCCGACATACGAATTCATCAACAACTGCCTGGCCTGGCCGCCGGGCGTCCAGGTTGAGAAGGGCAACAGCTACATGACCTTCATTGCGTTCCTGATGAACCCCCAGAGCGAAGGGTCGGTCACTCTGCGCTCGTCCAATCCCGAGGACAAGCCTGTCATCAACCTCAACTTCCTCGCCCATCCGTTCGACGCCCGCATCATGCGCGAGGCTGTGCGCTCGGTCTGGACGAAGATAACGCAGAACGAGGTCTTGAAACCATCGATCAAGCGGACGCTCTGCGGGCCGGCCAGTCTGTCAGATGCCGACGTTGACGCATTCGTAAAGGACAACGCAAGCACCGTGTGGCACGCCAACGGGTCGGCCATGATGGGCAAGGCTGGCGACAAGAACGTGTGTGTCGACAAGGACTACAAGGTGCTGGGCGTGCCGGGCCTGAGGGTTGCTGACCTAAGCGTCTGCCCGGTGACAACGAACAACCACACGCAGCCCACGGCTTACCTGATTGGCTACAAAGCGGCGCAGAGACTGATTGAAGAATACGGGCTGGGCACAGCAGAGCGGGCGAAATCCGACACCATCTTGGCGAAGATGTAGGTTTAGAGCTAGACGCCTGTTGTGGGCAAAGCTGACCACGCGCTCATCAGTGACTCGGTCTTAAATTAGCACTACGCGATGATGACGCATATCTAGTCAGGTACGAGCAGCGGATCAAGGATGCAGCCGGCGCGATGGTTTGAGAGCGGGATGTCGCAGGTGATGAGAGGTGGCTGGCGTTGCTGGGTAGACTAAAGCTTGGACCTCTACATCAACACACTGAGCTCATCGCATCGCGCGCAGCGGTGATGCAGAAGATATCTCTAAACATTGGATCCGGTGCTTTATTGACAAGTTCATAAATATTTTCATCACATCACGCCCGTCGTCCGCGTTTGCAGGACCGAAAACCGAGCCCTGCACATCCCATTGGGCAGTGTCGTGGTCGTACCAGCCTCCCCAACCACCTCGCGTCCAGCGCCAGCCTCAGCGTCTCTAAGTCTACGTCGTCCCTTGCTTTGCACGACGTCAAATCCTCCACGTTCCCACTCGCTTTGTTTGTTCATCTAACAATCACTGACCACATTCCATCCATCGAAGCACCGCGAGGATTGCTTGAACTTCCATTCGCTATCACTGCAGATACGCTAAGATAGGAACCCCGCATTATTGTACCACGCACCGCCATACTCGATCGACGAGCGTGTTTGTCTGCAAACGACATCTCACCATGGGGCTCTTCAAGGCTCTTGCTCTGCTCGCGCTCGGCACATCAACTGTCGTCGCGAAGCCCTACCCCGTCCACGACGAGGAGCTCATGCGCCTGCACAACGCAACGCAGCTCGAGAAGCGCGTTGACTGCCCTGGCGGTGTGAGCTGCGGCTGGGACAACTGGCTCTGCTGCCCCGCTGGCTCTTCCTGCGTCACTGATGCCAGCGACCAAGCACAGTGCGGCGGTGCCCCGTCAGGCGGATATGCCTTCTACACGACCACCTGGGTGGAGACGGTCGGCGCGGTGACCAGGACCAGTGTCGGCTCTACGCTTGTTGGCGGCGGCACGACGGCTGCGGCGTGCGGCAACAGCCAGAGCCCGTGCGGAAGCGTGTGCTGCGACTCCGGCCTGTACTGCAAGGACCCCAGCGTCGGCACCTGCGCCATGATTGCGGGCGGCAGCTCCGGCGGCATCCTGCCCACCGGGTCAGCCTCTGCGCCCGTCCGGCCCACGTCCTCCACCCTGGTCATCGTCACCTACACCGGCGCCCCCACCGCCACAGTCCCCTTCCAGACCGCCGTCCCCACCGGCGCCAGCGGCTCGCTCACCGAGACGGGCGCCTCCAACGGGCTCTCCGGCGGCGCCATCGCCGGCATCGTCATCGGCGTGCTCCTCGGCATCCTGATCCTCTTCCTGATCTGCCTGTTCTGCTGCGCCCGCGCGCTCTTCGACACCCTGCTCGGCATCCTGGGCCTGGGCAAGAAGCGCAAGCACACCCACGAGGAGACGACGTACATCGAGGACCACCACCACGCCGGCGGCGCCGCGGGCGGCCGCTGGTACGGCCAGGGCCCCGGCCGGCCCAGCCGCCCCGCCAGCGAGAAGAAGAGCGGCATCGGCAAGGGCATGGGCATGGCGGCCGCGCTGGGCGGGCTGGCGCTCGCCCTCGGCCTGAAGAAGAAGCACGACCGCCGCGACGATAAGAGCACCACTATCAGCGGCTCGTCGGCCTACTACTCGGACTACACCTCCAGCAGTGAGTTTTTACCTCCATGTCATCGAATGGCAAACGCTAACATTGTCCCAGGCAGCGCTAGTTCCGACGACCGCCACACACGGCACACCCGCCACTCGAGCAGACGGTAATCCCGCCTGACGCGTCGCGCGGCAGCTTGTACAAATTCTTTCTCCTCGACCCCACAGTCGAGCTTTTTTTCATTAGGCGCGGGGTGTTCTTGCATGCGGCAGCGTCCACGGGCCTGTCTGGCGTTCGGCGTTCAATGCTTACGATTTCCACGAAAGACGGTTTACGAGGCGGTTTACGAGGCGGTTTACTACGAGACGGTTTACGAACGAGACGGTTTACGAGATGATGGGATGGGCGGGGCGGTAATGACCACAGGATATCGGATGAGGGAGGGAAAAACGGATCAACACGACTGTATATGAAGCGCACCGCATGAATGCAATAGCGGTGGATTTTTCTCAAGCTGTCTATTTATGCTTTGTGCTTTGTGCGATGCGCTGCGCGTGCCTGGATCTAGTGCTGCTAACATGCCTGTGCATCAGATATACCGCGGTCGCGATATCTCGTGCCGATCTGCCGACGTAGTTTCGTCGTGCGACAGGACGGGATGCTAGGCCGTGGTGAGTCGAATGCACGCGATAAGTACAAGCGCCGGGGGGAAGGGGGGGGGGGGGGTTGCACACTCTCCCATCCCACCGCGCTCATACCCACGCCTCCTCTACCAAACACCCCCATCCCCACCGCTCACCCCCCCTCTCGCAGCCGCTGCTCTACAGCCCAAAGCACCCCCCGCGTCTCGCCCCCCAACTCCCATTCCCACCCTGACTCCCGCCCACTCCCCGACCCCCCACCGCCCCCGCCAGAACGCAACCCCACCCCATCCCACTCCCACGCCGCGCAGTGCAGTACCCCGCCCTGCAGGACGCGAAAAAGCTCCGCGAGTGCAAGGGCCGGGCCGTGGAGGAGGACTGCGCCGTCTGAGGCTGGGGATGGGGAGATGATGATGCGGGAGCGTTGCTGGTGGGTGAGGGAGAGGCGGGTTTTGATTAGGGTTTCTGCGGTAGGCGGGGAGGTGAAGGGGGAGGTGTCGTGGTAGTCTGGGTTGTAGTCTGGGTTGTAGAGCGCGATGGTGGATGTATCAGCATCGGCGTCGTCGTCAGCATCGGTGGGTATGCAGGCCAGGAAGCGCAGTTCGCGCAGGATGGCGGCGAGGCCGCGGCGCGGGACAGTCCACGTGCGGGCTTCGACTGCGGGCTGTGGATCTCTACTCTGGCGGTCTGTGGGGCTCGACACGGTCGGGTTGGAATCTGATAGCGACCGCGGTAGAGCAGTGGGCGTGAGGGTTATGGTTGTTGGCGGAGCGTGTTTCTGGTAGGTGCATTGCGCGGCGCGGAATACGCGGCGCAGGACGGCGTGTTTGAGCGCTTGGAGGGCCTGGGATGCGAGGGCTTCGTCGGAGAGGAGGGGGATGTTGCGCTTCTTGCGCGCTGGGGGAGAGTCAGTGAGTGCGTCGTCGCGGTCTGCTTGGTCGGTGGCGTCGCTGCGCTTGCGCTTCAGTCGGGAAGATGCTCGTGGTCGGTAGGGCTCGAGGAGTGAGAATAGCTGTGTGGTGTCTTCGACGACCGGCGCGTCTGTCAGGTGCCAGGGGGGTCCTGCTGGCCGTCCTCCTTGCAGCTGAGTTGCTAGCGATGAACTGCCCGACAGCACCGGCGACATCGCCGTCTGCAACACTCCAACGCCCGTTCCCGCCATCGACGACGCTTCCCTCAACCCCGCCGTCCCATCCGTTCCCTGCATCGCAGCCCGCTCCAGCACCAGCGCCGTCACCTCCTCACTGACCAGCTTCCGCTCCAGCAGCTCCCTGACATCAACCCCATCGTCCTCCAGCAACAGCAGCCGCTCGTGCACATTCGACTTCTGGTTCCACGTCAGCGCGCTCCAGCCCTTGCCAATGGAGAGCTTCTTCTTCGCAATGCCAGCGCGCGCTTTCGCCCGCCAGTCGACCAGCGGCACTGGCGAGTACTCCGGGAACGCTGCTGGGGGGGAGCTCGACGGCGGAGTGTCTGGCCCCACGACCCCGAGACTCGCGTCTGGCGTAGCAGAGCCGCCGCTCTCTTCGTCGTCGGCGTCAGTGTCGCTGTCGCTGTCGCTGTCGCTGGCGCTGTCGCTGGCGCTGGACGCTTCGTGCGCCGCTTTGAACGCGGCCATCTGCTTCTCCAGCTCGTAGTCGCGCAGGTAGGTTTCCGCCACGGGGTCCCAGGCGCTGATCTGCTTCGCGCCCGAGCCGGCGCGGTGCATCAGCGCGGCCTTGCGCGCCCACGCCTTGCGGGCGACGTCGTGCTGCTTGTCACCGGTGTCAACGCGGGATCGCTGGACAGGCGTCGTAGCCCGGACACCAGGATCTACGATCTGCTTTCCAGTTCTAGCTACGTTTGTCCGTGTTTCTTCTTTGCGGGCTGCGATTTGGGCGCTGAGGAACTCGCGTCGGGCAGGCCATCCCGACAGAGACACGGTCAGTGCACGGCTCCACGAGCGTTGGTTGTCGGTGAGCTCGTGGTCTCTCTGGTTGTATGTGATATGCGTTCTGCGCTTTCTCACGCGGAACCCGTCGCTCGGTCTCTTGGGCCAGATCTTCTTACGCGCACACGTGTGTTGAGCGGGCGATATAGCCTGCACCATATCTTACTGACTCTTGGCCTGATTTTGGATTTTGGATTACGGACAGATTGGTATGTAAGTCTCACAAGAAATTTGGATTGTGTTTGCTTCGATTAGGAGAATGTGCTCGTAAGTGATGAGTCTGGATCAAAGGATTCTCCTTGTGTGATTATGCCAAACTTTTGCATTGTGAGGAGGGTTCTACACAGTGTGCACTTTGTCTCTTGACGCTGGCTGTTGGTAAACAGTGCATTTTGACGTTTTGACCTTGTATGGGAAGCGCTTTGTGCTCGATGCACAGTGCGATGTGTTGAACACCCGGACCACAAACGAATTGTGGAGGCGCTGTGAGCATGTCTCCCGCACGAGATATCCGCACCTGTAGTATATTCCCCCCTGCGACGCGAAAAACCCACTCTTCAGAAAAGAACTTACTGTTTGAGCAACCTATGTCTCAGCCGCTCAAATATACTGTTCCCATGTCGAATAGCGCGAATCTATGAGGAACAGCCTCTTGCTCACTACAGGGTTGAAGGAAAATTACAGCGTTCCTCTCATGCTGTCAATCATTAGTGACTTTGGAAGTGTGGCGCCCTTCTCGAACCTTCCATGGACAAAGAGCTATCTTTGGCAGTTAAGCGTGGAATGGGCAGCATTGCCAGATGTGCCTTAGGTGCACTGCAAGTAACACTACGATCGTCGCTATGCCTCGCGCCAGCGAGCTGCCAGCCCAGGCTTCTGCAGACGAACATGGAACATAGGCTGCCCGTGAAGAAGCACGCGGGCTCGCTCTCACTACTTATAAGCACCAGGACCACGGACGACCTTCGATGAAGCAGAAGGCTCAAGGCCAACAGTACCTAACTGTGGAGGAGGAGAAGGCTCTCGTGGAGTTTCTACTACTAATGTCTAGTTTTACGCAGCCCATCCATATCAAGTGCATACCCTTAACCCCCAAACTAAGGAGAGGGCTGGTAGAGAGCCACATGTCTTGATCTGCGATGGGTTCGGCAGCCATAAGACACTAGAGATCCTAGAGATCTGTTTTAAGAACAACATCATATTATGCCGTCTCCCCTCTTATACTTCTCACAGGCTCTAGCTATGTGACGTGTCTGCTTTTGGGCTATGAGAAGCTGCATACCGCAACGAGGTTAAGAGGCTAAATTAAGGTGGCATAGACGCGATTAGGAAAGAGCATTTCACCTAGCTGTATAAGCTAACAAGGATCAGGGCGCTGACCAGGAAGAACATTCTAGCTAGCTAGGCTGCTACTGGCCTTTTTCCATAGAATCCTGACAGGGTGCTTCGACATACACCAAAGCCACCTGCCAAAGTTGTCGGCCCTAATGCTGATGAGATTGTGAGATCACCGTGCCAGGACAGGCCACCACTGACGCCGGTGACGCCGGTGATGCCGGTGACGCCGGTAACAACAGAGAGTCTGATGTTGTTATATGAGCAGATTAAACAGGACTGCAGTGCTTCTGATGCGCAAAGCCGGCAACGTCTCCAGAAATGAATCCAGAAGCATCACTGTGCTGCTGTGACCTCCTTTGCTAGACAGAGCTTACTCTAAGATTATAACTAGGTTCTACTCTTAGTCAAAAAACAGAGTTGAATTGTCTAAGCACAGAAATCGGTCTATCTAAAGAAAAGAGAGAGGAAAGTTTCTATGTACGGGGATTTTAAGCAGTCACGAATAGAACGTGATGCTAAAGCCAAGGCTGTAGCAGAAATGGGTAAAGGTACCCACGACCGTAAGCGGAAGAATGCTACACAGGGTGCGCAAGAAGATAAGCCTTCATTAATGAGAAAGGGCAGACTGCCTAGGACGAGCGAGGATCCGGAGCCTGTACCCTGGAAGGCTTCAGTGGCTAAGATATATTAGGCAGCAAAGCAGTTGATTTGATAACACTAAGAGAATTGATAGAGGGAAAGAAGATGCAGTCGCGATTACAACTGGTTTCTAGTTCCTGCGTTAGCTACAACGCTGGTTGCTAAGCTGCTGCGTTCCAGAGGTTAGAGCCTGCTGTGTCACGCTCCTTTGTACAAGAATGTAGTACAAGTGCGAAAATTTTTTCCTTTGCGTAACAATTATTTTAACGCTGGGGCTATATGTGCTAGTAGTGCGCCGCAGCCGATTGATAGTCTCGGTGATCCTACAATTCTATGCAGCGCTAAGCAGCTATGACAAAGAAGTCAAAACATAAGGCGGCTGGGCAGCCAGCTTCTATAGCTATTATACCTTCCTGTCAAACTACAACAGAACCAAGTTTTAACTTCTCAACTCGAGCAGGCATTGAGGCCTGGATCTACTGGAACTATCGTCACAAAGCTTTTGGCGCGGATGGCACGTTCAAAGGGATGCCGTGGCTCCGAAAACACCTCTTTTCCCTCGATACTGGTCTCTCATCAACCAAGATACGTCAGACCTTGTACTCGTAAGTCCTGTCCGTTTTCCATTTATGCGATCAGCAAATGTCAGTACTGATGTACATTAGGCTTCACCTTCCGGACCATAGATACAGCCCGGCCCATACCGACGAGATTAGGGACCAGATCAGGAAGAATAGCAGCGAAACATCAACGACCAATCTGCTCGTAGTGCCTGCCCTGTGCTCTAACGGTGGTGTCGAAATCAAGGAGTCGACGGAAGCCTTACATATGTCAAAGCCGTCTTGCGTGAGTCTACACGAGGCAACAGATGATCTGTCGGACTTAGCAGACGGAAAAGGCGATATGCTCGACTGGAAGATGCGTCAAGCATTTTTCAATGATCTGAACAAGGAAACGTACGGAGCATCCTATGCTGGAGACGATATCAACAAGATACCATCGGATTACTCGTGCGACGACCTCGAGAATCTGAACTTCCTTTTGCCTAACGCTGGCGAAGCTGACGATAGGCATTTGGAATCCGATGGAACTGCCACCAGAATTCTACATGCGCCTCTCGTGGACGCCGGTATCGTCTATAGTGACCGATTGGGTCTTGCGCAATACGGTTTGCTCGGCACGCATGACGAAGTGGGAAACTCCAAGTCCAAGCTTCTTTTGAACACCAACGCTCCTTTCTCAATGTTCCTCTGTGGTGTTCAAGGCAGCGGCAAATCTCACACAACATCCTGCATCCTTGAGAATTCACTGATACCCTCAAGACACCTCGGAAGACTCCAGAATCCGCTTTCTGCGATGGTCTTCAACTACGCGCAATTCAGCGGTGAAGGTACCGGGTTCACCGTCAGTGAAGCTGCATTCCTGGCTTCACCCGATCCCAGAATTCCTGAGGGAGCGCATGTAAAGAAAGTGCATGTATTGGTCTCGCCATCCAATTTCATGCGGATTTCCAAGCTCTACCTTCGACTTCCCAATGTTCTGGTCACACCATTCAAGTTGAAGCCAAGGGACTTGGACATCGATACGATGCTGACTCTGATGAACATCAGCGAATCAGACGAAACACCTCTCTATATGGCCCAAGTGACGCAAATCCTCCGCGAGATATCTACAGCAGGAGGACCATTCGATTACAACGTGTTCAAGCTGCAGTTGAAAGAGAAGAACTTCAATCCTAAACAGACTGCTATGCTGCAGATGCGTTTGGATTTGCTTGAATCGTTCCTCGACACGAATGCTCGTATTGTTACGCCACATTTTGAGCCAGGAGAGATCACAATTATGGATATGTCCTGTCCCTTTGTTGATGCGAATACAGCGTGCATTTTGTTCAGGATTGGGCTCAAGCAGTACCTACAGTCGAAGGCAAGTGCCAAAATGATTGTGTTGGATGAAGCACATAAGGTATGCCGGTCTCCCCGTACTTGAGAACCTCATCTTTACTTACTTTCACGCAGTACATGCTCAATATACCGGGCGCAAAGGCCCTCAAGGATACTCTCCTTCAGACCATTCGCCTGCAGCGGCACTACGGCGCCCGCGTCGTTATCTCAACCCAAGAACCAACACTTCTGACGGATCTCATAGCGCTTTGTTCGGTCACAGTGATCCACCGATTCTCCAGCCCAGAATGGCTTTCCGCTGTCAAACGTCATATACCTACTGCTGCAAAAGAAGATGATGACTTGATGTTGAGAATTGAGAGTTTGACGACAGGACAAGCGATCTTGTACTCGCCAACAGCAGTGTTTGAGCGCGGAGTTGGTGGAGAGTTGGTCACAGGCACAAGCAAGCTGTTCAATGTCAGCATTAGGAAGAGGCTCACGAGCGATGGGGGACAGTCTGTGTTGGCAGTCTAGGTTCATCATGTCTTTCATACTGTTGACGTATTTCGCCTTTAAAATTGCATGATATTGTATTACTATAACAACAGCTTTGTTGATCTAGGCCTTGATGCCTGCTTAAGTTGAGAAGTTAAAACTTGGTTCTGTTGTAGTTTGACAGGAAGGTATAATAGCTATAGAAGCTAGCTGTCCAGCTGCTAGCGCTGTATAGAATTGTAGGATCACCCACTACTATCTATGAGACTAGTTAAGCACATAATTATACTTTTCAATATATAGAAAACACTATCAAAAATTCCTTATAGAGCGCGTTGAGCCACGAGAACCCAGAAGTCAGTCAAGTGGACCGTTAGATCTTGAGCCGTGGTCCGCCTCGTAGCCAAAAGACAGCCATTTAAAGGAACATAAGCTCCAGATGGGCATCTGCTGTATTCTGCATAACCTTGAATTGCGGGTCACACTATCAGTCGAGATATCGCTGCGGTAACCTCAGAAAGCCTCACGGCGATTGAGCCAGGCGAATGTGGGGCTGTATATTACTTGCACTACTAACGAAACTAGGAAAGCCGCGATCGCCCGCTCGGGAGCGGGGAAGACAGTGGAGATTCGTTTCCGCCGTGCTATAAATTTTACTGGGTCGTTCTGAAACGTATAACAATGTGCGTGATTGGGTCGGGGTAACGCCCCGTCAAGGGTGGTGCACGCCTTGTTCGGCACAGCGTGCGTTAATGAGAGATGTCGGACAGTGCGTATAGGACAGGTGTGTTAGGGGCTGCACTATTCCAGACTACCAGTCTATGTTGTACAGCGAAGATCGACATCTCAGAAGTGAAGGGGCGTGCTTTCGGCGTTGTTGGACGCCAGGAACGTTGATATCGTACCTGTCGTGTCTACGTCTGTATATGTAGCGTTAGCTGCCGTACTGTTCTTGGTCCCGCATTGGTTCAGCAAGTTTGACGAAGGCCGACATACTATCCCTCAGTACCGCCAACGTCACCTTTGATCGCCAATCTGTGCTAAAAAAGAAATGTCGTTTATAGTTTTGGAATGGGCTGATGAGAATGGACCAGTGTATTCTTGGATACTGAAAACAGAGTTGTGGTACAGTCATCGAAACAGGAATCCAGAACCTACTTAACAAGAAGAGCAACATCGATCCCTTGTGGTTTGATGCGCAACGAGACCACACCGTCAGTGGTAGCAACTGGATGCTGTCGGTGAATTTCAAGGTGGACGACTTACACAACTCTAGGAGTATGGCAATGACTAGCGAACCGTTTTGAAGGCCGTCCATGGCAAGCTGAACACCAAGGCTGCTGGAAACATAGTTGGCGGTTTGCGGAAACTCCTACAACCATGGAATACATTACCCAGTATAGCTACTTACCATGGTACCATTTCACAACCCATCCTATTATTGATCGAATACCACGTTGTTGCCCTGCAGGACGTCCAACCAGACTCCTATAGCCAGTCAGAGGCCTTTACTGCCTATAGATACATCTCTGTTCTATAGTTAGGAGGGTCTGCACATTCTTACAAGCACTGATAGATCTAAGATTTTAAGAGTAAGGCCATATCTATGGATTTTTTGGGAAGCCTACCCTTTCCGAGATTCGCATTTGGCGATACACCAACTCTCTCATGACCCAGATGATCTTTACCATCCGCACAACAAATAATGGCGATCTCAAGTCAGAGCAACTATCAATGTTAGTTTGCGATACTATCTGTGACGCAACGACGGCCGGAGTTGCAGAGCTACTTGACCATTCCCCTGAGACAGTATGAAAGAAGTCGCACCAGAGCGAGCAAAAGCCGTATATTGACCACTGGATGATAGTCAAGAAAGCGATTAAACAGCACTACCGGGTCCCGTTTCTGCGTTGATGCAGTGTAAGCTCAGGACGAAGCAGAGCTCTCCGATGTACTCGCTGGCGGACTACGACTGGAAAAAGGCTCTCAAACTACGACTGCGACGCTTGTAGGTTGTACGGCAGCTCGTTGCTAGAATACAAGCGCACTCTGCTGCCACTGCAACAGTCATCCGAGCCACGGTGCTATTCCAGGAAGTAATCAGGGTCGCACAGGAAGAGCTCGACCGACTCCGTGGCGATTGTCTCCCGGCATTGTAAGATTAGAAGAGCCTGCATTAAAATCCCGGAGAGCGGGTGTAATATGGATGTTTAGGTTGTGCACATGGACCCCAAACGTCATCCGGACCCGCGTCACATCAAATCAGCTCGGGACCTCAACGACCATCAGACGGCGGCTGAAGTTGCGAACAGTCTGGACGCCTCAGAGCGTGATTATTTTGTGTTCGGAGCTGGTCGACGTTTGTGTCAAGGCATGCATCTCGGGAAGTGGTTGCTCATTTTGGCCACATCACAATTGCTCTGGAGATTCGGTGTCCGCCAAGTTGTAGGTTTTGACGACAATGACATTAGTACCGATGCAGGTGCCCTGACAAAAGGAATGGTCGTTCTTCCGCAGGTGTTCCAGCGAATATCGTGCCAAGACTTATAGACGTGTCAAGACAGCACTGGATGGAAGACGATGGAACAGGATTGCATCTCGGGCATCGGGAGGGATGGCTTCTAGACGACATCTCACAGTGTTAGACTCTCCAGGGCATGGTCTGGAGGGAGTACGAGCAAACAAGTCCCATCTGACAATGGAACCAGAGATCCATGGAAGCAGGCAGTTGCGAGTTTGAAGACACCGGGTTCTGGATGTGCTACCACATGAACTATATTGGTGAAAAACTGTAGTGACCGCTTCTGGTATGCTGAATGTATGCGAGATAGAGTTCGATTAAGGACAGGGTTGGGTGGAGATGGTGTGGTGTGCTAGGCAAGGCTAGCGACACGCTAACCGAGACCCTTCTGTTGTCACATTCAACCTAAGACCCTTGAATGTAGACTTATTAGCAGAATTCATACTTCTGCGAGACCCGAGAGGCTTTGCTCGGCTTGAGGCCCGTACGGCCAATATATTGCAGAAGGCCTCCCATCAGCCTCTCTCGTCGCAGCTGCAACACGGCAGGACGCCGATGACGTCACAGCCTGTACCACGCCGCACCTCCTGTCTTAAAATACGTCTCCGAACTGGTGATCTTGCACCCTGACACGGGCACCCAGCTCCATTCAGGCAGTTCACGCCCGGAAATTACCGAGTCAGTCAGTGTATGATGACCGCTAGCCACGTTGACGCTGTGACGGGCTTACCCTGGCGTAATTCACCGCTTATCGCCCGCCTGGAAAACAAGGCAGAGTGAATGTCCGATGGTAAACAAAAGTCCGCAAGCGACCCACAGAACTCGTCCCTGCATTCACTGACCTGCAGTGAAATCTACGCGACCGTTGAACTAAGTTCTCTGGGTTGAGCGAGCTAACGCCCACGTTTCCAGCGTCAACCACTTTTCTGATAGGCTTTCTCAAATAACGAAATGTGCTACCATAACTTCACCCAACAGGTACTCACTCGACTCTTAAGTTCTACAAACCAACATCTGCTAACACACTCCAGTGTGTACTCTCTCCTCCTTCCCCATGAGAACAACCTAACAACCAAAGCAACGGCTGCGGCCACATCGGCGAATCCCACTCCCAACCATGGACGCTCTGCGACACCGCCCTCCACCGCCTCAACGACCTGCGCGGCCCCATGTCGCCCCCCCTCTCCCCCGCCGCCACCCCAGCCCCCATGAAGCGCTCCGCATCAACCCGCCGCTTCTTCTCGCTCAGCCAAACCATCTCGCGCTCCGCCTCCACGACCTCGCGCCGCAACGTCTCCTCCCCCGACTCCGCAAGCGAAACCTCGTACTTCGCCGCAGCAGACCCCGTCAAACCACTCAACTACGCCACGCTGCCCGCCCACCAGCTGAATGCCGTGCGATGTGCGGAGCCAACCAAGAAATCAGCAATCAGCCGCGAAATGGACGTCTGCAAGGAGTGCAAGCGGTGGCTGGCCGACATGCGCGGCATGCTGGCGCGGTATGATAAGACGGGGAGCATCAAGGGGACGGCGGCGTTCGAGGCGTTTCTCAAGTGGCAGAGCGAGGGCGGCGATGGCGAGGGGGATTTGACGGTGCCGTTGGGGGATAGTGTGGATGGGGTTGTATTGGGGGCGAGGGAGGCGATTGTGCTGGGGCATCCGGGGGGGCAGTATTGAGGTTTTAAGTTGGGGGGGGGGGATTGTGTGCTAGCTGTTTTGTTGTTTTGAGCGTGGGGGTTAGATCGGTCTGGGAGGCGCTGGGGATGGGGATGGGTGTTGATAGATTTGCCTTGGCACGACGCGGATATTGCGTGAAGCGTCATGTTGACTGTTCCGATCATGTTACGTCTGGTATATCCTCCGTTTCTTCACTTTTCGGATACTGTAGTCGTGCGCCTACGACGACGATATGTTCTACCTGCTGCTAGCATGTTAGGATAGCTAGGCCGCTCGGTGTAACACTGTCAGGTTCACTGCTGTTACCGCAGTTCTGCTCATCTAGATTGCATAGGCGCAAAACCAGTCGTGTCCTTCCCTGCAACAAATGCAACAGCAGAGGGCCTCATCTTACCTCCACGTCCGCCGCGCCTTAACACAATCAAGGGGCTGGCATTGGTGGGTTGGATTTGAGAGCAACCTGAGTGATTAGTGATGCAGTGACAAGATATTATAGTGTCCAGTGTCCCAACACGCGTGTACATGCATTGTGAACCGATCGTAGGGCCACTGGACGTGCGGCAAAGAAACCAGATTCCCCATTGACGAGCCGGCAAGCTCTTTCCCAGATCGTCGACAGTGCCTCGCGCCGACATACGCAATTCACACGCATCACTCTCCCGACAGCGTTCAGCGTAGATTGTAAATCGTGTTTCTCCAGTTTCGATGCTTGCGGTCTTTCGTTCTAAAGTGGTATGGTACGGGCGTGAAGTACATGCAGACATCTTATGATACACCTTTCTCTTCCTTCCGTTCGTCGCTCTTCGTCTCTTTGCTCCTGCGTGCAATGCAATGTACAGTACAGTGTATACCCAATCATTCGCCCCAGGCTAAAATCATCCGCATCGACTATCCATCATCCCCCGGCCGCGAGCCGCGTATCCTCCCGACCTGCCTCGAGATCTGCCCGCTCTTATCGTCCCCACCGTCACTGCTCTCGCCCCGCCCCATCAACCCCAGGACCTGGCCCACCAGTCCCCCTGGTTTCGGGATCGGACACTCGCGACGCGGATTCATGCGCTCTTCGAGCCGGCGCTGTTCCTCTGCTGTTTCTCGCCCCCGCCCGGTCTCACTCCCTGTCCCCCTCCCATTCTCGCTCTCGCTCCCACTCCCCTCCTCACCACACGCCCTCCGTCTCCGGCGGCGCGCGGGATCGGCGCCATCCGCCAGCGTCCGCGGATCCACGGGGCACGGGATGAGATGCGGGGCGGCGACGACGAGGAAGGACAGCATGAGTGTGGAGGTGAAGAGCGAGGCGGTGGTGAGGGAGCGGGGGTGCATGTGCGGCGGCATGTTGGGTGGTTGGATGCGCGTGCGAATGCGGCGCTAATTGGGGTGTTTGCGGTTGCGAGTGCGATGCTGACGGCACTGATGGACGGGGGTTTGCGGTGCTGGGTCAATTGCGGTGCCAATTGCTGTCGTAGCGTTGGGAATTGTGTGTCGGTGGTGTCGAGGCGCGTTATAAGGCGCGGGGACGCATCACTTGTTCGTCAGCGCGGTGGGATGCTGCGTGCGGGTGGGCGGGCGTGTGTGCGATGAGCGGCAATGACTGTGGGGTGCGTGTGTGCGGCAGGTTTTTGGTGGAGGTGCAGGAGGGCGCTAGCGGCGGCGGTGGACCCTGCGAGCCGTTGTGGCACGGTGCCGCGGAGCGATCGGCGGGCGCGGGCGTCACTGCTGGACGCACGACAGGTTGACTGCTTGCCAGGCGCATGGACGACAGCTGACGGCCACGGTTCCTCTGCAGCATTTCTTGATTGCGCGCTGGGTTTCGCGGCGCACTGTGCATACGAAGCACGCATTATCGACGATCCTCGGAGCTCTGCGAGCTGCAGGCGCGTGTAGTCGCAAAGCGTCAGGCCCTTCACACGTACCGCCGGCCCTCACACATATCGGCGGCCCTCACATACCGCCGGCCTCACGTACCGCCGGCCTTCGCACGACCACATACCGCCACACCCCGCCACGATGACCTCCGGCGGCAGCGACCTCGACAAGGCGATCCAGCAGCTGCGCGCGTGTCGCCCCATCCCGGAGAACCAGGTCCGCGAGCTGTGCTACAAGGCGCGCGAGCTGCTGATCGAGGAGGGCAATGTCGTCGGCGTCGACGCCCCCGTGACAGTACGTGGCCCGTTCTGCTGCGACGCGCCCGCTGACGCGACCAGATATGCGGCGACATCCACGGCCAGTTCCACGACCTGATGGAGCTGTTCCGCGTCGGCGGCGACGTGCCGGACACCAACTACCTCTTCATGGGTGCGTGGAGACGCTGTAGTGTGTGTATGCGCTAACGTCACCAGGCGACTTTGTCGACCGCGGCTTCTACTCGCTCGAGTCCTTCCTGCTCCTCCTCTGCCTCAAGGTGCGCTACCCGGACCGCATCACGCTGATCCGCGGCAACCACGAGTCGCGGCAGATCACCACCGTCTACGGCTTCTACGACGAGTGTCTGCGCAAGTACGGCAGCGCCAACGTCTGGCGCTACTGCTGCGAGGTCTTCGACTACCTCGCCCTGGGCGCCCTCGTCACCGGCGCCGCCACCTCGCTGCAGCCCACCGACGGCCCCATCGCGTCCAACTCCAACATCGACAGCATCCCCGACCTCGACCAGGACATTGAAATCGAAACCCTCAACGCCGCCGGCGAGATCATGTACCGCTACGCCCGCAACTCGGACCAGTCGTCCGTCTCCGCCACGTCCGCAAACATGGGCTCCTCGTCGCCCGTCGCGCCCCCCTCCGCCACCGGCCCCCCAGGCACCGCCGCCACCTCCTCCGCCGCGGGCTCCGCGCGCAACGACACCGGCGCCATCCTGTGCGTGCACGGCGGTCTCTCGCCGCTCATCGACAGCATCGACAAAATCCGCCTCCTCGACCGCAAACAAGAAGTCCCCCACGAAGGCGCCATGTGCGACCTCCTCTGGTCCGATCCCGACGAAATCGACGGCTGGGGCCTGTCCCCGCGCGGCGCGGGCTTCCTCTTCGGCGCCGACATCGTCAAGTGCTTCAACCACAAAAACGACCTCTCGCTGATCGCGCGCGCACACCAGCTCGTCATGGAGGGCTTCAAGGAGATGTTCGACTCCACCATCGTCACCGTCTGGAGCGCGCCCAATTACTGCTACCGCTGCGGCAACGTCGCCGCCATCCTCGAGCTGGGCGAGGACGGCAGCAACGCCGGCTTCCAGCGGCGTAGCAACGGGGACCGCGGCGGTGGCGGCGGTGGGTGGGTGCTCGGTAGCAACGATGGGCCGAATGCGGAGAGGGGTTTGGGGGGTATGTTGGAGCGCAATCGCGAGGGGCCGGGTCGCAGGTATCGCGTGTTCGAGGCCGCTCCGCAGGATTCTAGGGGTATGCCGGCGAAGAAACCGGTTGCGGATTACTTTCTGTAGGAGGGGAGTGGGCGGCTGCGGCAGGAAGAGGTCAAGGTGCTGGAGTGGCCCCCCACACCGGGGTTTTACAAGCACACGGTGCGGTATTTTCTTTGATCGCAGCGTGCAGCGTGCAGCGTGCAGCGTCGGCGATTGGTAGTTAGCGGTTGTACAGACAGACATGGATACCCAAATAAACAGTTAGATTGGCTCGGGTTCTGGCTTCTGGGTTTGTTTCGTGCGTGTGTGTGTTTGTTGATGGCAATGTCGATCGCGTGCCGGTCGATGTCTTTGTTTCTCTCTCCAGTGCACATCAAGCCACTGTTCGCCCGCCGTGCACTGTTCGTCTCCCTGCCTTGGTCTGTCGTCTGTTCTCCATATCGTGGATTTGCGGTCCCGTTCAAAGAGACAGCCTTGAAGTGCTGCGGGATGTGGAAGACGGAGGATTTACACATTGTAGCAGAGGCCTGGCAGCAAATAGGTACTTCTGTCTGCCTAAGCGTACCACGGCACACTTAGGTTACTCTTTTCCACCATTTTCAACCACTCTCTTACAGTTGGCTTCCAAGATCCCCAAGACTTGCTGTATTCCCTGTGATCCGCTAGCTGCTCCCAGCAGCCGCTCGCTTCGGCAACACATGTCGCGCAGTGCCTGTGCCCACACGGCCCGAGATGCGAAACACATGCCGGGTTGAGGAACATGTTGTTGATGCCCATGCACTGGCAACAAAACCAGTAGAGTTCAGAGCGGTACTTTTCTCGGAGCGCCGTCAGTAGCCGGGTTTCGCTAGGACTTACGATTGCAGTGGCTGCTGAAGACGCGGCTGAGAAGATGGTCAGGCCGTCGTCATCTTCTGATCTAAGAAACATATCGTTGAAAGCCCGTAGCAGATCGTCCTCATCTTTCGAAAGCATCGGCATCTCATGGTCTTGCATGAGGTCGTGGATCGCTCTCGGAGTCGAAGGCGAAGATGCTGTCCCTGAGTCTGGCGATAAGACCGGCGGACTCGACGATGCCGAATCCGTAGCCTCTTGTTGCAAGTCACGGTCAATCAACATGGCATTGACAGGCAACGGGCTTTGGAAGGGGGTCAGGATTGGTGTCTGTGTAGGTGTGCTTTGGGCGGAAGTATTGGACTCGGACATCGTCCAGTACTCCACTGCAGACGGTGTTGCTGTTAGATGTTAGTAGAGGGCTCTCGTCGAGACAGCAAAACGCACAGGCTGCAGAAGAAGGCGCATAAGGCTGGCGTTCGTCAACATCGTGTGCTCGCATCCAGCGAGTGACTTTCTCGCGCTCGACTTCCTGGTCCCTAATTTTGAATCTCAGACTGCGCTGGGCTGTCTGGACGAGGTCGCGGTGCTGTGATTTGCGTATGATGGATTTCATCTCCCTGGTTTTCACGTTCTTGTCTAATTTCCACTTGCTGAGGCGTGTGCGGTACTGTCGGATCCTAGAGAAATTATGTTACTCTTGTTCGGTTTCGAGGATGCTGCACGTACTCTGCAACGAAGCCGTAGTCTCTTTCCATGATGACTTTGACATCTTTGAGTGGTATGTTGTCCGTAATGTGGAGCTGGACGATGTGCTCTTTGTGAGGAGCCCAGTCAGCGTCACGAAGAGTCGGAGCTTTGGGCTTGCGTGCTCTTGCGGTCGATTCCATGGCTTCTAGTATGTAGGAGTGTTTGAGCGATCTCGCGAGAGCGGATGTAAGAAGTTGACGTGTTGATGGAAAGACCGTGTTTGGCATACACCAAGGTTGGATGATTGGAAGCGAGAAGAAGAGATGGAGTGATGGTTCTGTCTGCGCGACTCGGGCCTATTTATAAGTTGTTCGTCAACGGCTTCACAAGATGGCGTTGTAGCAGCATCTTATAGTCGATCTGGCTAGTTAGTGAGACAACTGCGCACGCTGATTGGCTGCAGAAGTACTATTATGCAAGCCACGTTCAGCTTCGACCAGGAACACGACAAGCCTCGTTTGAGCGAGAAGTTGCAAGGAGCTCTGAATATCCAAGTGGAGGAAACGTACATGGGCGAGAATGTCGGTGTAACGTCGTCTCCTGCAGCAGAAGTCCTATTACTCCAAGATTTTCAGATGTATAAAGTACTAGGGTGATGTAAACTTCTATCGCCCAACATACACTCTAACTGACAACTTCGACCTTGTGCGCGACTCCGTTTTGTTGTTGAAGTATACTGAATCTGTGACAAAATTGTCGACGTAAGCAGCAGCGGCAATCTGCTTCGGCATCCTTCAGCTAGGAATCGGTCTCGTCGCGCTTCGGCAACAGCGTCAGCTTCGTCGGATTCATGGTGAGTAATAACTATGCCACATGATTTACATGACTGAATCTTTGGTAGAGCACTGTTTGAGGGGCGAAGACACACAATCCGAGGAGCTTCGAACGATACCTGGTGCCATCATAGGTATCATGTTCTCTAGGTAGCTCGGCTTGGGCTACATTAGGCGGCATCTCGTCGTCCCCATCGTTTTCTGCGGATTTACAGGGCATTCTTGGACGGTAGTCAGGTGGTGGGGTTGGATACACTGGACTTGGGAGTGTGTGGGGGTTTGTGCGATGGAAATGGGGGTTCGTGTTCTAGCCCGGAGTTATAGTATTGTTCATGCTCTGTCTGTTGTTCCATCGATTCATGACTTAAATCGGTAACGTCGGGTATGAAGATACTCAACTATTCTAGCTGATGATATGCCTGTGTCATCAAGGGGGACATAGGATCTCTACCAGCGGTGCACATCTTGAAAATGCCAATGCCCATGGTTCTCCAACTCTCTTATATCCCAGCCCAGTTCGTTGAAAACTGAGGTCCAGATATTCCACGCCTCTTTGTCGAGCGTAAGTTCTCGGAGCATTGGTGTTTCGTCAGGTGTAATGGGTCTATCCCTAAACCTTGGGTCTGCTCTGAGTAAAAGAACCAGGAGCTCTACGTATAGCTGGCTGTCATTATCTTTGTCAATACTTTCGGGATATAGCATTTTATCATTGATGACGTGCAAATAACCCCATCCTTTGTTGTTCTTGGCTGATAGGTCCGCGTTCAAAGCCATATATGCAGAGACGATAGCTAGAGTCGGCTCATCCGTAATTGCGTGAAGTAAAGGCGTATGTCCATCGTTGTTGCGAAACTCCATTTCAACACCAATCTGTAGAAGATACTGTAGCACCTGTTGATACTCGTTGCGTTGCAAGTTCCGAGCTGTGTTGATGTAGAACATAATGTTTCCGTAGGATGCGCTGTGATCAATGCACTCATCAATATATGCACCATATTCGAGAGCCAGTGACGTGAGCTCTTTGCATCGCGCAAAATCGTCTTCGAAAGAGTATTGCGCATTGCTTCCACTGCGCATAGCGAATCCTATCCAAATGTCCCATATGAAGGTTTTAGAGGATCTGGAGAAGGTTAGGAACTTTGAGAACTTGGTGAGCGTATTGTGAGTACGCCCAAAACATACCTAAGAGCAACGCATCTCGGTGAACCATGCTCAAGTAGTAACTGTGTCAATCCGACGTTACCCATGCGAGCTGAGATCTGATTGTAGACGTTAGGCATTGCGTCTTGGCACGAGCGTGTTCAACTTACCGATATCGGATATTGAAGGTGTTCATCTAAGGAGAAGACAGTCGCTTCCCCATTAGAGAGAATACGCTGAATTTCGACAATGTTGTTCTGTGCAATGGCCCTGGAAAAAAGGTCGGCACAGTAATCAGGTCCATATACGACTCGGAATTTAGCAGAGCCTTCCCGATAGTATCTGTTTCCGGATGCTATTCGGAGTCTCAACTCTATCCAAGTACGTAGCTTATCGGTGCTGAACTCTGCCTCGGCGTAAGCCCATACCAACTGAGTGTAATTCCGAAGAGACTTTCTTTCGATACTCACGTCCCACGGAGCGCCTAGGGATTTACTGCTTTTTTTGGATAGAGAATATGTTTCCCGTACACAATCTTTTCCCTTCGAACCCACTTGAAGTAGTTCAGCAAGTGTACGAGCAGATACAACACGCCCCTGCTCGAGTGCCTCCTTTTTGAGATACGCGGTCAGAGTGCCTAATGGATGTCCTTGCTGGTCATTCCTGTGACCCTCAAGTAGCTCTTGCAATGGTGTATCAAAGGCCCAAGACATGTCAACCGTTTCGACTCGACATTTGGGTTCTGACGACTTGGTGGCTACGGATATAGAGTCTGCCTCGTATGCAACCTCAGGTATCCTTATATCTGTCCCATATCTCCTCGCCGAACCTGTCGATAAAGTGTTGGCTGAGATTGGTGTGTCGAATGGTAATGTAGACGTTGCTGTGATTGTTGCTACATCTCCAGTTATCAAAGGGGAGCCTTGTCGCGATTCCGCATAGCACGAGATATCAGTTGGAAGTTCTTGGCGGTTTTAGCAGGATGTCTTCTTGTGGCAAACTTAAACTCACGTGTGCCGAGATAACCGTCGTACAACTGATCCTGCGCAATTTTATGCTCATGCATCCACCGAATGATCTTCTTTGGGTCGACCTCAAAACCCCGTACTCGGAATCTGAGCTCCGGTTTATGGGGCTCTGCAAGGAGTCGGTATTGCCTCTTCATAACTATTGCCTTCATCTCTTCGTTCTTGATGTTTCTGTCGAGCCTCCAACGTTTGATGCGATGTTTCCATTGGCGATCACTTTCTCAAGGTCAATCCACTGAGGTGCAATGAAACCCTGCTTGATAAGAGTAATGCTTACGATGCAGTGAAGTTGTAATTCGTCTCCATAAAAGATTTGACCTCGCGCAAAGGTAGTCCATCTCTTCTGAACAATTCGCAAATGACAGCCTCGTGTGATTTCCACTGACTTTCGGTCAATCTGGGTATTGAGGTCATCGTGTATCAGGACAAATCTGACCCAGCAGGAAGTCGAGGCACTGTGAGCAAAGAGTGCAACTTTTATCTATGACTGTCAAAAGATACACTCTCAAATATTAATTTACAGCTTCTCAGATGATGGATCCTTTGATGCAGCTGTCAATAGTGCTCGAAGAGGATTGAGAAGCATAGTTGTGGTGCCCAGGTAGCTAGTGCTAGTTAACTTCGGGTCAAACCACAGATTTATTGTAGGGCTGTGGACGTACGAAGGTGTTGGCTTACGTGATGTAAGACCTCTCGATAGCTCTACCTGATTGGCGTGTCAGTCAACCCAAAGGTGACTAGCACGTGTTGCTCGGCAGGGATTACGGCAGCACTGCCCCGCTTTTGATGCGCTGGCAGCGGCCACCTGACTGTTGGGTATTACGATACCGGCAGAAAGGACATTTACCCCCAAAAGGGCACTCCGCAAAGGGACACTTTAACAAAAGTACAATCCAGAAAAACACTCCAAAAGGGCACTTCCAAAAGGACACTCCAAAAAGTACAAATTCGGATAGGCACTCCAAAAGAACACTCTTCGTTACTTATAAGTAACAGCTCGCGAATGCACCTAGAGATTTGATCTCAAAGTCCGTTCGAACGTGTACACCGCTCAAAGGTACCCAAAACCGCGTAATCCGTAAATATGCTTTCTATGCACTGCCCAAACCCGTGTAATTTGTGAGCCATGCGACATATATTCAGCACGCCTCGAGCATCACAAGGTTCCTCAGCTTGAAAGTCCTAACACTCTGAGCCTTCGATTTATTCTGCGCCTATTCTTGTCCTGGACTATTCATTCTAGTATAAGAACTCAAGATCCGAAGCATTTATCATCGTTACCGACAACGCATCACGTCATTCTTCTGCGGGACTATCACAAAATGCCCGGTGTAGCCATTATTGCGATTATCTTCGGTATCCTCCAGCTCGGAGTCGGACTTTCTGCCTTGTGGCAACAGTACGAACTTCGCCGCCACCGTAAGTCGATACCTGCTTCTACAGCAACCAGTCGTGGTTGACATTGACCAGAAATTCGCCTCGGAGATCAAAACACCATGGTCTAAAAGAGCGCGGGCATACCGTACCCAGACACGCCCGAACGGTTACCATGTCGTGCTTGAGTACAGTGAGGCTTGTAAGGCGTCTAGAGGATGAGATGTTAGACTTTTGTTTCGTGAGCAGGACTTCTCTTATCGCTCTTATTGCCCAAGCGCGCATGGCTTGCTACTGTGTCGTTGTTAGATCTGTCATTATCTTAAATAGTTCAGCGACAATTCACATCTTCTAATACTGACATCCTCTTGCATCGTGTCGGACAACCCCGCAACACTAGAGTCCCAACAGGCTTGCAGGCGACTTACTTTTGCGGAAGCAGGGCGGTGATTCATAATCTTTCTTGGTACAAGTCGGTAGCCTGCATAGCGAGTGCGTGCTGAGTCAGAGTCGAGTTCTATGTTGCTGGTCTCCAAAAAGGTGAGGACTGGATGGTCGATGCCTAGCGCCAATGACCGCATGCGCCAAGAAAGTGGGGTGCGGCGTTGAGCTCCAGCACCTTCGGCGAGTGCAAATGACCAACAACATAGCTTTCACCGCCGCTGCTGCCTCTGTAGTAGATACTCATTCTCCACCACCTCCTCCCTCCATCAACACTACCAACAGTACCTACATCAGCTGCATCATACGTGACTAGTCATACACGTCACACCCCGCAGTATCAGCTCACCGGCGACGGCATACACGATAGCTCCGTCCATTGCACCAGCCGGCACGCTGTCGAAGCGAAAGCACTCCTGCGAGGACTCTAGTCCGAACAAGAAAAACATGACAGTGGGTGCACCCTTCCATCACTAAGCAAACGCGCCGAGGTGGGTTGCGTCAGGCGGTGCATTAGTAAACGAACGGCTTGCTTAAGTGGCAACCACGAGACAGCAATTCCTCAAACTTCTCCTCCCTACGCTTCACACTCACCTCAAGACTCACGACTAATACCTCCCAGGACAAGATGCAGGTCGACGATCCTCCTTCTGCCATTGAGCAGCTAAAGGACAACAGCGGCGAGATCGATGAATCACTCTACAGCAGACAGCTCTACGTGCTTGGCCACGAGGCCATGAAGCGCATGGGATCGTCGAACGTCCTCGTAGCTGGTATGCGAGGTCTCGGCGTCGAGATTGCGAAGAACATTGCGCTCGCTGGTGTCAAGTCGTTAACGCTTTACGACCCTAAGCCCGCCGCGCTCGCCGATCTGTCGTCACAGTTCTTCCTTCGCCCCGACGATGTGGGCAAGCCTCGTGCATCCGTCACCGTGCCCCGCGTCTCCGAGCTCAACCCATACACACCTGTGCAGGAATACTCAGGCAAGGACCTGACCTCAGATTTGTCTCAGTTGAAACAGTTCCAGGTCATCGTCCTCACAGACACAACACTGAAGGACCAGGTTAAGATTGCGGATTACTGTCACGAGAACGGCATCTACGTCGTCATCACTGACACATACGGTCTTTTCGGAACCATCTTCACCGATTTCGGCAAGAACTTCACGATCGGCGACCCCACTGGCGAGAACGTTACAAACGGCATCATCGCCGACATCGATTCGGACGGTCTGCTTTCGGCACTGGATGAGACACGACACGGTCTTGAGGATGGCGACTGGGTCACCTTCACCGAAGTCAAGGGCATGGAGGGCTTGAACGGCTGTGCGCCTCGCAAGATTGAGGTCAAGGGGCCTTACACATTTTCTATCGGCGATGTCTCTGGTCTGGGCGAGTACAAGGGTGGAGGCCAGTACATTCAGGTCAAGATGCCCAAGATCGTCAACTTTGAGCCTCTCAGCCAGCAGCTGAAGAAGCCCGAGCTCATGATCTCCGACTTCGCGAAATTCGACCGCCCACAGCAGCTTCACGTTGGAATCCAGGCTCTGCACCAGTTCGCTGAAAGCCACAAGGGCGAGTTCCCACGACCACACAACGAGGCAGATGCGACCGAGGTCCTGAAGATCGCACAGGAGCTTGCTGGACAGGGCGAGGATAAGGTTGAGCTTGACGAGAAGCTGATCAAGGAGCTCAGCTACCAGGCACGGGGTGATCTCAGTCCCATTGCTGCATTCTTTGGTGGTCTGGCTGCGCAGGAGGTCCTTAAATCGGTTTCCGGGAAGTTCCACCCAATTATGCAGTGGCTGCACTTTGACTCTCTCGAGTCGCTTCCCACCTCTACTGCGCGCTCGGAGGAGCAGTGTGCTCCGATTGGCTCGCGTTATGATGGCCAGATCGCGGTCCTCGGTCAAGAGTACCAGAAGAAGCTCGGCAATGTCAAGCAATTCCTTGTCGGTGCAGGTGCCATTGGTTGTGAGATGCTGAAGAACTGGGCGTTGATAGGTTTGGCAGCCGGACCCGAGGGCAAGATCACCGTCACCGACAACGACCAAATCGAGAAGAGCAACTTGAACCGACAGTTCCTCTTCCGACCCCACGATGTTGGTTCGTTGAAGAGTGCGGCAGCTGCCAAGGCTGTTCAGGCAATGAACCCAGACCTGAACGGCAAGATTGACGTTTTGTCTGACAAGGTGGGCCCGGACACCGAAGACATTTTCAACGAGACTTTCTGGAACTCGTTGGACGGCGTCACCAACGCGCTTGACAACGTAGAGGCACGAACATATGTCGATCGCCGATGTGTCTTCTTCCGCAAGCCCCTGCTCGACAGCGGTACTCTCGGTACAAAGGGCAACACCCAGGTTGTCCTTCCCTTCATCACAGAATCATACTCTTCGTCGCAAGATCCGCCGGAGAAGTCGTTCCCTATGTGCACACTCAGGAGTTTCCCCAACAGGATCGAGCACACCATTGCGTGGGCGCGTGAGATGTTTGACTCGCTGTTTGTCAAGGGCCCGGAAGTCGTCAATCTCTACCTCACACAGCCTGACTATCTCGGCGCATCGCTGAAGCAGTCTGGCAACGAGAAGCAGACTTTGGAGACACTACGCGACTTCTTGGTCACCGAGAAGCCTCTAACCTTCGATGACTGCATCATTTGGGCACGCCAACAGTTCGAGAAGAGCTACAACCACAGTATCGCGCAGTTGCTGTACAACTTTCCCAAGGACTCGACGACAGGTTCTGGGCAGCTATTCTGGTCTGGACCCAAGCGCGCGCCAGACCCATTGAAGTTCGACCCCTCCAATCCCACACATGCGACCTTCGTCGAGGCTGCAGCCATTCTGCACGCGTACAACTACGGTATCAAGCCAAACGCGACAAAGGAGCACTATACCGAAGTCATGAACGATATGATCGTTCCAGACTTCCAGCCTGATCCGACAGTCAAGATCCAGGCGAACGAGAACGAGCCTGACCCGAATGCCAACCAGGCCCTCTCAGACGATAACAACGAGCTCAATGAAATTGCCAAGCAGCTGCCAGATCCTAAGTCGCTTGCTGGCGTCAAGCTTGAGCCCGTAGAGTTCGAGAAGGACGATGACACTAACCACCACATCGACTTCATCACAGCGTGCAGCAATCTGCGTGCCGAGAACTACAAGATTGAGCAGTCTGACCGCCACAAGACCAAGTTCATTGCTGGCAAGATTATCCCAGCCATTGCGACAACTACTGCTTTGGTCACTGGTCTTGTCAACTTAGAGCTGTACAAGATTATCGACGGCAAAGATGACATTGAGCAATACAAGAATGGCTTCATCAACCTGGCGTTGCCCTTCTTTGGATTCAGTGAGCCTATTGCCAGCCCTAAGGGCACCTATGCTGGGCCGAATGGCGAAGTTACGATCGATCGCTTGTGGGATCGTTTCGAGGTGGACGACATTACGTTGAAGGAGTTTGTCGAACACTTCAAGGAGAAGGGCTTGGACATCCAGATGGTTAGCTCTGGTGTCAGCTTGCTGTATGCATCGTTCTACCCTCCTTCCAAATTAAAGGACAGGATGGGATTGAGGTACGTTTACCTTTGATGATCTTGGATTGAATACCAGCTAACAACGTCCAGCATGAGCAAGCTCGTCGAGCACGTCAGCAAAAAGCCTGTACCAGAACACCAGAAGAATGTCATCTTCGAGATTACCGCGGAGGACCAGAATGAAGAGGATGTTGAAATTCCTTACGTTATGGTCACGCTGCGGAAGTAGGATTCTCCAGTCAGACGAGGAGACTCCGTCGATAACGGACATTCATGATTCAGTGCGGTTCGCGTTAGTACTACTACGATAGACGACTTGCATGAATAGACAACTGTGCATATATACATTAATCATCCACTTGACATTCGCCTGTGATGACTGCTGAGTCCGGTCTCGGCCGGCGATGTGGGGCTAGCGGCCAAATCGCTAGCTCTACAATGGCGGGACGTTGATTATCAAGCCTCGAGTGACATTTCTCCTCCACGCAACAATGTGAGCCACACACCCACACCGCCAGCTACACATCAGCATGGCGCCCTCACTCGAAGAACCAACACAAGTCGATTTCGATGCGCCGCTCAAGGCTGCACCGAAGCTTGTCGCGCCGGAGCCAGGTACTTACCCCGCCACTCGTGCTCTCGTCGCTACTCAGACCACGGCACATGTGCGCAAAAGAGGAATATGCTGACCAGAACGAATAGAGCACTGCCCTGGTCCCGAGTCTCAGCAAGCAGGCAAAGCGGACAACTGCGCCGGCTGCCCCAACCAGGCAATATGCGCCTCCGCGCCGAAAGGCCCCGATCCCGACATTCCTCTCATAACCGCACGCCTCGCCTCCGTCCAACACAAGATTCTTGTTCTGTCCGGCAAAGGCGGTGTCGGGAAGTCAACATTCAGTACCATGCTCTCGCACGGTTTCGCCTCAAATCCCAACTCGACCGTCGGCCTGATGGACACGGACATCTGCGGCCCGTCGATACCGAAGATGATGGGCGTCGAAGACGAGACAATTCACGTCACAGGCGAGGGGTGGGAGCCTGTATGGGTGAGCGAGAATTTGGGAGTCATGAGCGTGCAGTTCATGCTGCCGAACCGCGACGACGCTGTGATCTGGCGCGGGCCGAAGAAGAACGGCCTGATCAAGAAGTTTCTCATGGATGTGAGCTGGGGCGAGCTGGATTTTTTGATCGTCGACACGCCGCCAGGCACCAGCGACGAGCATCTCAGCGTCAACAGCTTCCTCAAGGCGAGTGGGGTTGATGGCGCGGTGCTAGTCAGCACGCCACAGGAAGTCAGTCTGCTGGACGTCAGGAAGGAGATTGATTTTTGCCGAAAGGCAAAGATCCCCATTCTCGGTATTGTCGAGAATATGTCTGGCTTTGTGTGCCCGGGGTGCAAGCACGAGTCTCAGATCTTCCGTGCGAGCACAGGTGGTGCGCGGCGGTTGGCGAAGGACGAGAACATTCCATTCCTGGGAGCTGTACCGCTGGATCCGAGGATTGGCATGGCGTGTGATTTTGGCGAGAGCTTCCTCACCGCGTATCCGGATAGTCCTGCGTGCAAGGCTATTCAGGAGGTGGTCAGGAGAGTAGGTGAGGAATTGGGGTTGAGTGCAGACGTGGTGTTGCCTGCAGAGGAGGAATAGGAGTTGTTATTACAAGGTGCATAGTAGGCGTCACATTCTTAGCATTACTTTCATGAATCTACGACTTTTAAGATCTCATAACGCAAGGGTGTCATTGTATATGGGCACAACATCAGAAGTTCATGTCCAGACCTGCACCCACGGTGCCATGACGTAGCAGAGATATACCTGAACACATGTGTGTACATCTCGGAAGTGCTGTTGTGCAAGACACGCATTGACCTTGTTCGTATTGCGGTAAACCAAAGCTAGCCAGGAAACCGCATCCAAGTAAAGAGCGACCATGTCATGCAAACGTCAGTGACGAGGTATTTTTGATATAAGTCTCGCGTATGTCGACACCTACATTCACTTCGTATGTCTTCTCTCATCGTTGCACACACAATGCCGCACATCCAAGCGCGCGTACAGCGATACGCATGTGCCACCGACACAGCCACATGCGTGGAGCTGTCGTAAGATTGAGGGGAACCTCGAATGACGTAATGGGAGACGTCCAGTTTGACACCCAACGACATCGAAGCCCGTGAAGCGCCGAGCACGCTCAATCGGATGTTGGCGATCTTGTAAGTTCGGCATTGAAGATTTTCGGCATACATACCGTTGCTTTGCCGCTGTCAACACCGCCAGCGCTGATGCTGATCGATCGCGCGCCTCCGACGCGTCACGCACGGCCACAAAACCAGCCACTCGTAATCTACAGATCGCCTCTCGGCTTGGCGGGAACGGCCAAAGCTTGGGTCCACGCGCCAACGGGAACCAAATGATCTTGCAGAACACATGGATCACATGGATGCACCGGACGAGTGCGTTAGCCAGCAATGGCGTGTCTGAAGCGCCATTGAGGATGCAGCGGCTCCACTAAAAAGAAGAAGGCAAGATTGCGATGGTGATCTTGGGTTAGAGAGATGTCAAAGATGTCATGAGCGTGAATGCTTGGCTCTCTCGACGAAACAAGGCGCGGATGATAAACTGCAGCGCCAGGAAGGGCCGGCTAGCGGCAAGCATCCCTGTTTCCAGCGCCAGAGCAACCTTGGTTGCCATAAGCATACAGCGTCGCATCCTCTCTGCCGTGCGCCCCTCCCTTCAGCAATCTGCGACTTTTGAGATACCCAGCATAACATTTCTGCGCCACTCGTAAGAGCTGCGCAACGCGTACCAATATACACACGGCTGCGACATAGCTGAGCTTACGCAGGCCGAGGCATCTAGTGGGTGTGTTCCTTGCTTTACTCGAGTCGCAACGCTGACATTTGGTGCAAGATAACTGTCGACGCGTCGCTCTTTCCTCCTTTACGATACCCCTAACCGACCACTATGGCCGGTGTAATTACAAACGAGCAGCAAGGTCTGCCACCCGTCAGCCAGCAGTACCAGCAGAATGGCATCCAGCAAAACGGTATTCAGCAGAACGGCGTTCAGCACAATGACATGTCTAATGGCATTTCTAACGGCACCCACCCGCACCCCGACCCCCAGAGCGGTGTCACAGGCGTCGGCAATGGGCCTCAGATTGTGAGCACTTCAGGAGGGCTGGACGTCATTGCTGGACCGCTCCTCAATTACAGGCGCACCAGCACCAATGGCGCAGAGACGCTGTGGCACGGCAGTGTCTTGATCGTCACCACACCCGGACAGCAAGACCCAGTGATGCTGGTAGGTCCTGCAGGCCCAGTCGACCAGAATGCAGGCAACGTCCAGTTCAGCAGGCCTCAGCCCGTGAAGGTCGGTGGAGAGAAGCTGTACGAAGATTCCAAGCGCGCGTTCTGGCGCTTCCTTATCGAAGTTCCCTTCGAGCAATTCGAGGCGCGATGGCAGTACGAGTTCCAGAACGTTGTCTACGTCGACCGCAGCAAGTCAGAGAAGCCCCAGCACTTCGCCGTTCCCTCGATTCACCAATCGATGCGCATCATGTTCCACTCATGCAACGGTTTCAGTGTTGGCACTGACGTTGATGCTTGGTCCGGACCAGCGCTGTGGAACGACGTCTTGCGCATGCACGAGCAGAGGCCGTTTCACGTCATGCTGGGAGGAGGCGATCAGATCTACAACGACGGAGTGCGAGTTGACGGGCCGCTGAAGCCCTGGACTGCTATTAGCAATCCCCACAAGCGCCGCGAATTCCCGTTCGGCGAGCAGATGCGTGCAGACTGCGATGAGTACTACTTCAACAACTACGTCCGGTGGTACGGCCAGAAGCCCTTCTCCACGGCCAATGGTCAGATTGCGCAGGTCAACATTTGGGACGATCATGACATCATCGATGGATTCGGCTCCTACACCGATCACTTCATGAACTGCGCTGTCTTCCGCGGCATCGGCGGTGTTGCGCACAAATACTACTTACTGTTCCAGCACCATCTCGCACCCCCAAAGAGCACATTCACCACTGATGCGCCCAAGACCACTAGCGCAGATCATACCGGCACAACACCGGCTGATCCTGTGCAGCTGGAGAAGACCTGGGTCATGACTGACGATAAGGGCGACCCATCGTATATCATTGGATCGAAGCCGGGCCCATACGTCGAGGAGCGCAGCCGAAACATCTACTGCCAACTTGGCGCACGCATTGCGTTTGCTGGAGTCGATGCTCGAACGGAGCGCACTCGCCACCAGATCAACTACCCCGAGACATACAAGATGGTGTTCGACCGCCTAGAGAAGGAATTCTCAGCGAACAAGAACCTGAAGCACTTGATTTTCCTGCTTGGTGTGCCGATTGCGTACCCTCGTTTGATCTGGTTGGAGAACATCCTTCAATCGCCGCTCATTGCACCCATCAAGTTCTTGAACAAGCGATTCGGCTTGGCTGGCTCGTTCTTCAATCAGTTCGACGGCAAGGTTGATTTGCTGGACGACCTCGACGACCACTACACAGCGCGTCAGCACAAGACTGAACGTCGCGAACTCGTCCAGATGCTGCAGAACTTCTCCAAGAAGCACTCTGCTCGTGTCACCATCCTCGGTGGAGATGTGCATCTGGCGGCTATTGGACGTTTCTACTCCAACCCTAAGCTCCAAATTCCGGCAGAGCACGACTGGCGCTACATTCCCAACGTGATCAGTTCCGCCATTACCAATAAGCCTCCTCCTGCTGCCGTGGCCAACCTTCTTGCCAAGCGCAACAAGATCCACCACCTCGACCACGACACCGACGAGACCCTCCTCGAGATCTTCGACCGCGACCCGGGCGTCAAGGGCGAAACCCACGTCGTCCGCGCCGGCACCGAGCCCATCAACGGCACCAACGGCACCAACGGCGCGGCCCACCACGAAGAACCAAACCCCAAGAACGCAACCGTCAACGGCAACAAAGTCGGCTCCAAAACCATCGACTCCAACCACGCCACCATGCCCTCCCGCAACTACGCCATCATCTGCGAGTCCACCCCGCCCCCGACCGCGACCCTCTCCGCGCCCGCCGCCGCCCCCGGCCAAGCCCCCAGCATCAACGGCGCCGCGAGCGCCATCTCCGCGCCGCCGGAGCGCAAGGGCAACATGCGCCACGCGATCCACGACGGCGAGAAGAACGCCGGCACGGGACATCCGGCGGCGCAGGGCCTCACGCCTACGGGGCTGTGTGGGCCGTTTGGACTCGATGTCACGCTCAGAGTTGAGATCAGCAACTCGGATCGCGAGGGTAGGACGGATGGGTATGGGTTCAGTATTCCGGCGCTGGAGTCGGGTGGGTATGCTGCTTAGGGGAGGTAAGATGTGCGGGGGAGTTGAAGAGTCTGGTTAAGGGCACCGTCAGCGATGACGAGTGCTTGTTGAGTCCGGTCCGCTGGAGATGAAGGAGGAGGGGGTAATGTCTGATGTGTTTTTGTGCTTGGTATACCCGAATCATGTAGTTTGTAGTATGTAATTCATGCTTTTGTATCAGGTTGGTGCTCCCTGGACTGTGAAGCATTCTGGTCACTGAGATGGTGCAAGAGGCAAAAGGCAAGATCACGAAGCGGTTCGCATGGAGGAAACAATCCCACACAGCTTTGCAGACCACGGCATTACACCACGCATCTACAAGAGCAAAAAGAGACGCAAGTATGCAAAAAGAAACTTCTACATACAACAGTGGGGATTCCCCAGTGGTCACCCACCTGAGTACTAATCCACCGGTACGTTGCTTAAATAGGGCTGAGCGAACGGGAAGCCTTGTTTTCAACGTCCTATGGTCGTATGTGGAAGATCTGGTTGTGTGCAATTATCATGTAGCAGGTGTCGTCAAGCAATGTCAGCCGCCATTTCTTCGAAGTCCTCCTCCACTCCGAGCGGTATCGGGATGCATCCGATCACGAACATGGTTTGAGAACGCTGATACTAAAAAGTACCGAGAATAGTTAATGAGGATTTGGAACTATCAGAGTTAGTCGTGATACCTTTTTGGCTTGCTTGCCGCAGTGGCCGGAACTGAGGCCTGACAATCAACTCACTCTGATAGTGAGTTCTTGGCCGGAACAGTATATATTGCCTAAGTCACATAAGATGGAACCTGACACATGAGTAGCGCAGGTCTAGAACACCAACACCATGACGAATATCGCGATAGGCGTTACATAGACTAGTATTGCTTATAATAATTAGCCTCCTCTGTTAGATCTTATCCTGGACCTTGTCTCCCTTCTAATTTCTAGACTCTAGATTTAAAAGTCGTCTCAGCGAGCGGTATAAACCCCAGTCGAGACTGCATGGTAGCCCTTTTTACCAACTTCGAAAGTAAGCTTGCTGCGCCACTCCTCTCCCTTGGCAAGTCGTTCCACAGCGTGCTGAATAGTGTACACTGGTTGCCACCCGAGTTCTCGCACCGCCTTCCCAGAATCATAAACACGATCCAGGCGGGGCAGGAATTTCCACTCGTGCTTGGAAAATGCCTCCTGAATACCTGGAATGGAATCACGGTACACCCCCCCTGCATCCGAGTCCAACCTCCGCAACGTGTCGGCGTCGTTCGGAAACGGCGGTGGCGCGCTGATAATATACTTGCCCCAGCCGATGTCCCTAGCTCGCTTCATGCCGTGAACGCAGGCCGAAACGACATCGGCAATGTCGGTGCGCCGGTAAGCAAGCTCAAGGCACTTGAGATTCTCGTCTCCCAGGGCAGCGCGACGGTCCTCATCGTCATCGGCTTCGGGGAAGAAACGGCTAGTCCGCAGCACCAGGACAGGCAGACTGGTCTGCATGTTTGTCAGTCGGCACATGTCCTCGGCTGCAGCCTTGGTCACGCCGTAGATGTTCTTGGGTATTGGCGTGACGGTCTCGTCAATCCAGACCGCCGGACTGCCGGGCTTGGGGCTCAGAGCCTGCCCAAAAACAGAAGTGGTTGAAACAAAGATGAAGGAATCGATGCGATCAGACTGCAAACCCGCAGCTGTCTCGAGTAGAATCAGCGTGCCGGTGATGTTGACGTCCACGAAGTCGGACTTTGAGTGCGAGTCAACGTGAGGCTTGTGTAGTGTTGCCGCGTGCAGAATGTGCCGGATGTTAGGATAGGCGGCGAACAGCGATTCTACAAAGGTACGGTTTGAGATGGAGCCCACAAGGGTTGTCGTCGGGGAGTCGAGTGTGTCGATGCCGATGGGAGTGTAGCCATACGAAGGGAGCGAGAGCATGAGCGCGCAGCCGAGGTGTCCGGCGGCGCCGGTAACGAGAACATCGGCATTCCCCATACTCGTGCTTTGTGTTTGAAAATGAAATCCTTATGGGAGGACGAATATAGCTGGGAAGTCTCCAGTCATAGAACCAAACTTTGCAAGCGCAGTCCCTAGCGGCACTAAGACTACGAAGTACTGCGAGGGCTGTAGCGTGCTGCGGAGTCTAGTCCGCCAACCGTTCAGGGCTGCGTTCTTGTAATTTCAATGCAGAGAAAGTGCAGAACATCCTCTCGAGCCAACGGTCGTTCATCAACCACAAAGCCATGCCAACCGCCTCCTCTTCAAAGTCTTCCTCCACGCAAAAAGGGGAAAGAAATGCAGCAAGCGTTGAGAGGCAGCCGAAAATTTGGACGCTTTATGCAGTTTTAGACCATGTCCCCATTCTGCAGGCCGGACTTGCGGTTATCGTAGATGTTGCTGCGCTTTACTTCACCACGCTGCCTGTTTCGGGATAAGCCCCTTGGTATGGCGCCCCATGTATACCACCGACCACCACCGTCCAGGTACAAAAGAAACAAACAATGACCCCGGATCGCTTGAATAGGGCTGAGCAAACAGGAAGCCTTGCTGTCACCTGTTCTGCCACCCCAAAGATTCCTGAAGTGCCCGTTTACGGTATCGCGCAGACTGAATAAAACCAGGGCTGGACCAATTAGAGGCGTACCCTTATCCGATCGTGCGGTAGTACTTTAATGATTAGAGCATTCAGTAATACTCATATATCGCACTTTCGCAAAATGCGCATTGCCTACGTAACCTACAGGTGACTGTGAGTAGACGATATTCCACCCCACGGCTGCGAACACTGTTTCCGTAGTCGGAGGGAGATCTTAATTATTATTTGCTGCTTTTTTGCTGTAGTGTAGGGAGGAGAGATAATGCATGAAATGGGTACTGTTATACTTATCATTTTGACAAGCAGAAATGAGCATACACACGTCTTTAATAGAAAGGCTAGACTCCAACCACTCTTGGATTTACGACTCCCTGTGTTTAAAACAACAAGGAGTAACAAGCAAGTCGCCAGATTGTCAATGCTGTGGTTTGGCTGAGAGCGTGCGGGGCTATATCACATCGTGCCATTGTTCGTCCGGTATGTACTTGGTTGGGTTCCATCCTTCCAGGTAACTCGTATTCAGTCATGGCAGAATCGAATATGCGGCTTTGCTTAGTGTGGGTTTCTGCTATGAATGCATGGAGAAGCAGACATGTTTGCGATTGGACTGTAACCTTTGCACCACTCGACTACCGTGAGAAATCTCAGCTTACTTATCTATAAAGACTTCTCTTCCTGTTCCTCTGTGGCGGCAACAATCGCAGTGCTCAAACAGATGTAATGAAATCTCTGAATCAGACCTCAATTGTTCACAGTGATTGCAGTGCGACGCTAGAGATTGTGTCAATTGACAAGCTGAAAGAGGAAAGAGTCTGGCCACCTCTGAGCATGGTCTTGGACTTTCTACTCCTCGCAAATTGTGAGTCGGACGATCGCACATTGCAAATGCTGTACTAATTTACGTTGTGATGGAGAGTGGTAAAAGGAAGCGGGCAAAGCTTGATTGGCTCATATCCTGGAGACCTTAGTATGGGCTCTAGAATGAGAGAATAAAGCACCTGCGTAGAATAGGTTGGATTGGAGTGTAGTTGGTTCTGAGATGTACTGTCCTCACTTCGTTGACCGCGATGAATAAGGATGTCAACAAACAAGTCAAACAAAATTTGAGAGGTAGATATTGATATTGTTTGCTTGACTAAACAGGCGCACTAAGCTCTTGTTTCTCTGATCTAATTGGCTGCTACGAGAATGATTTGACGTAGGCAGCAAACGCTGTTGAAATCGACAGTTTTCCCACCGCATACCCTGGCGCCATCCAACCTTCACCAACAACAACAACTATGACAAAAGTCCACGCGATCAAACTTCTTCAGGCCAGTGCTGATCCTGATGATATCAGCGAGCTTCGTCTTCTCGTAGACCACCAGCACATCAAATATGTCACAGTCGACCCTTACATCTTCGATTATATGGACCTGATTTTCGAGCCCACCTTGATCGAAATCCTGCGTCCTCTTCTACCAACTGGAGATTGGAACAATGCCCGCATTTTCCAAGCAACTTCTTCAGGAAAATCCACTAGTGGAAACGCCGAGGTAGCCGAAGTACAGGTTGAGACATCAATACAAGTGCAACCCGGGATCCTTCGGATATGGCATTCACTTTCGATCGACTATCTCGAGTTGGAAGTTGGCAGCCGTCTTCGTAGTAATGTGCGCGAGGCTACATGCTCGAAAATCCCTGGCCAATTCGTTGTCAAGTTTGCCAGATTCCATTACGAGATCGCACAACTAGAACACGAGACAACCGCATACAAATGGATCAACGGGCACAACATTGGACCAGAATTTCTCGGGCATGTAACTGAACATGGACGAGTGATTGGATTCGCCATGAGCAAGATTGAAGAAGCTCGACACGCGACACCGGCCGATCTAGATATCTGCCGACAAGCTTTACGCAGGCTGCATACACTTGGAATCAAGCATGGGGATACGAATAAGCATAACTTTCTCATACACCCACAGGGTGTCACGATGATTGATCTGGATTTTGCGGAGCAGAACGCTACGGAAGCAGAGCTAAACGAAGAGCTCTTTGGGCTAGAGCAGCAGCTGGCAGATACCTCAGGGAAAGGTGGTATTGTTGAGCTTATCGACAGCACGAATTGCTAAGGCAGTCTGGGATTGGCACTGGCTAGGCTAAGAATGTAGATGGCGTCTTGACACCTGTGAACTTCAGCATCAAGCAATATGTGTGCTACAACATTCCAGGATTGTGGATTGTCTCATTTCGAGCATAGATAGCTCTCGTTTAGATATTCAGAGCTTTGCGTTCACCTTTGGCTTCTGGCCCCCAAACCGAATCAACCCATCTTGAAACGTCGTGGCAATGTGTACCCCCTTCTCATAATCCCACAGCCGGCTCGTGTGCAGTCCCCGCCCACCTGCGGCCCGCGTCATCCATGCTTCCTGCACGAACCACTTCCGCCCATCTGCATCTCTGTCTTTCTCTTCATACCCATCCAGCGCGCACAGCGCCAACTTCTCGTCTCCCCACAGCGTGCGATCGGCATCAGGATGGTCGATCCGCGGCTCCGGCGGCATCACTAGATCCTCGACACCAACATGGAAGATAACACTATGCGACAGCGACGCCATACGCGTAAAATCTCTCCCGCGGTCAAGGTGGTTTGGCACAATGAACAGCGAGTTGCGATCCGAGGCATACAGGTGTGCGCACGCATGCAGATTCGCGGCGCACGTTACATTCACTTCACCTGGTTTCGGTGGAGACGGCGCGGTCGCGAGAGGCAGACTGCCGCGCAGCGTGTAAAATGTGAGTTGGCGCCGGTCCAGAGGGGTGCGTGGCGCGTTGTACGGCTGCATGTCAGCCTTGCGCAAATGTAGGCCTGCGATGGGGTTGAAGTGATCAGGGTGCGCGGGGAGATAGGTGTTGCGGAAGACCTCTGAGTCGTTGCTTGGAGCTGCGGGGTGCAGCATGGGCTCGTGATATTTTCCGGCCAGCGCGGCGTGGTAGGTTTGCTGGAGGGAGAGGGGTGATTGAATGGAGACTGGTGAGGCTTCGGAGCGCTTGAAGGAACATGTGCACGTGAACATTGTCTGGCCAGCGTTTTGGACGACGGTTACGGAGCGTGTGCAGTAATTGTAGCCGTCTCTTATTTTGTCGACTTTGTAGATGTAGTGTTCATTTGGCTTGCCGCCTAGGATGAACCAGCCCGTGATGTTCTTGGTTGGTATTGTCAGCATTTGCAAGTAGGATATCATTGGAGAGATGTACGTGGATCAGCAGCCCTTCAGCGACTGTCTGTGCAGCTGCCCATGCTGCTTGCGCGAACACATGGCCGCCGTACGTGCCGTTTTCTCCTCCAGTAGGCGAGTACGCTTTCGTGATCGACCGGAACGTCAACGCGTCAATCGTCTCGAGTTCAAGGACCTTATCGAAAGGAAGAACGGTCTTTTCGGGCGTGAAATATGGTCGGACCACCATCTTGTCTGAGATGTGGAAACGGGATGTTACATGCTACATGTCGAAGTTGATGCTCGAAGTTGAGGCTCTGCGAATGGACCTCGGAACTTGACAAGCGTGAACGCGGGGTTCCGCGTCTTCGGGATAACAGCCTTGCCCTCACCCACACATCGAGCAGCGCAACTACATCAAGCGTTGCAGCTTCAATGCCGAGCATGCCTTATCATCATGTCTCGATGAGGTTCATGAAGAAAAAGTGGAGCACCACTGCCATGCACTGATACGTACATACGATCACGCTAGCACGCAATCCCAGTCGCCGATTCGTCAGCGATTGTGATTCATCCCAGCCTCGTCTCTATCACGTTTCTCCCACCATCACAACACACCATGGCTTCATCAGAAACAACCCCGCTGCTTCAGCAGACAGACACAAATAATACCCCTCAGGATGAAAACGAGGCCGCAGAACCCCGTGGGACCTTCGCCCGCAACCTCAGCGCCCTGGATGGTTTCGCCCTACTAATCAGCATTGTAATCGGCTCGGGTGTCTTCTCCTCACCCGGCCCCATTGACGCCAATGTGCCCTCCCCAGGTGCCGGACTTCTCATATGGCTACTCGGCGGAATTCTAGCCTGGACAGGTGCGCTCAGCATGGCTGAGCTGGGCACCGCGATCCCTGGCGAAGGCGGCATCCAGCCCTACCTGACGCACATCTTCGGCGAATTCTGGGGCTACATGGCGGCATGGAGCTGGGTTGTTGCGACTATGCCGGCGACGCTGGCGATTTTGTGCATTGTATTTGTTGAGAGCGTGTACTCGAGTCTCGGGGTGAACAATCCTGCACCGCCGATGACGCATAAGTTGTTGAGTGTGCTGGTGTTGGCGATTGTCACGGGGCTGAACTCTATCAGTACGAAGACAAGTACGAGGCTATCCGGCTTTTTCGTCGCGATTAAGTTCTTGACAATCTTCCTACTTATTGTTGCGGGTTTGGTTGTCGTTATCAAGTACAGTCTGACGGGTAACGATGTGGGTGGCGTTGATTGGAGAAGGGAACATTGGTTTGCGCCCAGGCGAGACACACCGTATCCTGATGGCACACCTGGCCATTTTGATTGGAGTAAGGTGTCGACCTGGGAGTCGCTCGGTTTCTACAGTGCAGCTTTGTATGGAGCGCTATGGGCGTACTCTGGATGGGACAAGGTAAGCTTGCTGATTAAGTCGATGCAAGAACTGTAACTTACAACCACTTAGGCGAACTATGTTGCTGCTGAACTGCGTAATCCCAGCAAGCAGTTGCCGTTGTCCATCAACACAGCCATTCCCACTATTATCTTGTGCTACGTGTCTGCGAACGCGGTGTACTATATCCTATTGCCCTGGAAGCTAGTATCCACCACGGATGCTGCTGCAGTGGTAAGTTACGCTCCCTTCTCGATTCGCCTTGACAAAATACTAATCTTCATGCGAAGACCGCAGTCAAGCATCTCCTAGGCACGGGAGGGGCCTATACCGCTACAGTTCTCATCTGTCTTGTCATTGCAGGCTCAGCACTAGGAAATTCCTTTGTCGTAGGCCGCATGACCGTAGCAGCAGCGAATAAGACCTGGTTCCCATCCGTGTTTGGTACTCTTGGTCAAATTGGCACGTACAAAGTCACCAAGAGCGTCGAAGCAGAGGATAGCGCCGAAGAAGCCATGGACAAGGGAGAGTCACCGATGTACGTCTGTGCTTCTTTGGCTCCACAATGACATACTGATCTTCCACAGCAACGCTCTCGTCCTCAATTTCCTCATCTCCTCAGTTTACATTCTCCTCGGCAACATGCGGATTCTGCTCACTCTCAATGGACTCGCTGAGTACGCGTTCTTCTTCCTCACCGTCTTGGGCGCTATCATTCTTCGCTTCCGCGAGCCGGAGCTGGACAGGCCTGTGAAACCGTTCATTCTAATCCCAATCTTGTTCGCTCTGATTAGCGGCTTCGTTGTCATCAGAGGTGCGGTGTTTGCGCCTGTGCAAGCGGCGATTTTGATTGGCATCTGGATCCTTGGTGCGGTATTCTACTTTGTGAGGCGAAGGGTGCTCAACCAAGCGAGCTAAGATCTCGTTTGCAGGTCCATCGTTGGTCGATAGCGGAGTGGTAAGAAGATGGGTTGCAAAGCTGTAGTAGTCATCAGTAACCTTGAATACAGATGATGTTTCGTTCGAACTTGCGGCTTCGGTCTTCTCTTTCGCTATCTCTGTTCGCTGATTGGGTAGCCTTAGCGAAATGGTCATAAGCGCCGGGTCACTAAGCACTCAAGTGTCGTTGACAAGCGAGCTGAACCTCAGCTCTTTGTCACAGTGTCCAGACTCCGACCAGCGACCCATCAGATATTTAGCTGCACCAGCACACCAACCAAATATGTTGCCACGTACCACCAAGCAACACGACAAACACAATGGGCGACTCATCAACACCAACTAAGCACATCTTCGATAATGGCGCCACCGCCTACGAAGCCTCCACCGGCGGCTGCACACGTGACCTAGCACGACACATGCTCACGCTCAGCCCAACCATTCTTCCCGGCTCCGTGATCCACGATAATGCATGCGGCACCGCCGTCGTTGCGCAAGAGATCGTCGCGCGCAACGTGCTTTCCCAATCGCCTCCGGACCCCGCCTACACCCTGACCATCCACTGCACCGACAAGTCTGCCAACATGATTGAACTAGCCCGGTCCGGCTATAAAGACTGCCAGTCTGCGACAGACATGCAAACCGCGTTTCCGCGCGTCAACGTCGATTTTGCGCTCATGTCTAGCGAGGAGCTGGGTTTTGCGGACGCGCACTTCTCGCACGCGTTTTCTAATTGCGGGATTTTGTGGTTTGACGACGCAGCCGCGGGTGCGCGTGAGATGCTGCGTACGCTGCGGCCGGGTGGTACGGTGATCGCATCGTCGTGGAAGGAGATGCGAATTTTCGATGTTGTGCGCGCGGTGCAGCGGAAGTGTGAGCCCGAGGCGCCGCCGTTCAAGCCGCCGGTGGACGAGAAGTGGTTCACGGCGAGACATTTGGAGAGTGTATTGAGAGAGGCAGGATTCGAGGATGTTGACGTTGTGGAGCGGACGGTGCATTTTGCGGGGCGGGATGTTAGGGAGTTGTGTGGGCATCTGATGGGGTTGTTGAAACAGTTGAAGAAGGAGTGGGCAGATGGGCAAGAGGAGAGGTTCAGAGTACAGTTAGAAGCCGAGGCTGAGACGGCTGTGGAGACGTTTGAGAGACCGCGCATGGAAGGAGGAGTAGAGAAATTGGTGGGCATTCCGATGGTGGGATTGATTGGTGTTGCAAGGTAGTAACGTTAAGAGCATGTTCCTAAGCATACTGGATCTGGTTCATCATACCGAGATTGATTTCTTATGCGAAAAGGACTCTAACTAAAAGATGCATCAGTAAGTAACACCATGCTATACATAGATATTGCACTATCAATTGTATGGCACTGTTGCACCTTACTTCTTCACCTTACCTCGCACAACATCTCACCTCGCGTGATGCCTCTCAACAGCATCGACACCTCACTTCCTAGTATACAGTCTCCCAACTACCTATGAGACCATACTCTATAACGATACGCGATCTTCAACGCCATGCAACGACTGACCTCGCATGGCATGTGGCTCAGTGTCGCGTTACGCGATGACCACGCGTCACAATCACTACAGTACAAGTACAGTGTTAAAAACACCGCCCAAGTGTAGTTACCTGGTGTGCCGGGTAAAGAGGCCTATTTACCCGTCATACAATGAGACTACCCAAAATTGCAGTGTTTTTTACCTGATATCTAGTTCTATAGTAGGTACCTACGTAGCTATGCTTATAGCCTACTACCCCTCTTAGCTCTATTACCCGTCTTCTTGTCGTCATATCTCCCTCCTCTCTCTCCCTCCTCTCTCTCTCTCCTCTCTCTCTCTCTCCTCTCTCTCTCTCCTCTCTCTCTCTCCTCTTCTTGTCGTCATATCTCCCTCCTCACTCTCTCTCCCCGCTCTCTCTCCTCACGCTCTTGCTTTCATAACGCTCGCAAGCTCAAATGAATGGGTATAGAAACGCGCCAGGACATCGCGGTCCATGGAGGCAATAAGGATTAGCAGGAGGTAGCAATGCGATATTTTAATTAAAGACCTGGAAAGACTTATTCAGTCATTCTATGCGCGCAAAACTTGACCAAGCTGCCCTCTGACATGTATTCGAGGGTCTAACACATCCCCAGCTGGTTGACGCGACCGTCATACGGACATGATTCACTCAAGTATCGTTCTGTGTGCACGCATGGGTACTACTACGCGCGTTGCCATGACCTGATCCACGCAAATGCCCGGAGGTGCCTGCGACTGGGGCCATGAGTGGTCTTGGGGCGCCTAGAGGAATCACCGAATGTCTACGGCCGCCAAAGCTTCCGCGACCTGATCCACGTAGAAAACTAGAAGAACCCACGACGGGATCCAGGGAAAGACCAGCTGGACCACCCGCTGAAGAGGCACTGCCTTTTCGTTAGCATGCTGTTCAACTTCGATAATCCCATTACTCACCTAGTTTCCGCAATTTTGCGATCGCCGCCATCGGTAGTATGGCCTGAGCCGTGGTTCTGAGTCACGTGAGAGATAATCGGTCCACCAAGTTTAGGACTATAAGGGCGGCTGGAGCCTATAGAGGAGCTTGCATCGTGCGAGTTTGTGGTAGAGCCGGAAGCTGCCATTGCAATTGTTGAGCTGGGGAATATGCTGCGGCTGTCGTGGCTTCTTAAACTACCTAGCAAGGCTGTTGCCCCCTCTCGTTGAACGTCCCCACGTGCCTGCAGGTGTAGCCCGCGTAAGATTTCTGTGAGTTCGCAGTTAGTACTATGTAGATATGTCGCATGCACACCTGGTAAAACGTGCAGCCAGACTTACCGAGCAGCTTGTACAACGTTGACGCTCTCTGTACCTGTGGACTCTTCGCTGTCGGAAACAACGCCTTTTTCCCGCCAAGAAGGTATCAGACGCGACGCAAACCGTGTGATTGTGTCCACAGTTGATGTTGCTATGGACGGGGTATTTGAAGTAGAAGCTGGGGGGGCTGCGCCGCCGTTGTCTATTACAACACTGTCGTTAGCGGCGTCTGTGGGAAGTGAGTCGGGGATGAGGGCAGTGGCGTCAGTGCAACCCTTGTCAGTTGTGCCTTCAGCGTCCGCAGCCGCTGAATCCCCAGGCGCATGTTCCTCATCCCCAGTCGCACCTTCGGAAGCTTTGGGGTCGGAGAGAAGACCACCAACAGTCTGACCGACAGCCATACCACCCTCGTTGCCATCGAGCGGCATCGCGTTGTTGCCGGCGCACATGCTCTCCAACTCCATAGCCTCTCCTCCACCCGTAATGTTGTGTGGGCTGCCCACGGCCGTCTCAATAGCCTCGTTCGGGCTGCTGACTCGATCTACGAAGAACAAGATTGCATCTGGAATAACGATTTTCTGTAGGTCATCGACCTTCCACTTCCGGCTATCGTCAAATCGCCACCAGACGCCCAATTCATCTTGAGTCAAGGCGTAGTAGTGACCAGTAGTGGTATTGCCGCCAACGTGGCACACAACAGCCCCAATTCGGAATTTATCACCGCCGGGGAATTTGACTTCTCCAATGCCGTAGTTGACGAGATGATACAGCTTGTAGCTGACTCCTTCGACATGCATGAAGCGCTTCATCTGGGGAATGAGCTTGCGCGGCATATCCTAAACCTTGTAGCTCAATTCCTGCTCATCTCTGTCCGTGTGCTCGCACACATCTCTCAGGTTATTCTCAATGGACAAGATCTCCTCCTTGCCAGGGCCAAAGGAGAACATCTCTTCGAGCTTGAGGATTCCAGCAGAGTCAGGAATCTGTAAAGTGACTGGCATGTCTGACTGTTCACCTGCGATACGCTCCTTGCTGCATTTGGTACACCTGGCGTGAGCCTCGAGCTTGAGAGGTGAGAAATTTTTCTCAAGTACTGGGCAGAAGGGTTCAATCAAGAGAAGAAGATACTCTCCGGCGTCCTGTTGAATCTCTTGGTTGCGTGTGAACGTCCTCCAAGCTGGTCTGTCCTTGGCGAGCTTGTCGATATCCTTCCAGAGTTGCCTCAGTCACTTGAGAGAATCTCCATTCCGGCCCTCAAACAGCGCCAAAATGTACCTCTTGAATTTGATCTGTGGGGCATTCAACGTACTGTCATCGGTGCCCTGCAGTGCTGCAACGACATCTCGGTCCTTGGACAGCGCGACTGAAATGGGGTTCTGATAACAAGTGTTGCTGCCGTTAATGTTACCCGTCTCGGAGTATGCGACAATCTTTGCCCTCGCAGCATCTTCGACTGGCTTCTGATTCTGTGCCAGTGCTGTTTCGGGTATGATCGTCCTAGTAGTAGCAGCTTTGGCAGTCGCACCCTTAGCGGGCGCGTCCGGCTTCCAAGGTGCGGAAGTTGTAGCACCGTCCATTGCGCCCCTGTTGTTATCCGCTGCGCCAGTAGGATGTTCGGTGGTCTTCGTCAGAGCCACATTTGGCACGGCTGGCATGGGCGGGGAACCGCGCGTCTTTGGGTCTGGTAACAAGATCAGCGCCATCGCGTGAGTAGCCGGGTAGAAGCTTGTCTTGAACCAACCAGGTCATCATATCTCTGATCTGATCTGCGACGGCCTGTGAAGTTTTGCCGGGCAAGGGATCAAGAGAAGCAAAGTATTTATTGATATCTTCACCGATCATACCTCGGAGCAAACCTATGACATCAGCTGGATCGTGCCGTTCGAGTGTCCATTTCTGGAGATGTCGGTGGCGCCTCGTAGCAGAAAGCAAGTCGATCATGCGATTGGAGCAATCTGGGGGTGCAGGTGCGTCCTAATCCGAGATGAACATGGCGAAATGTTTTGTTGAATTAACGAGCTTACAGGGGAGAGACGCATGGCCGGTATGAGTCTGTTGACTAAGTCCCAGTATGCTCAGTGAGACATGCTGAGTTCTGCAAATTTGCGAACTTGCTCCAGTGTTGCAGTGTCGTCCGCGATTCGAGGCTTTGTCGTCTCAACCAATTTTTTGAATCGACAAAGACCTGCCACTGTCGTTGGGTCATACTGACTCGCATCAGACGGATGTTCTGAGTCGGTCGCCACGGTCACTAGTCTGCGTTGGAGAAGCAGATAAGGAGGTCGGTCTTTATGTGTGGAATGTTTGCGCTGAAGACGCTAGGCGAGTGTTTGCGTTGAGAAGTCTGTTGTTGAGACCAACTTCGCACCTCTTCAACAGACTGGAAAGATCCTGTCGGTTTTCTCTGATAGCCGCTTTGATAAGCCGCGACTCTCGCTGTTTTTAGTACGTCATGTGATGTCTGAGTAAGAGCAAGCACATGTCCAGCCGATTCAGGTCGATCGCTAAGTCAAGTGGCGTTCTCATGGACCATTGAGAGATTTTCTGAGCCAGTAGCAACTCAAGTATGCTGTAATCACCACGCCAAACTGCAATATGGAGAAGACACCAAGATTTCGCAATGAAGGTGCGGAGAGCGAAATCTCGAGACGCCCTCCAGTCCCCTCCCACAACTGTTGTTGTGGGTAGTTTGGGCCATTGACTTAGATCGTATGGCTTATGTATGTCCGCTATAGCTCCAGCGTCCAGGAGCAACCGTACCGCACACTCGCTTCCATAGTAAACCGCCTCCATAAGTGGGGTGACTCCGATATCGTCGGCAAAATTTGGGTCAGCACCAGCTTCGAGAAGGCGTTGGATGGAGTCATTCGTTCCACTTCCAATAGCAAGGTGAAGAGCTGTCATTCCGCCGCTTGGCTCCGGTATTGTCTCAGATCTGCGACTCAGTGGTCTGAGAAGGGAACGCGACTCCACGCCTTTAGACTTCTCCGTTGCCGGTTTGGAATCTGCAGCGAGACTTGGGCTTGATATCTCAGGATATACCTCTTGCCGATGAATGGAGAATGTACAGATCTCGTCTGGCATACCTAGTGCCCTGCTGGTTGTTTGCTGCTGGTCTGACATCGAGCTCAGGACAGGAAATACACTTTGCGACCTAGGCCGTCGACACGCAAGCTAGATAGAAACAGGAATGAAAGTGTACAGAGCTCAGCAGCGCGCACGAGGTTGCCTTATGTTCAGCCGTACTTCTGCGGCTGAGACTTTCAGCTTGCGTAACCAATCATCGCTTCCCTCGCCTTCTTTTGCCAAGTCTACGATTACGAGTCGCAGCCACGAAATTAACTGACGGTGATGTGTACCGCAATCGTGGGGTGAAGAAGACATGTTGTGAGTTCCATCGGACGTGACGTTATTAACGCCCGTTGATAACGGTTTGGTGATAGAATGAAACCTTTGACGTAGAATGCAGGCAGCGACTTTGACCCACAGGTACTAAACCGTTATACAGAATGAGCAAGTAGTACCCCTGTCCCTTTCACAGACGCAGTGTATCGCGCATTCCTGATCAAACCACTGCAAAGCGCCGAACTTCTAGCTCCCGCCCAACATGTCGAGCAATTTGCCAAGTCAGCCCATCCCAGAGGCACAAACCGACGCGTCTCCAATATCCAGGCTGTATATCATCTGGCACCAAACACATGCCGACCGTCATCTTCGATACTTCGTCTTCGGCGACGATAACACACTCAACGTCTCGAGGCAGTACGAGATCGCGGTCTAGCATCCAGCGCGCGGGCGCGAGATTCAGCTTTGCTGGGTGTCCGCGTTTCCAAGAGATCTCTCGTAGATCGTTGGAGACGAGATGATAGGCGAATGTTGGTGCCGCAAGGGTCAGTTCACCGCCGACGCTGGTGCCGCTGATATGTCGTCCTGTTATCGCGCACTTCAGATCTGGGACAGGTGCGAGGTCGTTGAGGCGCCGTGGAATTGGGTTACGGTCGATTCGCATTGACTGGTGGTGTAGCACTGCTCCATTTACGCTGAGCCAGGACCATGTTGGGGCGGGAAACACTGCGTCTAGGTCGTGTTTGTCGTAAGTGGAGTCCGAAGCCCACCATATGAGTTGCTTCCAAAGATCTTGATGCCACATTCCTGCCACAGACGAGGTTCCTAGCGCGCCTTCGACAGCGGTGATAACTCCTTGAAGTGCAATTAGCTTGTCGCTTGATTTGGTCAGAGAACGTGCTGAGTAGTTCTGGACGACATGTATCCATACATCTGCCAGTGATCTAGCGAGTGTGTCGGAGTCGCTGTTGCCCGCGATTGTTCGACGTAGAACCCTAAAAGCCCAGGTCTCACTAGGATTGGGGTCGTTCAACAGTGATGCCGCTAATGGCGATGTTTCAGAGGCTGATTGGCTGATACAATCCCAGTACACCTGCAGCTGACCATAGTACAGAATGCGAGGCGACAGTAGCTGTTCCTGGAGAATCCAGCCCCTGGTATCTAGCACTCCCCTAGGTCGGTTGCCACGCTGCTTGTTTTGCGCAGCCGGGAAGATGTACAGTTCTTGATCAGTTTTATCGGCGATTCTGACCAAATGCTCTAAATTCTCGTCGGCGAAGTGCTCGAGCTGGCGGAAATGAAATGGACTTAAATGTTGTATATCGCGGTTTCGAAACATGCCTTGACCCGCAGTTTCACCAGCTGCACATTCTGCCGCAATGGTAACGACTGAATTTCGATACACGTGGCTCATTTCGGAGGCTTCGTGTAACCAGTCCTCGACTGAGTCTTGGATGATACACAACACATCGACCCACAAGAATCGATGTCCTAAGCTTCGCACAGCTTTGATAGCGTCACGCAGGGTTGGTGACAACTGGTCCGCAGAGAAGGACGCTCGTCTTTGTGCAAGATTCCCATCAATCGTTTTTGATGCTTCATCTTGACCCCACCGATGACTCAGAGCAACGTATGCCTTTGGAGTTGACATTCTCTCAACGATGCGAATTTTGTGATCACTGAGGATCTCCACCAGCCTCGTTGGTATGTATGCACAGTTCTCTGTTTTGCATAGTTTGTGGCTATTAGCGCAGTTCAGTAGCCAGTGTACAGATGTTGCGGTAGCTGCTGGAGATCCGGTGTTGCGATGATCGAGGTAGGATGTCTTCGCTAATAGGTCATGCCACGAAGCTGCAGCTGTTAGCGAACTCAATCGCAAACGACATACTTGCCCATCTACCTGTCACGTATGCTAAAGTGTGGTGTAACCTCGATTTGGAAACAATCGATATCAATTGCCAGTCCTGGGTCTCACGGACATGTCTGATGAACAGCGACATCATGGCGCCGACCGGTATCGTCTTTGGAGTCAAATGATTCCTGTGGTTGTTCAAAAGAAGACAAATATTACAAGTCGCTGTCGTTGTTGAGAATTTTCCAGGTAAGGTTAGTTGATCAGGCTTTGCTCGTGAAGTGTTGACATGCGGGCAACAAGCCTGCGGAAGCCTGCGACAAAGTTTCCACAATTGACCTACGAAGAGGACTGATTCTGGGCCAAGCGAACCCCGAACAAATGATTCTTCGCGGTACTCTGGTTCGTCCCCATCGGTGTACGTCATCGCGTGTGCGTCGGTGGGAATGGGCTTCACACCACGAGCTGTAAGTTGATACGCAACGTTCTGTTCCTGTTCCAAAATGGCTTGTCCGAGTAGCAACGAGGCCGATACGTGACTACTATCAAAGGGTGCTTCCATCTCCAGTAGCTTCGCAGTAATCTCGGATCTCGCAAGTTCGATTGACAAATCGAGTGCAGTTCTACCCGAGGCATCTTCAAAAGCCAAGTCAGCCCCTCGATCAATCAGTAGCTGGACGACATCCCAGGAACCAAACCAGGTGGCAATATGCAGTATTGACCATCCCAGTTCGAAAAAGCGCGGAAAATTCTTGTTTCTGAGTCCTCGCCATTGGCCCCACAGTATTTTCTGCCCTTCGTACGGATCATAGCGACCAACCAGTAAACTCTGAGTTTTGGGATAAAGTTTTGCCCCTGTGTCGAGCAGCAGCTTAACGGCAGCCAAGTGTCCAAAGTACACAGCTTCTAGGAGTGGCGTAATCCCAAGGATGTCCATGGCGTTGACATCAGTGCCAAGCTTGACAAGTTTCTCGCACATTTTGGACGTAACATTCCCGACTGCGATATGGAGCGCCGTGACACCCTGGAAGTCACAGTCTTGTGTGACGTGGCCGGCTCCGATTGACAGCAGTTCTCGATCGTCTAGTGAGACCGCAACGTGATTCAGCGGCGTCACAATGAGAAGTGCTGGAAGCAAATGCGGCTGCTCCTTGACAAGGTCTATCACTTGTCGCGGCACAGCAGAAAATTCCATGCGTCTATCCTGCATCCTTTTTGACAACTGGTCGTAAAACGTATGACCTTTCCATGATAAGTTGAGGTGGGACTTGAGCGACACCAGTGTCTCTGTGAGATGGCAGACAGCCCATTGACAGACAGAGGAATCTGTCGAAATGTCAAAGCTTGAGACAAACTCACGCACTAGCTGAATCCTCAGCACGGCGGAGGAGAACCCTTCCTTGGAATCCGAAACCCAGATCTTGACTTCGAAATGAGCGATAAGACTGCTAAAGCGCAAGCCATGTCTGAGAAGGAGTACTATCATGTCGATATCGCCCAGTTCAACACTCCTAATGAATGGAGTAATTATCGACCTCAGCTCGGGACCTTGCAGCGTGGCGATATCTGTCCCTTCACCTGATGCTTGAGCCGTTCCGCAGATATCCGTGTATGTTCCTTCAATAAAGTCGCTCATATCCTCGCTCCCGAGGATCCGGTGGGCTATGGTCTCGCTTATCTGGTAAGTGCAGATAGTCATGTTAGGATTGGCGCCCCTCTCTAACAAAGTCTTAACGTTATCCAATAGAGCTTTGCGATCAACTATGATTGACGAGCTTGGAGTGTCGGCGAGATAACCATGTTGGATGAAACATCTAGCCAGCAGGTCATTTTCCGGCTCCCTTGGCGTCCCATTCTGGCGCGGGAGCTTCTGACTTGAGCCACTTGATATCGAAGGAATTCCATGTGGACGATTCTGTTTCGAGGCAATTTAGATCGAGCGACTCTGTTTCGGGAGTGACTGGAAAGTAGGCCTCTTCAAGGGTTGGCATGTGTTGTTCAACGCGAGCTCGACTACCAATTCGATCTCGAACCGACTTGTACTTCGTTTTCACGATACTTTTGAGCTTCCCCATGGTGTATCGCCTCCGTTGGCATAGAAATGAGGTACGGGGTGCGGGTCGAAGCAGTGTGCGCCCGCAACCGCTGATAAACAATGCTGTACATTGTGTGAGCAGTTCCAATAACATACACGAGGACGAATCAGAAGCGTACAGTTGTACTAATGGAATCTCGCTCTCTGCGCTTGGCTGTTCGAATGCCGCGACACTAACGTTGAGCGACGGATGTCGCGCGTCTGCTGTGGACCTTTGAAGGTGTCGATGAAGTAGCTACCGTTGGAAAAAACGACATTCATGACTGTAGTCTTTCTCTGGAGTCTGTCTTGTAGCAACGCTCTACAGGAGGAAAGTATGCAGAGCTGAAGCCATCAGGCTGAAGCGGTGCCCGATCTGTCTGACTAAGCATCGCTTATGACTAGGGTACAAGACACGGCTGGCAAAAGAGGAGGCAGACAAATGTCTGTAGCAATGGCCAGGGAATCTCCGGACGCAAAGTGTAGTATAAGATGTACAGATCTTTTGGTGTGACAGCAGGGAGGATTTGCACGTGAGAAAGCGCATTTGCCAAAGCCATCAGAGGGATCGACCTCGGTACCGCATATTAACGTAACCTTTTCGTAACATGGCAAATTCAAACCGGATTCACGTGGAAATGCGGGGACGTTGAGCACCAATGCGGCTCTCGTGGACAAACTGACGTGTGAGGGCCAACCGAACGGTCGCGTTCCTGGCGAAATGCGCTAATTGTCGATCCGTCACCGCGACGTCATTGGAGCTATGGCCATCACCCAAGGGAAGCGTCGATTGCTTTCTCTTAAAAGCTTCAGCTGCTGCCATTAATTCAATTCAGCACGCTTCAGCTTAAAAACTTTCACACTCCTCATCTACCACCCCAATTGTATCCTCTCCACACACGTACTTCATCATGTACTCAAGACAGGCCATCCAGAACGCGCGCTTCGCAGCTCGCTGCGCGAGCCGGCCTGCCGCCCACGTCAAGCCTCAATTCCGCGCACAGAAGCCTCGCTTCCAGTCAACAGAGTCAGTAGCATCTGGCAACTCTGGTGCTGGGTCACACGCTGCCATTGGCGCCCTCAGCGGTGCCGCTGCTGCGGTTACCGTGGGATACATCTTCTACAGACAGTCTGGCGCTCGTGACCTCGTAGCAGCTTCCCAGCAGACCAAGAGCTACATCAACTCTACTACACAGAAGATTAAGGAGAACACACCCGAGCCTAACGAGGCCCTTGAGTGGCTGCGCAACGCCGCTCAGAGTTACGCTGCCTTCATCCCTGGCGCTAAGGGGTACGTCGACTCCGCCTTCAACGACCTCGATGCCGTTCGTGCCAAGCACGGTGACGAGGTAGACTCCATCGTCAAGGAGGCATATGGCGAGCTACGCGATGTGCTCAAAGGAGGCGACATCAGCGTCTTCACTGCTCAACAGGCATGGCAGGTCCTCGTCAAGCATCTCGGCCGCATCGCCGACCTGTCTGGTGATGCTGCCCAGCAGATCATGGATAACCACCCCAAGCTGAAGGAGAAGGTTGGCGGCAACCTAGACACCCTGAAGCAGCTCGGTGACCAGTACGGCCCCGAGGCAAAGAAGGAGGTGGACAGGACATGGCAGCAGATCAGCGACATCATCAAGACTGGCGTCAGCCCCGCCAATATTGAGAAGATCAAGAGTGTCGTTCAGGAGAAGGTCGAGAAGCTCAAGGAGCTCGGTGATAAAGCATGGGACAAAGGCATGGAGCAGGCCAAGCCCTACCTCGAGAAGAATCCCCAAATCAAGAAGCTGGTCGAGGAGAACAAGGATGCCCTCAAGTCCGGAAATGTGCAAGAGCTGTACGAGAAGGTCAAGACAGCCGTCGAGAAGGGCGACACTGGCGATCTGGAGAAGTACGTCAAGGATGCTGCCGGTCAGGCCAAGGACAAGGCGCAGCAGTCTGGTATCGATGTCGATAGCATACAGAAGTATGCTGAGCAGTACATGAACAAGATTCCCGGCGGCGACCAGATCATGCCCAAACTGCAACAGCTGCAGGAGGCGGCGTCGAAGCACGGCGATGAGGCACAGAAGATCTTCAAGGATGCCGTTTCCGAGGTCACACAGGTGCTGAAGAAGCACGGTGACAAGGCACAGAGCCTGGCCAAGGAGGCTAAGGAAGACACCAAGAAATAAGCTCTTCGGCTTCTTTCACTCTTGCCCTACTTTATTTGCATGCGAGGAGTAATGACGACATGATATCATCTGTATAATAATGTAGTGCACAGCGCACAATAAACAATCAGTTCACAACATAACCAAAACGCCATTCATACTCATATCTCCGTGGACAGTTGAACAATACCCACTGTCATCCATTCCTTATATCACCCTGACCTCTTACGACCACCCAGCAATTCCCCAAACCCCCTTCCTCACGCCCTCGACTCCGCTCCAAAACCCACTACTCACACTCCGCCCCAGAAGCACCAGCTGGCTTATATCCTCCTTGACCACAATAATCACCTCTTTGCCATCTCCCTCCTCTGTCTCTCCCCTCTCCTCCTTCGTCTCCTCTTCGACCTCTTCTTCGACCTCAACACCCTCCTCAGCCCCAGTGACAACGCTATCAGTCCTCCGGCGCAGCCGCTTGCGCTCGGCCTGCATATCGAGCGCGAGCAGCAGCGGCGTAGGCTCTAATTCGGTTCTGTTTGGGCTGTCTTGAGCGGGTGCTGGGGTTTTCGAGGGCGTGGATGGGGTGGTTGGGGGCGTGGGGGCGAGCATGCTCAGGAGCGTGGGTTGGCGGGTTGAGTGGGCCATGGTTCCGGGCTGTTCGGTGTACTTTTGGGCTGTGGGGTCTGGGTTTCGGGCGTGAGCGTGGTTGTGGTTGTGGTTTGCTGTGGTTTGCGGTCTGCGGTTGTGGGGGTGGTTTGGACTGGGTTCAACCCAGGAAAGGCGGAGGCTGGTTGGAGCGGGTGCGGGTGAGCCGTGCGAGGTGGGAACTAGTGGGGTTGTGCGTTGGCTTTTGAGGTTCTATGGTCCTTAGGTTCGGAGCGTGGTTGATGCCAGCGCCCGGGTGTTGTGGGTGCTCGTGGTTGAGTAGGGGTACGAGGCTGGAGACTTCAAATACCTGTGGCAAGGTATCGAGCGGCTTCTGCAGATCTCAAGTTGCTAGTCTGTGTTCTCTCCGCTGGGGATGAGGCGAACGTGCGGTGCATGGCGGTGTATATGCATGCTGGTGGGTCGACACGTGTCAAGGTGGGTCAAGGACGCCGAACCGGGTCATAAGTCATTGTAGCAATACGTTCGCTGGATTCACGTTTACTAGACTGGCTGTATTAACGTATATTGTCAGTCCTTTTTGCTCCAGTTTACGCACCAGATGAGTGATGATATTGAGCTCCTTGTCCATCCACTTGTTCCACATTCATCTTTAAGCTTTCGTCTCAAATCATCTACCCATCGGGTAGCAAACTGCATCCAAACCTGACTGGGTTTGCTGGATTTCCATGTCTTGCGTCTAGACATATGGAGATGCTGTGAACCCCATCCTTCATGAGTCTCTGTAGAGGCATTTGTAACGATATACCGTGATCTTCGCTCCGAGTTTGATAGTCTTGTATCAACTTCAACCCCAAGTCGCTAGGGACACTAAAGCACATCGAACGAAGTGAGCCTGTCCACTGCACATACCTGTAGGAGGCTGAAGAGTACGCTGCGTCATCTACTGAGTGCAGCAGTCCGGCCACTAAGATGACCTCGCACAGACAAACGTTGCGGTTCGTGGCCATTAGTACGTGATACGCCAGTTCATCAAGCGGCATGCTGTAGTCGACATGAATACGACTGCCCTCTACGGCCAGTTCCCGAAGAGAGAAAATTCGATCATGGAGGATACTGCATTCAAGTCCTTTCATTACAGCCAGCCACTCCATGATGCTATTGTTCTTCATGATGCGGTTATGAATCCACGCCCAGAGTACGCCGGTTGCTTCGACTCGGCTTGGATTAGGCGCTTGCCTTAGCACAACTTTCTGATATCGCCTCCATTTCATCTCCCACGATTCCGAGGGACGATCCTCGAGATATTCGACAAATCTTGGTAATGCAATCAGGTGATCAGCGACCACTAAAACTGGGTCTCTGGCCAGCAAAACTTCTTGCGCTACCCAGGCTCGGGTCCAGTACTTGTTGTGCAGAATGAATTCCATGTTGCGTTCATCTGCTGAATCTAAGAAACGGCGCTTGCCAGAGTCAGGGACTTTGCCCAGCCACATGACGACTTTACTCGCATTGGAATAGATTTTCCCCATTTGCGCGACCTGATGGTTCTTTTCGTGATTCGAGGTCTGATCGATGCAGACAGCATCTATCCAGAGACAGCTCCTCAAGTGAAGCTTTTCCTTCCGGCCTGGCGCTGGGTATTGAAGTGTCCGCACTGCTTCGAGGAAGTCATGGAGGCTCTGGTTGACACGAAGCCGCTTCCCATTGACAAGGAAGGTGTGCGAAAAATCTGCAGCTCCCCATCGGTAGGACAAACAGTTGTAATGCGCGTCGATGGTTGCGTGCTGCATCGTACTTTGCACCAGACCTTCTGGTGATAATTCAGGGTCTATCGAGATAAGACGGATAGATTGTTGCGTGGTGTCGAGAGCTTCATGCTGGAATATGGGGTATCGCTCAATCGCTTCCATTCTGTGAAATGCTTGAGAGCGACCGTTAGTGCTAAGCAAACTCGACGTCGTTCGGAATAATAGGAACTTGGCTCGTGGCTGCATGTCCACCTGATTCGCAAGGCTGCCATGTCACAGCATGTGATGGGGTTGAACATTCCTCGCGTAAGCTGCCGATTTCCTACTAGTTGAACGCGTACCTAGGTACGCTCGTGAATGTCTCAACCCCATCGTCTTTACTAATGTGCTGTCCCGTCCACCGCAGATTCGGCCCTCCAATGAAGTACACAATGATTCCTGATACCTAGACTCAAGGTTTCCAGACGACGCAGTAACCCCTTGTACGCAGCTTTTGCCAATATTTTGGATCTCGTGGCGTTGAGGGCGTTGTTTTATTTACGGTGGGAACCAAGCGAGCAGTGCGATACATCGCGAGACGTCCCTTGGTGTTACGCCGCTGTCTGTAGGCTCTGAAAATCAGCCGTTAGCAAGCTCGAGAAAGGTTACTTGCAGGAGAAGTTATGGAGCTCTCGCCCCTACTTAGCTAGCTCCATATTCGATATCAAACCGGAACTCATGAAGGCTCCCGGGGGCTTGTGGCTATAAAAATCAATGTGTGCGTTTATTTCGTGAAACTCTACTATATACATGGGGATCTATCCAGGGAGGGTCTCTGGCGACTGAATGGGAAGGATATATTGCGTGTACAGAAAAGAAGGGTGACGTAAATGACGTTGTCACCACGTAAATGAATGCGTCAGAGGTGTGGGATCGATGATGGGTGTTTTTCGAATGCCCGCAAAAACAGCAAGTAGCTGAGCTGCTTCGACGCCACCATCTTCCTGCCAAAATGTTGAAGTGGTAGTTTGTTGCATGGCGAGATCGTAGCAGGTATCGAGAAGGGCGTTGGTGCTTTCTGGGCTGTCTTTGATTCTCAGTTTCATCCCGGTGGCCATTGCGAGGAAGACGTGAAACCTGGCCATTGACATAGAAGCCATCAGCATCGAGGGTGACGCTTTCTGTGAATTCGGATAGACCATTTCACAAAGCTGCAAGAAAGAGCTGGCGGGCATGCCGTACGCTTGCGGTGAATGGGATTTGATGTGCTGCATGAATTCGGATGTCAAGGTTTCGGCCTCGAATCGGCTAGGCAGTGGTGTGGTAGAGATGGCACGGCTCCGGTCGGTGTAACCCGAGCGTGTTGATGCAGGCGCTGGACTCGGCGCAAATACGCCGTGGCGTGGCAAATGGGGGGTAGACGCAGCAAATGGCAGCAGGTCGTCGTCGACTTCGGGTATCGGTGACATGGCTTGATCTTCACTTTCGAGAGAGGCGGACGAGTTGGATGTGTTGCGAGAATGGGTCCGGCTTCGTGCGGTCGTCTTCTGGCCCGACTGCGGTTGGGCCATGAACTCCCAAGACGGCGCCGTGTGCGGTTCTAGTGGCGAAGTGCTCGGTTTGCTTCCGCGAAGGTGTGGTGGAATCGAGGCGAATTGTGGAGGGACGGAGGTAGGAGGCATATCGGGGGACGATGCCCGTGTGGTACCTGACCAGAATGAAGGTACTGGTGAAGACGGCGATGCCACGTTGGGGACATGCTCACATTGATTGATCGCGATCATAGGCATGCTGCTCTGCGTAAATGCGCTAAGATCCATGCCGCCTGTCTCGAACGAGTTCGCAAAAGTCGTCCCGAGATTGATTGGCGGTGGCGGACCTGTGTCTTGCCAGTTAAAATCTGATGTCGCCGCCAGTATGGTTTCGTCGATGCCTTCCATCCCGTGCATTGGAGCATTTACATGTGCAGCGAGCTGTGACTCGAGCTGGTGTATTCGATCTTCAAGTGCTTCTCTATGTTCTCTTAACACATGTGAGTTGCGTGCCATCACGTGACAAGGTGACGAATCGGTCGACTTACGATGCAACTAGTTCTTTGGGCTTTTGCGTTCTCACACATTGTAATGAGAATCGTTTACATGTGGCGCACGGCGTGTCGCCGTCGCACCGAATCTTCCTCCGCCGGCATCGCTCGCAGGCATTGGACACAGACTTCCTCCTTGGCTGCCAGTCTTTGACAGATGTGGGTGAGAAGCGATTGGGCCCTTCGCTTGGAGGCAATGTGGCTACCTAAAGTCAGTGCTGGATACCGTCAGGGCGGATACAACATACTGAAAGGACACATGGTTGCAGGGTTGCAGCAAGAAATTCCGCGCCGGATGCTCAAGATTCCGAGGTCTGGCGATTAATGTGGAATCAAGGCCTGCAATAGATGAGGGGAGTCGAGGATGGACAGGGCGAACGAGACGGAAGGCGAGATCTGTGAATGTTTTACAGCCCGTCAAAAGTCGCGGTGACGGTCCTGTGAGGGTGACTAATCGTCTGTGCCTGCCGCGAAAGGTGTGCGGATTGGCGCCGTTGGGAAGACGCGACACCATCCCAGACACTCTCCCCTTGATCGACTTCTGCGACGTGGGCGGCTGGGCGCATGGGGCGCCGCACTGCCCCATTGACCGCGATGGAACATTCTTTGCGCCGCGTGCACCTTCCGTTGATATGTTATCGCCGTCGAAATGAGCCTCGCGACGCGGAGAGTGCGGACTTGGGTTCCGCGCGTGCATGAAGCGCGCCGCAGCTGACTTTTGCTGCCGAAACCCACGCCAAAAGTACGCGGAGCCCTCGGGCAGGTGCCGCTCACTCCAAACAATTTCAAACAGCCTCGACCAGCCTCGATCAGCCTCTTGAACTGCCGAGACTCGCACGCACGGCAGATCTCAGCGCAAGTTTCGCAGTCGCACTCATTTCGCCAATCGAACGCATTTCGTCAGGTTCCCACCAAGGCTTGCAGCATTGCTAAGCCTTGCGTCAACGCATCGTTTCACGCGTCAGATCTGTCGCTCGAGGCTGATTACCATGGATTGTTCCTCTTTCTACTGTACGATTGACCGTTGCAGTCCTTGCGCATGCAATGCGGATGTTTCAGACGCGTGGAGCGCCCGCCTGCAGCCTGGATGATGCCTCAACATCGCTGCCTTATCACTGTGTCAAACTGGTTGCATTTATCATGTACAAAAGCAAGGCAGCGCATCATATGCGGCACAGGGGCCCATCGGTCGACTGTACGCCTACGATACCATTGTCCTGGACGACCCACCCCTCACTGCCCACGCCGTGGTGAACGTAGAACAGCTCGGTCGGATCGTACTTCTTCTTCATTTCCAGCAACCTTGGGTAGTTCTTGCCCCAGAAGGCTTGTTGCCAGTCTGGCTCGCCAACGTTCGCTTCGTTACCGTATGCACCACCAGCAGGTGTGACTTTCCGAATTGGGGCCATGACCTCCGTATTCAAGGCGTCGTCGGCAGCCTTCCAGCCAGCGGGTGACATGTCAGCAACATTTTTAATGGCCACCAGTTGAGCCTGCAGATTACGGAAAGCTGGGTTGAGTGAGTTGACGCCCTTGTCAAACTCATCGGCTGTGTGCTGGTGGTACAGGTTCAGCATCATCGCGGTTTCCACGATATTCTGGACGGCAGCAAATGTCTGCCCGAGAACTTCGTCGTTCGCCCAGTTCTCCGTTGGCACAAAGCGGCTTCCCGGAATCGCACCAGCTCCTCCAATATAGTAGTTCTGTGGCGCAAAGGTAGCTTGGTACGCTGGGTACACAGTGTCGTAGCGTGTCGTGTTGGCCGATATTGTGATGTTAAGCTCAGCAGCTTTTGTGAAAAGCGGTGCTACCAAAGCCTCGAACTCTTCAACAGTCTTATTAGTTGCGAAGAAGGGGTTCATTGACCACAGGTAGGCTCCAGGAGCAAGCTTCATGATGGTACCCCACGAGTAAGTCTTCGCGTCGTTGTACGCCGGAAAGCTCTCCCAGAAGAACTTGACGAGTTCCCAGAAGGCCTCGGCATGGACTGTCTCAGATGTCATTACGGTCCAGGTCGAGACAGTGACAGGCACTTTAGGATGAGCCATAACAATGGCCGAAGTGATAATGCCAAATGTGCCACCGCCGCCACCAAGCATGGCCCAGTACAAATCGCTGTTCACTGATTGCGTAGCGGTAACGAAACGGCCGCTTGCGAGCACAACTTCGAAAGCAATTATTTGGTCAGAGCCAGCTCCAAACAGCTGCATCAGTGGACTGTGGCCGCCTCCAGTCGAGTAGCCACCGAAGGTACCCACAGTCTGGACTCGATTAGCGAACACTCAACTGTACCGGTGTCTTATGGACTTACTGGGCAAATACCTGCAACGACAGATACGCCGTTGCTTTCGGCAGCCTGCATCAGCTCAAAGCCTTGCACACCAGCACCGACCTTGAAGGCAGGTCCGGAGTAAGCTGCGCTCTGGTAGTTCTCAACGTACTGGATCTCCTTCAAGCCATGAGTCCAGATGCTCAACGCACCCTTGCCAACGGATCGTCCGTTGTAATCATGACCTGTGTTGCGAATGACCAAGCGAAGGTTAAGGGAACGAGCGAAATTGACGGCTAGTTGCATTTGTGCAACGTTCTCGATCTTGACTGCATAGTCCGAGTATCCGCCCTGGGTGCAAGTACCGTTGGCAGCGTTCCCGGATGCTGGGATTGGGCATGACATGCCGTAGTACAGCGGGTTCATCAGTGCTCCGTTGTCTTCGTAGCTTAATCGTGTCAGCGAGATCTGCTTCCTCTTAGGTCCAACATACTAGACCTCCTCCTGATCAAAGTTCTGGACTAGGAATGCACATCTTTCAGCATCATAGTTGTTGTACGCTGAGTCGCGGTAGCAGGGCGAGCCAATGGGCACGATGGGCTCAAGAGCGCCTCCTGACAATAGATCAAAGATGTTCCAGACCAGCTTGTTTGGATAGAGTGCATCGCCAGGCATTGTCTTGCAGCGCTGAATGTCTCTGGCATGGCGAGAGCGCACGGCAGCTGAAGCATTGGTGTCACCGAAGTCGAAAAGGGAAGCATATTGGGAAACAGCAGTGTTGCTCCGAAGCTCGGACACAACTTTATTAGTCAACTGGATGGTCTCGAGGTCGAATAATGGCACGTTCGCAGAGGTCGATGTCGCGGTGACAGTCTCCGCAGCAGGTGCCACGGGCGTACTGATCGAAGGGTCTGGGTTCTGTGCTGCTACGAGAGCAACGCATGTTAAAGAGAGAGCAATTAACCTGGACATGGTCACAGTTTGTATCGACCACTAAAGGAAGAACCTGAGAAACACCATCTCAAAATTTCCGTGGCTGCAACGGTTTTAAAAGAGTCTTAGGCAAACAACGCGGCACAACATGCGTATGCAGGGACAACTCATATCTCATTGGCTTTTAAAAGCCGACCTGTCAGACTCAAGGAACGAGAACTGATTGGCACATTGTTCACAATGCCGTGGTGGTCGAGATTGCCCGCGGGAAGGATCCGGCTCGAGTCAGAAAGATCACGCCCAGAACACCCTGCATGTAAGACATGGGCTTGAATAGGCTAGCTGCACCCATAGCAATGCTGGCAATTGCCTTGATAACCGGTCTGGCAGTGGTGAGGGATGCATACCCACGAACTTTAGGCCCACCACTTTGCGCGTTACTTCTCCTGCCGCATATCTATGTCGCCTTGGCAGGCATGGGTGATGATCAAGAGTGGCACAATACTCGTGCGAGACGCAAGATCTGTGGCGGGTAGTAAGCGGTGATAAGGCCGTGTATTGCTTGAGATCCAGTGCACGACTGAAGGCTTGATCGTTGAAATGCGGAGAGGCTCGGCCCGCTAGCCTTCCAGAGTAATTGTAGTCTCGGGATGTTTGCGTGACCCAATTGAGGCAGTTCCCACGACCAGGATGTGGTCAGAGTTTTCGATGATCGATTGGGTCCCCGCTTATGCCGGTCTCCACACGCCTGCCATACGCTTGCAATTGGCACTCTTACACGTACGATGTGGTATTTCCTAGCGGTAGTAGTAGTTTCTGGCCGTATCAAAGTTATGTAATGTAAGGTAGACTACAAAAATGGTAGCATTAGCTCGATATCCTCAAGCTTACTTCTCGACACCAGGCAGACGCTCCTGAGCCGATTGTCACATTGCTCAGATGTAGCTCTTGGGGTTGAGTCACTGCGGTCTGGTACCTGTGTGAATTATTACTTTGTTCTGGTGTATGAAGCACTAAATATAGGTGCGATGAAGATACCAATTCTCCACGGTCTTAATACTCTGATCACGTGAATTGCACGACCATCAAAGGCCTCGCTAAGAAGAAAACCGGACGCAGGGAGATATAGAAAGGTTGTAATTACTTACCTACAGTAAAACGCCAGTCAGTTAGAACCATCTTGAATCTTTCATGTGAGTACTGCGATTGTTCTGGAGGAGAATGTCGGCCGAGCACTTGATATTCACTGTGACGTCACGATTATATTTATCTCACACGGTGCAAGCCTGCAAGGCGATATTTATCGGAACATGCGACATTTGGAACCAACAGAACTGCTGGGATCAGCACTGGCAGTTCGTGGTGCTCAAGACTTTCGGTTATCAATGACCCGGCCTTCTCGCCGATACATGGGTTATTGCCGGGGTAGCGCGCCCCTCAAATGCGCCCCCCATGGTTGGCCACTCGACGGACATTTGAACAACAATCGTCTGGTAGAAGAATCGAAACAATGAAACACATTGACGGTGCTGAGGTCGCGAAGCATACCAAGAAGAACAACTGCTGGATTGTGCTAGACTCTCATGTATATGATGTAACGAGCTTCTTGTCCGAACACCCAGGCGGCGCGCCAATCATCTTGAAGAACGCCGGGACTGTGAGTACTTTGATGTATTGCGAGACTGTGAGGCTGATCCTTATCAGGATGCGACAGAAGAATTCAAGAAATATCATCCCCTAAGTTATCTGAAAGACTACATCGACCAAAATACTGTTCTAGGGCCAGTCGACCCAAACACCCTTGGAAAACTACGAGAAACTCAAAAAGAGGAAGCAAAAACGCCATCAGAGACGAACACATCACCCGGAATCCCTCATGTGTCATTATGTGTCCAGACATCAGACTTTGAGACGGCTGCTAAGGCTGTGCTGCCGCACAAATCCTACATCTACGCATCTGGATCAGCCAACACTGGCGCATCGCTGAAGGGCAATCTCGATGACTGGGGCCGCATCACGTTCCGCCCGCGCGTGATGCGTAACGTAGGCGATGTTGATATGCGCCGCAAGATATTTGGCCACAGCTCGTTATATCCGTTCTATGTGTCGCCGATGGGGACGATTGGCGCGATTCACGATGACGCCGAACCAGCCATGGTGCGAGGCGCGGTGCGCAAGGGCGCACATATGGTTGTCAGCACCGCGAGCACTAAGTCGAGTGAACAAATCATGCAGAGCTACAAGGAAGAGCAAGCGCGGATGAAGAACGGCAGCCCGACGCAGTTGTTCTACCAGTACTACATGCCGGTGGACCGTCAGAAGGCGATCGAGCTGATGCACCTAGTCAAAAGATCTGGCTACAAGGGTCTTTGGATCACTGTCGACACACCGGTTCTAGGAAAGCGGACTGCGGATCGCTATCTGCAAGCCGAAGAAGCGTTGGCTGTCGGTTTGACGGAAGAGACGACAGCTGAGTGGGAGACCGACAGCTCGCCTGAGAAGGACAACGCAGCAGGCAGCGATAACGCCTTTGCGCCAGCGATGGGCGGAAGGGTTGTCCGTGGCCAGCTCAGCCCGCACACGACATGGGAGGATCTAGAGTGGATTCGTAAAGAATGGGACGGCCCGATCGTGCTGAAGGGAATTCAAACCGCAGATGATGCGAAGCTGGCGCTGGATTATGGGTGCGACGGCATTCTGCTAAGCAACCATGGCGGGCGACAGATGCACACCGCACCGAGCGCGTTGATGACGTTGCTGGAAATCCGAACGTACTGTCCTGAGATTCTGGGCAAGATCGAGATCTTCCTAGACGGCGGACTGCGGGATGGGAACGATGTGCTGAAGGCGTTGTGTCTAGGCGCGACGGCGGTAGGTGTTGGCAGGCCTTTCTTGTATGCGCTTGCAGCATATGGAACGAAGGGGATTGACCGTTGCATTGATAGTAAGTCTGTTTGCCTGTGTATAACAATCAAAACTGACGTCTCATAGTACTTGCCGAAGAGCTCCAGACGGGCATGCGACTGCTAGGTATCACATCACTGGACCAATGTAGACCGGAAATGGTCAACGCCAGTCGGTTGCTGAACGAGATGTGGAGACCAGAGCATATTGTTCTGAAGAGTCGACTGTGAACGGGAGTACTGCTCAATAGATAAACTGCACGCAGGCTCGTCCGACCAACTACATAGCAAAATGCAGCATTGTTCAAGCAGGGTTAATACTCTAACGCTCTTGGACGATTGTCAGCTACATGCGTTTGGATGAACTTGTCTAGTGATATTCATACAGCTTATTAGCCGTGATACCAATAGGTTAGATCGTACCACAGTGTGATATGACTGGTGGGACGCGCCTGAGACAACGATTGACGAGAGGTTCAATTCTTCAGTGTACAGCATTGCCACATGTACAAACCACATCCGACCATCGAAAATGCTCAGAATTGTCTGGGTACTTTGCGGGTAGCGTGAAATTGAAGATTCTTGATGCCCCACATTTTTTATGATGGTTGTTCCTCGGCAGTGTCGCACTGTTTGCCCGTGGTACAACACCACACCACGATTTGCCGCAAAGTACAAAAGCAAAATTGGACATGATTTCGACTTATCAAGGTTGAAGCAGGCCATGTGTAATTGGCTACGAGATCATATATAGTGTTGTCGAGCCTCGAAACATCAAATGGTGAGGTGGCCGAGTTGGTTATGGCGCCAGGTTAAGGTCCTTCTCCTTAGCACTGCTGAGCAATCAGCTTCCTGGTCACGAAAGTGGCGCGGGTTCGAGTCCCGTCCTCATCAGAGCATTCGTCTGGCAAAGCCAGATACTCCAGGATCTTTTTTTGGTTGTGGTTGGTCGTGGTGTGGGTGAAATGCGGGCAAGCAAGATTTTTTTGGCCGATGCGGGGTCAGACGCTTAAACGCCGAGCGTGGAACGTTGCCTGTCTCATTCTGTTATACCTGTGCAACTATCTATCTGCTTCCTTAATTTCGGGACATGAGTCTTGCACCATTCACTTCAGCATGCTCCTCCAGTCGCACCCGCATCTTCCCCGCAATATCCTTCATGATAGTGAAGTCACGCACATCCCCGTGTGCAATCTGCTCATGGTCTTCAAGACCGTGGAAAAGCAGCGGCAGTGTGGACCTACGCCACGCATGTTCGTTTCTTGTGCGCAGTGCCGTGGACAATACGAAAAGAGTGCAGCAGAGAAGGACACCGGCCGGTATTGCAAGGCGTGACCATACGATCGAATAGTAGAAGACAATCTGTGAAGCTGTTCCTGTAACGTAGAGGCTCACTTCAAGCCCCTTCATCTGCAGGCTTTGCGTTCGACGAACGGTGAACGACACACCAAAGGCGATGTTGGCCCACATCGTCGTGACGTTTCCCTGTGCTTCTTCAGCTAGCTTATTCCACGTCGCTTTCTCCATATTCAACGCGAAGAGATTGCTCTGTTTCAACTGTGTTCCATCGGCGGACTGCTCGGTGATAGAACCTTCCGTCAAGCCATACGCGACACCCTTTAGTAGGTTTTGAAGACCTTCCGCTGCTTTCCCACCAACCAAATGAACACAATTGTCCATGTAAAAGTCTCCAGCGCTACTGTCGATCTCTTCGTCGTCGACAATACATATCTCGGGGGTTAACAACCAACTGCCCGTGTCAAGCTGTTCGCGTCTGATGGAGATAGGCTTATTTCTCTCTTTCGAAGTTCCGTTCGAGAAGTAATGGATGGGCAAACTGTTTTCTTCAAGCATGCCAGTCCTGCTGGCATTGACGTACATCTGTGTGGTTTTGACATGCCAGAATAGCGCACACTCCATAGCATATGTGCCATTGTTCACATTGGTGTCTTCGGCACCGTTTCCAGTTCTGTAGAGCATTGATGTACCGACTATGAGAAGGCCATCATGATTTTCCCCGAAGAGAGACTTTTCATAATTTGGGTATGTCGACTTGGCTTCGTCAGGCCACTGCGAGTAGGATTTCGCATCTATCCGTTCAGAAAGATGCAACTTCAAATCGGTCCCTGGGAGTGTTTGATAACCTTCTTCGGTAACAATGTCGCCTACGGTAATAATGTCGAATCGATTGGTACACTTATAGTCAATAGACAAGGTCTGCGAAGTCTTGTAGTTACAATATCCAGTTGAGCAGTTAAAGCTTGCCTGAGCGTTTATCATATCGTTTAATCCATTTGTGTAGCCTTGGCCGAATTGAATCGCATTTATCATGGGGGTCTCTGGCCAGACATCGTTGCTCCCTGGCTTGTTTTCAAAAGCCATGTAGGATGTCGCTCTTTCCAGGCGGACTGGTTCGTCGTTGTGACTTGCTAGCGAGTATTCGTTGAGCTGACTTAGCGCTCTCGTTTCCGACGACAGGTGTACTGCGCTCTGGATAATTGCATCAAGAGGAAGAGCCATGATAGTGAGGGCAGCACCGATGACGGCGATATTCCTGAGGCATTATATTTAGGACTGAAAAATGAAGAGTGCTAATTGAAGCTGGAAATCTACTCACCGAAATCGTAGGTAGAACAACAGTTTCGCAGACCCGTAAATTCCGCGAGTGGCTTCGTCAAAACGTTCCATATCGACCAGGGTTCGGGATCTGGAACGGAACCAAGACCATTTGAGCTGACCGATGGCTGTGGCTACTGGTAAGAGCATAGTGGCCCGCATCATAGCGCCCAAGATAGCCAAGATAGGATATATGTGCGGGCGTTTCATCATGACGGTGGTTTCGACAATGAGATTCTCGTACACCTTTAGGACGACACAGATGGCCGCAAAGAACACCAGCGAAAGGATGCTTGCCGAGAGTTCCAATAACCAGAGCTTGTGAACGCACTGGCGCAGCCTCAGCCAGGCCCGCTGATATCCTCTGCGCGATCTTCCATCTGGAAGAAGGCCATCAGAAGCCGGTGAAGGGCCAAAGTACTGAGTAGATGCCATGAAGTGGGTTTTCTGGTCCGACATTGTGACTGGTTCGATGATTGTCTTGATGAAAACTGAGTTTAGGGACTTCGATAAGTAGAATCGAAAAGTAAGTGAACTAATGAATGCCGCGAGTTGCTTGAGTGAGAGTGATGAGGGTGAAGCTGAAATTGAGGGCACACGCAATGTAAAGAAACGGACACCTCCAGTCTTCTATAAACTGGCCCACAGCTCGCACCTCTGAAGGACCAGGCTGAAATCTTACCTCTTGACCGACTGTGCGGCACTGCATGCCATGCCTAGGCAAGCCTATCTTCACACAGCCATAGACTTTTGTGCAAGCCACAATAGTTGCAGGCTGATTTAGATATCACCCGGTGACCTACTCTTGCATACGCCGACAGCAACCACCGATGGATGTGTGGTTCTGCAGCCAATGAATCATGCAAGTTCTTGGTGCAAGCGGACCTAATCCTTGTCTGCAAGCCACACAACTTAGACCCCACGCGGGCCGCAGCGCCGCTTTACCGTTCGGGGAAACCGTGCATATTCGCGCTGCAGCTTGGTCTCTACTTAGCATGTCTCAGCCTTGTGAGCCTGCATAGCGAAAGAATTTGATAGCTGCAAAGTGCGTGGAAGTGGCGAAGTGCCCAGATGGTGTGTGTGAAAGGCTAACTACGGGTCCAGTACCCAAACTAGTCCCGATTGGAAGCCTTTAAAGAGGTTCACCAAGACTTTGACACGCGGCACTGATAGATAAGTGGTGAGAATCAGCCTGATCCCGAGTCAAGTTCGAGTACTAAGGTGCCGAGCCTCTGCAACTCCTCAGCCTGATGGCAGTCTGCACAGTTTCTGCCACAATCGAACAGATTTTTCCACCAACAGGGAGCAAATATGTTCGAGATAAAGGTATGGTACACGTACACACATCGGAGATGAAAACTCTTTCCGAGGACAAGTGATTCTAATTTAGGTACACCCAGCTTGCCTTTGCACGCTGACGACGCATCTCGTGCGTCCTAAATGTGACATTGATCTCACGATTCATGTTGAATTAGCTTGGTAGAGCTGGTTCAATAATACTATCTTTGTTCAACGAACGCACAATACACATGATCAATCGCAATGTCACGATGGTGACCCCGGTCTTTGGAGCTTTGGGGGCCGACCTTTGAGCTTCATGACAAGTTCTAAGAGTGGACGTGGGCTCCCCAGCCTCGTACTTCTCCAGTCGCATTTGCATCTTTGTAGTACTAGCCTGTATACAGGCGATAGGGTAAGCTATAGCACACGTTGTAGCACTGGAAACTGGCCCGGACCTAGTGGGATCTGAACACCGACTGGGAAACCACATATGTGTGGCTGCCTCTACACACAGACGTAGGAGAATTAAGAAGTCTTTCAGCATTGATTGGATTGATGTATATGACCTTGACGTGTCAGTATGCTTATCCCCATCGATGATGATATCCTAATAAACGCACCAGGTCGACTGGAGAGTGGACAGCGGTAGAAGGTACAACCTACTATAGCGCAGACACAACTCTCAGTGGAGCTGCCTACCACCAAGAAGCCGTACGTTGCTCACCTTCTGATCAAGGCCCCTCGACTAAGCCCTTCTAGCCATTCGCGAGCAACGGCACAATCGCAACTAACCTCAGCGGCAACACCAGCACAATCACTTTTGAAGTCACTGACGCCGGCGGTGAACAATGGGTATCTTTCTATTACCAAAGTGCGACTCTTCCCTCCTTTTTCTTCCACAAACCGATCGCTAACAAGCCCCAGACACAGATGACATGGGCTTTGGCGATGCCCCCTATGGCTCCCCCGACCGCATCGGCGGAATCTGGATCCTGCGCCACTACGGATGGGTTGAAGTCAACAACGACCCCTCCACGCGTCGACAGCTGTCCATGAAGGACACGCATAAGGGAATTATCATGGCTTCGCCGCTGGCGTTGAAACTCACACAGGGGTTGAACAATATCACATTGGGTGGGCTCTCCAATGGGAATGGCACAAAGGCGGCAGACGTAGATCGAATTGTAGTCTACCCGCTGGAGCAAACGGACGCTGGAAATGTGTCGGCAACTCCGAAGCGGACGGCAACGCCGGCTAAATTTACTGGGGGCACAAGTCGGTTTGCCACGTCTCCATCTGTGCTTGTTGCCCTTATTGCTGCCAGTCTATTTCTGTGAAGGGATATACTTGCGCCAATGTAAAGAGTTCACGTCAGGGTGGTTATATTCAAGCTATTTCGATAGCTCCTTCTTCAGTACTTCAAAATGGCAAGTCTATGTGGTTACGAAGAGCTGGACTAGGTCATATACACGGAAAGACATCATGCGAAAATCATACAACGTTCAGATCGTTCTCATAATTACTAATATATGCGCTTTATACAGAACAAAGAGCCGAGATTGTTACAATAGCATTGTACAAGAACAAAACGGGGTATCACCACTCGCTTTTTCGCCTTTGATGCACACTCTCACAATGCTCGCCGACCTTGATTACCACCACGCACTCGTCTTCAGGTACCCATCACGCCTATGCCCTGGGACGTACATCCTCCTGTGCATCATCGATTAATTCGCTCTGATCGCTCCTCTCAGCAATCTCGCCCCAGCACCACATACACACTGGCTTGTCCGCGGGACGCCCACATCCGCATTGCGGAATGTTTGGCGCCGGCACCCCATTATGGAGGGTTTCGATGGTGGACGCTTCTTTGGCGTAACACTTGACGCACTGCCAGCGGTCTAGGATGCGGCTGCGCAGGGAGCAGTGACACTGTTTGAGAGGTGTATGATGCTCGTCCATGGGGGTGTCGAGCCAGGGTAGGTATGGGAGCGGCGGTTCGAGTGCTTTGTAGCCGTCCGATGCGTCGGTCAGGCAGTGCTTGCACAGATATAGTATCCGCTGCTCGGTGGTGTTGCAGAGAGAGCGTAGGACGGGAGATGGGAAGCCGTATTGCGAGTTTCCGGACCAGGTGGTGAGAGAGTGGTAGCCCAGGTCCACGTTGATCACATCGCTGATCTTCTCTGGTGTGCCGACCTCGTCGAACTGCAGGGGCAGGTCGAGGTACCCTTGGTCGTGATATGGTCCTGCCGTGGCATCTGTTGCGCGATTCTGCCACGCAGGCGGATGCAGTGCTTCGTCATGGTCAAGGTGGCGTGGACTGAGGATCCCGACTTCATATTGTTCTAGCAATACGAACCCCGAGAAGTTTGGAAGATCTTCAGGATCGCTGGGGCTCTCGTGAATGGATTGAAAGACGCAGTGGATGCGACACTCGTCGCAAGTTGTGAGTTTGCAGCTGATACAGGGGCGGGATTCGATGCTGTGACGTCCCGAAGCCGTCCGGCACTGTGCAAATTCGGTGCACTCGAACGCATAAAAGAAAGTCGATTTCTCGTGTATGCGTTGCCGGAGACTGACGCCGCGGCCACTGCAGGACATCTTGCTGAGTAAGTTGTTGAGGCTTTCTGCACGAGGGATCATAGCCTCATAGGCTGCCCTGCAGGAGAGTGCCAGTGAGAACAGATCGCTGGGACCTAGGCAGGAGGCAACGATCTCCATCAGTCCATATTGGCGGAGTGTCTGTATCAGCGGACATATTGATCGTGCTTCTACTGCCGGCATTGTCCTCGCTGTCTTCGTTATTGGCGCTTTCGTTGCTGGTGCTTTCACCACAGCCTTTGGTGTTTTCTTTCGAGGGCTTACGACGGCAGGCTCATTCAGCGAGCGCTTACGTTTCACGATCCTGGTCTCAGTGGCCATGTTGAATCACTTGGAGAAACCGAAGTGTAGTTGAGTGGGCAATCACTGAAGTAGGAGGGAGCATTTAGCGCTTGTGTACGATATCAGGGCTTATGGCAGGTGCACAGTGAAAGGCTGCAGTATCGAGAGCGGTAAGAGATCGCCCTCAGAGATATCACTCTTTCACTTCGACCATAGGGTAGTGAACAAGTAGCAGGGAAAGCACGAGCAGGGCTCGTGCATAATGTGGAGTGCATGTGCCGTGTGTAGTAGGTGCCGTGCAAGACCGAAAAAGGAAATAGCACCCGTGTAACGTACATCGTAGTCATCAATGAATATCTGTAGCCTAGAGCGCCCTTTATAACGCCTGGCATACGCTGCTCTGAAGATCTGGATCCATTTTGTATCTTTTGATGAGGCCGTAGGATTGGCAGTAGGGCTGAGAAAATTTTCTGGCGATGCTGAAACGCGCGCAGTTGGAGCAACGAAAGCAGAAAGAAGGACCCAAAACAGCTCCGCCGAAACGCGTAAAGCTCTCGAAGCTGGGGCAGAGCTACAGAGCTACAGAGCTACGAAGCTATGAAGAAGCAAAGCGGGGCCTGCGTACAGCTCTTGAACTCTCGTCACGAGCAGCACCGAAAATTATCCCGGAATGTTGCGGGAAGATCTCCGATGAGCGCCGATGGCGCGCCTCGGCTGCTCTTGCCTTCTTCCGTTCGCCCTGCACGTGGGCGCATCAACAACATCACCGTTTGCATCGGCACGACAAGATGACAGGTCGTTGACATATCCGGGGTCACAAGTGAGTTCGAGGATCACGAGAAGTGCTCAATAGCTCGAATCATCTTTCACGGGTTCGTACCGCTTTTCGTGCACGCTACGAATAATTCCGTACCAGACTGGATCGCACTTTATTACCTCCGACTCACCTAATTTTCACCATCATTCGTATCACAAGAGTCATCAGGTCTTCTCCCCTGATCACGTTCATGATGTTGCACCAAGTGTTTGGCGTCGGGCACCCTACCAGCTATACCATAACAATCGCGATAGGCTGGCGGAGGGTGGCTTGTGAGCCTGCGACGTTCGCACACGATCAGCATACAGAAGCACAGCAAGAGGCAAGGTATTGATGAAGCGAGAGTATCGGCTCGTGCATTAAATAGCCAACTACCAAAATAAATAGGTATCATCGAAATCTTCTCCATACCCAGCATGACGCATTCACAGCATTACAAATCATATCCGTCCTCCCCTTCCGACGCAATTTTGAAGGCAACTCGCGCGTTTATGCGGCGCGGTCGTTCTCAGCAGTCTCCTTGCCAACGTAGTTGGAGTCGGGCAACATGTTGAGGGCATCCTCCTGGGCATCAGTGGAGCGCTGGTGGAACCAGAACAAGATTCCACCGAGCAGAGCCAAGATAGCGACGACACCGTAGTTCCATACCAGCAGCGGGTCCTCGGACAGACTGACAAGAGCCTGGCCGATGGCGTTGGAGAACGCAGACATGAAGTGCCAGTAGGAAGTAACGAGGGAACGCATGTTCTTGGGCGCCTTGGTGAAAGCAAACTCAAGACCAGTGATTGAGGTGAAGATCTCGGAGAAACCGACGAGCACGTACGGCACGGCCTGTGTCCACACGTTGATAGGCGCAGGGCCAAGCTCCTCGTCGCAGGTGTTGGCGTACTTGCCGCAGGGGCCGGTCTTGTAGACGTAGTACTGGATCACGGTCGCAGACACCATGGCCAACGAGGCAAGCAGGAAACCAAACGCAATACGCTTGATGGGTGTGAAGCGGATGCCAGCCTTGCGAAGACCAGGGTACAGGAATTTATCGACAAGGGGAATGAAGATGACCAGAGAGATGGGGTTGAGGTTGGTGATGATATCGTTGGGGACTCCGTTACGGGTCATGGTGGCGGCTTGCGAAGTCAGGTTGTTGTTCATCTGGTTGTATGACAGCCAGTAGAGGGGAATCCAGGTGAAGCATGAGCAAGCGCGCAGACCACGAGCAACCTGGTCGACCCAGGCGTCATCGAACTGCATCCAGCTGGGCTTGCTGTCACCGAGGTGGCTGGGCTTGACATCCTCCCAGAAGCGGTCGCTCTTGAAAGCCTTGCGCGTGGCAACAGGGTTGGCGGACCACTTGCCCTTTGTAGCGAGACTAAGAAGCTTGAAGGCGCGAATGAGCACGGAGCCGGTAGGGGGGCTCCTGTGGTACTTATTGCGGCACACCCAGAGGACGATGGGGCAACCGCAGAACATGATTGTAGGCAGAAGCCACGCGCACCAGAAACCGACATACTTCTCAACGTAGACCATGGAGATCTGACCAGTCAGGGAACCGATGTTGATGAACATGTAGAAGTACAAGAAGATACGCGAGATGGTAATGTTGGGGTCCGAGATAACTCGCTCGCCAGTCTTCTCGTCGATGATCACACGAGGCTTGGTCTGCTTGTACTGCTCAGCGATGAGAGGCGAGATGTTGGCCTTGAAAGCACCAGTTCCGAATCCAAGAACGATCACACCAAGGATGAATGGAGCGATAGCATTGCCGCTGGTGAGGACACTGGGAATAGCCGAGACGATGAGCAGGATGTGACCGATGATGGAGAAGGCAATGGCAATGAAGATGGTGTTGAAGCGACCGAGGTACTCGTCGGCGATGATGGCACCGATGATGGGGGTTGTGTAAGCCCAGAAGGAGTTGAAGGTACCAATACCGAACGAGGCACGCTGGCCCATACCGAGACCACCGGGCTGACCGTTGGAACGAGGATCCTTGCCAGTGGTCTGGACAACACCATCAATGATGGGCAGGTCCTGCTGGACGAAGTTGGTGTCTAGATACGGTCAGAAGGGAAAATTGGACATGTGATGGTCAAACGTACACAGCACCTGGCAACCGTAGTAACCGAAACGCTCGCACAGCTCGACGAACGCGATGGTGAAGATCTGCCACGGGATCTTGCCAGAGACACGACGCAGTGTCCTCAGCTCCTCCTCGGTCGGTGTCTCGCCGATGAGATCGGCCTCGAACTCAACAGGAGGGGCAGCCAGATCGTGGCTGGTAGCCGACGACCCACGCTTCTCAGCAGCGAATGCCTGCTTCTCGTTCACCTCGTACAAAGGCGTAGCAACCTTGGGATCGTGGCTCATGGCCATGTCGACCTGGTTGGGTCCGGCGGCGGCAGCCATGTTGGAGAAGTTCTTCAAGCGTTGACGTTGACACTCGAGAGGTTCACTCTGTGGTATCACCCGAGGAAAGTGATTGGCTGGGCAAGCTGAAGAAGGGACGAGCTGCTGCTGAACCAAACCCTACGAGCGGGCGCCCCCCAATTAATACTCGACCGCCCACCAGCTTCGCGGCGGCAAACAGCGAGGCACAGCGAGCCTTGGCCTTACCTCTGCATCCAGCAGGTGAGTTCCAGCGCGACGTTACAGTCACGCTAGCTGATGATCATGGCAGCGGGCAGCACCACTTCGCGCGAACAGCGTTATCGAGCACGACAGCCACTTAGCAAATGCTAAGGCCAGGGAAGAAGTGCTGCCCCGCCACCGACATTGCTTCACTGCTTGGTAAACTTGGCGAGCCAGGACGATCATCAGGGTGTCAGCCATTCACTGCTGGGCAGGCTTATCGCAACGAAGACCCGAGTAGCGGCATGGCACCCCCGTTCGGTATTGCCGTGTGACCATTCACGTTCGCAGACGACTCATGCCTTGCATTTGTGCATTCGTCGAAGAGCTCTCGCGAGCGCTGTTGTTCTGCTGCCGAACGCAGCCCGCCGCGATGTCGTTGTGAGCATGTTGTGTCCGTGTGCAATTCCCGTCTCTCGAGTCTCCGACTGGGCGCCCAGCGGACTTCCTTGGCGGGAGCACCAATGCCGCCCCCTCCACCATCGAAGCACCCCAAGCACGCTCACGCTCCACGGAAGGCTCCACACCACGAACGGCGCTGCACTTGGCCCGCTAGCCCTTCCGGGCAGGTCCACAGCCGCGGCAGTTTCGGCGGTCCGAATCCAGCTAGGCCCCACCAACCTTCTCGAACACACAGCGCGCTTGCACGCCCATGCTTATCACTTCACGTTTTCGGCTCGATGGCCGAGGATGCGCGTTGTCCGGTTGGGTTCGCGTACAGCCGTCTTGAGATGGATGGGAATTGGAGTGCTGCAATTGCCTGCGCTTACCGCCATTGAACCGCTGATGCCCGCCTGTTCAACACGCCGGAATCCCTCCTCATTACGCGAATCTCTCAATGCAGCCATGATGGTCTCCGCTCGTGTTCGTTCCTCTGTTTATCAGTGCATCAGCAGCAGCCGCCTTGGCGTTGGATGCCGCAATGAAACCTGGGAGATATGGATATCGAAGTCCTTCCATCGTCCTTCGGCTTATCGCAGCACGATTCCTTCGATGTCTAGACGTGATCTGAGTCGAGGATCGCAGAGATTTTCTGGAAACTCACATGCAAGGTCAGACCATGTACAGGTGCTGGTGGGGCCGTTGTTAACGTTATACTATGTACACCCAGGCAGTCCGACCAGCTACTGGCAGAATGCAGCTGCCAGCAAATGATCTTTCTAGGGCTTTCTCTTGTCAGGGTGTATATACACTTGAACGAAGTTACTTGTGTAAAGTTCAAATCTGCTTGATCGTAGCCAACAGGTTGCAGAATCACTATAAGCGTCAAGTGGTTGATCGGGCCTGCTGGATGCAGGGTGGTCCCTACCTGTCGAGCATGAGTCGGTTGTGATTGGCTAAAATCTGGACGCGTGAGCATCGCAACAATATACGCTCCAAATTGCACACTTCTTGTTTGACGAATTCATTATCATTATGGATACGTTGTAGCTAAGTGTCATCTCGTAACTGCCTCCGCAAACTTAGTTGCCGGCAGGCTCATCATCCAAAGGCTCACCCTTGGAGTAGTGGTTGATCCAGTTGAAGATCTCCTTGTGCCAGAACAAGCTGTTCTCGCGCTTGAGAACCCAGTGGTTCTCGTCGGGGAAGTTGAGGAAGCGCGAGGGCACGCCGACGTTCTGCAGGACGTTGAACAGACCGATGCCGTCGCTCTCGGGGAGACGGTAGTCGAGCGTGTTGTGAACGACGAACTGGGGAGTGGACCAGTTGGCGACGTGATCGAAGGGGTTCCACTTGTCGTAAGCCTCGGACTCCCAGACAGTGCCGTTGTAATCGTGGCGGATGAACCACAGTTCTTCAGATGACCATGCAGCCTTGGTCTGGGAGATGCCGTCGTGAGTAACAAGCGCCTTGAACTTGTTGCCGAGGTCATTACTTTGGATCCAGTTGGTCATGTAGCTTGTGTTTGTTAGTTGTTTTGAGCATGTAAATGGTGGTTGACCATGAAGGTCTTTTGTGGGGACTTACCCGCCATACGACGCACCAGCGGCGACACCATTCTCAACATCTACGAAAGAGGAGAGCTCAGTACTGATGTACTCCCATGCGTTAACAAGATCGTAGTATGGGTAGCCTCCCCAGCGGCCCTGGATAGCGTCGGTGAGATACTGGCCAAATCCGGTGGATCCAGTTGGGTTGGGTGCAACGACGATGTAGCCCTGGTCAGCCCAGACTGCTGGGTTCCACCTGTTAGACCAGGAGTTGCCCCAAGAGCCCTGAGGTCCACCGTGAATGTAGAAGACAAGGGGGTATGTCTTGTTCTCGACGAAGAAGGTGGGCTTGATGACCCAAGCCTGCAGCTGCTGCTTGAGGTTCGGGTCGGATCCGTTGAAGAAGATTTCAGAAACGTGGTCGGCGCTGAGACCAGCGAACTCGGGGTCGTTGTCGACGGCAGTGAAGATGGTGTTCTTGGTACCGTTGCTGAGAGTGTAGTACTCGACAGGTGTCCAGATAGCGGAGGCAGTGACCAGCAAGTCGTTGTTCTCCAGGAGGGAGAAGCTAGATACCGAAGTGTTAGAGGTCAAAGGCTCGGGAACGTAGCTTGCATCGGCAGTGATGGGGAAGTTGAAGATCTTCACGCGAGCGTAGTCCTCAGCGGTAGCGTAGATGGACGAGCTATCGTGCGCCCAAGTGAGAGGACCCTGCACCCAGCGGTCAAATCCAGCGGAAAGAGCCTTCCAGTTGCTAGTGGCGACGCTGCCATTGGATGCGGCAACATCGACAGTGTACAGCTGCCACCTGTCCGACTCGTAGTAGTCTTCATCCTGCTGAACGTAGGCCAGCTTGCAGCTGTCGGGCGAGAAAGAGGGCTGGCCAGAGGCACCCTGGTGACCGGCCTTGGCAGCCTCGGAGTCAGGGCCATTGAAAGCGATGGGCTCTGCGGTACCATCAACCTCACCAAGATAGATGTAGCTTGCGGTGTAGTTGGCTTTGTTCAGCTGGGGAGCCTTGCTGAGGAAAGCGTAGAGCTTGCCGTCAGGCGAAATAGCGTAGTCGCTGGAGTCACCGAAAGGCTGAACGGGAGTCTCAGACCTGGTGGTGGTCCAGTTGACAGCGTTGTTCAGGTTCCGCAGACCAGGGTGGGCCAGGCCATAGGTGCCGTTCGCGGAAAGGGTACCAGCGAAGACGTTGTAACGGTTCTTCGTGAGCCAGGTATCCCAGTGACGAACGTAGGCGTCCTTGTAGAAACGACCGGTGTGCTTAGGGACGACCTCGGTTTCGGGGTTGACAGCAGTACCGTTGGGGTACGCCATGCTGTTCACGAGGAACTTGATGTCTCCAGACTCAGTCTTCGCAATCCTGAGTCCATTGTAGGGAGCATCAAGCGAAGCGGCCAAAGTGCTCTTGGAAGGGTCTTTGATGTCTCCAATCCAGAGCGTGACACCACCAGGGATCTCCTCGTTGGTGCCGTTGATGTAGATGATGCCGGAGTCGGTGCCTGGAATCCATGCGGCCTCGTTGACCTCGCTGATGTTCAGACCAGAGTCCTTGAACTCGCCGGACTTCAGGTCCAGGAGTCCCCAGCTTGAAGTGCCGGCGGTCTCGGTGAAGTTGTACTGCGAGACGGAAAGCAGAGCAACTGTTCCATCACCGCTGGGGCTGAGCGCACCACGACGGGGTGCACCAAGCAGCTTCTCCGGGGTGAATTGAGCAAGGCCAGTACTGGCCAATGCTGAAGCAATTCCGAGGTAACGTGCCATTGCCATTGTGACGATCTGCTTCCACTGAGCTCAATTGATTAGGATCGATACCAACAGAAACTCCGGGAACGGCAGCGAGCTTATTTGTAGTTCCCTTGCTGCTGGGATGACAACCAGGTACCGCATATCGCCCGCAGGGCCAGCGTCGTACCTGGCCGACCACAACGCGGCCGTTACCTGTTGTGCCATCGATGGCATCATCCGAGCGAATCCTGGAACTGTCGGGCCAACGACTGAGCAAGTTGACGATGTCTCCTTCCCGATATAGTTTACTTCTGCGGCCTCGCAAATAAGCTCGGTGCATGTGGGCCGCCAAAAAGCGTATTTGCTAGCCGCCTATCGCCATTTGCTCCATCGCGCCCGCAATCACAGACCCACCATTTTAGGCATCTTGGCGGTATCACATCACGTGATAACGCAGTCGGTCGTGCCCAGACTGGTGGCGCTCCGGGCCAAGTGAGGCCGGCTGGAGAAATTGTGGTGGCGTGCGGAACGGCTATCGCCGTTTAGGCAGGTACAGAAGCAACGAGTCGCGTGCCTATGGCGCGCAAAGCCGCTTCGATGATGTGTGTGTTAATCTTTACAAATCGATACTTGCGTGCTTGTGATCTTACGAGATGGTTTCTGCCTGTGTGGATGTGTTGCTAAGGCGGGAAACTGCCTGCAAAATGCCTCGGCATGCAACGGTTACAACCCGGCAGGACATTCCGGATGATTCCCACAAGATTCCACATAACAGTCGCCGTTGTTCCCAGGTATGCACTGTGCAGGATGGTACGACCTTTCCCGCGTTCGCCATCACAGTTGGGTGCCAGGGTGCCTGCAATCGACATGGCAGCCCATAGGTCGGTGGCATCAGTGCACGATGCTGACGCCAACGATAAGGGTGGGCCGTGGTTCGTATCCACTATCCAGGATCATTTCGCATCGGGAAGTACACCCAGCGGCATGCCAGCGCCCACCATCAGCAGCATGGGAGCTTACCAAGTTGCGCAGTTGCACCAACACGTGAGGCTGACGGTACGCCGTGTCAATGGTGGGCATTGGAACCCAAAGTGGAAGGACGCAGTACCGCTATTCAAAGGCAGTGCACGGTGGCCGCCTGGTGGTCGTACCTCTGTTGGGGGACTTCTGCTCTCGCTCTATATCTGAGACACAGAGCAGGACTTATTTACTGTGTAGGTTGTGAGATTTTCCTCAGGGCCATGTCTCTGTTTCCCCCGACAATAAGGCCGGAAGCTTTGCGATCGATATTAGGCTCGGCATATCCTGTGCATCTTTAAGATCCTTCGACCTGCCAGTGGGTAGATCGAATTGCTTTGGTCGGAGTATTGCTCCTGGCATAGTCTAAGCTCCCAGCCTGCATCAACTATCCTGGCTCTGTGTGCCCGTCTCTTTCTGTCTTTCGCCCTCTGTCCATTTCACATTGTCCTCATCTTACATCTTGCTTGTTTTTTTTTCGAGTCCATCCATGCCAGTACCTCTGTCTTTTCAAGGATCTCCACGGGCTTCCAGGTGTTGTCTTCCCCGCATTATGATCGACGACCGATTCGTCCCTGTCAAAAGTCCGGGGAGCTCCAAGGTATAAGTACTGCGACTCCGAAGTCGGGCGCGATAACGGCTGGCATTGCGCCATCAGCTTGGCGTGGCTTGTCTGGCTCAGCTGCAAGACTCGCCAACCTCCAAGACACCGTTTAGCTACCAGATGTGGATAAGACGAGCCTTGGACTGGGATATGACGGATGTAAATCACTGCGGTGGTGGGTTGGCACGGCCTCTGCGCTGGCCATTGAGTCTGCGGGAGGCCGTGCAGAGGTGGAGGCTGAGCAGCAGAGTCACCCTTGCGTACATCTCGCAATACCTGTAAGCTTAGCACGGCATTTCCAGATGAGACAGTGGCTCCTCTCTATGGTATGCTGTAGCTGTCTCTTGTGCTGCCTCCGTGCATCTGTAGGACCGACTCAGGGCTGCGTAGTCTGCTGTCAGATCATCCGCGGTATCCGGACTGGGCTGGAGATCACTGCTGGTGATATCTGATCTCGTACAAGATTAGTGTGGATACCGCGACTGTAGCTGCTCTGTGCCAGCGTGTGGCAACAGCTTCATAGGCCAGCTCAGTTCACAGAAGATGATGGGCAAGCGCTGTGGTACACACAAATGGTAGCTCTCTATCACCCACGAAATCGCGAACCCGCGAATCAGACCGCATGAAACAAGTAGGTGGGAATAGTAGTGTGAAATTGGAACGGCGCACGTAAAAATCCCGCCATGTCCCAGCTGCATTCGCCCCGGACATTCTTATCCAAGCTTCGCCAACCCCACCTACACTTCTTTCTTGTCATCCTCAACCAGCATCTCAATCAAATCCACCTTGATTTTGTGCATCGGCTTGATCCCCCTCTGCCTCAGCTCATCCCTCAGCTCAGGTGCCTTGCTCTGCGCATACCAGCGCCGCAACTCCTCGCGCTGTCGCAGCGCCGCCTGGGGTGGCTTGAGACTCTTGTGCGCCTGTATGCGCTGATCGAATACGTTCTTCTGCGAGCTCGACTTCTTGTCTTGAGGCGACGCGGTCGCGGTATCGTTGTGCTCGGCGCGGACGGGCGCTGCGATGGGGTAGGCAGTCGAAGGCTTCCGGGTCGGCTGCGCGGTGTTGCGATGCAGGATGTGCTCGCGCAGATCGAAGATGCCGGCGCGGCGCAGCTCGTCCATGTTGTCTTGTGGGTTGTTGCGCTTCTCGAGCCAGGCGATGAGCTCCTCCTTGGTGGAGTTGTTGAGCCATTTCTCCGCGGTGTCGCTCTCTCCAGCGAAATGGTTCACGCCTTTCGCCTTGTTTCTGGGGTACTTGGGTGGCGGCACGTTAGTGATGGCTGCGCGAGACCGGCTCCAAGACATAAACCTTGCATGCTCGCGCTGTTCGATGGCCTCTTCAGCTAGTGCGATGGATTCAAGGGATCGCGGGCCCTGCATCAGGTTGTTGCGACGTGTGACTTGTTCATCTTCTCCGGTGAGATTCTGTCGAACGGCGCAGCGGTGTACGATCCCTTTGAAGTAGAGACAGTGATCACAAGGGGAAGCTCGATCCTGGTCATCAAAGTGCAGGTGCATCTCTGGAAAAGTGGGGTGGGCGGAAGTAAAATGTGCCATGTCAGCGAGTTGAGTAGAATCTGTACGTTGGTAATATGGTAACCAGATGGTTTGTTGCGGTATTTGGGTTGTAGAGGTTGGGGTGGAAACAGGAAGAAGTTACCACCCGCTCTTTCACCTTCACTCACCTGCGTTTCACTGAGTGGATTTCACTCGTGTCTGTTGTAGGGCACGAATTTGCAAACAAAATATTTGCAAGGAGTCATTGGAATATCGCATGGAGATTGCCTGAGACAGCCCGGTCCTATACATGGTACTAAGTAGTCCGTGAGGGTGAAGACTTCATGGCGCCTATCTTTCTTACCGTCAACCAAACGTAGATGTGATCTCTTTTGCTACGAAGGTTACTGCTCATGGGCCCCATCGAGCAGTAACCTTCCTCCAACGAGCCTCCAGTGTGACTCTCGGGATTGCGACTGTCCCCTTGAAGTCTCTTCCAAATATGATAGGTTCTCCGACATTTGCTGCACCGCCAAAACACTCCTGTTGTACACTTGTCATATCTGTCTTCACTCAAGAATGGGCACAATTCTCCACATGAACAATGTATTGCGCGAGATCACAACCAGCGTACATAATCAACCATACCTGACTTCACCCGTACCTTCCCTGAACCAGTCATCGCTCGCCAGACCTTCTTCCGCAGTAGCATAGTTGATAATCGTAGACTTGGCCGAGGTATACGCGTGGTAAGCATCAATACCGTTCTCGCTCCCAACTCCCGAGCTCTTGATGCCACCCCACGGACTGCTAGGGTCATTGCGATGATGCGTGTTGACCCAGCAGATACCGCTCTCAATAGCCTCTGAGACTCTGAAGCCCTGTGATAGATCCTGCGTCCATATCGCAGCGCCCAGACCGAACTCGCTGTCGTTGGCGAGCTCGAGTGCCTCTTCTTCGGTGTCGAAACCGACGACTACTATCACGGGACCAAATGCTTCTTCTCTCCAGATCCGGGTGTCGATGATCTTCTTTGTTGCGCTATCGGCGAGGATGGTGGGTGGGAAGAAGTAGCCTTTAGAGAAGTCGGTTCCGTCTAAAGAGGAAGTACCCGTCATTCTTTGGCCGCCTGTGACGACCTTCACGCCACCTTCGACTGCATCGTCAACCAGTGTGCGCACGTTGACGAGCTGCTTTGCAGAGATGAGAGGTCCCATCATAGATTCGACATTCTTGGGTGAGCCCATTCTCCTTTCGATGCTCTGCACCTTGCTCTTCAGCTTCTCCACCACCTGGTCAAGAATGCTGTTCTGCACGATGATTCGGGTCGCTGCAACGCAGGTCTGCCCACTTGCGATAAAACTCGCAAACACGCTGCCATTGACCGCGAGATCGATGTGAGCTTTCTCGAAGATGATGAGTGGTGCTTTCCCACCTAGCTCAGCAGTGTAGGCTGCAAGGTTCTTTCCAGCGATCGCACCGATCGCTCGGCCAGCAGGTGTTCCACCTGTCACGTCAACCTTCTTGATGAGCGGGTGGTCGACCAGTGCTTTCCCTGTGGTAATACCGTCGCCGGGTAGTACATTGAAGACGCCATCCGGCAAACCGGCTTCCTTGAATAGCTTTCCGAGCTCGATGCTGGTGAGAGGAGTGAGCTCACTGGGCTTTAAGACAATCGAGTTACCAGCTGCCAGCGCAGGTGCGATCTTCTTGACAGCGATGAGCATAGGGTGATTGAAAGGTGTAATTTGCGCAACTACGCCGAGAGGTTTGCGATCGATCCAGTTGTGCAACTTGCCCATAGTGGGCAGAACAGAACGCTCCTCGGTTCTGATGAGCGAGGCGTAGTACTTGAACCACTTTACAAGGGTCGGGACCTGCGCATTCATCTCTCGGATCGCACGGCCAGTCTGGCGTACTTCGAGTTCGATGAGAGATGTCATCTTGCTTGTGAGAAGTTCTGCAATCCTGTCGAGGGTGTCGGCGCGAACGTGACGTGGGGCTTTAGACCAGACACCAGATTTGAAGGCTTTCTGTGCGGCTTGCACAGCGTGCTCAACATCTTCCGCAGTAGCAGCATGGCAATGAGCAAAGATCTCTCCAGATGCAGGATCTTCAATGGCAAGTCTGTTGTAAAGTCAGCACATGGTGTGCCATTGTGACAAGGCAAGCTGACTGACTGATCCGCACTCCCCGGAATTTCTTTCCCCTCCACCCACATGTTGAATACTTCGCTCGATTGCTGGCTCATATTGAAGTTGAACTGGACGAAAATGCTGGGGAACTACAATGATGGAGAGTTGCGAGTATTGAAGTGTAAGTCCGGGCGGAGGTGGCCGACGATTGGTGGGTACCCCACGATAAGCTAGCGCCTCGGCTAACGCTGCCCCGATGGCGGAAGGAGGCTCGCCAGCACCTCGTGCGTTGTTTCTGTTTTCAAGCATGAACATTGTGAGTCCTGGTCTTGGCCTGTTTAGTTCTGTATGTGGATCAATCTTGTCCGTAGCATTACGAGGACCAGCTGCAATGACATACACAGATCAGAACTGTGATTGTATGCGAATGCTACCACATCAAAGTCATGTTCAGTCCGGCTTGTGACGACGAGATGGGTTGCACCATCAACGAACACGTGTCTGAAAGTCTGGTACAGTACCTTTATGAGGTCGATTGATGCATGGGATCCTCGCAGCCAGGCGAGTCCTCGATTTCTAAGCTTACTAAAGATATTATACAAAAAAGTCTATCGATATCTCCGAAATGTGAAGGTAAGATCCAACAATGTATCAGCTACTGCAATCAAGCTATTGCAGCCAAGCTGTTGCAATCAAGTGATGCCCATAATTTTTAAGCCCTTTGAATTACTTCTCCGCCCTTCCAGATTCTGATTCAACTCTCCTTCTGCCCCGAAACTGAGCAGCAGCTCGATCATGAGGCTTCGTTCTCGGCCTTCTAGCCTCTTCGCTGTGAGCGCCGACTTCAGCGGCGTATTTCCGTCGTTAGACTCGTGATTGACGTCCGCGCCCTTATCAGCAAGGAACCTGACAATCTCGCGCATTGTTGGGCCAGGCGTACGCGCCGCGAGATGCAACGGTGTCTCGCCGAGGGTGTTGGTTGCGTCGATAGAGTGGCCCAGAGACGTGAGCGACTTGACAATCTCTAGTTGACCTCCGAGCACAGCAGCGTGCATTGCAGAGTAATAGATTGTCGATGATGTACGTGTAATGTCGGCACCGTACTCCATCAGCACGCGCAAGATGTCTGACGACATTTCGTGTGCAGCGCGGATGAAAAAGTGCCCAAACTCGGGATGTACAACCATGGGGTTTGCACCTTCCCAAAGAACGCGTTCGACTTCGCCAGATGTTGCGTCCGCGGGGATGTTGGCCAGGATGCGGTCAACGCCGATACGAGAGTCAAGGTCGAGGTTCTTCCTGTTGCTTTTTGCGACGGCGATTTTGTCGGATGTTATTCTTTTGTATATGATGGATACATCTGAGCTTGATACTGTCGGGGAGTACTCTTCGGCCAATCTGGTTTTCGTTCTTGCCTTTGTTCTGACATCAAGCCGAGTGGAAGCGTCTGAACACCAGCTGCGCGATTTCTTGATGCGTGATTCTCTGGACTCAGGGGCGACCAGGGTCCGACCTGATGACACCGCATCATCGGTGTAGAAAGTGCCGCGAGAAGGGGATAGGTGGCTGTGAGATGTTGCTCGGGAACGTGATCTTTCGTCAGTGACCTTGATAATCATCGAGTGCGTTAGAGGTTGAGCATCTTGGTGGCAAGGGACGTCCGCGAGCCATGCTCCTATGCCCCTGTCTGAAGATTTGGTTGCTGTCGATTGTTGCGATATTGGCTGTTGCGATATCGGCTGTTGCAATATTGGCTGCTGCAATGTCGGCTGTTGCAGTGCCGGTTGTGACAAAGGGCTGTCCCTCCCACTGCCGCTGCGGCGTGGTTCGCCTAACACAGGCTCTAATGAATCGGGTCTCGGCGTAGTCGTCCTTCGCTCAGGTCCAGAGGTCCTTGATACTGGTGACATGGCCTCTCTTGATAATGCTGTGATGCACGACCGAAGCAAACGTACCGCCTGGAGTAACGATTTGAGCCTTTCTCTTGCTAGTTGATTGACGTGGATTTCTTCTATATCAGTACGCTTGAGTAACTCGTTAGTGGACTCGGTCAAGCCACTGGCATAACTCTGTATGAGTGAATCAAGCGAATCGACGCTGTCGGTACGACCAAATCTGGCGCTGTCAGCAAAAGCCAAGGTTTGCAACGGTCACGTGATATCATACAATGAAAGATAGTCGACAGCGAGGTCGAGCACGATCCTCGAAGCTTCCAAGTCTTGCCGTAGCGTTATGAGCGTACCGGCGTTGAAAGAAAGCCAGTCGTCCTTTGGCGAGAGACTGCATGTCAACTTCAAAAACGCCTTGTGCAATCGCTCGCTAGTATCGTCACTGGAGTCCAGGATCTGCGTGTATGCATCGACAAGAGCAACAGGTAGCTTAGAGCCGAACGTAGAAAAGTCATCCTGTGCAACACCAAGGCCAGTCCTGATGATTTGCAGGTCGTTGTTGATAGCATTCAGGCCGGTTCTGGCCTCGCGCACCTGCCTTGCAAAGCTGCTGATGACCGGAATAACCTGCGACACAGCCGAGTCAGCGAGTGCACAGTTGCAGATCCACAGATGTGCTTGCCTGGGCGATGGAAGTGTTTAGTGCAGCGCATCTGGCGGCGATCGTGCTGGAGCGAGACATTGGTCGTGACCGAGCGAGGGCTCTGGCTTCGATTGATGTGTGTGAATTAGAAGCACGTTGGGTGAGCAAAGCCTGAAACAGCGTTCAGCAGCGCTGGCGGGGTTGCGACAGCCGGCGACGCGACAGACAGCAACAAGCAATATGGTTACACAAAGATTGAGGGCAACGAGACGGCCCTCGTGGCTGTTAACAGTGTCGTCGCACGGGTAAGCAGACTGCAAGCCCCCGTATGGCAGGACCACGCCGCAGACTTGTGGCGTCTTGGAATGCAGTTACGAATCCTACATGCAAAGTGCGGCCAATCCGCGCCGTCAAAGTAGGCTAAAGGCTGTGGAGAGGGCTGGAAAACAAACAGCTGTTCGGCGCGCCTGCGTTAGCCAGGGCAGGAGACTGATGTGCCGTGCGTCGGGGGCAGCGAGGGGAAATCGTCCTCCTCCCGGGGCTACCGTTAAAATTGCTTTGCCCAGGTGCGGCTTGTGCACAATCATGTATCGTGCCTCAGCGCGGTTAGACAGCAGAGAACGAGCAAGGATCCCAAGCCGTTGACACCTGCAGCCGCTCGGGCACGCACCGCGAGACGGACCGTCGCAGATTGCGGTGCCTAAAAGCCGAGCACTCGCGTGCAATCATTTTCAGCCTGTCCGCGCAATCTCTCGCAACACACCAGCACACCAGGCAATTTGCATGTGTTGTCGCCAACACGGTCATGTTTTTCCGTCTTGCATGGCTGCTGGCTGGATCGAGATACCGTTGCAGCCGCACATTGCACACTGCGCAAGTGCGAAGTGAGTGCTCAAAGCGTTCGGCGTGCCGTTTCAAGAAATCTCCGAAAGCACCCATAGCCCTTCAATCTCGAGACACTCAGTTCTGCCACGCTGCAGCGACGACACGTCGAGACTAAGCTACTGGTGACCACCGATGCAATGACGGACACCGCGGAAACAGCGACTGGACAGACAAAGACCCGAGTGAAAAGGCGCTGGCTATGCTGTGTCCCTTAACCGCTCGGCTCGCTCATAAGATGGCTTGACCCAGCTTGTCCCGATCCTTTTTTGGTACCGAGAGCACAGTTACATGTGGTAGTACGGCAAGGTGAACCTCGATCAGCTCGAAACTCTTCTTTCCCGCGAGATTGAAGAGGGGTGGCTGGACGTCAGGCCTGTCATGGCGGTTGGCTTCGAGGCATGTCAGAGCGTTTTGGAAACCCTCTTCAAATTAACAGTATGTAAGCATGCGAACTGAGGCCGTCGATTGGTAAAGCGTGCGAGCGTTCGGTTGTGGGAAGAAGAGGCGCACTTTTTTGATTGGACCGCTCATCACTCTCGCACACGTGGCGCGTCTCCTCAGCTGAGTCCACTTGGTTGTCCAGAAGCAGCCGGAGAGCGAGGGAGCCGCAAGGTGAGGTGAAAGAAGTCAGAAGGTTCGAGGTTTCCCTCAGCACCGAGGGTATCTGGGTCGGCGGCAGCCTCCCGTCAAGGCTAGATGCCCAGACCGGCTAGCTCGAGTCTTGCCCAAAGATGGTCACCAAAGGGAGACATGGACGTCATTGGCAGGACGGTACCGAACACTTCCTGCTTTCCAGACTGCGTTCTTCTGCGTTCCTCTCTCAGCTGTGACCTTTCTCTTCCTCTGGATCACACACAGCCGCTGCCCACTGATCTAGGCCGCCGCGCCGTTGCTCTGCCCGTAATACGTATGCTGGAACCAGAAAGCCGACCATGAGGAGACGCGATGTAATGTTGTCATGAGGGGGCGGCCTGCTCCCCGTTTGCGTCGGACGCGGTCCCCAGAGCGGAGGCGAAAGGTGATCTGACAAGCAGAAGGTTTGCCGTAGGTGGAGCGCCGATTTTGGCCTTCAGAAGGTTTGCACAGACCGCTTTCTTTTTCCCGCGACTTTTCAGCAGCGCCGTCATTCAACCAAAATAATTTCAGGCGCTTCATAAGCCGAGGTTACCTCTTCGCAAAGCACAGCATGTATTCTTCCATCGCCGCATAAAGTTACCAACGACCTGGACCCATTTGGCATCGACCTTCCGGTTTTGGCGTCTCCACCTACCCCGCCGCACCCGCTGTCTAAGCGACGTCAATCGCGAGCAGCCACCGACTTTCGCTCAACCATTCACCTCGATACGTTACAACGCGTTGCACGCGTGTTGGCTCCCGCCACGGCGCACTGTTCGATCTGCGCCTTGATGCCTTAATCCTAAGCGTTCTCTTGAATGACGACGACAATCGCCTGCCTTTTTGAGCCCGCATCTCAATCGATAAGCGCTCGTCGCAATGGCCGAATTCAACGAACAGAAGACGCCTTTGACCCTCGCCAACATTCAAACTTGGGCGCGGTATGAATTCCCAGAGCCTTTCAAGGCATTGCCGCGCGCTTCGAGAGTCGCCTACATTGATATTGACGAAACATCATTCAATCGCGTGATCCAGAGGTCGCTCGGTCGCTCTACACACAAGAAATTGCTCGTGATTGGCGACTACGCCCCCGGCGACGATGTCGAAGACTCCAAGGTCGTCGCACATGTTCATGAGCATGACACCGAGATTACATTCTACCGCCTGAGTGAAGACACCATCGAAGGCAAGCCTGAATTGCATCCCGTCCGCGCTACGAGCAACGTCGCGTTCTACTCGCCGTTCAGCAAAGTCGGTGACGATACTGGTGGCTCGAAAGCTATTCACCGGGTATCAGCCATCATCCTGTACTACTTTTTGGCTTCAGAACTTGTCACCGAGCTGGTCAGACACAAGAACGATTCCCGATGGTTCGCCAAGAACTTCAGAGAGGCTTGCGACTGGATCGGCAACGACGGCGACCGGCCATCAACAGCATCGAGACCGGGCACTGCACGTCGGGAGAGTGACAAGGACAGCAGTTTCGAACTGCCCACCAAAATCAAGCGCGAGAGGGAGGAATACACACCACAGGGTACTCGTAAGTGGTAGATCGCCCTGTTCTTCTGCAATGGCTAACCAAGAGCAGCCAAGCCGAAGCGTATCAATCATTCACGAAAGGTAATTGACACACTGTAAACTGTAATAGCGATAATCTAACACTATCATTGTAGGCCTCGCTAGTATCAGAATGTGTACCATCGCCCGCGACTGAATTCTTCCCAACAAAAAGACGCCCTAGCCATGTTCGAAAGGTACCGTCCCGGCTACATACCGACTCAGTTACACGGGCTAATGCTTGCCAGCCGTCAAACCTGTCAGAAGGCATATTATCTCCGACGGATGAGGTACTTGCTGACGAGACCATGCTCAAGCATGCTTACAGCGGCTTACAACAGGAGTGCGCACAGATCAAAACGAAATTGGCTGCAACGAAAGAAAGGATGAGACTAGCCGAAGCCCTTGTTCACAGCCGCGATATCGACCTGCATCTGTCAAAAGTCCGTGTCGAGCGCGCAGAAAGGGACGCAGCCGCTGCAAGAAAAGAGCTGAATGATCTGAAGACGAGTCTACTGAAGGACATCGAAAAGGTCATTATGAATAAGTTCACGGGAGGTTCGGTGTCTTCGGACAACTCGGAGATGTCGTCGGCCTAGTGGGTCGGGCATGCTTCTTTGCCTCGCTCACGTTTTGAGTATGGCTGTTTTTACGAGAGCGTTCAGCGCGCGCGATACCCCTTTGCAGTTTGGTCCTGCCTCACGAAGCTTCATTGTATATATTCCCAGCATTCCAGTTCCTCGAAACTGTTGATGTTTTGCCTTTTCAATATGATAACGATTTCATACCCTCTTCAGCTTCAACCACTCTTCCACAATAGTTCGTCATTCGCCACTCCCCATTCAAAACAATGTTACGAATTATATGCTGAATGCGCGCCACCCAGACTCGCACGCTTCATCGTACGGTGCATTGGAGACTACCACAAGCCAGATCAATGGAGCAGCAGCATCAAAGTGTACAGCTGGGATGTTTGGGATTGTTCATGAGCACGTAGAGGGCGACGACAATACTCTCTATAACGCAATCAACCCCCCAGTAACAAAGGACACCAAGACTCCTGCGTACACCATGTTTACTACCTCTCAATCCTCCAACCCTGCAAGCGCCACCATCGTCCTCCTCAAGCTCACCAACTCCGCAACCCTTACCTCCAAATCCCCAATCCTGACACCCAGCACATCAACCTCCTCCTCCAGCGTCTCCCTCCTTGCCGAAACGCCCAAACTCCGATTCGGCCGCGCAACCTCATCGCCCAGAACCGCCTCAGCCAGGGACGTGACCGTTCCGAGATTCGCCGCGGCTGTGCGCAGCATCAAACGCGTTTCGTCGACGTCGCTGGCGATTCGGCGGTGTGCCCAGCGCTGGCCGCGGTAGGTGAAGTGTGGCAGGAGGGCCTCGAGGGCGGTGCAGAGATGCTGGGTTAAGGCGATCAGGGAGGAGTAGTAGAGAAGTGTGGTTGAGGTGTCTGCAGGGGTTGACATTGTGGTTATGTTGAGCTGCTCTTTGCAGGCCCGGGAACGTGGCTTTTTGCGGGCGGTAAGGGGTGAGCGGGAAGACTGCTTGTCGTCGGGACGGTTCTGGGGTGAAAGGTAAGCATGATGCCGTTGGGTGCTTGCTGGAGGTTTGCTGTGCTCGTGCGTTTGGTGTTTGGGTTATCGAGTTTGCGTCTAGGGCAGGCGCAGTCGTGGCGCCTTGCTATGGCAATCACCATTGAGGTTTGAGCTCAACGCCCGTTGTGTGTATTAACATGGTAATCACTGTTGGAATACTGCAGAGGTTCACTCTGGCTATGATCCTTGCATCATGGGGATGATGTTTCATGTCTTCTTAGCTAGATTCATGTCATGTCATCGTAGTAGTGCGATGCGCATGTCTTTCTCTGTCACGGACGGCGTCAAAGATATGTAAGCGTCATACCCACCATATTTTGGTAGACATGATCGATCGAGGAGACCGTTCGCAAACAGCGACAGGTGGTCGAGAACATGAAGCTCCAAACCTCCCGGCGTGGGAAGGCTCAATTCGACTTGATATTCTACTAGAAAGGGATATGAGTAGACTCAGAAACCATTTTATGTAGTACGGTGATGTCAAGTGTTCATCTTCACTGCAGCCTCATGGGCGCCTGATGCGGGACTTAGCGCAAGCGAGGTTCTAGGCTTCTCTCTGGTACCGTCCATTGATGCGTTGGGTGAAGCTAGCCCGTTGCATTGTCTGGATGTGCAGTTACCCGGAAGCACTTAGGTACTCGCGCTAGTGATGTTATTTTGGCCTACAGAGTCAGATGCGACCTAGCGACATCCAGCTAGTGTCGACCTACGGTAAACCGCCACAAGAAACAGACATGCCACCCATGAACCAGGATGCCGTTACTACCCATCATCAGTGTGAGCGAAGATCCAAAGAAGTCTGCTGTTAACAAGATTGTTAAGGACCACGAGAACCTGAGAGAAATCGCACACGGGAACGTAAAGTGCGATAAGGCTTGCCTGTTGAGTGCCATCTGCAGCTGAGTCCTCAAAAAGTGCTGTGATGTTCAGTCTTGCGAATCGAGTACAATGGAGTTGGTCAAGCAAAGTTGTATGCGCGAAATCGCTTTTGGAGGCTGCAACGAATGCAACGAATACGCAAATTATTGACGGTATGTTGACTCAACGCGTACATATATGAAAGGTAAATGTAGATAACTATGTATCTGTCGATACCTGAGATCACGTAAAGAATGGTAGGGTGTTATTAGCTGGATCCACCACGATATGAGCACTGCACAGCAATCAAAGCTGACGTTTCTCGAGGTGCATAAAGTCGAAGATCTCTCCTGCACATATAAGCGGTGCTCCTTCGTTGGCATATCTTGGTCATCTTCCACTGCACCTCCCGGCTTCTGTCCAATCGCAACTTACAGCCCCTAACTTAATCTCCATCACACGGAAACCGCGTGCCTGATGTCTGCGCGTAGATGCGTCCGACACGATGAAGGGCGCAGACCGGACGCACTGCCATGTGTCCATCAGCCCAGACCTCGTAAAGAAAGACAGCCTTGGATTTGGTGGCACAAACTCAACACGTGGATAGTCTGTGGTACGCCGCAACGAAAACCAGTTCGCTCTGCTATTTGAGGGCTCAGGCGCGACACTGCGTTCTGCAAGAACATTGCATCTCCGCACACCGACTACCCTAACCGCCGGTTCTTTCAACTGCAACTGTAGTCCTCGTGACGGTAATTTGATGGCGAGGCTTCACAGCACAGGCGTGAATCAGGCATGGGCGGGGTGGCTGAGATCTGAGATGTTCAGACGGAGATCAGGCCTTGCACTGCCTCTGACCGCGGCCGAGAGACTCGAGGTGGAAAGTGCAATAAATTGGCCTCATGTTTGAACACCCGTGGTGAGAGCTTACTGGGTAAAGGTTGCAGGTCAAGGTGGTGTGAGTCGTGAGTGAGAACGCGGCGATGCCCCACGTGCGACGTCATCCAAGGCGGGCGCGCTTTCCCTCACCCCGCGCGCCTTTCCTGCGGCTTGACAACACACCAGTCCCAGCACGGCTACTTATTTACCTTCGCCCCCAACAGAACCAAGTCCTCAAACCTCAATTCTCCACGCTATTCTCCACGGCTACCACTCTTTTACACCTTCCAAACCTCAATTGACAGTTGCTCAACCAAACAACCTCACCAACGAGAACCAATCGCAAACATGGGCAAGGTAAGCTCTCGATGCAGCAGCTACCCCGCTCCAAGCTAACTGGTGGCACAGGTCAAATACATCATGCTCGACTGCGACAACACGCTCGTCCAGTCAGAGCACCTCGCCTTCGAGGCCTGCGCCGACCTCACCAACCAGGTGATGAAGAAGTACGACGTTAAGGGAGCACCTCACTACACCGGCTCCAAGCTCCTTGAGGACTATGTCGGCCACAACTTCCGCAGCATGCTCAAGGGTCTACAGGCGGAGCACGGCTTCACCATGACCGACGAGGACCTCGAGGACTTTGTCTCTCGTGAACTCGGCGCCGTCACCAAGAAGCTCAGCGAGAAGGCCGTCGAGTGCCCGGGTGTCACCAAGGAGCTGCAGAAGCTCAAGGACCAGGGTTACCCTATGTCCGTCGTCAGCACCTCCGCCAAGAGCCGTGTCGTTGCTTCGATCGAGAAGGCCAACATCGCCCATTTCTTCCCGCCAGAGCACGTCTACTCCGCCGCCACATCCCTGAACCCTCCCAGCTCGAAGCCCGACCCTGCCATCTACCACTACGCTGCCAAGCAGCTCGGTGTCAAGGAGTCTGACGCTGTCACCGTCGAGGACAGCAAGAGCGGTGCCACTGCTGCCATGCGCGCCGGTATCCCTTGCATTGGCTACGTCGGTATCTACGGTATCGAAGAGGGCAAGGAGAAGATGGAGCAGATGGCCAAGCTGCTCACCGAGGAGACCAAGTGCGTCGCCATCATGTACGACTGGAGCGAGTTCCAGGACTGCCTCAAGAAGGTTGAAGCGAAGTTGTAGATACCCAAAGATGCATTGCGATGATGCTTAGACAGGCATTTACAAGGTACAAGCTCACCAGAGCTACGAGACACGGATGACGAAAATCACGGCACGAGCGATAGAGTGCTTACTAGATAGAGAAAGCATTCTTATGGGCCTAGTCCCAACTACAAATCATGATTCCATTCCCTTGTGGTTTTTTTCGTCTTTGAGATTGACAACGTCATTGCCTCGGTTGGTCAGCGATTTTCAGGAACGACCCACACCGTTGACCCACAATGCTACCGTCTTCCTTCCGTGCACCCGCTCTTTGGTGCTTCGAATTAGCAACGATCGGTATTGTTGATCGAAGATTTTGCCCAAGAGGCTGCTGCGACAAGCTTGTACAATACGCCGCAGCGATTGTCGATGTCTGTGTTCTGTGCTAAGTGCTTCGTGGAAGACACGATGCGTGCGCGCGGGTTTGCGCAAGTTGATGAATAACCCTGCGCAGACCAACACAGTGCCAACTGTACAAGACACCCCATAGCCCCCGAACATGAGCATCTGCGCCGACTCACTACCGTTCACTTCCGCCGTAATCGTTGGGACACATTTCCACCCCCGCTCCGCCGTCTTAAATTCAAACTTAGCGTTGACGCTGCAGTAGCAACCTGCCAGCTCAGAGCGTCAGCACTTTTGGCAGCATGTTCGAAGCGACGATATGCGCATCATGGCAGAGCCCAACTGACAGCGTACCCCAGGACGTCCTGCATTGACGCTCTCTTTGTAGAAGGAGCATGCACACTCCAATAAGTACGCTGGCACAACCGAAATAGCCGGGTATCGTGGTTGTCTGTGCGACCGCCGGGCGCGTGCAGCGAAACGACAACACCCCTTGCAATGAGGTTATCGGACAAACGAGCATCATATACGACCCCAGTCGATATGTAGGCACTTCTGCAGGAACCGTCTGAGGGATTGCGGATACTTTGATCCTAGTTTTGGTGGTCGCACACTCGCCAGTCAACAGGAACAGCGCGTGGACAAGATCACACAATGCCGCGCAGATCACAACAACCGCCGAGGACGTTGCAAGGCACGCATGATACCTTCTGTTCGCTAGGTATGCCTTATCTTCGTTACAGCGAGACGATCTGCAGCCTGCCACTCCGCTATGTTTGCTGGATACGCTGCCAAGGCGAGCTTGACGAGTTCCTCCTTCCTATTCAGTCGGTAACTCCAGTCCCAAGCTTTTGCTTCATTTGCAGCCACCAATACAGCGCTGTATGTGGGTTGTTGTTTCATCTATGATTCTCTTGGACACACAGTCAGTTGCCGGTTGCGATTTCGTGCTTGTGTCGGCAACGGGGCAGCCATGGACGATGGGGCAGGTCAGGTTGCTACCTGCCGAGTTAGCCATAGGCGAAGCCATGGGTGGTGTCGTGCCAGCAACTCGGAGTCCATCATCTCAGGTATAAAGCGGTGATCGTCCTCGACTCAGGCAGTCTGTACGGCTCACTCGTTCAGCCTCACCACCGATCTAGTCATTATGTTTCGTCGCGCTGCCATCCTCTCGCTCGCTGCCCTTGCGGCAGCAAAGGAGATGCCCAAGGATGAGTTGAGGGCTGCCCAGCTCTTTGACTCTGGTATTCGTCACGAGAACAACAAAGCTCTGAAGCTGGTACGTACCTTGTTGGGGTTCTGAACACCGAGAGCTAATCTCTCTTTAGGAGACTTGGGCGCAGCAGGAAGCAGCTGGCGTGTACGCGTCTGCGCAGTACGCCAGACTTGCGTCCATTGCCACCTGTACCAACGGCACCGCTAAGACGGCGACAGACACGTTCAAGTGCAAGAATATTGACTTGTACGATTTCGCGTCTCACTCGGCTTTGGGCAGCACCTACGGTTTTGGCTCCTCATCCTGGGGTTGGACGTCGAGCACCGGCCGCGAGTTCGTTGCCATCGGCCAATCTGATGGCACAGCGTTCGCTGAGATTACCAAGGAGGGCAAGCTCTCTTACCTTGGTCGTTTGCCCCAGTACTCCACTCGTAGCCAGTGGCGCGAGATCCGTGGTCAGAACGACTACATGATCATCGGTTCTGAGGCTGTGAACCACGGTATTCAGATCTTCGACATGAAGAAGCTGCTTACCCTCAGCCCTTCGGCGCCCAAGACCTTCAGCAACACCGCTGACCTTGCTGGTCACTACAAGGGCCTCCCTACTGGCCGCACCCACAATGTTGTGACCAACCCCGAGACAAACTTCATCTACTCTGTTGGTGCTATGCCCAGGACCGACAAGTGCAAATCGGGTATCATCTTCATTGATATCTCGAATGTCGCCAACCCCACCAGCCCCGGATGTGCTTCTGGCGATGGCTACGTGCACGACGCGCAGTGCCTGATCTACCACGGACCCGACAAGGCCTACGAGGGTAAGGAGATTTGCTATGGTTTCAACGAGGATACATTGACCATCTACGACGTCACCAACAAGAAGGCACCTGTCATTCTGTCCATTACATCTTACACGGGTGCTGCATACACCCACCAGGGTGTTGTCCTTGACCCCAAGGACCAGCGCTACCTGCTGCTCGATGACGAGTACGACGAGTACGACAAGGTTGGCCCTGGTGCGGCCGGCAACCCCATCACCTACATTTGGGACATCTCTAGCTTGAAGGCGCCTAAACAGACTGGCTTGTATCGCTCGGGCGCGAAGGGTGTCGACCACAACCAGTATGTTGCCAACGGTTTTGCGTACCAGTCCAACTACGGCACCGGCTTCCGCGTCCTCGACGTTCGCTCGATCCCCAGTGATCCCTCGGGTAAATCAGTTCGCGAGATCGGCTTCATAGGTATATTTCACGCCCCTTGATCTAAAACCATGCTAATTGTTGTAGATGTATATCCTGAGGATGACAACGCAACCGGTGGTGGCAAAGTCGATTTTGTTGGCACGTGGTCGAGCTATGCGCTTTTCAAGAGCGGCTACATCCTGGTTAACACGATGGAGCGTGGCGCGTTCATTGTCAAGCTGCAGGCTGGTGCCACCGCGTAAGGAGTGGCAGGCTCAACCTTTTGTAGGGTGCAACCCACCTTTATCGCAGCCAATAAGCTACAGAATCACAACTGAACAACTCCGTTCACTCTATCAATATGTCTTCGTCTTGCCTGATGCTGCATCTTGTGTAGTGGCTGATCGGACGTGCCTAGGGTGCAGTACACACGATCTCGTATTGTATTGCAATTGATAAGATTAAGCCGACCAGCACAGTGATTGGCTACTGCTAATATAAATCCCTTACTCAACGGTCTTGTTTCCGACATTGTTTTGCCGCCTCGTTGCCTGTGAGACGTATTTCCACATTCCGATCTGCAGTGTATCGGCGTTGCCAAGCTTGTCGCCTCTCCGCGCTCTAATGACCTTTCGACAAGCTTCCATAAACTGCCTGTGTCGCCGCCACTGACCTCGGCAACCTCTACTGCGCCCTCTCAATGTCGTCAAGGCCTATCAAAATCTCGTGCCTCGTCTGCGCAGATTGTGGCGCTGGCGCGCCAAGCTTGTTCGCACGCACAAGAGCGGGGATGTTTTTCTTGGCTCATTAACTTCCTTCCCAATCAGGGTCCGCCCGAGAACGGTCCGCTATGAGCTAGAAGTCTCCGCCCAGGAACTACGTTCATCTCCTTCCCCATGTATCACAGTGAGTTTTTCGCCTTCGCGCAGCCAAGATGCGCCGTACCTATCACCCGGTCCCTGGTCAATGTGTTTCGTTCCTGAGGGATGGACCGCGAGGAAATGGCCTGTCAGCTGCCTGTACGGGTTAGAGCGAGATATGCGTCAGTTTGTCTGCAGATGGATGCTTGAGCCGACCCCAGGACAGTATATATGAGGCAGTGTTCCTGGATCAATGGAGCAGCTCCACCCTCACCAGCTTCTCCATCGTCAACATGAGGTTCGATCTGCTCATCGCCGGTGCCGGCGTTCTCGGTTCTGTCTCTGCAGCAAAGCCCTCCAAGTTCGTCAACGAGAAGGACTTGATCAAGGAGGTCAAGTTCAAGAACTTGCTCAAGGGCTCTGAGAAGCTCCAGAGGATCGCTGACAAGTATGGCGGAAACCGAGCCTTCGGAGGAGGCGGTCACAACGCGTGAGTTCGATTGCCAAACTTCGTGATGGACTCTTGTTAATCCATTGCAGCACTACCGATTGGCTCTACGACAGCCTGAAGAAGTTCGGCGATGACTACTGGGAGGTCTACAAGCAGCCCTTTGTTGAGCTGTTCACCGCCGCCACCGTCGAGCTCACTGTTGCCGGTGCCGCTACCAAGGCTGAATACCTGACCTACGGCCCTTCGGCTAACGATGTCACGGGCAACCTTGTCAAGGTCAACAACCTTGGCTGTGACGCCGCGGACTATCCTGCTACTGTCGCTGGGAGCGTTGCTTTCATTTCTCGTGGAACCTGCACATTCGCTATCAAGGCCGCGAACGCGAAGGCTGCTGGCGCTATTGGAGCTATCATCTACAATAACATTCCTCTTCAGCCGCTGTCTGGAACCCTCGGAGGAGACGGTGACTATGCTCCCGTCGTTGGTGTCACTCAGGAGGTTGGCAATGACCTTCTCTCCAAGATTGGCAACAGCACCGCTGTCGCTGCCACATTGTCCATTGAGGTCATCCGCGAGAACCGCACCAACTACAACGTCATCGCCGAAACCAAGGGCGGAGACAAGAACAACGTTCTGATGATCGGCGGTCACACCGACTCGGTCTACGCTGGCCCCGGCATCAACGACGACGGTTCAGGTACCATCGGCGTACTTGTCGTTGCCGAAGCTCTCGCAAAGTACAAGGTCAAGAATGCCGTCCGTCTCGGCTTCTGGGGTGCTGAGGAGTTCGGCAAGCTGGGCTCGTTCCACTACCTCAAGACCCTCAACGGCAGCATTTCTGGCGGACCCGAGGAAGTCGCTAAGATCCGCGCGTACCTTAACTTCGATATGATTGCATCGCCCAACTATGTCTACGGTATCTACGACGGCGATGGCAGCGCCTTCAACTTCTCCGGCCCTGCTGGCTCCGACACCATCGAGAAGGACTTCGAGAAGTTCTACGAGGCCAACGGCCAGAAGCACGTCCCCTCCCTCTTCACTCTGCGCTCCGACTACGCCGCCTTCCTCGAGAACGGCATTCCCTCCGGTGGTCTCTTCACCGGTGCTGAGACCCTCAAGACCGCCGAGGAGCAGGCCATGTTCGGCGGCACTGCCGGCGTCGCCCTCGACCCCTGCTACCACTTGAAGTGCGACGACATCAACAACCTCAACCACGAAGCCTACCTGCTCAACACCCAGAGCATCGCCAACTCTGTCGCCAAGTACGCCATGAGCTGGGGCGGTATCCCCAAGCCCAACGCTACCCTACGCAAGAGGGATGCGGGTGCTGCGCGCTTTGCGGCGCGCTCTGACAAGGGCGGACACGAGCACCACGGTCAGCCTTGCGGCAGTGGGCACGATGAGTTGTAGATGTGATTACGATGATACCATGATGAGATGAAGTAGTAGTAAAATTAATGAACATGATCAAACAACTTGGAAGTCTTTGTGCGAAAAGTGAGGTCCTTGCAGTACAGTCTTGAAACCCTTTAATTGAGAGAGGAAATACAGTGTAGATTGATAACGCACTCTTAGCTATACGGTGCTTTCCTTGGCTTATAATATTGCTGATCTAGTACAGCGCGATGCAAGGCTTTTGCCCGCTTGTATGCACGTGGGGTGCTAGTACGTTGATTCGAAATGCTTCAATTGCTGGTGATATCGACGCACCTCTTACATGACTGACTATTCCCCAGTTTGAAATCATGATAGTTGTCGAATCTAGTAGGAAATGCCAGTCTGCACCGCAAGACCAATCCCATGCAAACCTGCTCAGTGATCAATGCCAGCCTGAACGGTACCATACTAGATACCTACTCCTGTAGTAGTGTCGAAGTCAAAACAAGCACCCTAAGCTTCCTTCCCACATATGCATGCACGTCATCGCCCCGCTGAACCTTATCCCATATGCTCCCAACGCGGGATGGGGTGGGTATTGTGCGCACCGTGATGGTCGCTCCCAAGCCTCCGCTCACCTCTTGGCTTCTAGCGTACGACCGGAGGGACGGATGGGCAGGCGGGGTGGAGTGGAGTGGAGCGAGGGCTGTGAGTGCGGGGCGATCAGGTGCGGTGCAGCGGCGTGGTACTGTGTGGGGACGTGGGGTCGCACTTCCGCTCTACCTATGTGATATTATCGCTAGGAGGCCTTTATGTACGAGGCCTTGGTCAACGGTAGCAACGATTCAAGATGCGATGGCGACTGGACTAAACTGAGCTTCGTGGCGGCTTTGATTGACCCTCGCAAAGACGTTTGGAGCTGATCGGATTCGAAATCACTTGTCTGTCCCTTCGTACATTCAGTAGAATGGACCTATAAACACTGGAGCTGAGCAACTATGTAACAGGCTGAAGCGCACACTTGAAGGTTGTAAGGATTGAAGCAGTTCTCTAAGTCTAGTTCGTGTGGACCCATTCAGGATGTTCGGCAATTATGTCGTTTAGTATTATTGGCAGTAGGTATGATGTTGTGAGGATAGCCTGAAGAACAGCCTCGATTCATAGCGCCAGTGTCAGACTCGAATCACGCTGCTGCTTTGATTGCACGACCCCATACGTAAACACACTCAGCGCAAGCTGATACCGCCACAGCTTACTCGCGGCGTTGTTCTGGCGTGTAAAGAGATACCTGGCCTGCGAAAAATAATACAATGGAGGTGAGGGCCACAACCGTGAATGTCAAGGCAACCTGCAAGAATTGTAAGTTCGGTAACTTGAAAAATACGAGCGCTGTACCTTTGAGTTGTCGTCCCACCACTCCGTGTTATCAAGCTTTCGTGTCGCAGACCACACGTGCAAAAACATGCCAATGATCATGCTCAAGGTAGCGGTTGTCAAGAACATTACCGGCATCTGCCATGTAAAGACCTGCAGCAAGCTAGGCGCTCGACGACCCGACTTCTTCGAGTGTTTTCGTTCGCCATTTGTCTTGGCCAATAGTCTACGAATGCCGTCGAGACCGTCGCGGTGACCAGACAGGCGGTGGAGTCGTACAGTCTGATCAGCTGCGGTCAAGATGCTGAATAGCGACAGAATGATGCCGCAGTACCACGCTGTCCTGATAGGCCATGGTGATTCGCGCCCACTAGGCAGCACCTGGGGCCAAGATCCCGTTGAGGTCAGGACTCCAGCCAGCAGGGCGGACTGCGCGATTAGTGTGTGGTGGTGGACACGCGCCCGCGCTGGGGTCAGGCTTCACGTACCACGACGCCTACAAAACTCAGCTCGCTCAGCCTGTTGTCTCTCCATTTGATGGTCAACTCATCCTTCTCTTTTGGGTCCTCTGTGTTCAGCAGGATTTCAATGGGATCGTAGGTAGCTGCGTCAGGCGCGTAAATGCCACCCCCAAAGAAATGCAAGATAGTCCAGAAGGCGGAATGATCACCGTCAGGTTTCGCAGCATAAGACGAGCTTCGCAGCATTGGCGAGCGTTCACCTGCTGCACCACCGTCTTCAACGTCCGAGTCATGCGTCATTGTCCGGTTCAATTCTCGGCAGTACTGGCGGGGAGATTCGCGACGCGAAGACGCAGCTGTATTGTAGGTGATATAAAGCTGAATAGTTCTGCGTCAAGAGCGGAGAATGAAGAGCAGCTACCTACATTATGTACCGGACGACGATACCCTCTAAGCGTCCGCGGGCAAAGGGCAGCGTGACCGATGACGATTGCACGGTGCATCCGTCCGTGCGCCATACAGGAAACCGCACTCTCATGGTTCAGGAAAAACGACGGATAAGCAATCCTCAAGCTAACTAACTTCAACACCAAACTTGTAGCCATTAACAATAGTTAAAGCTCAATCTTAGGTAAGCATTTCCTATATTGGAGGCAGAAACATTCTATAAGATCTTTTTACATTGTTTCCTAACATTGTTGTTGCGTAGTTCACTCGGCTCACATCCTCAATCCACTGTTTATTCTGCAATGCGAAAGTCGCATAACAGCTGGCAAAACGAGTCGGATGTAATCAATGCGCTGTCAGCAAATTATTCGTGTCGCCGGAGTAGCATATGCGATGCGGTCGCAAAGAGGGTCTAATGGTGGGGTGCTTTCGGCCACACCAGCGCGCGCCGAGACGCGGTGCGTTCTGGGGATTTGCGGAGCGCTCCACAGCGTGATGACGTGCCATCGAAAGAGGAACACTACTTAACAATAATCGACTCGCACGTCTGGATCAGGCCAGAAGACAACGACAATCACAATGGCTACGCAGCGAACAAAGCAGGATTTCTACGTCGGTACAGACAAACACCGGTGGTGGAAAGAAGCGGTGGTTTATCAGGTAGGCTGCCTAAGGTATTGGGTCGAGCGACATCGGGCTCACCCAGACTTCAGGTGTACCCTGCGTCTTTCAAAGACACAAATGGCGATGGCTGGGGAGATGTACCCGGTATCACGCAGAAGCTGGACTACCTGAAGGATCTAGGTGTTGATGTTATCTGGGTCTCGCCTATCTACAAGAGTCCTCAGGCTGATATGGGCTATGATATCGCTGACTACGAAGACATTGACCCAATCTATGGAACATTAGAAGACGTCGACAACATGATCAAAGAGATCGAGAAGCGTGGCATGAAGCTCGTAATGGACCTGGTCGTCAATCACACGTCTGAGGAGCACGCCTGGTTTCTCGACTCGCGATCATCCAAGGAGTCCTCAAAGCGGGACTGGTATATCTGGAAGCCTGCGAAGTATGATGCAGACGGGAACCGACAGCCGCCGAACAACTGGGCCCAGATTCTTGGTGAAGCAAACTCTGCATGGACCTGGGACGAGAAAACGCAGGAATACTACCTTTCACTTTTCACGCCCGAACAGCCGGACTTGAACTGGGAGAATCCTGCAGTAAGAGAAGCTGTCCACAATGTCCTCCGCTTTTGGCTCGATCGTGGTGTATCCGGCTTCCGAATGGACGTCATCAACTTGATCTCAAAGGTGCAAACCTTCCCCGATGCCCCGACCACGGTCAAGGACAACAAATATCAGCCAGGCAACAAGTTTTTCGCAAACGGGCCTCGTATGCACGAGTTCCTGAAGGCTATCAACCGGGAGGTGCTCTCCAAGTACGACACGCTCACTGTTGGTGAGATGCCTTTTGTCCGCGACGAAGACGAGATCATCAAAGTGGTCGGAGCTGAGAACGAAGAACTCAACATGATCTTCGCTTTCGACATTGTAGACATTGACAACGTGCCCGGTGACTTTAAGTACACCCTGCACCCCTGGGATGCTCGCGATCTCAAGGAAATCATCAACCGTCTACAGCGTCTCATGCTCGATCGCGACGGCTGGAACACAATCTTCATCGAGAATCACGACCAGCCGCGCAGTGTCAGCAGATACACGGATGACAGTGATGAATTCCGTGAGTACGGCGCCAAGCTATTATGCCTGATGCAGACCACCCTCGCCGGCACTCTGTACGTCTACCAAGGCGAGGATATCGGCATGCGCAACGTGCCTGCCAGTTGGGAGCCGTCAGAGTATAAGGACATCGAAAGCATCAACTTCTTCAAGAAGTAAGTTCACTCTATCAATGCATCTGGAACTACGGCTGACAAGACACAGATACCAGGACATGTACCCTGGCGACGAAGAGAAACAAGCTTACGCTCGCAAGATCATGCAAAAGAAGTCCCGCGACAACGCACGAACCCCTGTGCAATGGACCTCCGAGCCACACGCAGGCTTCACATCGCCCGACGCCAAACCCTGGATGCGCGTCAACGACGACTACAAAACCGTCAACGCGGCGGCCCAGCTCGAAAACCCCAACCCAGCGCCTGGTACACTCGCTGTTCACGCGTTCTGGAAGCGTGGTCTGGAGTGCCGCAAAGAGAACAAGGATGTCTTCGTGTATGGCGACTTCGAGCTCCTGGATCCAGAGCATAAGAAGGTCGTTGCGTATAGAAGGTGGAGCGAGAAGAGTGCGTTCGTCACTGTGCTCAATTTCAGCGGCGAGAAAGTCACTTGGGATGGGCTGGGTGGTTTGAAGGTCAAGAAGTGGGTTGCAGGCAACTATGATAAGACGGATATTGATGGCAAGGCGAAGAGTGCCGCGCTGGAACTGAGGCCCTGGGAGGGGCTGTTGGGTCTGCTGGAATGAGCTGCTTGTGATGAAGAAGACACGATCTGTCTACGTCAGTCTTGAGATAGCGGCAAACTTGCCTTGATAACTAAGGAAGGCATAATGGCATGTTGTGATGTCTTTGAATACTTCATATGATTGACTCGATCACTGGAAAGCCTGACCACCGAGCTCTTTGAGCTGATACCTTCACGTGACCATATCTGCTCAACTTTTGATGAAGGAGCTTAACCTGACCACGCGTGTATCGAGCGGAGTCCTCGAAGCGGTTCACATGGCAGACAGAATGGCAAAATGCAGACCGTGTTCGTCCACCGATACCCCGCGCAAGCGTGGAACGAAGGAATGACTGTGATTTGTTCAAAGTCGGTCCGACGTTATCGCGCTATCTCGCAGATCTCTCAGCACCACCAGCTCCACATATCTCCATCACCGGAACGTCGTGCTATCATGTCTTGCATTACAGTGTTTTTCAATTTCATTATTTTCGTGTAAAATTCACGGTACAGGATGCTGAACGCTTTTGCCCTTGTGGCTGCGTCCAATCCCGTTAAGGCCATGCTAACATACGCATGTTTGAATGTGACTTTCATCCACTCGTGGTTCTTCCACCATGCCATGTGAGCATGGTCCAGAGTATGCCGATACTCGCAAATGAATCTTACAGTCTCGTGCAATGCTTGATGCATTGTCATCGCTCCCCAAATACGCTTCCTTCCTTCCGCCAGTGTCAATTTGCTCCCCTCACGTTCAACAGTGTCTTTTCTCCTTCAACACTTATCTGCTCAGCTCCTACTACTTCATGTCAGATCTCTTATCCTTCCTCGGAAACATGTGCGTATTATACGCCTCCAGCTTCTGCGGAGTTACCACGCGCTTCGGCGCCATCGCAGTCTGCTCACCGACGTTCTCCAGCGAGCTGTCCGGCGTCAGACCACTCAGAGCCCCACGAATGTTCTCCTTGGACACGATGCGCAGCATCTCATGAGATGTGGCGTCTCCGCTGCTGAGGACTCGCCGGCGCACAGGCTGCTCGGATTTGGCGTCGCGTGCTGAGGGTCTGCGCTCGGGGCTTCTCGTAGGGATCGGTGGCGCGAGGGCGGATGCGGCGTGCGAGGGTCGCGGAGGAGCATCTTCAAAGCCAGGCCATGGAATGTGTCTGGGCGGGCTGGGGGGCCGGCGTGCAGCTGCGGGCTTGGGAGTGGGGTTGTTGCGGTGGGCGTCGTTAGACGCGATGCGTAGCTTGCTGACATACGGGGGCGGGACTTTGATGGGTGCAGGAAGACGACTGCGCAACTTGGCCGGTGCTATGTCGCTGCTTGCTGTGTAACCTTCGGCGCTGACATTCCTGGAGTGCAGGTTGGGCACGCTGACCTCGTCTTGATAGTCATTGCCTTCGTAGCTGGGCTGACGGACTTCTGGGTGCGATCTCTTTGTCCTCAACAATGGGTGTATCATCGACTCGTCGCGTCTAACAGATCCTATACCCAGTGCAGGCGGGATGGCGCTCGGAGCACCCATAGGTGACCAGACATGATCTCGAGGGTCCTCAGGTGTGGCTCCGGTGAGTTGCTCTGAGCCGTAGCTCAACGTGCTCTTAGAGGGTCGCGGCCTCCGTCCCTCTAGTAGATGTAGACGTGGAGTAGGTATCGGCCATTCCTCGTCTTCATCCACGTTGCGCGTCACAGCTGTTCCCTGTGAGTACTGGCTGCCATGGTCAGGCTCATAATCTGGGATGTGGATTTGTCGAGTAACGCCATGGAGTGGACTCTTTGGCTCCTGTACGATTGTGTCAGTGCGATTAGTTGGGGGCCACAGTGCACGCCTCACTTCTTGGGCAATCTTGGGGACGCGCGAGTACATTCCATACGGAGTCAGAGGCCGCTTGGTCGTGTCTGGCGTCTTTTCATGCGTAGGTGAGAGAGGCGATTGCGGCTCTGAGCTGCCAAAACGACTGCTGCCAAGGCCCAGTGACAGCGATCTCCGGATGCTATCAGAGTACCGCTTGATTGGGCTGCGATTGCGCTTCTTCTCCGATGAAGCTTTGGTCGGAGACCTGCCGTGTCTGTCCTCATCCTGTAGTACGATCTGCGGCTGATACTTCGGTACGTACTGCACAACCTCCGGCTTTGTGATCGCCTTCCGGTGAGCAGCGCGGTCTCTCTGCACTTGCAACCAATCGTCCATCTTCTGTTTGAAAATCGGACGCTCGACCAAGCCTCCATACTGCGGATAAACATCGCGCAGTTCCCGCTCTGTTTCGTCGTAATGCTTCTTTGTTAGCATCGACTCACTGTTACCACGGAGATGGGTCGGCCTCGAGCACATCCTGAATGGCGTTGGAGAGTCAATGACTCCATCAGGCATGCTGATATTTCCTTCCGGAAACGCGAGACGACTGGGGCTTCGCTCCTCGATGAACAGCGCAAGCCGGCCGTAGTGTCTTCGCCCACGAACGCTGTAGCTCGCGCGTACAGCCTTGACTATAGGAACGAAGACTTCATCCCACGCTTTGCAGACATTCCTGAACTCGAAGTAACGAAATCCAAAGAGATTGCGAGTCTTGCCTACGCAGAAGGTTTGCAGCATCCAAGCGTACATGTGCTTCTCGTGCTCACCTGCTCCCCAATTGCTCTTGTCAATGTCGAAGTTCACGCCTGGGCGCTCATCGCGTGGATCGTGCCTGCGCACGCCTTCGTCGAATTGCGTGTAGAACCACAGAATATCAGAGCGGGCGATCTCACTCGGCTCTGTGGCTTGGGAACCACTAAGGAGAAGGTAAGAATCACGAAAGACGGACCACGGCGTAAGAAAAGCGGTGGTGGCAAGGAAGCGCTCTTCTAGGTCGCTGAGAGAAGTGAAGTCGAGAAGAGCGAGGGCGCGCCGCAGGTCCGGTGGGATCTTCTCGGTGGAGGAGCGAAACATGTCGCGCAGGTTTGCGATGCTCTCCGCGGGTGCTTGTGGCATGGCTGTCCAGACTCGAGAATTTTGAAGGGACGGAGGAAGCGAGTGTGGGAAAGAAAGTACGGGCAGCCGTCTCGTGATCGCTCAGAACCGCCGTGTAAGTGAAGGTGAAGCGCGCTCGTTCGTTGCAACTTCAGCGCTTCACCGCTGCTCCGCGCGCGCAGACGAGAGATTAGCTACAGGCACGCAACAAGTATGTGATAACGTCCTCACCGGGAGGTCGTCCCACTCGCCTAGGATCTTCATGCAAGGTCAAACATAGGATTCACTGTGAAGTCAATCTTGGGAGTCTGCCCGAGCATATCCATCTTTGTACTGAACTAGCCGCTCAGCTGCAGGACTAGCAACTCAATGGCATCGTTCGCTGATTTGTACAAGCTTATACACAGTAAACACCCAGAACTTTTTCATTGTCGTCCCTCAATCTATAATCACACATGCAGAGCTGGGAATAGGTCTACTACGGGCTGGCCAGAGGTGCTAATGAGAACTAAGTAGTATCAGATCAGCGGGCAGACATATAGAACGACAACGCTCTTTGTGCCTCGTAGACTAATTAGTAAGATACGTCACACTGGACGAACATGTGCATCTTTAGGTCATCCACCCTACCTTCTAGGCTTTGCTCAAAGGTTGCCGCTAAGCTGTGTTTAGAAGTTCCCGTCCATACCCAAACAACTTTTCCAGCTTTGATTCGAAGCCTTGGCCCGTTATCGGGTTCTCGATGCTTGTTGCCTGACTTGCGTCCTTGCGGCGGCCCCACACGAGCAGACTCTGGCGGCTGCGATGATCATCATTTGCAGTAAAAAAGGGCCATGGTCTAAAATGCTATGGAAAACGCGGAGTCTTCTGCTACAGCCGGAGATGAGAGCACACGTGCTCATCGAGAGTCTGTAAAAGTTGAGCCGAATCAACCCGTAAGTTGCAGTCACGCCCAGGATAAAACTAATGCTTGATATCGCAGGCAATTTTAATCAACAAATGTACCCTTCACGAATACAGAGTCGTCTGCCAGATTGACACTGTTCGATCGCGTCCATAAGTTCAATCAAGAAGCCACAAAGAGGCACAGAACATCCCGTTCGCGCACGATCATCGACTATGTCCTAGAGACAGCTTCACAGATGGCCGCTTCAGAGGTCTTACTGGCAAGAACACATGCGATATGGTAGCGTTGCATGGCCACCTGGACAGGTCAAAATATTGCTTCAGCAAGGCGAAAAGAAGAAGGGCTTGGAGAAAAGATTCCAATACTGCCTGACAAAACCGAGCAACCGAAGCAGAGTAGCGATTATTGGCAAAAGGGTAAGAGGAGATCATCAGAAACCATGAGCTACCAGTAAATGCACACGAGAGTACGAAAATGAAACTTTAGGTCCACGACACGTGTGATAAGGAACTAGAGAAACAGATCAAGGAGGGAAAGGCGACGAGAACCAAGGCAGAGAAAAGGCTCGATGGGCTCTCCGAAGCGCAGGCGGCCATGGCTACAAAGTGCACGTGCTGGTTCTGAGCGTGGAGGTGTAAAGTTTGCTTGTGGAAGACTGGGGAGTACAGTTGAAGACAAGAGAAAGCACGACGGTACCTACAACACGAGTGGGCGAATATTTAACAGTATTCATACTTCTTCATAGCTCTTGCAGAATGAATCTTGCAGAATGAATGTGAGGACCTAATGGAAGTCTAATCTTAGAATCTTCCCGACATTGTCCCAATAACATCCTTCTGCCTTTTTATTACTCGCTGCATACACCATAGCAAACACAATCCACATCTCAAACAGCGCGCCGATGCCAAGAAATACGATAATGGTCGGGCTCAGGACTCCCATGACGCGCAAGGCCTCCCGATATTGACTGGGTTAGCAGGCCGTAATTTATTGGTGCCGTATTTAGTATGTGATGTTGGGAAATGAGAGGCGGTGACCGAAGTCAAGTTTTGAAGAGTGCTACGGAGCAGCGACTTTCATGTTATTGATATGTGCTAGGGCTCTTCCATGTCGAAAAGTGCGTTCATTATTGCAGCTGCTACGGAGGTACCAAACGCTTGCACGCTTACAGAATTCACTGCATAGACTTGAACAAACTGCTCAAAGTCATGGGTGCTCAAAGATTACATGGGTAGTCAGACCCTGTCTCACTTGCTGATAATGACCATGGTTGTGCATAAGCTTGACTTTGGAAGCGATGACCCTTACCAGTAGTTTCCTGATCATTTTTGAACCATCTCTACTAGAATAATGTTATATTTCGAAACCCTCAAAACTATCTGTCTCTAGCTGAAATAAACCCTCTGGCAATCGATCGACACTCAATTTATCAACCAACAACGCAATATGGGGGATGCAGCGCCGCAAAGTCATGGAATTTCGTCGCTTTCGACAGAAGAGTTACGTAAACGGGCTTGCTTGCTCGAGCAAAGTGAAAGAGCATCCAGCGCTCAAGGGGAAATATGGCTTCCTTTGCCTACCGCTTTCGACGCCGTCGCAACCACCACAACCGCCATGAAGAATGAACCACCAATCCGTTCAGTAACACCAAACAATCTTACCAAAAATAATTTGGTGTCTACTTCTGAGGACACAACGACCAGAGAACCCTCTGCACCATCAGGAGTACAGCGTGTACTTCTCGAAGAGGAAGCCAAAGCTTCTTCTTCAGGAACGCCATCATGTGCTGTATGTCGGGTTGACTTCACGTCCACAAGCTCCCACCAGCGGGTCACGCACTTCAATAGTTGCTGGTCAAAGTATCGTATCGCAGTCGCCAACCGGAGTATTCACCCGAAGTCCGCTGAGCTGTCACACCCGAGGGACCTACAAGCCTTCAACACAGATGTTTTCGATACGGACAACGGTCTTACCGATTCTTGCATACTCTGCAACTTGAATATGGACGCTCTTTGCCCCGCCGACGCATTCGAGCATCGCATCTTCTGTCTTCGAAACCTTGATCCGCTTCCCACTGTCTGTATGTGTTGCGATCTACCATTTACCATCAACGGGACTAGTTGGGGTGGTATTACGATTGCAGAACACATTCATTCTTGCTCCACTCGAGGGAGAACAAGTTTTACAGACGCGCAAGCTGCATGGTACAAGCGTCACACGGCTCGCAAAAATCCCTTGAACTGCGTTTCCTGCTCACAAAGTATGGTGGATTTCGATACAGTGGAGGCTTTCAACCACCGTCGCAGTTGCCTTGAGCAACTTAAACCTACACACTGTCCCGTATGTTTCTGTCTTCTGCCGCAAAGTACTGGTCATGAGAGTTGGAATGCGGATGACATACTTTGGCATGTGCGCAGTTGCCAGCACGGCGCAAAACTCTCGAGTACCGACCAAAACGACTTTCAGGTCCTGGAAGCGCGGTGGAAAGGTCGTATGCAAATAGTTTGGAGGATGCTTGCAGAAGACTTTGGAATTGGGATTGGGAAGCGCAAGGGCTGGACCCAGCGCGAGCATCGACGCTCACATCGCACCAAGCAGGCACTGGGCCGGGCTAACGATCAAGGCTTATACCTGACTCCCAGCTCGAAACTACGGAGCTCTGTTATGTATGCCGAAGAGGATACAACAAGGATCCCGGGGAACGTGAAGACTGTGTGGTGCGACTTGGAGCGCTTCCGACGATCTGCACACGCCGTATACAGAATGCCCGACTATTCACGAACGACGGAGAATGTCAACAAGAATGTATGCGATAAGCATAAAGTACAAAATAGGGTGTCTCGTGCGGCTCCGTTGATAGTCAACGAGAGCGCGATACAGTCCGAAGCATGGGAGACACCCACAAGCTCCTCTAGTTCAGCTAACGAACACGATTGTGGACGTTCGGAAAGACCTCCACAGAGGGTCGATCGAAGGGCCCGAAGAGTCCGAAGGGAGTCCCCGGGTAGCAGACACCATCAGGCGGTGGAGAACGCAAGGAAGGCAGGGATTCGGATACCTCCAGGGTTTGAGTTGCTTCAACCAGCTGATTCAGCGAGAGAGGTGACGTTTTTCGATGATGGAAAAGAATCGAGTGTCGATCAATCTGTAACTCTAGTAGAGGACTGAGCAACATGACAACACACAAAATACAGACAAGGCGCAGCCTTCTGATTGAACCCCGAGCAGATCTCTGGTAGGGTGATAAGTTCCCCCGTTTGGTTCCAAATGATGGCGTTCCATTGTAATACTTTTACATTGATCAATAACAACGCCGGAATCTGGTAGAGGGGTACCTATATCTTTGGAGCGTGTTATGTTGTTGTTCCAGAAGTATGCCACCTCTGAAAGCCTGACAATGGCTTTTCAAGCATGTCTCGAATCTTCGTGGCTTCCAAATTATAGCCAAGCACCAAACTTAGCAGTAGATAATCACTAGAGCTAGCTCTAACTGACTGGAAGTCGGATCGCTGGCCTTTCCAGAACTTGACGAGCGTCTTCGCTAGCCCACCAGCCCTTTTCGTCAAGTGCTGGGAATGTATATTTATCCATGCTCCCGTCATGCATCTCCACACTGTAGCCTGGTTCCTTCGGGCTGACCAGATACCCGCCTTGAGTTAAGCTTGGGGACTGGAAGTGATCGTGCAAGTGATCAACGTACTCCAAAAGGCTCGCTTTGCCACTGACGCACAAATAGTCAATTAGACTCAGGTGTTGCGTGAGCTCCGGTAGCCCAACTCCACCTGAATGGGGAACCACCTGCACACCAAATTTCGCAGCCATCAGGAGTACGGCCAGGACTTCATTCAACCCTCCCATGCGACATGCGTCGACTTGGCATATGTCGATGGCTTCGGCTTGCAGCAGTTGCTTGAAGACTATTCGATTTTGACACATCTCGCCAGTGGCAACGCCTACCCCAAGTTGTTTTAGATTACGTCGAATGGTAGCATGTCCAAGTATGTCATCTGGACTTGTGGGTTCTTCGATGAACCAAGGTTGGAATTCAGCAAGCTGCTGAACGTAAGAAATGGCCTGTGGTACCGACCAAACTTGGTTCGCATCGATCATGAACTTCGTCGTGTCGTCGTAGCCCAGGATGTCCCTTGCAAGCTTGAGTCTCTTGCGATCTTCTTGCAGGTCTCGGCCGACTTTGAATTTGAAGTGCTTCACGCCTGCTTCCTGGTTTGACTTAAGTAGCTGACACATCTTCTCATCCGAATATCCAAGCCAGCCAGCGCTCGTAGTGTATATCGGTACTGCTTGATTGTCGTGTGCAGCTTGCATCCGCCGTTCCTTCCCTTCCCCGCTGACCCGTGTCAACAGGGCAACTGCTTCTTCGGGTGTGATAGCATCCTCAATGTAGTCAAAAGGCACACATCGCACAAATTCTTCTGGGGTGAAATCTGCGACCAAGTTCCAGACGGGTTTGTTTGCGCACTTGGCCCATAGATCCCAGATTGCATTGATGACACTGCCCAACGCTAGATGAGTAACACCCTTCTCAGGACCCACCCAGCGCACCTGACAATCGCGTGTCAAGGCTTTCCACGTGGCTGCGAAGTTGCTGACCACAGATGTCAATGTCCGACCGACCAGAGCGGAGGCAAAGTAGGGTATCGCATGTACGACCAAGTCATTGCCCCTCCCGATCGTGAAAGTCATACCATGGCCAGTCTAGATGTTTGTCAGCATATAGCCAGTGGTCCCATTCTACAGAAGGTATTGCCTTACATGAGAGCTGTCTGTTTCCAGAATGCAGAATGCCGCGCTGTAGTCGCCGACATCGTTCATCGCATCAGAACCAGTCTGATCCAGTGATGTTGGGAAACGAACATCTCGAGTTCTGAATCCAGTAATCACAGGATCATTCGACAATGGATTCGATTGGAACGTGTACGGCATCGCGGTTGCTGGTGCGCGAAAAGTTTGTCGCGACTTCGGGACAGGCCATGCTTCCTTTTAAGAACTGCAAGCGTTCCATTGCAATACTTTCTGGTGCGAACGAGGTACATGAGTTCCACATTCAAAAGTTGAAACCCACATCTACGCTGGTTAATAATTTTCCGAATAGCAGATATGAGATGGGATGATCGGGTAAAATTCCACTAAGCGGAAAATTGAATTTGACCAATCAAAGATCACGGCGATGCTGTGTCAACGGACTTGCTAACCCCGCATCTTCCAAGCCACCGAGGCTAAACCGCCAAATATTCATTAGTACAAATACGCGGCTTTTACCCGCAGGATGTTTCTTGACTGAATGTGCCGAGTGTACTATCATGCAAGTCGCAACTCGGAATGAACATGGACGGGAAATTCGTCGGAGGTCAAGGCTAGCCTGTGACAACTGTGCAAGATCTCGAGTAAAGTGTAATGGAGATAGTCCCTGGTAAGGCTGCAGGAACCTAGCCTCCGGCGACTTGCTAACGGCGAATGTAGTCGACGCTGCGAAGGTAAGCAACATTTACGAGACCTCTCGCCTAGTTCTCGCATACTCTGAACCTAGCGTTGCACATTGGCTAATGCATCGTATCCAGAGAACAACTATGAGTGCAACTACAAGCGCGATGTTCGAAAACGGGGTCGAAAACGAAAGGACCCAACTTCGATTGATAAAGACACAAACACTACTAGCCCCACGAATCCTACCAGCGTAGAAGTGGAGCAGATCCAAGAGGATGAGACGATGCAGGGCATCGGAGAGCATCGGCAACCTGTCGATAGCTTCATGATACCAGCAACTTCTCATGAGGGATCCGTGGAGCACACGTCCAATGAGACTACCGCACCAACTTTCTGGACAGAAATACCTGCAGTCTTGCCGCTTTCCCCTGGAGCCTCGCTGGTCTTCAATGGCTTGTCGGGTGGTATGTGGTCCAATCAAAGGGCAAACATGCTCGGACAGAATGTCCAGAGTGTACGTGCGGAGCCGCATGAACAGTATCGCACTTTGAGCTCAGCAAGCGAACAGCATGGAGAGTACGCCTGTTTGGCTTTGCTACTTCCTCACCTTGTTGGCGTTGTACAACCACAACTAGCTTTGAAGCTACTCCAGCTATACTTTGCGCCCCCGGAAGGCACTTTGTTTCACAACGCTTCACCCTATGTTCTGACGCCGGTCTTACGAAAAGACTCTGTCCTGAATCCTGCTTCGACTCGGTCTACAACACCTGCTTTACTTGCAACAATGATCTGGGTTAGTGCACAAACGGCTTCTCTCCCTCAGCTACTTGCACCCGGTTCACGAGCCACTCTGTGTTGTAAATTGCAAGACTTGGTTTTCAAGCTGCTGCATGATCGCGACCTTGATAACTGGCAAAGAGTCTCGGGTAGATCACCTCCTTTCCTCAGTCTTGAATCCTGGACTCATGTACTGACCGATGTTAGGTCGTCTCGTGCAGAAAGCTTGGTACGGTCCTTCTGGATCTGCAAGTATCAAGCACGTACCATCGCCCGTGGTAGATGATGTTATATGTCTTATTCTGATCAGTATTGTGCTATCTGGAGGGGACTTCAAGCGGGATTGTCTACCGTGGTGGAACAAAGCAGTCCGTCTCATCGACACAATGAAACTACATCAGATGGATCATCCAGATGCGGATTCGAATGATTCAAATGATCTCGAGTCCTGTTACGCGGACGGTGTTTACCACAGTCCTCGTTCTATTGAAGCCAAGGAAGAGATGCGAAGAGCTTTCTGGTTGGCATTCGCTTTAGACCGACACCTGGCTCTGTCCTACAATGGTAATCTCTCCATTGTAGATGGAGAGAGTCATGTTTATATCCCAGTCCCAGAGCGTATATGGCAGTCCACTACTGAAGGAAGCGCCCACGACCAACCACACCGTCAACTGGGACCACCTTCTACAGTCACAGGTACCGGATTTTTCGAATTCTTCTTGCCTCTCATGGTACTGTTAGGCGATATCATCCATTTGCGCCGCCGAAGGCACCACCCACGTTTTGGGACTCTTGGGGACGACGGATCTATTGTCCTAGTGGAGAAGCTGCTTGAGCGCTGCAAAGAAAGTATCGATGGATTGGAACGACAAGCCGATACTGGACCATGCTCGAATATCAACCGCACAAGTTCGATATCTAACCATGATGCCGGGCCCGTGCTTCAAGGCGCGACGCCAGATTCCACGACCCTCTTAGCAACACTGCCTGTCGATCTGCCAAACAAAGATCGGCGCTCCTCTCGAACACGTCTTGTAACAGCGTATGCCCATTTCATTCTCCATGTACTCTTTGTTCTTCTCCACGGAGAGTGGGACGCGCTAACTATGCTTGCCTGGTTACCTGCTGCAGGCTCGCAGAGTGAATGGATTACCTCGCCGTCGTTTCACAAGTGCTCTTCTCACGCCGTATTGGCTTCGGAAGCAATATCTTCGATCCTGAGACTCGATCCCGAACTCGTCTTCATGCCCTATCTTTTCGGCATCTATCTTTTTCATGGGTCACTTGTGTTGCTGCTTTTCGCCGATCGCATGCCAGCAGTAAATGGTGGCTCCAACGATGCCGTCGAGGCGGCGTGTGAGACAATTATCCGAGCGCACGAGGCGTGCATCGTCACTCTGAACACGGAATTTCAGCGTGTCTTCAAACGTGTGATGCGAGCAACACTGATGGTGGTAAAGGATCAGAACAAAACCGGATGGCCGAATGAAACAAGCCGAGAGGTTTACCAGCCTGGGATCGAAGAGACTGCCGATACGGTTCGCGAAAAGATTGTAGATATGAGGAAAGACATGTTAAGATTGTATAGATGGAGCCAAGGTGGAAGAGGTCTCGCCATATGAGGCACTGAAGCGGTGCTATTTCCCAGCAGTCTGAAGTGCGATACATGTGTTTTATCAGGCCAACATCAATCACACGAATACGGATCTGGTCTCTCGCTTTGAATCCCCACCGCCTTTACACGCGGTTGATTCACTCTCACACCTTCGATGCAGCTACCTCAATTTGTTCCAAATCGCTGCCCTGCATGTACTTCTCCCCACTGTTAGGCTCGATGAGACCCACCGTACTATCAGTCGATGCATCGGCGGGGATGCGATACGAAGCAACGAAGTTCAAAGCGATTGGGTACGATACGGCTGCAACAAAAAACTTTGTTTAGGTTAGCAAAGGATAGTCATATAAGGAAGGGGTTAAACGTACTGATAGAGGAACTACCATCGCTATACCAGTGTTGTTATGCATATCGGCGACCACGCCGAGGAGCGGTGGTACCGCAGCGCCGCCCAGAACACCCCCGATGATCCAACCTGAACCGCGCTTGTAATGACGACCGAGTCCGCGTGTGCCAAGTGCTACAATTGTGGGGAAACAAATGGACTCAAAGAAGAGAACAAGGAACATGAAAGCTGGGCTGATTAGCTACTGACGAGTCGTATTGTAGAAAATACTTACAGATACCAGTGTTACCACGTTCCTTTGTGGCGGGAGCAATGAAGATAGCAGCACCACACATGAAAGCTAGAAGAACATATCTTGGTCGCACGAACTTCATCAGTATAGTACCGAGCACTCTGCCAACCGCAAAGGCGCCTTGAGCGCCGGACAAAAGCTTGGATCCGGTAGCCGTGCTTGTGCCTGGCCGAGTTTCGACAGCATAGTTGATGAAATAACCCGCAACGGCGACTAAGATCTGTCAGTACGATGTCTTTCAGGGGTTCGATTGCCTTGTTTAGTACCTTGTGCTCCTACATAGCAGAATTGCGCAAAAGCAGCGTGGAAGAGCCGATACTGCTTCCAGAACGAGGCCTCTCGTCCCTCAACTTGTGCTTCTTGAACTTGAGCTTCCATGTCGGCATCAGAAATTTCAGGAATACTGCTGAAAAAGAAGACGCCCGCTAGTAGAAACACGAAGCAGGCAATGCCGAGATAGACCCATTGCACGCTTTTCAGAGCTGAAACAGTGTCCTGGGTTCCGGTGAAGAATACGTATGAGCCCAGCAATGGGCCGACAATAGTACCGACAGCATTGAGCGTTTGGCTGACGTTGATGCGGATCTCCGCATATCGTGGTGGGCCGCAAGCCACGATGAACGGGTTAGCAGCAGTTTCGAGGGAACCGAGACCAGAACCGATAATGAATGTGGCCCCACAAAAGCCGCCAAAAGACTGGTATACGCCTGCTGGCCACATCATGAGGGCACCGATACCGTAAAGCGATAGTCCAAAGATGAAGACGGCTTTGTAGCCAGCATGGCGGAGAATCCAGTTGGCATAACCGAGAGATGCTAGCGGATAGGCACTGGTGGATGATGAGCCTGATGTTCAATTGCCTCGTTGAAACGGGCGTGAACTTACCCGAAATAAGCTGCCTGAAGTCCGGATGAGCGAGCTCTAGTGATACCCAATGTGACTTGAAAGTGCTTGTTCAAGGTGTCAAGTAATCCGTAAGCGAAACCCTGAACGCGTAATCAGTACGACCATACTGCGATAGATTGTTGTGTTGCTCACCCAAAGGAAGAAAAGTATAGTGACAATCGTGAGTGGCCAAAGGCTCTGTCTGAGGGTGAGAGCGGCAGCACTCGTCACCGTCTTGTTGCTATTTTGAATGGAGGAGCGGTTCGCGAATAACTTCTTGAGTGCCATGGTGAATACTTGGACAGAAAACTGGCTGAAGCAATCCAAATGAGAGAGTATAGTGCGTTGACAAGGGGTGTTTCGAAGAGTTCTTATATACATGTGCGATGAAGTAAGCATCACCCCTCATTCTCCAACCCTTCGCCCCGGATTTTGCAATTCCGGGGTAGTACCACGCTTGAACAGCCACCTAAAGATCACCTGCAACTTTGATCGTGACTATAGGAGGTCTAGCTCTACGCCATGGTGATTCCAGCTGTCTTCAAAAGCTCATTGATAAATTATCCGAATTTTCCTTGATGGCTGTACTGCAATACGAGCTGCCTCGTCTCCGAGGCGCCTCGATGTTGTTTCAATGTACCATTTGCTACTAGCGCGACTCGCCTGGGTATTTACCCCAGATCTTGGCGTGTTCCAGTGTCGGTCTGCATGTTCGCAGTAGTGGTAGTTCGTTATTGTGCAGCGGTCCAAAGATATTGTTTGGGGCTCCTTCCTTCCAAAGAATTGAAGAATGTCACTTGTGGTGGTGCTCACATTGTCTCGATTGTGAAGGTCTCATTTAGTTGAATAAAATTGATGTCTATTGAATGAAGTCTTGCTTATGAGGAAAAATCGTGATCCAACCATGATCCCAAATGTTCTCGCAGAAGCTGGGCACGATCGTTGTCTTGTTTCTCTAGTTGCGTATCGACCGTCGTGTCTTTCATTCCTGGATGCTTGAGGCTATCTCCAAGCACCTGGCGGGCTGTTTGAACATTCATGGTGATCTCTTCGAGCGAAGCGACTCCACTGATCGTAGAGATACGAACATCAGGGTTCGAAAGTGCTGAAGCCTTACGTATGGCATAGCGAAGGGCGAGAGCAGCGGTAGACTCTCCTTGAGACTCAATAAGCTCGGAGGCCTGCTTTACTTTAAGGCGCAGTCCTTCAGGCGCTGGATGCCAGTCGCCCAGGCCACCGACTGGGACCCCTCTTGAGCTCAACAGACCCACAGCCAGCGGGCTAGATGCGCAAATGACCTTGACACCCGCATCTTTGAGAAGTGGCAGCCCGTAGGTTTCGAGCCGTGTGTTTTGCAATGTCAACTGAGCCCATGTCTGCACTACGTCTACCGGCTGGCCGTAGGTCTCAAGTACAAGTCCGGCAACGCGTGACAGAACGCTCAGATCATAGCCGGAGATACCAACATATTTGACACTTCCCTGCTGCACAAGCTCGAACAGCGTCCCAACTGCAGTCACTGCCTCCTCTATGCTGACAAATTCGACATCATGACAGAACACCACGTCCAGATACGTGGTATTGAAGCGCTCCAGTGACCTTTCCACGGAGGTGCGGATCCATTGCGGCGAGTAGTCGAAGTGGTTGCTCGTTATCCTTCCGACTTTCGTCATTAATGTGTAGTCTTCTCTGCGGTACTTTTGACTAATCCGGGGGTGCGAAAGAGCAGCTCCGAGAATCAGCTCCGAAGGGTCATAGTATGGTGAAGTGTCGATTGTTTGCACCCCAGATTGGAAGGCTTTTTCTAGAATGTCGACGACTGGTGCCTTATCCGGCTCACTAACAAGTTGGTAACTGAACCCAGCGCCTCCCATGATAAACGGGTCGAGCTGCAACGGAGGCCTCTCCCCATTGAATCGAAGTTTACCCGGCGACATTGCGCGATGTTTCTTTAGTGTCCGAGTTATTGGAGTGCAAGCCTCGAAGAGACACGACGTACACGGGAATGTGAGAAGCTGTGTTTTCGAAAGCCGATTCAGGCAGTGTTAAAGAAATCAAAGAAGTGGTGCATGCACACTTGTAGGCGTTGCTCTCTTGCGTCGAGATTTTGGTTGTTGTCCGGCAGCTAAGCCACCCCACTTGCTGCTCCAAGGCTGCATTCTTCCAGGCCAGGTAGGTCACCGGATGATTTATTGGCACAGCGGCTAATTTGCGAAAGTCGTCGGTTATTTGGCATTCGCCGCTAAAAGTGGATCCGTACCTAGAGACAGCCCCGCATTTCAGCCCGAGCTATGAGATGCAGTCGACATTGTGTATAAGAAGATTGGTGACAGTCAAGACACCAAACAATCGTTTCTTACTTACCGCGATTCTACAGTCATCGTGCTTTACGGTCTGCGCAGTGCAGTCTACAGTTCCCAGGTGCAAGACATCGAGCGAGGCAGATTGGTACATAGAGAAAACTATCTGTCTGTTTCGTGATTTCAATTACTCTCATCTATTGTATGCGTCGAGTCTTCTTGTTCCAGCTACTCCAGTAGAGGTGGTAGCATCTTCAATTTCACAAAATCTGCGAGCACTTCAAGGATCGCGTCATTTGAGTCAACAACCCCGTGCCATCCCATCTTCCTTGCTTTGTTCATTGTAAGGTCAAGCGAGGTGCCCATCAGGCTCCCGTCCGTGAAACCAAAGATTCGATCGATGTCCATGTCCTGTAACTTTCCACCAGAGAGACCGTGCTTTGCTGTAAGCTCGGCCCATGCTTTTTGTACCTTACCTTGCCTAGCCCAGTCAACGAGTCTGAACCGAATTCGATATGTTCCTGGCGGGCCGAAGCCTCGAGGTGGTGGGTCGTGTTTGCTTCTGACAATTGTGTATACACTATCATCCATGCTCGGTCGTTCATATTCGATCCCAAAGCTTTTGGCAAGCTTTGGCCAGTGGTTTCCCCATGTGAACGTGGTTCCATCCATGGTATTGAATTTTTCGTTCTTTGCCTCTTCAGTCAGCACCGCCCACTCTTCCATGTAGCCATTCATCTTGCTACTACTCATACATCGGTTGGCTTCCCAGGCCTGGAGGTCGCAAGGAAATTCGAGTTTTTCACCTAAGTGCTTCTGCACACTTGCGTACACGCCCAACGGAAATACAAGATTCATTGCTGCGTCTGGTACGGCACCCAAGATGCCTGCTGGCATACATACGTTCCAATCGATTCCGTGTTCGGTACAAAAGGACCAAAGAAAGTCCTCTTGTGGGTAGTAGAAATTGGGCTCAAGCATAACGCGAGGCGCAGTCTCTTCCTGCGGAGTAGCGGAGGGGCCCAGATGGACGCCGTAGTTTTTGGCGCCGGTTTGCAGCATGATACGCTTAGGTGCGATGGATGCTAGAGGTAGAGCCGAACAAAAATTGCGAAGAAGAGCCGCTGCAACATAGTCAGACGCAATTACGCCGCTGTTCTCGGTGTGATATTGGCACAGTGTTACAGAACGGCATGCTCACTGTTCACTTTGCACATTTCCTCCGCATCACTCCAAAGTCCCCCGCCATCTTTTGGCTTGACCTGCACATAGCTGTAGAAGAACACATAGTCGGCTCTAACCCCCTTCTCTTTCAGTACTTTGGCAATCTCTCGTGGCTCACTGAGGAAATCGAGGGCGATGTGCTCGGCTTGAGGGGGTAACCCATCTGGTATCGCTGGCGGGCGTCGAGACAAGCAATAAATCTTATTCCAGCGCTCTGGGGCCTCTGCAAGTACTTGTAACATGTAGTTCCCTGAGATTCCATTTGCACCAGTGATGATAGCCGTGAGACCCTTTACCGAAGAAGGGAAGACTGGCAGCCCATGATAGATACCTTTCGCTTGCACAATTTGCTGATTTGACATGTTGTTTAGGTACAGATGAAGACGATTGCGGATGCACTGTCAGAATGGTTTGGTGGCAACGACAACGCATCAAGGGGGCTGCATCCTCGGGCCGTGACGTAGTGCGGGGAAATGTGACGCAGCTAGTTACAACGCGAGCAACCTAACCTGAAATCTCCTGTACACAAATGCAATTCTTTGGCATGAAATTATGCGCACTTATCACGGGTTGATGTGCGAGAATGGCTTCTGACCGTCGGTAAGGTTCGCTAAGGCTTCTCCGGTGCTGCCAATCGGGGTCTTTAAAGTAGGTATCGGCATGAAGCTGCGAACGCCACCACGCGATGCGAACACTGAAACACTGGCGACCCAAGCAACCACTCCGTTCTTAACCTCCTTCAGTTAGATCCCCCGAATCGCAAATGTCTTCTGGTAGACGCGACCGTCGGAGGGACATGATCTACCTAAGGATCATTTTGCGCGCGCGCATAGGCACTACACACAACACTCACGACGCTCCGTACTCCACCTTGCAGGGTGCACTGCAGGGTGCAAACGGTTCCAAATGCATGCGAAGAACCATTGCAGGGCAAATGACGTTTTCGTTGGAAACGAATACCCAGGATGACCCAGGTCAATCTTGATACAAGTCAGTAGTCGCAGAAGCTGACTGGGCCGTACAAGCGGCTCGAAGGCAGGTCCGCATACTCCGCACACATCTTGTGGAGCGTCATGTCGGCAGTCAGAGCGCAGGCCGCCGCCACACCGGTAGCGCAGAATCTAAACTAGAGCTCCGACGCTAGCGTGCTTCAGTGACATTTACTAGGTCGTCACTCACCACACAGACCTAGGAGCTGGAGTAAACTGTGGTTGTCTCAATGGCAGCTTGCGGTTCGCACATGCGCATTCTTGGGACTGGCTGTCTCCGTGCAAATCACGGCACTTTCTCGTGCAGATCGTCCGACCCTGCTTTGCGTTTATAGATACGTAGGTATGCTCGATTCAACGCTCGTGCTGTCAATGCTATCAATTGCACCACACCCTAATGCGTCTCCTCACACATGTCCTTTTGTTCACGTTAGGTGCCTGCATAGGCCATGTATCCGGAACTGATATCGCTGAGCGAGCACTCGGAATAGCAGATATTCCTCCCTGTGGTGTACGTTGGCCGCCCATCTGTGAGGATCTAGTTAACGATTATAGCTCTCATGCCTTCTACAAACCGTTCCTGCCGCTGGTTGTAGCCTTATAGACACCGAGTGCCAGTGTAAGAGCGAGGAGCTTACGTACAGCACAGCAGCATGTATTCTCGCCAACTGTACTATGGCCGACTCACTCGGCACCGCAAAAGTCCAGGCTGAACTCTGCAACTTACCACACGAGTCAAAGACAGAACTTCTATTTGCGTCCCTGACAACTGTTTATGCAACAGTGTGTCTGTTCGTGACACTGCGGCTCGCGACCAGAGTGCTCAACAAGCGCGTGAGTAGCGATGACTGGTGCATCCTGGCAGCCTTGTTACTTGCTACTGCGGCATACACGTCTGCATACGAAAGTAAGTCTTCAGCTGTCATGTTGAAGCCAAGGCTGACGTTGTATAGTGACACAGTACAATTTTGGAAAGCACTTGTGGGACCTTGAACAGGGTCAATTGCAGATGGCGCTGAAATACTGTAAGAACAACTCCACACTTTTGCATCATCGCTGATAAATCTAGTCTACATCTGTTGGAATCTCTACGTCGTCATGCTTGCTCTGGTCAAGATTTCGTTGATAGCCTTCTACCTACAAGTCTTTCTCGACCGCCGATTTCGTATCACCTGCTGGATCGTCCTGGGCTACATTATTCTTTCCTCTTTAATCATCCAATTCTTGACGATCTTTTCGTGTTCTCCAATACAGTCGTTCTGGGATCGCGACATCAAAGGCACGTGCTTAGACGTCGGCGCCATCGGGTTTGCGAATAGTGCAAATGCTATTCTGCAGGATATCATCATCTTGGTTATGCCAATGCCGAGTCTTTACAAGCTACAGATGAAAAGGTGGCGTAAGGCCGCAGTGGCACTCATGTTCGCAGTTGGAGCTTTGTATGTAGGTCCACCGCACATGGACGATATTGGCTAACAATCGCTTCTTAGTGGCTGCATCACGACAATAATGCGGCTACATTCACTTTCAGGATTCAAAATCTCTCTTGATCCAACTTGGGACTACACAAATGTGACCATATGGACAGGCGCCGAACTCGCTGCTGGCATGGTTTGTGCATCACTGCCTGCTGTGCGGCAACTACTCGTCATCATTGTGCCAAGTCGGTTCCACGTTTTTCTCACAAATCGGTCACGTAACCGAAGTGTGCCAGACCAAGATCGACAGAGACGACCAAAAGGCCCATCCGTGTTTCCTGTTCCATCGTTCCTGCACTCCGCGAAGGATTCTTATGGCGTGACAACAGACATCTCGGCGTCAAGCTGGACCAAGTCTAGAGCAGAGACCGTACCAGACATTGAACGCGGAGATGGTACTGCTACACAAACAACAACCTCTATATGGAATCCTCTCCGAACTCTGTTCCCAAAACAGTCACGATCCTTCCAGACCTCGTTTTGGTCATCTCTGGATCGAAGCGGCAGTCCTACGTTACGAACTGAACGAACTCGTTCTTCTGACGCTACTAGCTTTCAGACAACGAGCCCTCGCACAGAGATAGCAGAAGCAACAGGAAAATCTAGCGTAGATGAGCACATCGAGTTGCTTCAGGTGCCGCGTCACAGCTACCAACCGAGTTATTGCCGTGGCAGTGAGTACGACTGTATCACAGCTCTACCAAGGGTGGGAGTGCTTAGAAACGAAGAGCATATCTATAATCAAACAGCGCCGAGGTCCTAGAAATCGGAAGCAAGAAATAAATGAGTATCATGATGCGTACCTGAACAAGATGTGAGAAGCTCAAAACCACCCAGACTGACTTGACTATCTTGGCCATACTTTCTTGTTCCGCTTCTCTCAGCTTCCATTTCCACAACGTCGGTGTATCCCGTATGAATACTCGCCCAAATTGTAGGACACAAGTCAAAGTAAGGTTTGTCGACAAACCTTAGAATTCTCGTAGATTAAGCCCAAAAGGGCTATTGATCTTCTTCTCGCGCACACTAGTAAAAGAGTCAACAGCGGTCAAAGCTGACCTGCCGCTCGTCTCACCATGGATGACAGTACATGTGCATAAAGATCTTGTCAGTCGAAACTGATTTCTGCAAGCCCGATATTGGATGATCTGATAAAGTTTTAGATAAGATGTTGATGAGCACGGCCACCAATTCATCTAGAATTATCGTGAAACAAACCCAAAGCGTAGATCAAAACGAGATGTTTTTCCTTTTTTGACCGTGGCGAGGATAAAATCCGTCCAAAGAAACGCACACTACTAAGTCACGCTCCACGAACTGAAACATTAATGAACGTATTGTCTCAGCGCACATTGCAACAATTAAGGTCAAGTTACTTCTTCGATACCAACTAAGACAATGTAAAGTTTTCATGATAAGCGTAGAAACTAGCACTTGTTCCGCACGAAATCCGTCGAATGCCGCGAGAATCTGCGAAAGCTTCCTGGGTACCGTCTATCAATATAACGGAATCCCTTTCATAATTTTTGCAAGTTCAGATGAACCGGTATAGAATCTCACCAAAGCATCGCGGTGTATGAAGGCAGCAGTGACCAACGGGATGAAGGAAGGCGACGCCTAGATCAAAAAGCTGAAAAGTTATAGCCAGTCATTCTCTGCGCGCATAGCTTGTCGAGTTGCGCTCTAATATGTGGTATATTTTGGGGCCACTCTATGGGCTGCGATCGACAAGGTTGTTACGATCAGTCCGCGCCGTAGTTCTTGTCGAACTCAAAAGCTCCCGCACAGAGCGATACCAGGTCTATGGCGATGCAGTCGTGGCTACCTTGAAACCTGTGCTTTTAGCTGGTCCAACCGCGAAGCGGCTCGTGCTACAAGATCCTACGTAGATTAAGTTTGGGGCGCCAATAAGCTCGAATTCTGGTCCGACCAGGAAGTTTAAAGCTGAACTCACAGTCCTGCCTCGTTGTTGATGGGATGCCTTACCACGAAATTTTGTTGTTGCAGACACCTTCTGAAAGCCTCCGCTTAAGATCCTGCTCTGTCTACTATCGCCTTGCACAAAGTTGGTTGCCCTATCATTGATGTCAATATACTTTCTCGAACCTCTTCAACCACCCTCGAAACGTCACAGCCAGCGGTATTGCTTTTTAAGGCAAAGACTTCGTCGAACTTAGGATTGATGAAACTGAGTGCGCTTATACGCCTATGTTCATCAACCGACTGTCCGGCGAGTACACTAGACAATTGCATTAGTGTGTTTGGGCTCTTTCTGAGGGTTCGCATTGCAAGTTCCTTGTTGGGCTTAAAATCCGAGTTCTTGAGGCTCTCAAGAAAATCGTGCATTTTACCAATTTATATATCATCTGAGTGCATTACATGATTAGTGCACTAGAGGCAAATATTTCCGCTCTCCATATGCACTGGGGATTATTGGTATCTGAGAAAGGCTCACTGCAATGATTACTTATGCGTACGTGTGTTTTCCAACCAAAGGCCAGCGTGAGCCACACGGGAAGGGGTGAACAACAGCCCCGCGTGTCAAAAGTGCTTGTTTCTAACCGGCGGACGGTACAATAGTTGAGCCGACATTGAAATTGGTAGCCTGATGTTCGAAGAGGGCAGAGGGGTACTTGGGCGGGGCAGAAACTAGGGAGAAGGCGAAAACACCGATCAGTAATCTGATAATCATCTAACTAGGCCGGATCTGGTCGTGGTAGCAACCGCTGAACTCAGCTGCGCGCAGAAGGACGCAACCAAGCTCAGATTATATAATCTAAATTTTGGTCCGCTTTGTACTCCCGCGTTTGGTCCTCGCCTACCGTAGGAGCGATTTAATGTTTCCAGAGAAATTGTTATGCCGGGATCAGCTTTGCGTGCTGGGTATCTGCAATTCACATGTGAATCGCAAAACATAAGATAAGGGGACGACACGAGAAGACCTGTTCCTCACGCCCATTCAACTTTGATTTCGCAATAACATCTACATCTTACCATACTTCCGAAACCGGTTCAATCGTGTTCAGAACTCAGCCTCACACCCAACACCCAGTACAGAGATTTCAGCAGTGTTTTCAAGATACCTCATCAAATGGCGCCACACCGCCGCTCAATACTCATCACAGGGTGAGTTGTCAGCTGATCTCGCTCGGTGTATTGCAGCTCAAGACTGATGGCTGTTAGATGCACGAAGGGTAGCGCGGGCCACGCTCTCGCTCTCGAATTTGCCTCGCATGGGATGCGAGTTTTTGCCACGGCTAGATCCCTTTCATCGCTTGAGGGACTCGAAGAACACGGAATCGAGACACTTACATTAGATGTCACCGACTCGAAAAGTATAGCAGCCTTGAAGGTGGAGATCGAAACACGTACCGGAGGCAAGCTCGATATTTTATTCAACAATGCGGGCTCAAGTAAGTGATTTCCTGTGCGTTACTACGCTATTTGCTAACAATTGTGCCTTGAATCAGTGTACGAAGCACCTGCCATTGAAGCCGACCCTAGCCGCGTTCGTAAAATGTTCGATGCCAACGTATTCGGTGTCTTCGAGATGGTAACAGCGTTTACACCACTGCTCATGGCTGCAGACCCAGATAAATCTCGGCCCCCAACAATCATCAATACCGCCTCAGTACTCGCAGTTATTCCTTACCCTTTCTCATCCGCTTACAACGCAACCAAAGCAGCTGTTGCAGCTTATTCAGACTCGCTCCGACTTGAGCTCGCTCCTTTTGGCATCAAAGTAGTGACTTTGTACATGGGTGTGGTCTCAACAGGCATTTCCAGTCCAGAAGCGATCAAGTTCAGTCCAGAGAGCTTCTATATCGAGGCTGAGGCAGGTGTAAGGAAAAGAAGCCGAGATCACCAAGTTTCTGGTATGAAAGCAGACCGTTTCGCGAAAGAAGTGGCGAAAGAGATTCTCACTGCAAAGCCCGGTTACGGGAAGGGTGAGTACATTTGGAAAGGTTCCAATGCTTTTCTAGTCTGGCTGCTACATGCGGTCGGTTGGAGGAAGATTTTTGATAAGTCTTCAGAAGACGAAGTTGGCTTTACTGTCGCGATCAAGAAGTCTATTGCCCAGAAAACACCGAAGTCTAGTCATTGAATGGACTGATTTCTCATCTTATTTGTCTCTATCCATTAGTACAATCTTTGAAGTTGCCACAACAACAGTACGTTTCGTCGTGTACAAATCATTGTAACAAAAAGGTACCTTGGATTGAATCACACTGACTAGCGTCAAATGAATCATCTGACTCGTTCGCCATAGTCATTAAACTGCCTTGGAGTCGAAGAGGACGAAGAAGCCAATCTTGTATGATGCCGTGCTTGCGTTGAAGACGCTGGGCGAGTGTTTGTGTTTGCTGAGCTGCCTAGCATGCCCACTTGTAGGCTTCACGTTACTCTAACCTCCCTATTGCGCAAGCACACTGCATATTACAGCTCTACAACCCCAGATACGTATCCTCAAAATCTGGAATCATCTCTGATTCGCCTGCATTTTGCAGATGTGCCCTCGCACATCTTCGTAACTGACACATTCTCAGAGCCCTCGCGGCTGCGTAATAGTGTTGCCAGTCTAGTTAGGTATTTCGTTCAATCAGAACGATTGGCTGGAGTTGCTGTAGTATCTTCCTGTCCGGGTCAAGCTGTCCTGTCAAGATTGGCTATAGTCTTTGTTCTCGTGTATATTTCCACCGTCCAGTCTGCAACGATTACTCGAGTACCTCCGGGTGTGTGATACAGTATTCGGATACGGAACCCGGCCGAGAGTGTTATAGGAATCGCAGGAACGGCTTCTCGACTAAACCGGATTGACTCTTCGAAATCAATGTCTGGTTCCAGGCCTGAACATCTCTCACCAAGAAGGTCTCTGAGGTAGTCTGAATACTTCAATGGGTCAAAATCGTTGTCGGGATTAGTCTCAGTAGAGGCATCTCGTGCAAGCGGAATCGCTACAACGAGATTGGGTATAGCTTGCATTGTCAGAGAGTGCACGAGGTTGCCTTGAGGACCTTGGTAGTTGCTCTGTTATGTAAGGTAACAAACCACTGGACATTCCCACGAAAGTCGAATAGAGACGAGGCTTAAGTAAGCCCCGTCAGACTCACTTTCGTATTACCTGCCCTGTCAATGCTCTCTAACTCTTGCAGCTCTGTCCGTCTTACGCGGACCGTGCTCCATCCACGCGATGACGGGTCGCGCGCGGGAGGAAGCGCGCGCTGACGCAAGGACATCGGCAAAACAGTGCTCCACGGAACGCCAGCAGACGCAGCTAAGGCCATTAGAAAAGCTAGGCTTGCTCTAGGCGATACTTTCATATTCGACCAGCTAGTCTGGCCTGCCTACGGCATCGTCGCGTTGCACGAAATTTGGGCACCGTTCGTAAACTTAACGTCAGCAAGTCCTTCGCGTGCTGCACTCCTGCAACTACCTATTGGTGGCGGCCACGCGGTGTGCTTGGCTCAAACTCGAGCATCTGTGTTAAACACAATTGCTGAGGCTGACATCAGGAGATCGTGAGAAGTGGCTGACGTATGTTTGAATCCTCTGAATCCAGTATCTCGCGATGTGTATGGAAGCTCGGGCAACCTCTTTGGATGCACGACACACCTAGCGTGCGACACATATCTCGGTGACACAGCATATCTTACTATGGACCTCGCTTGCGAAGATTCGTGGTTGCCGTACAGTGCGCCGACTTTTCAGAAGGCGTTTTTACTGAGGCTGAAGGAAGCAACGGCAGATTAAACAGGATGCTGCTAAAAACAGTGGCATCTATTTCTGTGGAGAACTCGCGTATTGTTGATCTTGGCTACACCACGAAGAGTATAGCGGCTGCCGCTGTCGGCCTAGATTTTATTTCCCCTTTCGCATTGACAGTGTGAGTTTGACAGTATGAGTTTGCATATATGACATCGTCCGCTCTTTTTGAGTGCTCGATGTGCAACGGCTTCTATCCGACGCGACCGTAATTCAATCCAGCCACTCGTTCTGCTCATCTCCCTTCAAAATGCATTCTGCTCTTCTATTGGCCATCGCGGCCCTTCCATTCCTTGGCGCTGATGCAACCATTGCAACTAAATACACTACCGTCGTTCGCTGCGGTGCGCAGACCAGAAACACACCCACCTGCAAGAACTCGATCTTTGGAAACTGCTGCTCCAAGAGCGGAGTCTGCGGTTCAACCTCGGTGCATTGCGGAAAGGGTTGCCAAGTTGGTTTCGGCGACTGCACCTCGGCTGTTTCAACATCCGTAAAACCAACCTCAACATCAGCAAAGCCTTCGACAGCGAGCAAAACATCAACATCGTCAACGAGAGTGATTACCGTTCCTGTCACATCACCTTCAGCGCCTTCCAGCCCATCTCCAGCATCTACCTCGCCGTCTTCTTCCGCTGCTGTAGCACCATCTTCGTCCGTACCGATCTCGTCCTCCACGCCATCTTCTTTACCTGATGTGGTATTGACTTCATCAATATTGGCCTCGCCAACCTCACCGTCTTCCTCAGCTCCTGTAGTATTGCCCTCTTCCAGTCCGGATGTGAAGGTTTCTCCTGATGGAAGTTGCGGCGGAACTGGAGGGTTCACTTGCTCGGGATCTCGTTGGGGCGACTGTTGCAGTGAATATGGATGGTGCGGAAGTACTGAAATCTACTGCGATGCTGGCTGCAATGCTGCTTTCGGGACCTGCGGTGGCGTGAGCACGTCCGAACCCCCACCATCCACCTCTACTTCAGCATCGCCTTCATCAAGCCTGGCCTCCTCATCGTTCACTACCTTGACCACAACTACTTCAGATAGCCCATTGCCTACACAGGTGGTTTCCACCAACGGGCAATGCGGAGCAAGCAACGGCGGAATGACTTGCTTAGGATCGACATTTGGCGACTGTTGCTCACAATACGCCTACTGGTAAGTCCTTTACGCCCATAGTAGCAGAGACAGAAGCTGACATAGAATCGCAGTGGAAGTACTAGCGGCTTTTGTGAAGTGGGCTGCCAGAGCGGATTCGGAAAGTGCGACGCGCCTCCAGCACCGGGGAATACCTGTGGTGTGGAGGGCTTTGCCAACAAAACCGAGTACTATGCCTCTTCGTTCAACCTTGTCCCTGCCACGGACATCTCGACATGTGCTGCTCTGTGTCTGGCTGAGGCTGCGTGCATGAGCTATCTTTTCAACCCGGGCCTTCAGAACTGCGCCTACCTCCAGTACTCGCTGTCGCAAGGCGAATTCATCGCAGAGAGTGGCACAAACCAGTTCTTCTGGGATCGAGAATGCGCTCAAACCGCTACAGCATAGGCGTTCCTTCCAATTATGACACGTAAACCCGAGTTTTGTGTGCTGAATCTCAGTTTTGGGGTAATTCCCATCTGAGCTCGGCTTCGCGATGGCGGTGCCGTCCCCGCGCTTCTCTCGTACTTTTGATCGGCTATTTTGCGTTGCAATCTGCAGCAGCTGTCGCATGGATGGGCGCCGACGGAATGTTACTGACGGGGGATCAGTGTGGGTGCGGTGGAGTGGCCGGCCCCTCGCCTGGCTGAGGGCAGGGGCATGCTGATCCCGCAGTATGCATGTTCTCCAACCAGCATCGATACCTCCTATCGCACTCCCTGTCCTATCTATCGCAGGAACGGAACCGCTACACGCCACTCGTATCAGTTTCGATGCGCCCAACAGCGGGTCAACACACAGTAACCTCGCAACTCTGTTTGCAAAGTCTTAAGAGAAGTCTCATGCTCTCATCTAGTAGCCATGTAGTAAATATAATAACTAATAAGGTTCTCACTTCCACAGCTTAAGAAACTTAAGCTTATTCAGTTAAGGGTCCGCTTCTTGGCAACTGCTCTTATCGCGTGCTCTAGCGCTAAGGCCGGGGTTCCGGTATGAACTCGCACAAGATCCGACGCTAGGCACGTTGCTCCGGAGGTGATCTGGCTGATGTCGTTTCACTGATTGCGATTCGACTTTGCCCGCCCCGCAATCTTCTGGAAGTTGCACGAATTTGGGTGCCGGTACCTGATTGCGTGTTCGGCATCTCCAGACCGACACCTAACACACCTACACCTGTGACATTGAACATGCGCTTCAATAAGTAGGATCAGAAAACCCAACATGTGTCGCGGCGCAGCTTCACGGCGAACCCGGTCACAGGAACCTTGGAAGCAAGCCAGTCTTCTTTCCTACTGGCATGCAACTTTTCCTTCCCGTCGACCTCCCTAATGCACACTAGTGTCCAGGACTTGGCTGAATTGATATCGTATCTCCACAACCAGCCTTGTGTGATTCAAGCAATATTGGCGTGCACGCCCGACTAAGTTCGCCTCCAACACCAGCGATGTTGCCATCTGCGCGACCTTCCCTTTCGTACCTAGGCAATGGCACAAAATCGCCGCTTGGAACCCAAGGGTTCCTGCCATTGGCAAATGCATTCAGCCACACCAGAATTCGCTATCGCATGGATTGTTCACGTGCTTCTAGCGCTGTCTCGGAGAAGGTATATAGCGTGACACTCAAGGTCCGATACTCATGGACAAGAAATTACCTTCTTCGCCCTTCACACTATGGCCGCAAACCCCTTGGGTGAAACTCTCGTTCTTGCCGCTCCTGGCATTGAGGGGAAGCCTACGGTCGCTCCAAGCCACGAAGCCGTCAACGCGTTCACTGACGAGAAGCACCGTCTCGCGGATAGTGATGGAGAGCTCGACAAGAAGGGTACCCTGGAGCCTGAGATCAAGGCAGCATTGCCTGCATACGACGATGCCGATCAGGACGATGATAACCACATCATTGTCACAGGAGCTGATGCTGCTGCCCATTTGTTACCCATGCGGGACGACGGCGATCCGGCCTTGACATTCCGGAGTATATTTCTCGCGACCATTTTGTCTGCATTCCAGGCCGTGGTTTACCAGATCTATATGGTGCGTCGTTCTCTAGCACTATTGCTTGCCCGCATCCACTGACGTCCGCTTTAGTTCAAGCCAACACTCGTTACCATCCAGGGGACCTTCATCGTGCTCATGGCTTACTTTCTAGGCAATGCATGGGCCAAGGTCCTACCGCGAGGCGATAAGTTCGAGGCCCGATGGATCGCCAAAGGCGGTGTTGGTAAAATCCCGATCTACATTCGGATAATCTCATTCTTCAATTATGGCGAATGGAACTTGAAGGAACACGCAGTTGCAGCTATCACAGCTACGTCGGCATCGATCGCTGCTCCCAGTAGTCAGGTCTTTGCTGCGCAGGACATCTTCTACGATCTGCCTCTCAGCCCTATCACTGTTATTTTCAGCACCATCTCGATTGGACTCTTTGGGTACGGCATTTGCGGCATCATGCGTCCCATCTGCGTCTGGCACGTCGATGCAGTCTACTGGAGCAGTCTTCCGACCGTGAAGGTCATCCAAGGTCTCCACTGGCAATCCGTCAAGAACTCCAAACCACTCAGGTGGTTTTGGATCGCCTTCTCCGGAATGTTCGTCTACGAGTTCTTCCCGGCATACATATTCCCGTGGCTCAACTCAGTCTCTATTCCTTGCCTGGCGGCTATGCATGCAGTTGGGTCAAAGGCGGCAATAATTACCAACATTTTCGGTGGCGCTACCAACAACGAAGGCCTGGGTCTTCTTAATCTTTCGTTCGATTGGCAATATGTAAGTATTTGCACAGCCTTCATGAGCGCGACTGACCATCATTTTCTCCGTAGATCACTTCGTTCCAGTCATCGCTTCCACTCAAGCTTCAACTACACCAGACCGCAGGGCTTGTTGTGTGCTTCTTCGTTATGCTTGGTATCTATTACGGCAATGCTTGGAATGCGAAATCGCTCCCATTTATGTCGACTCGGTTGTTGACCGCGGACGGGGATAGATATCCCAGCACAAGCGTGTTTGTTGATGGTGTGCTCGACAAGACTGCTTTGGCCAAGTATGGGCTGCCGAGACTTACGGGGACTTTTGCATACTCCATGTTCATGGCCAATGCTGCGGTAAGTCGCCTAACACTAGTATCATGAACAACATCTAATTGATTCTAGATTGGAGCTATGATTGCTCACATTGCTCTTTTCTGGGGTGGGGACATTGTCAAAACGTTCAAGCTGGCTAGAGTCGGAAGCTTCAACGACCCGCATCACGCCCACATGCACAAAAACTACAAGGAAGCGCCATGGTGGTGGTACATCTCTGTGCTTGTCTTCAGCTTTATTCTTGGACTCATCGTCGTTATCAAGGAGAACGTCACTCTCCCCGTTTGGGGCTACATTATCGCATTGATCACGGGAGTCATCATTGCACCCTTCGTAAGTGTCTGCCCGCCCCGTTCTGTTGTGATGGTTCACTGACTAGAGACAGAGCACGATCCTCTACTCTCGTTTCGGTAACGGCATTGCGACGAACAATTTGTCCAAGGTCATCGCCGGCCTGATTCTGCCCGGGCGTCCCATTGGCAACATGTACTTCGCTGCGTGGTCTCACAACGTTATCAACGGCTCTGTCCAGCTCAGTATGGACCTGAAGCTCGGCGAATATCGTACGTCCATGCTCATCGGTGTTGGAGAAAGGGCACTAACAAATGCACAGTCAAGATCCCTCCTCGTGTCATGTTCCTGACCCAGATCTACGGCACCATACTTGGTGGATTCATCAACTACGCTGTCATGATCTCTATCGTTACAGGAAACAAAGAGCTGCTTGCCGATTCCGACGGCAACGCATCGTGGAGTGGTGCAACCATGCAATCTTACAACACCAATGCGTCGACCTGGGCGCTCGCCGCCTATCTTTACAAGCAAGGCCAAACCTACTCAATCGTCCCCTTCGGACTTCTCGTTGGTGCTGGCATCGTCGCCGTGCACCGCATCGTCGCCCAAGTAAGCCCTGCCTCGTCGTCACTTTATCTCTTATGTACTGACACATCACAGTTCGTCCCCAGAATCGGCAAGTTCTCGCTCCACGAGATCAACTTCCCGCAGTTCATCCAGTACGCGGGTTACATCCCATACAACCAGTCGCAAACATGCGTGCTTCTCAGCTGGACCATTGTTGGGTTTTACACGCAGTTCTACCTGCGTAACTACAGGCCGCGCATTTTCAAGGACTACTCGTACCTCATTGCGGGTGCGTTCGACGGCGCGAGTCTTACTTGCCTGTTCATTCTGTCTTTCGCCGTCTTTGGTGCTGGAGGCCCGGCAATTCCGTTCCCGCAGTGGTGGGGAAACAACGTTGCTGGAAACTACGACCACTGCCCAGTTGCGTAGTAGCAGCGCTCAAGGACTGGTAGACCACTGGCGTGTCTTTCAACTTTCAGGTCGTGCCAGGGTAGCTAGATCTAGTTTAGTTCTGGACGAGGTAGATTCTTTGCACATATTCATTCGTTCGTACATACGTAACCTCGTCGACCCATGCCTCCTCCATTACCTGTCTCTCTTCGGCCCTGCATATCTTCGCTTCCCTAGCCAAAGCCAATCGCAAACAGCAAACAGCAAAACACCTCCGGAAACAGGACCCGCATAGTTCATTGTCATCGGGGTCAACGGCAAGCTCGTTGGCAGAGCCATGAACGGCACTAGTAAAGTGGCATAGCATGCGGCGTAGATATTTACCACCAATCCCCAGCGGCCGAGATTCCACGGCCCGAATACCAAACGGTCCTCTGACACGTCTGCGTGGCCAATCGATGAGGTGTATATAGTGACTGGAACACGGAGGCGGAGGAAGATCAGGCAGGTTATTGGGATTATGTAGGACACGTAGAGCGCGATCGTGCTAAGGGAGAGTATGGCGGATAGTGCAGTTGTGGAGCCAATGTTGATCAGAGACAGGAGGATTATTATGGCAGACACGAGTGTGATGGACCGAGTGGGTACCTGGTGTACGGAGTCGATGTGTTGTAGGTACCGCGAGAAGGGTAGGCCGTTGTCTCGGGCGAACGCCCAGGTCATGCGAGATACCGAGGCGAGCGTGCCGAACATGGCGGCCATGGTTATCGCGAGTATGAAAGCATAAAGAGTCGTTGTCGCAGCTGAAGATCGTGTGGCCTGATGGATAATTTCAATTAACGGGTATCCGGTAGGGGTGCTCAGAACATCGGAGATGCTGGAGATGCTGAATAAGGAGGTAAGCAAGAAGAGAAATGCAAGGGAGCCATTGATGAGAACGGTGTGGATGATGACTTTCGGAATGGATCGGGGCGAATTGGAGGTTTCTTCGCTGAGGTGGATTGCGCCGTCGAAACCTGTAGACCTGTGAGTAAGTGCAGCATCGCACTAATTGGACCTGCATATTCTTACCGATGGCACACCAGATGCTTGGTAACAGGCCGATGAACCATGCGACCGCGTTGTTTTCCCATCCAGTTCCGTTGACGAAGCCAGTGAAGACGAAGTCGGCGCTTGCATTTCGACCCATGGCCAGCATGACGATACAGAAGACAAAGAACATTAGAACATGGAAACACCCTGCAAACAGCTCCAACATAGGAAGCAACCGAATTCCCCAGACGTTTTGCACCCACGCTATGAGTACGACAAGCCACATGATAAGCGTAAGGTGCCAGCGCTCAGGTGTGTAAGATAAATTCGAAAACACGACAATACCTTGCAGCTGACCAGCCATCAAGAAAGTCAACGAGGTAATAGTGGCCTGCCACGCAAACACCGTCACCCATCCTGCGAACCTGTCAACATTGCAAAGCGTAGCCCCAAATATCTCATACCTTGCATGAATGACAAAAACACCTTCCACCTCGTCGGCGCAAACATGTACGTCCAATGGTACTGCGCCCCGGAGATCGGGCAAATGCTCGCCATCTCCGCCACGCTCGCGGCGCACGCGAGAGTACCAGAAAACGCGAACGTGAAACCATAGACCAGCGCGACTGGGCCGCCGGCCATCAGACCCACGCCCATCGAGGCTCCGACAGCTTCCCAGCTCGACAGAAAGGTCAGTGATAAGCCTAGGAGCGTGATGATGTTGAAGCGACGCTTCGCGGTGTCAGTTCTCTCCACTCGATGCGCAAGAGGGGCAATCGTTGCAAGGACATACGGGTAGCCGCTGCTTCTTCCCCATCTGCGCCATCACGTCCTTGTCTTGCTCGTTGAGACTACTCTCGTCGACTACATCTTGCACCACAGGCGGCTGCGACGCTTCTTTGTCGTCCATAGCGTTGGTGATGTGACTTCTCGCAGCGTTAATGCGCTCGTCGCAGGAGCTGGGCGGTAGTGAAGTCAGACGCAATGTCGGAGAGTGTCCTTTGCGAGTCGAGAGAGCAACGGGAAAGCTGTGAGGTGCATTGATAAGATGTCTCTCTCAACGCACCAAACAGCACACCAAGGTTAGCGTCGACGCGAACACCGATCGCGATTGGCCAATCTGCATCATAGTCTCAGGCAAAATGCTGTTTGCTCGAGGCCCCTTGTAGATCTTGCGTTCTGATGAGGGGTATGCGTGGGACAAGACAGGGCCCTGGCCAATGGAAAGAAGGTGGCGATGGCTCCGTTGCTGCACGCTGCAGGTCGATCTAAGTCTGATAATCTGTATCCTGGCGAGGTCGCACTATGACTTTGCCCACGTTCCACGAATTTTGTAGTTTGAAAACGCAGGAAGAAGCGTTGTGTGGAGGTCGGATAAGTCTTTTGATAAGCTCGCGAAGCTCCGTGTATCAAAGACTCCGTACGTGTATCGACTCCCAAGCCTTAGATCAAGTATCTATCTGGTCTGTCTGTCAGCTGTGAGACTTTCTGGAAAAGTAGAAGACTTACTGCTATCCTGGTTTCGCGTTCAGAGCGATATCATCGCCCGACGCACACTCTGTGGTATCCCTTTCACCATTCCCATAGCTGCCGAAGTCACTGCTTACTACCATAATGACCAATCCGCCATCGTTTCGGGCTGTCTAAATCCTGTCTTCGGAATGGCATATACGCCTCTTGTACGAATATCGTGGACAAGATACTATCAGGTGGTTCCAAAAAGATCGAGGAAGAGGGCTTGATTAACATTCTGCAACGTCCAATCGTCACACGCAGCCGCTTGCTGCGACCAGTCAATCCCGCAGTCAAACTCTGCCTCAAAAGTGAAGCCATCTGGTGCGGTCGCAACATCATTCTGCGCGGAGCCCGGCTCGCGCTGCAACATTATAGTTCCAAAGTAAGGAATCCGAAGCTGGAGCTTCCGTCCCTCGTCAAGAAGCTCGCTCTGGTATTCAGTTGCGCCAACATGGCTATGCATTGCAGTAGCGCTATACTCCGTCCCATCTGCCGCATCAGCCTCAACATCCAGCAAGCTCTGCATCATCCTGGCCAGATTCAACGCAAGTTCATCGGAATCGACCCACTGCATGATGCGCAGCGTCTGCTGCATCATGCCTCTGTCGGTGGCATAGCTGTGCGCGAGCTCACTCAACGTATCGGTCGAGGCTGCGCCCATGCGTCGAGAGTCGATGTGCGCGACACACAGCACGGTGAGCGCGACCAACGCCAGGAAATCCATGCCCCGGCAGTAGTAACGACTGCTGTTCCATTTGCGAAAGGCGAGGAAGCGAGACAGGATTGCACGGCTGGCGGTCCAGGCCATGCGCTTTCCGCGCGCGACTCCGGCTCCGTCGAGCGGCTGGAGTACGTACGGCAGATACAGTCGTAGTAGCAGGTGGTAGTGCGAGATTTGGTAGGTGAAGCGGGTAAGGATGCTGTCATGGTCTGGCTCGATGTCGTGGCGCTGACTGGGCTCTGGTACCAGCCACCACGAGTGCGGCATGTGGGCGGTGGCTTCCAGTAGCAGCAGGTCGATATCGTGATCCTCACTAGAGTCATGTCTAGCTCGTTCGATGAGCCGTTCAGCTATTTGGCACTGTAGACGGGCCATTTGATCGATCGGTTTGAATGAAGACAGTTGCTGAGGCACAATCGCGTACGGCAGATGGTCGGCGTGCGGAAGTCCCAGTGTCATCGATAGATAGCAATCCATGCAAACGATCTTGAAACAGAGGTATTCGACATCAAAGTTCAAGTAATTTTGAGGGTCAAGAAAATAATGGCGAGGCAAAGACATGTTTCGATACAAACCCAGGGTTTGGGCTTTAGTCGTCGCTCGGCGCAGTGTTCTCCATGCTTGATGGAGCTTTCCCGCATGGTTTTGCATCAATGCCTCCATCGCGATGCACTCTATGCCCTCGATTGAGGAAGTCAACTCATCGTTCGTTGTGACTAACTTGGCGACCGTGTCGGCTATGTTTGACTCAAGCTGTTCGAACCTTTCGCGTCGCTGCGCCGGTAAGTCGTACGTTGATAACGCTCCTTGAAGTAAGCCCGCGAGCTTGAGCATCCTATGCGCTATAAGAACCGGGTGTAGTTCCAGCAGCGGCAGTTGCAGCATCGCACGCACCGACACTGAACTCGCATCCACTGCTGACGTGGATGGTCGTAGTGGTTGATTTGGCGAGAGATGAGCTGGCAGACCGTAGATGTACTCAAGCTCATATTGATTTGGCCATATAGCAAGGAGGCTTTGAGAAATGCTGGTATGTTCACTGGCGGGCGTGATTGGTGATTCCAGTTCAGACTGCGAAGTCGAAGAGGGTGTAATCTGAAAACTGTTTGTGGGGAACAAAGAGGTCTCGCAGCTTGGATTGTGAGCATACACCTAGTTCAAAGTCAGAGATTGATGTGAGTCGAGATCTTCAGTGCAAGCATGCTTACAGGAGCATTCTCAACGCGGGCCTGGTTGATGGGAGATCTTTGTCTGCTTTGGTCGAGAACCTGCTGCAACAGACCCTCAACCTTCGTCAAACGAGCCTCAAGCCCGATCGCAGGAATTTCAACATTTAGATCTTCATCTTGTTCATATTCCTGGCTCACACAAGTTGTGTGCCTGTGAATGCAGTTTTCGCAGGCGAGTGACGCCTGCGAAGCAAACTTACAGCGAACTTTGCGCCGCTTGCATTCCCAGCAGTTGCGCGTCCCTTTCCGCACAGCTCTCCGCTTTCTCAGAGGCTCTGGCATGTTGCTCGAGGTGGTTTGCGAGCAGTCGACATTGTTGACAATGTGTGTAGGAAAGGGGCGCTGAGCTTCGACCGAATTCGGCCGAAATGAGTAGCTACTGATGACGTCATTCTCAAGCAAACATCACTTCCAACGCTTCCAGCACTGACACCTGTATCGGTGCTTGTGAGAACGTCCGTAATCGCATTGGCCATGTGACAGAGATGAAGTCAAGTCCCTTGATTGCTACATCGATCCATCTCAATTACAGAGCAACTTGCCAGATGTATCACACCAGATCCTCTCCATCAACGAGCACGTCTACACCAAACCCAGCCTCCATCTACGGCTTCCCCTCCCACGCCGCCCTCAAGAACTCCTCCGCGCCCTGTGGCTCAAAATCCGGCAGCAACCTGTTCCACGCATCCGACACGCACAGATCGCCCGCATCAAACGCCAGAAGGAAACCTCCAACAAACGCCCCAGATACTGCCTCAACCTGATCGGGCGGGAACGCCGAGTGCTCGATCTTCGGGCGCCAGGAGCTCGTCCACGTGCCCGACGCTAGCGCCGCGCGCGGGACACCCTCGACGGCCATGGAGCCTGCAACAAGATCAGCATGCCTGTCACTGTGCACGGGGGGTCAGAAGGGGACGCAACGCACCACGCAGTTTCTCCCCCAGCGCCGCAATCTCGCCCAGCGACATCTCGCTCCCCCGCACACCCCCGTCATGCGGCCACAACCCCTCATACTCCACCGCCCTTACCACCACGCGCGCCAGATCCTGCACCGTCGTCAGCGTCATACGCGCCTCCAGCCCGCCCTCGCACACCAGCATGCGCCGGTTGTCGAAGTCGAGCGGCGTCTGGATCGGCGTCAGGTGCGGGGCGCTGCGGTGCGGGCCGGCGAGGTAGTTGGTGAAGAGGCCCGGCTGGAAGCAGGAGTACTGCAGCTGGGGGGCGTCTTTGGTGATGGATGCGAGGTAGGCGCGTGTGCGCGCTTTGTAGGCGTACCAGGGCATGGTTTTGGAGTCGCCGCTGGGGTCGGTTAGTGAGGTCTCGTACTCAGGTACTGAGATGTGGGGGTGTAGGTGGAGGTGCGAAGGAGGGAGAGGAGACGTACCACACCCATTCGCTGGGGGCGAGGCGCTGCACGCCGGCTGCGATTGACGCGTCGATGAGGTTCTTCTGGGCTTCGAAGGCCTCGTCTTGGTCGTGGAACGGCGCGATGAATGACAGCACTGTATGGGTGCCGGCGAGCGTTGCGGTCAAGTCACCCACAGAAGTGTAGTCTACCTTCGCGTAGGAGACGTTTTCGCGCTGTGGGGCGTTGGCGGGGGCGCCCTGGGAATGTTAGTCGGGTACAAAGGTGAGGAAATAGAGGAGGACTTTTCGCGAGAGGAGCAGGATTTCGTGCTTCTTGGTGGCGACGAGTGCGTCGACTATCTCTTGGGCGACATCTGATGGGCGTGAGTTCTGACTATTCAGTGCTTTTGAAAGGGAAGGGGAGTGTACTGCTGGTCCCGCCTGCGATCGTGATTTTGACCATCTTGAGTGGACGACGTTGGATGTTGTACAAGTTGATGAAGTGATTGTTCAAGGTATAGTTGTTTATGAGGAGAGACTCGATATCTGACTGGAGTGTGGAATGTGGTGAACTCACCCAGCCAGTTTATTATACATAGTCTTCGACCGAGCGTCGGTCGAACACCACCTCGGAAGACGCCAGCTCACGGCTCGGACAAACGATCCCTTGGCACTGGTCCCACAGCAGGCGCCTTCTAGCTATCAACCTGGAACGTCAAGGGATCCTTCGACCGAACTCGGTCCTGTACCTGACTCCAGTCCGCGCACACCCCGACCCTCCGCCCCGCCGTCTCACCTCACCGACGACCGCCCCCACGGTCCTCACCGACCACCCTCCCAGTAATCTTCTCTTCAAAAACACTCGGCAGCAGATTTCTCCCCGTCTTATCCCTGAATCGCCAACTCACTCTATCCCACACCAGCTGGCAATCCTGCTGCAGGATGCGGGCAATAAGGCGCAGGTCGGCGGCGGAGAATGTTTGGTCGGGGGTGAGTTCGTAGGAGGTTGGCGGAGCGGACTTGGAGGGGTCTTTGGAGGGGTCTTTTGAGGAATTGTTCCTGGAGTGGTGCTTGGAGGACTTGTTATGGGATGAGGTGTTGTTGGCAGCGGTGGTTTGATTTTTGGGCCAGTTCGTGGTGTTGTTGCTGGTGTCGTTATTCTTGGTGGTGTCCCAGTTTGTCGTCGTGTTGACATCGTCCTTCTTGTTGTTACCAGTGGTATCCCAGTTCGTGGTCGTGTTACCGCCGTCGATCTTCTTGTCGGTACTGTCCAAGGTCGGGGCAGCGTTGGCCCAGGTATCCGCTTCACCGCTAAAGCCAACGCCAGCGCCACCTTGAGCGCCTTCGGTGGTGTCCCATCCGCCTGTAGTGTTGCCTCCAATCTCTCCAGTAACTGGAGTGGTACCCCATCCGTTTGTCTCTTTAAATCCAGTTTCTTCAGAGCCCTTATTGGTATCATCCCATGCGTTTGTACCCTTGTCGCCCGAGTCAACACCGGTTTCCCAGGTGGCTTGCGCATCCTGGAAGCCTTCGACAGCGTCGCCTTCAGGTTTATTGTCCGCGCCTGTGTCTGCGGCTTGACCGCCCCAGCCGCCCCAGATGCCGTCAGCGGTAGCTGGATTGGTGTCGACTGGGGTGGTAGCGTTGTTCGACTTGTCCCAGTCACCGGTGGCATCGTTGTTCGACTTGTCCCAGTCACCAGTGGCACCATTTTTCTCCCACGAGTTCTCATCTGCAAGCGCAGGAATCTCAGGCCAGCCGTTGTTGGCATTTTGCGTGGTGTCCTTGTTGTCCGTGGTACCACCTCCAGTGTTCCAGTTGGTGACGGTTGCAGGCTGGGTTAAATTCTGCGCGTTGTGCTGGTTGTTCCGATTCTTCTCGTTCTTCGGCTTCTGGTTGCCGCCCTTGGCTTTATTCGGCTTCCAACCCGGTGGCTTGATCTTGTTGAAGCGCGCTCTACACTTCTGATCCTGCCCGGGCATGCCCATTGCATTTGCAGTGTCGATCCACGGACCGGGATTCTCACTCCGGAGCTCGAGGAGCTTCTTGTCTTCCTCGTCGGTCCAGCCGCTGTCTGCGTCGGCGGCCTTCTTTTCAGTCTGGGTCGCAGCAGGCGCGTCATCAAAGAGGCCGAACATGCCCATGCCGCCTGCATCATCATCGGCGTCTTTCTTGGCCGCGGTATTGTCTTGATTCGTAGTAGTAGGATTGGCAGTACTCACCCGTGGCTTGCCTGGGCCAGTGAGTCTGCCGCGGCGTCCATCACTCGCAACCCACTCAATGGCGCCGCCTGGCGTGGTGACCTGTGCAGAGTAAGTAAGTCAGCCTCATCATCAGCACCGGAAGCGCGCACCATTTTCTTGAACGCGCTGGGGCGACGCGGCGGCGGCGGCTGCGTTGGGGCAGGCGGTCCTCCATCTTTGAACGGCTTGTTGCTGAAGCCCAGGATGAAGGCCATGGAGACGCGTCTCGGCGCATTGCTTGAGTCGGCCATCGTGAGATACTATCCAGACTGAATGATTGACTAGCTATCGACGGCAATGCTGGTGCGATGGTGGGAGTTGGTCCGGGTGCAGCCTCGTCTTGGCAGTTGGGTGAAGGTGAAATTATACTCGAGCCTCAGTGACAAACGGGCCTGCAGCGACAAACGAGCAGGAGATACCATGATGACGGAATAGCTGTAGTCTGACAAAGAGACGCATATTGCAAAGAGTTGGAGGTGATGAGGTAGATTTGATGGAGTGGATTGATGCAAAGAGATACTGAGACACGAAGGGGAGTTACAAGCAAACCCAAGTGCGTACTCGAGAAAATCACGAGATGCATCTGTAGACTTGATACTACCCTGACAGTATCCTATGCAAGGCTTTACGTTACGGCATTCGTAGGCGCTAACAAGCTCCATAATTCGGAGAGCGACCGTCTACAAGGCTCTACCCCTACCACACTGTACAAAGGTACTTGCGCTGGAAATGGCGCATTAGTGTGTCCGGTGGGTCTAGCAGAATGGCATGATGGGGGTTGAGCATCCACGAAGTACAGTAGGTACTTCGTACTTCGCGGTCAGGGATGGAGCCCGGGCACGGGCCATGTGAGTTGCGGGCAAGCTGGCATCTCCGAAACGCATCGCTGGGTTTACAACAACACCCTCCGGACGAACCACAGCCCCCACGGCCACGCAAAGATGCTGTTCTCGCCCATTGGTCTCCTCGCCGCGGCGGGCAGCTTGCTCTCGCTCACGTCGGCGCACAACATCCAGATGAAGGCGCACCAGCGCGAGTGCTTCCACGAGTCGCTGCACAAGGACGACAAGATGACCGTGACCTTCCAGGTCGGCGACCGCGAGTTCGGCGGCAGCGGCAACCTGGAGATTGACTTCTGGGTACGCGCGCGGCAGACACACTGCACCCCGGGAGGCAGCGGGCGCAATGGCTGACGCAGCGCAGATCGAGACCCCGTCCCACAGCTACCAGGTCCACGAGCGCGGCGTGTCGTCGGGCGACCACACCTTCGACGCCGCCGAGGACGGCAAATACACATACTGCTTCAACAACGAGCACTGGGGCGCGAACACAAAGGAGATCTCGTTCAACGTGCACGGCATCGTCTACGTGCCCGAGTCCGAGGCGCCCCAGGATCCCCTGGACAAGGAGGGTACGTGATGCGGACGCAAGGCACGTGTGTAGATGTACTGATCGCCTGTAGTGCGCCAGCTGGCCGAGCTCGTCTCGCAGGTCAAGGACGAGCAGGGCTACATTGTCGTTCGCGAGCGGACACACAGGAACACCGCTGAGAGCACCAACGCGCGCGTCAAGTGGTGGAGCATCTTCCAGATTCTGGTGCTCGGCGCGAACGGCGGCTTCCAGGTGTGGTGGTTGAAGAGGTTTTTCGAGGTGAGTAATGGTCCTCCTGTGTTGACTGTATCTAACATACGTGGCAGGTCAAGCGTGTTGTATAAGAGGGTATGGCAGTGGCGGTCAGATAGCATTGTTCATTTGGCGTTTGAGCGCACAGGAACTTGGGAAAAGTACGATAAGAGGCGGGCATTGCAGGCAGTTCAGAAATGCATGAACTTCTTGACTTTCGTTGTGCATCGTAAGATATGGGAGGTGTTTATGGTAACCCGGCCAAGCTCGTTTCAAAGAGCGCATGCTCCCCAGGCGACAATCCCATCTCCATTCTTTGTTGGCAAAGTGTATGCGCGACACAGGAAGCCATGTTTAGAACATGCAGCCTTGGGTCACTCTAATTCTCACGTAGCAGCTGCAGGCACCCGTTCTCCAGGCCGCTCCCTGCACCGGCCTGTTGCGCTCTCTCTGCCAGACCCCGTGTTGCTGCATCCTCTTAGCATCCTCTTGTTGTTGGCTGGCATGCCGGTAATATTTCCCGTCTGTCACTGTTGTTGTCGGCAAATTTCTACCACCATTCTAAACGACCTCAGTGCGAGTCAACACCTCGTTTGCTCTACCACCCGATCGAGCGAGCGACACTGCTCATCCCCGCAGCCCCGCTTAATCTCCAATCAGAGTCATAAGAGACGGATACGGGCTGCTTCCCGTCTATTATGTGCGTTTGGTCTCTTACCTCACAGGCTTCACCTTCCCTTCACTTCTGCCAAGGCAACCGCCTCACTCGCGCCGTCTTCTATAAGACCACAACGCGCCCCACCACTACCTCAGCAATGCAAGTTACGAGTCCACAATCATTACCAACACACTCTTTATCATCCGATGGATGCCCCAAACGATTCCCGCGCTCACCCGGCTGAGGTGAAATCGGGACGACCTGTCACACCCCCGGACCCCGACGTGCCCACTTTACCGGGCGCGCCTGCTCCGCGCGAACATGCCTGGCTACCGCCGTCAATCGCTCCTTCCGTCCCTCGCCATGCTCCGACTGGACGGCTCGACACCACCTGTGTTGATCAAGCACCGGAGGAGCTATGGCAGTCTGGCCAAGCTTCATATCAGCTGGGTGACGGAGACATCAATCAGTATGCACTCACTACACAGCTCAATAACAGTCACATACCATCTTACCCAGCGTATCTTCACCCTTCACACAGTCATCAACAGCCCATGCAGAGTGGCTCCGGCTTGGTCGGGCCCCCGTCGGGTCCTAACAGCTTCCAGCCAGAGGCGAACACGTACTTTGCCAGCCCAGACATTGAGAGAACTGCTAACAACAAAGTCTGGAACACTGACGGCGCTGATGGTGGGCGTGAAGACCGGGCATTGCACTATCAGCCTCTTCCGTCCCTACACAGCGCTGCACATGACTTCACACAGAGCCTTGAGCGCCCGCCACAGTATGCCGACTACACTAATCCGTATCAATCCCCGCGCACCAGTCCTGCAATCGAGAACGCACACCATTCCAAGATGCCCCACGCAGGTCGATCTGACTCCGTTGCCTCTCTGTCTGCATCGTTCGAGAACCCTGATCCGTCTGTCGTTCGGCCAGCTATCCAAGAATGGCGCACCGACAATCTGGATAGTAAGTTACTGTGTGTTTGTTCACTGCGAGAGTACTCACTGACTGTTGCAGGACATAAGATACTTCAACAACAGGAAACAGATTTGGTGACCCAATGGAAGCAAGAATTATACCGGCAGAAAGGTGAAGCTCGTAGGAAGAGTATCGCTGAGCGCAAGGCTAGTGCCCAGAAGAAGGCTGTTCCATCTGCGAAGCGCCGTAAGGTCTCACCAGACCCACAACGAGACTGGACCCCACACACGGCTCCCATGGCATACTGGAGTGGGTACGGTATACTAGTCCCTACTTATCCAGACGTGAACCGCCCCGTACACTTCACGCCAGCGTCGGTACCCCCAGTCTCCGCTCATCCAGACGCGAACGGCCCCGTACACTTCACACCAGTGTTGGTACCCCCAGTTATTCAACCTCCCCTAGCCGCTGACGACCTGCCCCAGCCCGTCGGCGCAGAATACAAAGACTACAAATGGTCCGTCTACCGCTACGACCTCCAGCCCACAAGCGGCTACGAGTTCGCCGAATCCTGGCTCGACGCCCTCCTGTCCGAGACCCTCCGCAGCGAGCGCCGCGAACGCCACATCACCCACCTGACCTGCGGCTTCATCGCTTCCGGCACCCGCCTCTCGCTCCTCGTCCTGCACAACGCCGACAACACCGCCGAGTACCACCCCCTCCCAACATCCACCGTCTCCTTCGCCGTCTACGCCCTGCACACCAACGCCCTGCACTGGACCACGCTGGCCTACGACGCGCGCCCGCTGCTCGCGCAGTGCGTTGCCAGAGGCCTCCTCGCTGAGACGCAGCGCTGGCGCGCCGACGACCCGGCAATCCTGCGCCGCTACCACCGTGCGTACTGGCTGGCGGCGAACCGGAAGGACATGAACAATTTGCTGAACAAGGAGGCTCCGGAGGAGGATTCGTACGGGCATATCGAAGACCGGAGTGACGAGGATACGGATTTTGATTTCCAGATTGAGGAGGGAGATTTGAGGGCCGGGTGGGAGGGAGAGGGGGTTGGTGACGAGGAGGGGAGGCTGGCGTGGGAGGAGATGATGTATGAGGCTGAGGTGGCCGAGCAGTGCGGCCCCGAGGGCTGGCAGCACGTGGTGCTGTCGAGTAACTCGTGGTAGATGGGTGGCTACATGTATGTTTACAAACAAGGACATGTAACAGGGCATACGTGGGGAAGGTACGATATCTGGGTTTTGTATCGCTGAGGCGCTGTGCTGTCAGGCGAGAAGTGCTACGCTGATCACTCATATGGACATCACAAAAACAAGTATCAGGCGTGCTAGCCCCAGTATACTTGCAGTGCTTGCTGAAATGTGCAGACCGCACCTAGTTCCATACATTATTAATACACAGGAAGCCCCGCTGTTAGACAGCGTCCTGTATACAACATTGTAGGTCAAGATGCTAGGCATATCCTTTCTGTAGACGGGTAAGTATCAGCAAGTAGTCCTGCGGCATCGTAAACTACTCTCTCTACCTCTTGTAGGTGTCCTGCACTACCATCACTACCATGCATGACATCCAGACTCCCCCGGAGTCCTACACACGCATCCTAAGCTCGCCAGCTATGAGGGTCTACAGGCATCTAACTACGACTATAACAGTGCACTGTCCTAAAGCCCAGAACAAATTCTTTCTCGCGCGTAAATACGCGTGACATTATGCTTTTGATATAGATTCCATACGAAACAAGTTCATCGCTGTGCCTCGCCTGTATAAAGCTGGCTGATGAACAAGTGCCGCCCCAGTTGAAAGCATAGTATTCGATCAACGAACATGGCGACTCTTCTGCAAGCCCTAGTCGCTGAACCTCACAGACTCGATCCACATGCCATCCACGCATCGGCCTTGTCTACTTTTGACTGGCATGCTGGGAGGGATGACCTCGCAAACGCAAGCGACATGGCACTACTAGACCAAGTACGGGATGATATCAAGATAGACATGAAGGAAGTGCGTGCTTACCGACTACGCCGCACTCGGGAAAAGATGGCAAAATATGGCATCAATGCATGCCTGCGATCCTATCAATATTCGCTATGCAACTGGAACCCGCAACATGCAGATTTACACAGCTCGCATGAACACAGCACGTTACCTGCTATTGACTGCCACTCGCTCCGTTCTTTGGGACTTCCACGGCTGTGCCCATCTCGCAGCAGATCTCGAAACCATTGACGAGATCCGCGTAGCAAAGACATTAAGCCACCAGTGTGCTGGCGTTAGACCAGAGGAGTGCGAGAAGCAATGGACAGCTGATATGGCGTCCCTAATCATCTCTCTCGTTGGCGCCAACGCATAAATTGGCCTGGAGCGTCTCAATGCCAACACAGCCATAGCCTTTGCTAGCCACGGCTTCACCATTGTCGACGCGCAGAGACCTATCGAGCTAGCACGCTGCATTAAATCCTCAGAGGAACTCAAATGTGCCATTGCCTCTCTCTGCTCCACCGAACGCGCAGTGGCCAGACTGCGCTCCGCTATCCGTCCAGGCATCTCTGATAACCCTCTTTGGAGCGTGCTGCACCAGTCCGTCATTGCCAACAACAGCAAATACCCTAAGACACGCCTGTTGACCGCCGGTCTACGGACATGCCCATGGTTCCAAGAGACCTCACCAAACGTAATTCGGCAGAACGAGCTCATCGCGCTTGATACAGATGTGGTGGGCGTGCACGGCTACTATTCAGATTTTAGCAGGACGTTTCACGCCGGCTGCATACCGTGCCGCTACTGGTACGCATCTTCCTAGCTCGGCAATTTATTTGGACAGCACACCTGGTCATCCACATTTCCTGCGGCTCTGCACTGCCCTAGTGAAATCTTTTCCTCCTACACCTGTTCTTAAGCAACTTGCTATAGTAGTCGCGGTTATTGTATTAGGATTAGTATGGTTTGTGTATCACGTCTTTGTAAGGTACAAGAATAACTCTATTTCGCGTTTAAGGAAGCAGCTCCTAGATCTAAGACTGTTTAATCTTATAGTTCTAAGATGCTATCTCTACTTAACTAGCAACGCTTAAGTTGTGTAGTAGGATATATATAAGCATGCAAGCTAATTAATTAAGCGCAATAGGTATGTAATAGAGACTATCTTTAAGAAATCTAGACATATTAATTATATAAGGATAGAGCTGCAGCGCTATTAGAATATAGTAAAAATAGTCTAGATATATAGTTAAGAGCAATATAAAGAAAAAGATATAATAATCTTACTATTAAAGTTATACTTTAAGCAAAGCTTATAAGCACTATTTAATTAGTTCTTAGGGATAAATACTATTAGGGAAACTAAAGAGGTCTTATACTAAGGAGTATAGATATAATCTATCTATCTTAAAGGCAAGAAGTAATAATAAGTAGTATAGAGTAGACTATCTAGCTTAAAGGTTAGGTTAAGATCTAATATTATAGATTAATACTTAGGTTAAATATAAACTATAAGAGTTATATTCTTACTTACTATATACTAAAAAATATTCTATAGTTATTCTAATATTCTATAATATACTAATATTAAGACACCTTAGAATATTATAGGATTCTTAGAACTATATATAATATATTCTATAGTAGTGTTCTACTAAGACTTTAAAATAAGAGGGGTTATATTATTATTAGTCCTTAATACTAACCTTCTTAAAGACTTTTAGGTTGTCTCTATATGTTATTAATTCTTCTCTTTTTTATCTTCTACTATATCTTATTTTAGGTTTATAATACTATTCTTCTCTTTTAATCTTTATATTCTTATAAACTAACTCTATAACTTCTAGAAGTACTTTATACTATAAATCTATTAGTAACTATATTAACTATATAGGATAACTTATAATAGTATCTTATTAGTACTATATAAAGTAAGGCCTTAAGTACTAAATAGTATAGAAATTACTATAGTATAGGTAGCTAGAAGTATATTCTAGTAGAGTTTCTAATTCTAAACCTTACTTATATTAATTATAAAATAGAGCATTTAGAGTAAATAGAAGCTAAGGCTAATAAAGCTAAATCTATAGCACTATAGGTAATTCTAGCTATGCATATAAAGAAAGATTATATTTATAAATAAAAGAAAATATTATAGTATTATAAATAATAGTAGGTAGATAAGGCTAGAAAGTATATAGAGAATATTAAGTCTCTTAAGGTAGTAGAGAATATTAACTAGAATGTTGCTTAGCTAGAGAAGGGCCTAATACCTAGTGTTAAGGTTATACTTTAAGCAAAGCTTATAAGCACTATTTAATTAGTTCTTAGGGATAAATACTATTAGAGAAACTAAAGGAGGTCTTACACTAAGGAGTATAGATATAATCTATTTATCTTAAGGGCAAGGGGTAATAATAAGTAGTATAGAGTAGACTGTCTAGCTTAAAAGTTAGGTTAAGATCTAATATTATAGATTAATACTTAGGTTAAACATAAACTATAAGGGTTATGTTTCTACTAGCTATATACTATAGAGAGTGTAGTAGCTTACTAGGCTTAATATAAGCTATATAAGCTAGGCTTACTAAGCTTAATATAAGCTGCGTAAGCTCTATATAAGACCTACTTTAGCTTAACTACTAAGGAGTAAGCTTATTATATAACTTATAATAAAACTATACTATATAGAATAGCCTATATAATATTATACTAAGCGTATTAGCATTTGCTAGGTGTTAGCATCTAGTTAGTTATAAAAGGAAGATTATAACACCTAGGTCTCTAGCTCTTAACTAGAGTATATTTATACTATCTATTCTAGAAAGTAATTCTAATTACCTATTATTTATTAATAATAAGATAGAAGTTATTAGTAGTTTATAAGGTACGTACCTAGTTTCTATATATTTTCTAAGTCTAGGTATCTTAACTACTTAACTAGGTATTCTTTATCTAGGCTAGTTTCTTAATATTTTATTATTCTTTTAACTTTCTATTTATTATTACTATTATTCTAGTAATAGAAGTTCTTCTAGATTAGTATATTAGCATTAGCTAGTTCTAATAAGAAGATATAGAATATAGAGTATATTTTTATATCTTTTAGTAGCTTAAGTTAATAGTTAACTAGGCTAATTTTCTTTAAAATAAAGAATAGTTTAACTTTAACTTTATCTAGTTTCTTTATTAGTTTTTTTATATATAAGTTCTTTATAAAAAGGTATACTTTATTCTTTTTTTTTAGTAGAGGTACTATTTTTCTTTTTTTATTAATATAAAAGATTACTTATATCTAAGCTCTAGTAATATTCTTAAGTAATTTCTAATATACTTTCTTTAGTCTCTATACTAAGAATATTACTAATTCTATTTAGATATTACTATTAAAACTTTATATAAAGAGATTTAAATATCTTCTATAGTTTATAAGAAATAGTATTAGGCCTATTACCTCTAATAGTTTATTATTATATATAATTTATACTATAAGTAAGAGTAACACTTAATTATTCTATTACTAGTTATAGTAAATATAGAAGTATATTTCTATTATCTAGTTTACTTGTTCTATCTATCTATCTATCTAAAAAAAATAAGCTATAGAAAGCTTCTTCTTTATTTTTATTGCTACTAAGAATATTATCTAGAAATTTAAAGTAAAAAGCTTATCTCTATTACTAATAATTAATTTAAAAATGCTATAGTATTAAATAATTCTATCTAGAAATACTTAAGTAAGCTACTCTATAGTATAGTTATATTAGAAAGGTATAAACTTAGTAGCTTTTATAAATCTATCTACTACTATAAATATTAAGTTATAATTATAGTCTATTATAGAGTCTTTAGTAATTAGTAGTTATATAATAAAATCTATTATAATATTTATTTATAGTATAGTTAGTAGTTTTATTACCTATATTTCTCTATACTTAGTATATATACTATACTTATTCTACTAATAGTTAATATATTCTTTAATATATTTAGTAACCTTATCTTTTATATTTAGAAACTTATAATATTATATAATAAGTTCTATAGTCTTTATAATTCTAGAGTAACTATATAGTAGATTATTATAATAATTATATATAATTTCTTTTTATAAGTTATCTAGTACTTAACTTAGTATAATATACTCTATAAGTAAGTTAGATAATAGGTAAGTTAGATACTTTTACTAAGCCCCTACTAAATACCTTCTCCTATACTAATATTTTCTTAATAATACTATTTAGATATATTAAAAGAAGTATAGATATAGCTTATACTTTAGGCTCTTAAATAAGATATAACTCTATCTCTATAACATGCTACTACTATCTATAAGGTCTCTTAAAGTATACTAAGTAACTAGTATACTAGATAACCTTTATATACTAATTCTATAGCTAACTTATAGAAGCTAGATAATAATAAAAAGAAGGTAATTATTAAATATATTCTTAAGCTAGATATATAAAGGTTTTCTCCTTAGCTTTTAGATATAGCTACTATAGCTAATTCTTTATATACTAAGTATAATCTAGGTTTTATTAGTATAAACTAGCCTAGTATATTTATTAAGTAATACTTAGAACTTAAAGTTAAGTTTAATTATAAGTATAACTATAAAAGAGCTCTCTGTAAGGATCTTAAGGTTCTATAGAGCTAGTTTAGCTTAGTAGCTAATACTAAAGCTAAGTATAGTATCTAAGATAAAGATATATATAACTTTAATAAGATAGGCTTTATAATAGGCTAGATCTCTCTAAAAGTAGTTATTATAGCTTTAAAATAATAAGGTTAGCTAAAAGCTATCTAGCTAGGTAACTAAGAGTAGGCTATAGCTATAGTAGGTATTAATGCTAAAGGATAGGCTATTTCTACCTTCCTTATCTTTAAGGCCTACTACTACCTCTCTACCTAGTATAAGAAGGAAGAACTACCTTAAGACTAGGTTATTAGAGTCTCTAATAATAGCTAGACTACTAATAAGCTTAGTATAGACTAAATAAACTACTTTAATAGGTATATAAAGAAGTATACTATTAGTACCTACTATTTACTTATTATTAATAGTTATAAGAGCTATAACTCTTTTAAATTCTAGTAATACTATAAGAATAATAAAATTATTACTCTTTACTTATCTCTTTACTTATTATACCTTATATAGCCTCTTAATATAGCTTATTTTACTACTTTAAAGAAGATATATAGGTACTAAGCTAAAATACTTATATATAACTAGATTAACTATATTATAAAGATAGAGTTTCTACTATACTTTATATACGCCTATAATACTATAATTACTTCTAGCAATATTTAGAGAGAGTTCTAAGGCACTAGACTAGTTTTATTTAATCTATAATAGGTTATAAGTAGCCTTAATATAAAGCTATGCATGCTATTACTACTACTACCTATTAATAATAAGCTCTAGTAGTTATAAACTCTAAGTAATACTCTTAAACTTAGGTTATAATTAATACTTATAAAGATAAGGATTTAGAGGTATATAGATAGCTTACCTACCTCTATAGTTAAGGTGTTTAAGAAGGTAGTAAAGGGGGTAGTAATAATTATATATAAGCTAGTATTAGTATAATAAAAGATTACTTAGCTTTAAGCTACTAATAAGGTAGCTATATAATAAAAATTATATAAAAGAAAGTAGGTTAAGAAAGAAGGTACTCTAGTAGTTAAATAGGGCTAGTAATTAATAGCTCTAAAAGAGTTTAAAGTATATAGTAATAGTAAGAAGGCAAAGAAGTAGGTATATACTAAAGTAGGTAAGCCCTCCTAAAGGCACTATAGATAGTATAATTAGACAGGATATAATATATAAATATATAAGAAAGAGATAGAAGTAGTTTCTAAATAGTATTATAGACTATACTATATATTATAGCACTAAACTAGGTTATTTTATATTATAATAGGGTAGAGTTTAGTAGGGGCTTAGTAAAAGTGTCTAACTTACCTGTTGTCTAACTCGCCTATAGGGTACGTTAGACTTTTTTAATTAGTTACTTTAAAATCTACCTATATTACTTATGCTAGTTACTATAGTATATATACTTGTTTAGTGTGTGTGCTAAACGCTTTACTAGGTACTTGTTATTAACAATTATTACGTGACGTTTAGGACCAATGCGAAGATTTATCTGGGCGACACGCTCAGATTGTGGTGTTGGCCGGCGCTCGTCCAAAGGTAGACTGGCAGTCACAGCGCCCAAACCAGCGTATCAGCGCATGACTCGTTGCACACGAGTGGCTATTCACTGTTTCGTTCTTCATAGGCCGTGAGGAAAGTTGTTGGACCGTTAGCGCCTGTGGGTGTAAGTAAGGCAGGACAATCGCATTTAGCAGCGAGGACATGCAACGAGGGAGGGTCAACATCAATGCGGTGGACGAGGTTCGTGGACGTGAACGTTGTGACTCGGCTCCGTGACGCTAGCGATGTAGACTTAGGGGGTGGACCCCGTTAAGTAGCGCGAAGCGGGGCAGGGCAATCACATTGTGGGTTGCGCGAAACCGTTTCACCCTGACAAGGCGGGGGGGAAATTATCTGCAGAATGATTCCTGTCCACTCTTCAACCGCGTTAAGACTGTTGAATACGATAATGGCTGATCTGGAGTGCGCCTGATAGATTGCGCTCAGGGTCGTAAGTCAAGGGAAAGGTCCCGAGGTAGGCAAAGCTGGCTCCTGAGTCGAAAATGGCGCCGCTTCACCTCAATTGCCCGTTGTGCAGCCGAGATTGCCACACTAGCAACGTGCTCTACGAACGGCTTTCGCAACCGCCAATGCCACCAAGGCCCTGAAAGGATTTCCCACTACTGCTCCAGCCCTGATTAGGGCGCCTTTTGATTCCTGGGTTCCGATGTATAGCTCCAATGCCTGCAGGTGGTCCTGCTAAGCGTGCAGACTCAGAAAAGCAAATAGATTTCACGCGCACTATCACACTTCTTAGATCTTTCAGTCCTTACTCCATTTACAGTCACGCACACGACGACAGTTCTCTGTGAGTGAGCTGTGAGCTCTTGCACTGCGGGAAAGATGCTTGTATACGGAGACCCTGGATACATGGAGGAAAACAAGGGACCTGCGCTTTATAGCATTACGTTCTCATTCCTAGGTGGCGCGATTCTTATTGCCATGCTAAGGTTTATTTTCATTCTTTTCGTTTGGTGCTACTCTGACTGAATCGTGTAGGCTTTTTAGTCGATGGTATCTCCTTCGCGCTCGACGAACAACACTGTCGGAGGACCTGATCGTTGCAGCCGTCTTGGTAGACATCGCCTCATGCATCTTAATTCACTTTCAGATTCATACAGGAATGGGGAAACATATTGAGTACTCGCGCGCTCGCCCGAAAATGCTTATAGAGAGTATGAAGATCGGAGTAGCGCAGAACACGACTTACCAAGCGCTGGTCGGGTAAGTAGCAATTCTCGGTAATCATCAGATCTGTTACGGTGTTGACAAGATACACAGCCTGATCAAAATGAGCATTCTCGTCCAGTTTCACCAACTCGCTCTGCCAGGGATGCAAAAGCGTGTGATTGTGTGGGTTGGCGTCTTTGTATTGGTGTTCACCCTGTTTACAGTATTTGCAAGTGCTAACGCTGCTTATCCAAAAACTGCTCCCTAACTTACAAGACAGGCTGCGATCTTCCAATGCATTCCAATGCATGCTGCATGGGACATCGACAATTTCCCTAAAGTGTGTCACCATCAGCTTCATACACTCTTTTCCCACAGCTAAGAAAATGCAGGGATGCTGGAATATGATGGAGGTGAACTTCTTCACGTCCTCTATAAACACGCTTCTGGACATTCTCATCTTCGTGCTCCCCATCCCGACCATGCAAAAGCTACAAATCAACTCAAAGAAGAAAGGTAAGCTTCAGACTATATGCATCACATACACTGGATTTACAAATTACAGTAACATTAGCCGTAGCATATGCTATGGGTCTGTTAGCCCTTGCATGCTCGATTATTAGACTAAGGAATATCATTCACTTCAATGGTGAGGGCGATTTCACTTACATCGCGTCCATGGTTCCAGTCTGGGGCGCCGTTGAGTGCAATGCCGGCATTATCTGTGGTCTGTTCCCCTCGCGTGGCCCACCACTACGTCGCGTTGAGTTTTGTTAACCTCTTCTAGCATCATTTCCGTTTGTTGTACCCCTGTTCAAATGGATAGGTGGCTCTGTCACTGATACCGTGTCCGGGTCACATCTAAACCCTCTACCAGGAAGGGATCATGAACAACAACGATCTGACAAGATGAGCTGGCCGCTGACTTCTAGACGTCAGACTGACCGGCAGCGCATATGCTCCGAGTCAACAGAAAACATAAGAGTCGATTCTGAGACCACAATTATCTTTTCTCATGCAACAACGAAGGCCGATGGGCAGCATGTCGAGAATTTCTAGCTACAATGGGCTGTGATGCTACGCCTAAGCTTTGCGTGCACTAAGAAACTATAGGTTAGCTGCTTAATGTATCAGTGCACGGCCAGATATGTCTTACACCGTGAACTCTGACGTACTTCGGATGGACTGTCAACGCAAGCCCGATGTAAGAGTATACGCGCTTCTCTAGATGTCTTAGTAGATCGGGAGCTGACGTAATAAGTGTTTAAGCGCTTAGGAAGCCGTTAAGTCTTAGAGGTAGCGCGCGACCATCTTAAAGATTAGCAGCGAAGTCTAGACTAGAATATCGCAAGAATAGGACTAAATCTCTAACCATATTATAAAGCTAAAGTTTCTACTATTCTTTAAACGCGCTTATAATATTATAATAATACCTAGTAACTAATATTTAAATAATATTTTAAAGTACTAGATTAGTTTTTTTAAACTTATAATAGGTTATAATAAGCTTTAAAATAAAGCTATAATATACTAGATAGGTAAGTTAACTAGATAGGTAAGTTAATTACTCTACTAAGACCCTACTAAAACTTAACTCTCTTTTAGCCTATAATACCCTATTATAGGCCTATAAATAGTAATTTAGCATATTATAGTATAGAAGAGCTATCTATAATCTCTTTTAATATATACGCAAGTTATACCCTATCTTCTAGCACTATTTATAGTATCTTATAGTCTATTAACCTTTATTAGTATATACTATCTTCTTTATAAATTTACTATTACTATATACTATAAACTCCTCTAGAGTAGTTAATTATACTCTCTCTTTAACTATTAGAGTCCCCTCCTACTATAAGCGCTTTCTTTTATATAATTTATATTATATTATAGCCTTATTAGCATCTTAAAGCTTAGAAACCTACTTACACACTAATACTAGCAAATACGCTATTATCTTAGCACCTTTTAAGAGCTTTTCTAGCACATTTATAATAGAGGAAGGTAAGCTATCTATATACTTTTAAATCTTCTCTTAAACTAGCTTTAATTAAGACTTAAATTCTAGTATATTCTAAAGTATATAGAACTACTAGAGCTTATTAGAGATAGGAAGTAGTAATAGGGTGCATAGTTAAACATTAAGGCCTATTATAACCTATTTAAAGTTAAATAGAACTAATCTAGCACCTCTAAACCCTCCCTAAATATTACTAGGAGTTATTACTATATTATATATGCATTTAAAGTATAGCAGGAACTTAAGTTTTAAGATATAGGTAATCTAGTTATATATAAGATCTTTAGCTTAGCACCTATATACCTTCTTTAATAGCGCAAAATAACCTATATTAAGTAGCTATAGGAGGTTTAATAAGTATAGAGGTATATAGAGTATAATAATCTTCTTCTCCTTATAGTATTATTAGAATTAGAGGGAGTTATAGCTCTTATAGCTATTAATAATTAGTAGTTAGTACCCTCCTATAGTATGCCTCCCTATATAGGCTTTAAAGTGCTATAGCTACTAGAATCTAAGCTTATTTATAGTCTAGCTATTCTTAGAGACTATAATAACCTAGTTATAAGGTATTATATTCTCTTTATACTAGGTAGAGAGGTAGTTATAGCCTTAAAAGATAATAAAGAGTAGAATAGCCTATTCTATACTATTTACGCCCTAGATAGCTATTATCTACTCCTAATTGCCCTATTAAACTACCTTTAGCTACCCTTAATACTCTAAGCCTTTAATAACTACTCCTATTAATATCTAGCCTATTATAAACCTAGTCTTATTAAAGTTATATATATCTTAGTTCTAGATACTATACTTAGCTTTAGTATTCTCTATAAGGTAGAACTAGCCTTATATAATCTCTAGATCCTTATAGAGTGCTTACTTATAGTTATACTTATAATTAAACCTTACTTAGAGCTTAGAGTAGTGCTTAATAAATATATTAGGCTATTTTATACTAATATAGCCTAGATTATACTCTTTATATAAAGAATTAGCTATATTAGCTACTACTACTAGCTAGGGGGTAAACCCTCTTATATCTAGGTTAAGTATATACTAAATAATTACCTCCTCCTTATTCTTGTCTAGATTCCTTAATTTAGGTATATAATTAGCTTATATAGGTTATCTAGCATATTAATTATATAGTATTATATAAGACATGTTATAAAGAGATATAGCATATTATAGGGAGATTATTATATCTTATTTAATAGCCTAAAGTATAAGCTATATCCTAGCTTCCTTTAAAGGTTCTAATTTATGTTGTTATTATAGCATTATATAAGAGGGTTAAGTTTTAGTAGAGTCTTAGTAGAGTAATTAACTTACCTATCTAGTTAACTTACCTATCTAGTATGTTAGTAGCTAACTATATTAAGGAAGTTTAGTATATATAGTAATAGTAAAAAGCTAAAAAATAAGTAAATACTAAAGAAAGCAAGCTATTATAATAATACTATTAAATATATAGAAAAACTAAAAATAATATATAAATATAATATAGAAGTAGTTTCTAAATAGTATTTTAGTATATTTTACTCTATATAGGTATAGAGTATAGTATTATAAAATAATATATAACGTGAGTGCATAGCGAGTGACGCAGTCAAGCGAGTGACGCACCCCAACAAACCATTGGGCCTTCCTACCTTCAAACCTCAATGGACCAACCACCTAACCTGGAATCGCTCCTAAAAGAAGACAGAATCAAGCTTGCACTTCAAGCAATTAAGAAACCTCAAGAGCTAAGCGTGCGACGCGCTGCTACAGTGTACAGGGTCTCTGAGGCAACCCTCCGCCGCCGACGCGCTGGGACGCAGTCAACACGCGATACCCACCCTAAATCAGCGAATCTTCAGAGGACAGAGCAGAGGACACTTATGCAGTATATTAGGAAGCTGGATTCCCAAGGATTTGCCCCAACGCTCTATTGTGTTGAAGATATGGCTAATCAACTGCGCGCTGCACGCGGCGCAAAGCCTGTTGGCCCACGATGGGCTTCAAACTTCGTCAAACGCAAACCTGGACTAAAATCGCATATAACTCGACAGAGAGATCGCCAGAGAGTCTTGTGCAGCGATCCAGGGGTCATTGGGCCCTGGTTTGACCTGGTTCAGAATGTTAAGGCCAAGTACAGCATCCTGGATGAAGATACCTACAACTTTGATGAGACTGGCTTTACTATAGGCATTGGAAACTGCGTCAAAGTAGTCACTGCATCAGAGAGACGTACTGAGCCCATTGGGTTGCAACAGGGAGACCGTGAGTGGGTAACTTTCATTGCTGCGATCAACGCGATAGGCTGGGCAATCGCGCCCTACCTTATCTTCAAAGCAAAGAACCATGACGCGTCCTGGTACCCTGATTTAAGGCCCCAATGGCGCATTAGGGTCAGCGACAACGGCTAGACTACAAATGATATTGGTGTAGCCTGGTTAAGGCACTTTATTGAGCAGATTAAGGGCCAGAGGGTAGGTAGCCATGTGCTACTAATAATTGACGGCCACAAAAGCTACAAGTCGCTTGCATTCCAGGATCTTTGCAAGGAGAACAAGATAATTACTCTATATATGCCTCCACACTCGTCGCACATCCTGCAGCCGCTTGATGTGGGCTGTTTTGCCCCCTTAAAGCGGGAGTATAGTAAAGAGATCAGAGTCTTGGCAACAGACCACATTGGCCAAATTGACAAGAAGGCCTTCATTGCAACGTTTGCAAAGGTTTTTGAGAAGGCGTTCTTAAAGGCAAATATCACATCAAGCTTTAAGGCAACTGGCTTAGTGCCTAATGACCCATTAGTAGTGCTATCAAAGCTTGATGTCAAGCTTTGGGCGCCAACACCACCTCTACCAGGGGGGGCCCAATAGAACCCCAAGACACCCACCAACGCTAACAAGATAGAGTCTCAATCAACGCTGCTTCGCGATCGTATTCAAAAGCACCAAGGATCATCACCAACTCCAATAGTAGAGATTGTTAATCAGCTGCAGAGAGGCACTGCAATGCTACTACATGGGCAGACGTTATTGGCAGCCCGAGTGCTGCAGCTTGAAGCATTGAACAAGGCTGCTTCTGAGCGCAAATCACGTAAAAGAAAGCGGATTCAGAAGGGTGGAGACCTCTCAAAGGAACAGGCAGAGGATTTGATAGCCCAACGCGACGTTGAGGCGCAGGTAGAGGGGGAAACGCGTGAGGGTAGGGCCCAAACAGGTGCAGGCAAGCAGGGCAAAAGGCACTGCAAGCGCTGCGGTGAGACAGGGCACAACTTGCGCACGTGTAAAAAAGATGTAGTAGACGTTAGCGATTAAGGATATATCTTGTTAGCTACATTATAATGTTGTGGTGTTGAGTAATTGCACGTAGAAGGCCCAATAGTTTGTTAGGGTGCGTCACTCGCTTAACTGCGTCACTCGCTATGCACTCACGTTAGTAGAGTATAGTATAGTCTAAGTAAAAGTAAATTACTTATCTAGGTAGATAACTTACTTATAAGGTATATTACTAAGTATTATAGTTTTTATAGAGCTTAAACTATTATATACTAAAATCTTTATTAGTATTACTAGAATTTAATACTTATCTCTTCTATAGTAATTAAATATTAATTAGAATATAAAGAGTAGAGAGTAAGTAATCTAACTAGGATACTTAATATATATATATTTACTCTATTAATAGTCTTCCCTTAGTAGTTGGAAGATAAAGTCTACTTCTTCTCCTTTTTTAATAACCTCAGTTCTTGCCTGAAAGCTTCCGCTAGTACAGATATTTAACTCACTAGCCAAGAGCCCTCGGATGTATAAGGCATATCTACCAGCTGGTAAGTTCATCGCGACAGGGCTTAACGTAACCTTAAGGGGGGCGTTCTCAAAATCCCAACCCTGCACTGTAACAACAAGACTCTTAGTTTGTGTATCCCAGACACCTCGCAAAACAGCCACGTTGCCGAGATCAATACCGTCCACCCACGGTTGTGTTCTGTGATATTCTCTGCCCCAGGGATTCTCCCACATCTTGTTCTGCCCTCCGGCGATGTTGAGCCTTGCATAAGCGATGGCAGCGTTACCAGTGAATCGGTCCATGCGCAGCCACCTCAAATCTTGGTCGAATGGTGTATCGTTTCGAGGGTAGTACAGTCCGCCATGTTCCCAAGTGGGTTTCAGCATCTCGTCTGCATACTCCAGCAATCCTTTTAGTTCTTCTTGTTTCCCCAGCTCGGAGAGCCATTTGACGACGTAGCCAAACGTCGGCGTTAAGTACGGCATCACATCTACCGGACGTTGAGGGTCTGCCAGAGCTGCTTGTGCTTCTGTAACTGCCACAGAAAGTATCCTCTTGTCGGACGAGGTACCATTGGCCGTGGTTGCTGCATCAGACGTGGCTACTTTCCGATACACACTGGCAATCAGTGCAGGATGCAGACGTACTTGACCGTCGATATTGGTGAGGAAACCAGACGACTGTCGTGGGTACAAGGACTGGACCAACTCCGCGTTCCAGGCGCTCATGAATGCCCCGGCCCAAGCTGTGAAGCCCAAGTCTTTTGCTGGTACGATCTGATCTTGTTTGATCATCAACCAGTCGGGAAATAGTCCATCGTCAAGTATCATCCCCTTTTCTTCCCACGCGGCCTTGTACTGTCGAATGACACCATCAACAGTATTCGTGCCATCACGCACATCATTGTATCTCATAGCGATCAACTGATGATATTAGCACATGACTCGAGTCTAGAAGTTCAGACTTACCGGAAACTGGTTGCAGACCACAAAAACGCAGTTAGGTTCGCAGCAAACGCCAACCCACTTGTTCCGTTCCATCTCTACCAAGATCGCTTTTTGCAGACTGCGGTTGTCGTACGTAAACTTCTGCGGTTCTCCCCAGAACAATGGGTTCCAGTCGAAGACTAGGGACCCCGGTTTCTCAAACTCGTCGTCATCAAACAGCATGGCATAGAGACTGGTCATCAGTAACAGATGTCCACTGTACATGATGTTCTCGCGCACCACCGGATCAGCCCAGGGTTTTCGTAGTTCCGTGATCGATGGGTCCACGAATTTACCAGAATGGCTAGTGCTGAACCAGTAGCCCCAGCATCCACGAAGCAGCATCTTGTGAATGAGCTGCCGGACCAGCGGTTTGAATGCCGAGCGCAAAGCTGGCGTGCGATGATAGTAGGTCACAGCTGAAGCGTATGCCATTGTTGCCAGCTGGTATCGGTAAGCATCCAGGAACTCCTGTGCGGGTTCTGGGGATCCCATGAGATACCATTCTCCGTCAAGCTGATGCGCAAGGTTATAGAAGTGTCGAAGATGTCCTACTTGGAGAGAGTCTAATTTCTCATATTGTGACAGGTCGAGTAAGAGCTGATCGGACGCCATTTTGAGTCCAGGAAAGACAATCTTCGAGTCGTAGTGCAGCCCAGCCGTGCAGATGAGTGTATTTATTGACAGGACCGCCTGAAGTAGACGTTCCGAGGTCATTTCCGCAATTTCCGAGCTTGGTTCAGGCTTCCGGCGGAAGTTCCGATTAGGCGATTGCCAGGAGCTAGATCTACATTATTGCTCTACTCGTATGATAACCACATCTTCGCTTCATGAATGGACAGAAAAATTCTGTGCTCTGTAACTACCTTGCTCTGCGTATACAACGCATCATGCTCAAGTTGACCCATCACCTCACTCTCAGCCATGCTTCGTTGTTGAGTGCCATATTCCCCCCACCAGTCCCAGAAATACTGATGTGCTTCATTGTGCTCTTGTCGGAGCTCCTCTATTCGCTTTGTATTCTGGGTGCACAAGGCATCAATAGTGTTTGGCGCAGCCTCGTGGGCGCCATGACCAGTTGTAAGCAGATGTGTCGTGTATTGCTCAGGTTGTTCAAACCAAGCGTCGCAGTTAGTCACTAAACAGCTAAAAGGTTCATGCCGTCCTTCGAAGTAGTGCTTCTCTATAGCTGCCGCTCGATGCAACTCTGCTGCTCGACGCTGATCGTTGAACTTCTCCCAAAGACTGTTTGCTTTGATGAAGGCGCCTACCCGCCCCTCGTAAGGTTTCTTAGGCGGTACCACAATGGTTCCAGGGAGGCTTGGTCGTTCCAGTTTCGGCGTTATGACTGTGTCTTTGCCTCCTTGACCAGCCGTCAGTCGCCACAGGAGCCTCTTCCTTCGGCAATTTGAAAGGTCATCTCCTATCTCGGCCGCGTAGAAAAACAGACTGATGCCATCAGGACACAGTTGCGCAACTCTGTGACAGCAATCAGTCATTGGGGGGCTGCCATGGAGTCGCCCATCATCCGTGCTGAGCATGATGCGTTTGACTCTAGGGCAAACGCGCTGTACAGTCTGCCAGAAATCGTTTATGCCTGCGTTGATACGCTCGTCAAATATCTCAATCAATTCCTCGTCGGTGGCACCTGTTTCCCACCAGTCTTCAGGATACCAGGAATTGAATGACAATTCAAACTCAAGATTAAGCTGCTCAATACTAGCAAGAAAATAAGCGTCGTGAACTAACTCGCTGGGTGAGCTGCAATTTCGCAACAGGTCTGCATGCAGGCGGTACCATGTCTTCTGGTCTGCAAAGAAGAGCTTCTTTGACTCTGTACGAAGATCGTGCGATGTGTGCATAAGCTGGAAAAGGGTTTGCGCATCGCACAGTTGAATGATCCGTAGCTGCAGCTCTACTGGCAGCTTAGAGTATTTACCGAAATGGCCTCCTGAGGTCGTGAAGTGTAGTGGACTGATGTGTTGGTGGAAATATTTGAAGAATTGCCCTCCAGAAGTGACAGGAATGGCAAAATCGAGCGGCTCTGTCCAGTATCCCTTGTCGATTACGTGCCAGGTCATGGCAGTGGACATGCACCGACACAACTTGGGCGTCGTAGTCAATGAAGCTATAGACACGCTGGAATCTCTTATGTAGGCCAGACAATGGGGCGCAGGCAGCAGGAACGGCCTAACAATGCCTCGGTAATCCACAAATAAGAAACCACGCCACTACTAGTTAGCGCGGTCGGGCACATAAGACTAGAACTCTGCGTGGCGTACGGACACATAGAGCACTGCCACATTTATAATTTCTATAATTAAGCAACCTCTCAATACCTAGACACGCCTGCAGTTAATTGAACACCGACTGATGTGAGCATAGTTGATTCCACGACAAAAGCTCATCCTGCCAATACTTTACTGGCTGATGTATTTATAAATGCTAATTCTCACCTGAGACCCGTGAGTAGACGTCAACACTTGGCCTATACTACGCCTCGGCCACTTTCATCTTATTCAGGGTCAATCTACAATAAGGATTATTGTTAGGTCTTGCGCCGCAAGCCGCTATCTTGTTGTCTTTTGGCATGCCTATGACCTTGCCCCAAGTTGCCATCTTAGAGTCTGCCAGAAATAGATAGATATGTAGGTACTTATATACTGAATAGATTAAATACGCAGTATAATACAGGACTATCTATCTAGTTGGTTCGCAGGTGGGTTCCCGTGGCGGAACACCTGGTAGAATAGCTGGGTAGACGCCACCTAGCGAGGTTTCAAAATCCCTAAACGAACTACCTAACTCGTTAGCAATACACGCATACTTGGTAGTATTACCGAAGGCAAGCTTTTCACAGCTTCCCACGAGATCCTTAATGCTTTCAGTAGACAACAAAATCTTTCCGGCGCGAATAACCAGCTCGATGTGCTCCGGCGGTGAGAAAATGGCTTGCGCAAAAGGACTTGATTTGCCATAGGCTGAAAATTCGCTAGCACGTCCGCCAACGACAGTGATATCGGCCAGCTTCCCTTCCTCTAAGGAACCAATCCGCCTTTCAAATCCTGCCACATTCGCCGCATTGATAGTCATCATCTCCCAGATGGTTTTGGGGTCGAGCGTTATACCGTAGCTCTTCCTCATCACTGAAAGGCCGCATATGGCTTCTCTGCTCATTGTAGCCGAGCCTGAAGGCAGCCAGTCCGTTCCTAGGGCCACCGTGATTCCGGCTTCGAGTAGATACGTGACATTAAGCGTTTTGCCGTAAAGAAAGACATTGCTGCGTGGGGACCAGACAACCTTGGCACCTCGTGCAGCCACCATGTCGAAGTCGTTCTCTGTGAGACCGACGCCTTGCACAATGACCAAATTTGGGCCTACAAGATCAGTGCTCAGACCACCTCCCCTGGGAGCTGGTTGGGTGTCAAAGGTTATATTGGAAATGCACCTGAACTCATTCTCAGCTTCTGCATCGATACCATCTGCGATGTGGGCGATGTAGCGATTGAATTTAGAAGCTGCCGCCCTAGTCATGGGGCTACTGCCGTAGTCGCAGTCTCCGTTCCTTAAGTCGCCGTCAGTATCATCGAGGGGAAAGACGTCCCAATAGCTCGCAGGTGCTGTGAGACCGTCTTGCAGGCCATCGACAAAGTCGAGGTTGCGCGTCAAGCCAAGAGTCATCATCCCTCCCACAATCGACGTAGTGCCCGAGAAGAGATGGCGTAGCTCTCCCCATTTAATTGCATTGATCTCGGAGCCGTTGACCGGTAGGTCCCGCTTGGTGAACCCTCGAAGCCCAAGACGCCAGTCGTGCCGATGATTCGTGCGCTCTCCGATGTCCGCTAGAGGCTCGACAGTTGAGTAGGCGATGTGTTCGTGCGTATTGATAAATCCAGGAGAGATGATGGAGTTAAAACAATCGATGATGGTAGCATTGGTCGCCACTGACTCGCAGTCCTCATTGACACACTCAATTTTCCCAAACCGCAAGAGGATGCTTGATCTTCTTTGGGCCCCTAGGCTGGTGAGAACGGTTCCCTTGAGAAGTAGGTCCTCGCTACAGTGACTGGTAACATGGCATCGAGCATCTACAGTCATTCCTGTGTAGGCTATAGCAATAAGAGCCAGGAGGAGCGTTGGCTGACGCATTGTGTGAACTGAAGGCGGTTTTTATCCTTTGCTAGTTAGAAGATAGAACGAGACACTTAGTAGAAACATGCTATAGACAGATTGCTCTATATATGTATTTAAGGCCTAGAATGTCCTATCAAGTCGTAATTTGAGCTACCACGTAACAGCAAGTTAGTGTAATCTCTTTAGCTTTCGCTTTTTTTTTATCTACTTAATTAAGGTTAGGCCAACTGCATATACTTCGTGCGTATACCTTGCTATTCGGTGCACACACGGAGTATTTGGGCGCCAACGCGCTAGTTAACGCTAATGCGCAAGACCACAAATCTTAAAGCTGTGAAATACTCTATAAACTTAGATAAAACAGCAGAGCTATTTTAGGACCTGGTTAAGGGTTATCTGTCGGCGCTTGGTCTTGAACGTGACTTACCGTGATTTACCCACGGAGTCTGGGGTCTTGCATCTGTATATGCGCAGCATGGGCTTAGGCAGAATAGAGTACTACCTACTAGAATTATATATCTTATACACGTTCTTGGTTATGAACTCCTGTTCAAGCAGTTGCGAGTTACGTGCATGGTCACAGAGACCGCACGCTCCCAAAAGTGAGGAAGGGACCGCCCGGTCTGGCCGACCGAAGCGGGCACTGACAGAAGCTACAGAACCGGTATCGAGAAAGCGCTGAAGACCATTGCGAGACATGTGCACAAGACTGATAAGTCGAATGTTGGTGGTGTCTTCGCGACTCAAACTGATCTGATCATGAAACAAAATGTACAAGCCTATACCTGACAAGAACTGGTTACCTGAGTGGGACCGCACTTGTAGGATGCCATGATATATACCTCGGTAGGCGACCAAAGAGCCTCTTTAGAAGTTGCGCAATTCCTCTTAGTCCAACGCAGATTTACCATCAAAACATTTCGCTATTGGCTTTTCGATGATAAAGCAGATCCCTATCGTGCAGAATACGGACTGACTGTGATGGGCAGATGCGCTGGGCATAGCGGAGCAGCTGTGAGAGACAACACCATTGTTAGGTATTTTATTCAGTGGCGGCAGCGGCTTTAGCGTTTGCATGCACTTGAGGAGCCATCAGTGCGTCAGTCGTTGTACCTGTGACGTTGCGCGCACAGACATCACGCTACATACATACCTAAACCGCCGGCCGATGTGATTACTGATATGGATGACCAATAGAGCTGCGTTGCATCGCTTGTACGCTCTCGTCTTGCAATTGCGTGCTATTGCTTAGTATCCTCGTCTCTTCTATTACAAAGGCGAGGAGAGCATTATAAAGAGTAAACGCGTCGCTCCTATGATAGTCCATCATGCCACTTTTATCAACATTGACAAGCCAAATTCTGCTACTTGTTTGTTCCTTCGCTATCCTCTACAGCTTGAGACGACCAGTCAGCATGACAACGCAATCAGCCCTCATTGTCCCCGAAGTTGGAGGACGTGTGATTCCGACGTCAAACTGGCCCGTTCCTCAACCCGGTCCAAAACAAGTCCAACTTCGCGTTACGGTTGCCGGGCTACACCCTCACGACCAAAAAGCCCGCGACACTGGTTTTTTTATCAAGGACATTCTCCCAGCCATCCTTGGAAACGATGTCGCCGGTGTCGTCTCGGTTGTTGGGCCTGGAGTCACGAAATTCAAGGTTGGCGACAGGGTGGTGTCGCAGTCGCGGCTCGACGGAAACTCGCAGAGAGCGCTGCAGCAGTTTGCGGTCGTAGACGAGGATTTTGCGTCAAAAATTCCGCACGGATTTAGTGATCACGATGCAGCGAGCCTACCGACCAATGCAGCTGCGGCGCTAATCGCCCTCTTCGACGAGGTTGGGCTTGGTATTCCTGCGCCGTGGAGTCCCGGCGCAGAAACCTTCAACTACACTGGAACCACATTATTGATCCTGGGTGGTGGTAGCAATTGCGGTAGATTCGGTGTGCAATTGGCCAAATTGGTTGGTATTGGAAACATAGTGGTCGTGGGCGGCTCTGAAGACGAGTTGCACAAGTACGGCGCGAATCACGTTCTGGATCGGCACGGCGGTTTCGATGCGGTTCTTGAGCGCATACGGAACGTCGTTGGTGATGACTTGATATATGCCTTTGATGCCATCAACCTTCCCGCAGAACAGCATCTCGCTGTAAGCGCGCTTTCTTCGAGTAAGAAGGGAAAGCTTGCTCGCTTGCGGTTCTCCGTTGGGGCCATTGACGAGTCCAAGATCATCGGAGAGAAGAAGGCCGGGTATGAGACGCGAAATGTGCTTGGCTTATCGCATGTTAGATTTACAACGGCAAAGCCATTTTGGGACCGTGTCGAGGGCTATCTAGCAGCGCAAAGCGTAGTGCCATTGGCATATAAGGTTGTAAATGGATTGGATGCGCAACAAGTAAACAAGTTGTTGGATGAGTATAGGGATGGACAGAAGGTCGTTCAGACTCAGTTCAGAGTGTCAAAATAGGTAGTAAAAAGATTTCTATACATCAGCTGTTGACCTCCTATGATATGCAACAAACAAAAGACTCTCCGTTCCTAAATAGCTCCCTTGAGATGCTGATGGATCTTGGAATCAAGGCTCAGCCAATCTGACCACCTTCACTGTTGCCGTGGTCACCTTCGTGGTTGAAAAACTCGAATTCATTCCACAACTCCTTGAACTCCGTCGACATCTTCATCGCAGGACCGAAGCTCTCTGATTTCCTTATCTTGTAGAACTCGTGAAGATCAACGCTGTTATGCTCCTGCCAATTTAACACGCCGTTGAAATCCTTACACTGGTGATTGATCTGGAAGTCTGGGAACGGCTGAAGCACTGTGTCCGTCCAAACATGCGTGTAGACATCAACATTTGCCTGGCACATGATGTTTTGTAGTAAGTAGTAAACGCAATGCGATAGATGTACTTTGTGGAGCTTGGTTGTGGAGTTGAAGCCTGAGTGTTTGCTGCCGTGATAGTGGTCGAAATATGCCTCTCGCCGAAGGGCATCGAGACAGTGAATTTGGTGGAACACGTCTATGCGACCAGCATAGGCCTCACCCAACCCAAAGTTCTCCGGAAATCTGACGGCTTTTTCGGGGTCTTTGCCGATTGCAATGACCTCTTCGCGCGTGATGGCAATTGGTCGCTCGTTGGATATCCTCCTCCACGCTTGATCAACCTCTGGGCCAGGTTCATTCCTGAAGATTTCGTCGTTTGCCGACGGGAGTAAGGTGGCGTTCATCCTCTTAGTAATCATATTGATGTCGAGACGGTCGAAGATTGGCGCTAGGACCATCAGTCAAACCTGATCAGTTGCCGAGACTTTGATGCTTACAAGGGCCTGAGTATTGCTTAAAGAGACGCTTTGTATCTTAGAGTGTTGGGTTCTCATATCGGATAGCGGAATTCGCAAGTACAAGCATCGAGAAGGCAAATAAGCTGATGTTGAGGCAGAGATACAGCAGCGGGTTTGCAGTCATAGCTTTTGACAATCTTAGTAGAAGCCCGTCTCTCTTGACACTCTTTGTGACAATTCCATATCGATGCTCTTGCCTCGAGTAGAGTGGCAACCGTTGAAAAAACCACATTGTTCCGTTGGCTGGCAGGGTCAGAGGAAGTTGAAGTGGGTGGTAGAGAGAGTGAGCTGGTCATGGTCGGTCTGCTTTCCAAGATGGATTAGTTGCTCATTTGTGAGAGGCCGCTCTGGCCACATCAAGACAGCTTGTCCGATTCTCAGAGTCAAACATGACTTGCTATCTCGCCGTGAACCTGCACTGTACATTGCCTATCATTAGACCAAAAAGGACCGCGGCAGTGGTTCCAAGTCTGTTCACAGGATGATTTGGCCATAGGTAGATCTACACAGTATCGCTCAAGACGGCACAAACGATGATCCTACTATGTAAGCATTTGGCAAAAGTACTGCCGAGGAGATCGTCCGTAATTAGTGCGGTCATAGCTTTCGCCAGCTCCGAAAAGTGCTGGTACTCGCACAGTCGCATCATTGGTGCACTATTTTTCTGGTTGCAAACACAAAACGTCGCGGAAAAATGTAGAGATAGGTGTGTTCGGTCGCTGTATTGAGGTCTAATTTGCGTGGCTGCATTGCACTAGGTCTTGCACTAGTTCGGTGCCTTTCTAGTCCATCAGTGTGCACGCACAAATTCCCTATTGTGACTGGCATCTCATACACATAGGTTTCATTCTTTCCTACTTTGGGGGGAAAAGTATTTAAAGTTTTATAGAAAAGCATGGCGTTGCTTATCTGACGGGAGATCTCTTGGGTCAAATGCTTGTCTTTCCGGAGTCCAGCCGGGGGCACGTTGTTGGCTATCAGCCTGATTGTGCTTTTTTTCGTACAACTAGGTTGACGATCGTACGGCGTACTTAGAGTCTTGGTCGAGAAGAGATTGTCTGATAGGCTGTTACCCACTTCCCCTACAAGTGCACCTACCTAAGTAGGTATGAAAGCTGCAGAGGCGGAGCAACACTCTGTCCCTTGTTTTTCTAGCACCCATTCACCCATCCCAGCACGCGCCCATACATCCCAGAGTTCCAAGCACAGCCTACCTAGCAATTGTATCAGATAACATCGGACCGGACACATCAAGCCCGCCGGTCAGACTCTGCCGTTGTTATCCGTCGTCTTCAATGGCGGTCACATGACATAACACGTCGTAAGGCCCTGCAACTCACCACGCCTCGGAACCCAGACCCGCACCTTTTACCCGGGGATGACGAGGAAGCCCTGTTGAAAGTCTTGCGTTGCGCTGGATCTCTGCGGGTGCATGGCCAGATAGCGCCTAGACTACCTAGGTAGACTAGCAAATGGGTCGGGGTTGGGAATAGAGGTTAAGCGTTGACTCATAAATGAATCAAACTGTTAGTTATGACCCCTTTGATTAATCAATTGCTACAAGCTGCTACCCAGCGTAGAAGAAATATCTGTCTTGGGAGTTGTCCAGATGCTTTAAATTTTACGACTACAAAAGTCCTAATCGTATGCGTAGAGAATTTAACAAAGCTTTCGTTGTTTATACTTTCTCAACTGGATGATCTCGCCAATGTTGAAAGAACTTATTACCAGGAAACATCATGTACAGTCCTTCCATATTCTCTTCTGGGGAATGATCGAAGCCAGAGTCGTCGATAATCTTTTGCAGCTCCGCTGGGTCTGAGATCATGAACTCAAAATTGGGCGCTCTGTGTTCCTTAGCCCATTCCTGAACTTTAGTGAAGTTACGGCAGGTATGGGTCGTTGTCAGACGGGGGAATATGCCACGGTTGAATGGAATGTTTACGTGGAAAGGGAGGGGTGCAACATCAGATTGGCACATCAGGGATTGGCGAAGAGTGTCGACGCAATGATCTGCAGAGATTTTCAGTGGCTAATCCTTCGATGCATGACAAGGGAGGGGGAATATTACTTACCCCAGTGACGAAACGCAAATGAATTGCGGTCGATTTTGCCATCCTTTGTCAGCCTTTGAAGCAACTGGAATCGCTCTGGGTAAAGGAGCTTTCTTAAATCATTCAGGCAATGAAGTGAGTGCCATACATCGAGCTCGAATAGATATTCTGTGGTCCCTGGGATAGGTATCGTCGGGTGAGGAAGTTGCTTTGCCTCCTCTTCTGAGGCAACAGATATACCAACTGGAGTCGATTAGTGTTGAGAGACGGTCTTGAAACTGCTACTTAACTTACAGTCGTATAGGTCAGACCAGCGCTTGTCAATTTCATCATCTGGAAATCCCATATACTCCGTATAATTTGCCAAAGCGGCTTCAAAATGCTTTTCGTGATATTCAATCGCATTGTTGGCAGGCGCTGCTGCAGATTCAGCGACACCAACCATCGATCGGTACGGGGAACTTACATCAAACACTCAACAACGGATCTATACAACCACCGGCAGAATAAAGCCTCAAACCTGAGATAATCGTCGCCATCAGAAACACGAAGTTACTGGCACAGAGACCTATCAGAAGCCATTTCAATGGGCATCGGTTTGCGAATTCGGTCGATGGATGTGCTTCCAGAAGGGGAATCGTGCTCCATCAAGTTTTCTGACAAGCTGGTTCGGCTCTGGGAAGACTCCATCTCACCCTTTTCATCTTCCCGTGGATGTCGTGGTACCGCAGAAAATCCCATGTTGAGCTCCGGTGCTGACGTGATAGTCAATTAGATTGGGTCAGACAGAGAGGTTCGCTGATAAAATGTTCAAGTCGAGGATCAGAGTGTCTGAACATATTTGCATAGTGCTATTGGCACACAGTCATCGTCCGCAACTACCTAGGTAGTGCAAGTGGATGTACATCGACAATCGGGCCGGTATTTGGGTTGTAGATAAGAATTCTGCCGAAAGGCTTATTGCTCCAACCCGTAGGCGGGCCGGGCTGTCAATGGGAGAGCATGAACGGAGCAGAATCCGAACTTGGGTGTCGATTATAGTAAGATCTCTCAAGTGTGGGTATTGACATTCAGAAACCCTGCAAAAACCTCTATGGGGCACCTCGTGTTCTGTTCCGTTCATGCTGCCCCCCTTGTACATTGGAGTGCAGAATGTGGTGATCCCCCAGATCAGGTATTCTTTTCGGGCCTATGTTATATATTTCTCATATGCTCAACTGATTACGTTGCTGCAGTATGCCGCTACGGGGACTGCAATGTGCCGCGTTGGGGCTGGATGAGCTGTCATCTGGATCTTAGGTGCAAAAAGAGATACAAAACGACGAACAGTCGCCATCATCGTTAACGTTTCTCATCCACAACCATTCCTGACACCAAACACTAGTCATACGCGCCACAAGCCCTTCCAAAACATGAGGTCTGCTCAAATCTTCTTTGCGCTCGCCGCTATTGGCACTGCAGCTGCCTACCCAACAGGTATTTAGTCCAGACGAAAGTGAAATATGTAGTAAAAGTACTCATGATTGTTGCTCAGCGGCGATTTCAGCCAGCCCTGATTTGGCTCCTCAGACTGCTGAGGTTGCTAAGTAAACATGCCAAAATCTGCGCATGGGCGTCCTCTAATACGAGTTGTAGGAGAGACGATGCTAGCGTCGATGAGATTTCAGCTGGGCTCTACATAGACTGGGACAGCACTGGCGGCAAAGAGAAGTAAGAGTCCTCAAACGTCTTTTTGAACAACCACTCTAACCATAAATAGGAGGGAAAAATTCAGCGTTGATGAGATCTCCGCTGGGCTCTACATTGACTGGGACAGTACTGGTGGTAAGAACTAAGAGTCACTAAACATTGCCGCAAGATGTTTATCTGTTAGATAGATATGGGGATGGCAGGAGGCTCAGACTCGGTACAAAGTGTCCAAATAGTTAGCTGAAGATATGACTACAGATCAGCTACCTAGCATGCAGTAAACGCGTGACCTCTTTCTACACTCAAAACCCCGCTGTCTAACCTCTATTTCTTTAGTAGCTCTCGTATAAGCTAGGATAGCGACCTAACCCAATTCAACCCCGACCCATTTGCTACCCAGTCTAATCTAGGCGCTACCAGCCGTCGCAGCCTCCTCAAGAAAGGCAATAAACTCCTTGAGAGTGTATTCCTTGTCAGCCGCGGAAGAAGGCACAGCAGAGCTACTTGCAGCGACGGATGTGGCAGCTTCAGGTGTGATCGAGAGGGTTGGTGTAGAAGCTTCTGGTACGGACGGAGTTGCAGGGCTTGTGCCATTTCCAACCTTGAAGGTCGCAATTTTCTCAGCTGCGTGCTCAGCGGCAATCATGATGATGGCCTGTGTGTTGCCGGTCGGTAGGTCGGGATGGATGGAGGCATCGACGACGAAGAGATTGTCTGTGCCGTAGACCTTAGTGTCGGTATCCACGACGCTGGTACCATCGGTTCGCCCGTCGTCAGTGCCCATCTTAGTCGTTCCAACCCAATGATCACCAGAGATCAAGCTAGAGGTAATGATAGACTCGGGGGTTGAGCCTGCGTCTAGAGCAATAGAAGTATTGACAGTGCTATTACCCTTGCTGGTTGTGTCCATCCACCACTGGATGAAACTGGAGAGAGCTTCCTTGTCGGCGGCATCGGTCAACCAGGGCTTCACGTTGAGGACAGTGTTGCCGCCGGCTGTGATACCGAGCTCGCCAGTGGAAGTGGTTCCATGAGTAAGGAAAGTCCTGATAGTGATGATGCCATCTTTCATGTTGCTGACAGTACCCTGAAGAAAACGCTCCTTGCCATCAGTACCATTCACAGACGTCCACAAGTGCATCCTTTGCGCGGCCTGGGTCAAGATTCCGGAGCCGCTCTTGTACAAGTCCAGATCAGATTCAACAGGGTCCGAAGCAATCTCAGCGAACTTGTAGGCGGTGTGGTTGGTGGAAATCTTGAACTGCAGAGGTACCTGAGCGTGGTCCTTGAGTCCGTGACCAACGGGAAGGTCAATCCAGTCGGCCTCTTTGGGTAATTCAACTCCAGTAGTGCCACTCTGCACGATGTTCAGAGCGTCAGACTTGCCAATGCCAGAGTTCCACAAAATCCTGGGTGTCGAAAGCGCACCACCAGCAAGGACAACCTTGCCGCCTTGGTTCAGGTTGATGATCTGCTGACTGCCATCTGCGAGTTGGACGAGAACACCGGTAACCCTACTGCCAGTGCGTTTGACCTGGATGACCTTAGTCTCGAGCTTGAGAGTAAAGTTTTCAAGAGCCTCAGCGAAGGGCATATAGGTCCTGGCAGGGCCAGCACGCAGATTGTTAGCGATAGACCATGCAGGACGAGAGTAAATCATGCGCTTCTCATCTGGAGTCTTGATGGAGTCGATCTCCGTCCAGCTTTGGTCCTTGAGATAGGATTCCACAGTGGTGTAAGACATGTCATCGTAGTGCTTTCCATCAGCCGAGGGCTGAGTCGTACCGGGATTGCGGGAGTACAGACGGTCTGCGGCCTCGCTCATGTCATCCCAAGACCAACCAGCAGGCCAGTTCTTGAAATCGTGCTGAGGGGGTCGAACGAAGTTCTGTCCATTGATAGAGCTTGAACCTCCCAGAAGACATCCAGCCATGGAGGCAGTATCACTACAGATCTTCGTGCCAGGGATTGTAGACAAGCTACTCCCAAGCGCTGGAATATCGTATTGCGTAAGCGTGTTGTTCCACACCAAACCCTCGGAAGATCCCAGAGCGACGGTATTAGCAGGGCCACGCTCGATGAGAAGGACACTCAAACCAGCCTCCGCAATACGCTCGGCTGCAATGATACCAGCAGTACCGCCTCCAGCCACGATAACATCATAGGTTGTGTTTGAAGTTGTGGGTACAATAGCTGTGCCATTGCCGGTGGAAGGAGGACTGGTGTTGCCGCCGGCGCCAGGAGCAGTGCCGTTGCCGGTAGATGCGGATGCCCACGAAGCCCAGGTCTCATACTCGGCTGACTGAGCTGCCGCAGCTGGCTGGCCATACAGACCAAAGCCACCATCGTGGTAGGGCAGTTCACTGGCGGGGTCAGAAGGGGTGGTAGGTTTCGAAGACGAGAGCGCCCATCCGAGTACAGGGATTTCATCCGTCTTCTTGAAAGTGGTAGTACCACCCACAATGCATCCCTTGCAGAGGAAGGTGAAGGAGAAGTGAGTGCTGTTGACGAAGGTTCCGTTCGCGATGGGTAACGCGCTAACCGCGGTGGCATCATAGGTTGGTGGATTGGCGTAAGCCCCAGCAATACGGAAACTGCTGACGATCTCCTCACCATTGGCCCAAGCAACAAGCAAAAGGCGATTCAACATGCCTCCGCCAAACGAGACAGCTCCCCATCCTCCTGTCGGTACGACAAGTTGTCCGATGAAGTCCGTATCAATTGTCTCAGGAAGAGCGATAGCAATGCTGAAGTTACCGTTGGCATCGAGCAGCTGAAAGTCAATATCGGTGTTTGGATCAGTGTATGCGACAGGCGTCGTAGCTGCTGTCGCTAAACGGAGAAGCCCCAGGAGGGCCACCGCTGGACTGATGATTGTAGAACGCATATTGATAACGTGGAGATGTAGTATCTGAATGCTAACCGGATATAGGTATTGGTACAGAAGAATTGAATTAGAGCACAGCTCTAGTGTGATGGATAAGAGAATGAATGTGAATGAATGTAAGGCCTGGGGCCGGGAAACGAATGACTACCGAACTTGCGGTGACTGAAAGGACACAATCCAGCTGATGGTCAAAGAAAAGAAAAGGTCAGAAACTGAGCGGCTCCCCGAGATTTAAATCATTTACCCTTGGAGCGCAAACTCGCCGCAGTTTTGATCGCCAACATTGATGTCACTTGCAATCCCCACATGGGCCTGAGTATTTCGGGGGCTTTTACTTGACGCGAACTAGTGGGCACTGGGCAGGGACGTTCCTACCGAGAGATTCGTTTCTCCGTACCCTGCAAGTGCATTGCTGCTAGTTAGTACCTACCTATTCATGCATCCATAGTTACATAGATGCGTAGTCAAATTATCGGTAGTGAGTCCTCAGGACGCTGGGTCACGACAGTATGCAACTCGCACACAATGTTTGACTGGCATGTTCCGTGCTGTTGCTGCGCGGAGCTAAGCATCCCACAGAATGCAGGTGTTTTGAAACGGTGCCTGAAGCCGGATCCGTGACGAAGGCAGCACTTCAGAGGCGGGAGTCGGTGGCGACTAACATTGGTGGAACTTCTGTTAAAGATGGATTGTCGCATTGTCTCTGATAATAAAGCTCAAACAAACTCAAACAACATCGCGGTGAGATGAGATTGCGACGCTTTTCATTCGCCCATTGTTCCAAGAGGGAGCAGGGAGTCACCCTGTCATCTCTCGGCGAAACGTTACGGGCTCAAGCGAGCATCTCTAGCATCTTGGCATCGCACGATCCAGGCGCTTACATATCTCAGTTCTACCTAGCCAATTGAGCTACCTTCAGCCCATCTAATGGATGCATGCAATGCTCCACTTATATACTTGGGCGGAGGTCGGAAGAGCAGGTACAGTACCTACACAGTAAGGGTTAAAGTAGCTGAGGCTCCACAGTCTGTGCTGTTGTCGCCAATTAAACAAGGAGGCTTAAATTTATAACGAACCAGATCTTAGCCAGTAGTATCTGTAAGATACATCAACATGTGGTGCAATCCAGGTATTCTCGCTAAGCACAGATGATGAAACGTTGGCTACTTATCCTTAACATACTGTACAAAAGTAGTTTTCTTGTTTGCAAAGCACTGTCAATCGAGACTATCGTACAATTGTACCCAAACTCTCAATGCGTCTGTACAATGGCGCGTTGAAATTGATCCCAGAGCCGTTGTTAGCTGACAAGTAATGGTCCTAGCAGTAGAGTAGGCACGTCAATTTGTAGATGTTTTCTGTAATCAGGCAGGTTGCAATTCGTACGTCGCAGCTGAGAGACACAGCCCTTGAAGCAAGCGGGTATGTACCTTCGTAAGCTGCGGGTACTAAAGACGTACCTGCAGCTCTTTGTCATACTTGCAAGGTCCTCTGAGCCTTGCGTAGCTATTCCGCGCAACGACAAAACTTGCTGCCATTTTCTTTGAATCGGCAATCAATAATTTGAACAATTTGAAGAGGATCATAGTATGGCAGATGAAATGGGTCTCTAGACGACAAGAATACGGAGCTCGCAAACCGGAGACAAGCTGTGCGCCCCTCTGCTGGTCGTGTTCACTGCCAAGTCTGCGAGAAGTGCCCCACGACAAGGCTGTATCAAATGCGGTGGCTGTGCAAGGTGGCCATGCGACGTCTCCGTTATATTTGTCTTGTATATCATACTGCGAGGCCAAACTTTTGACACTGCGAAGATTAACTCAATGAGCGGCGTATGAAATGTCTAGGTAGTCGCCGACTATAAGCCTCGTGCAGCGGGGGCTGCGGCTCAGCCGCACTTCGATAACCCCGCAGCTTCAACACGTCAAGTATAAAGCAAGGTTGACACTCCTCAAGAGGAAAGCTTCTGGCTTCCCAAGATTGTGTCGCTACCATGTCATCTTCTACGTACCACAATCTGCCTGAACAACACCTGTATCACGCGAACCAGCCTCAGGACAACACACCGTATTCTCAGCCTTACGCACACTTTCCATCAGCTCCTACCCCGTATGCCGACGAGCAAGGATCGCTATACCCGCAGTCTTATGTGGAGCAACAAGGGCCGCTTTCGGCTCCAGACGCAAATGCAACAGCTTCTGTGAGGCCTAGCGGGTTGAAGCCTGCCGTAGAGCCTCACATCTCCGAGACGCCGTCTTCATATACAGAGTCTGATTCTCCCGGCAAAACACACCTCCTGTCTCAACGCAACGATGTCTACCTCGACTGGGCCATCAAGATACTCAGCGTGGCTGCAGCAGTCACCTTTGGCATCTGGGCACCGATCTCGTACAAAATCACGGCGGACGGGAACAGTGGGAACGACAAGGCACAAGCATCTCTCATGTCAGAAATTAGCTCAATGAGAGCCGAAGCCGAGACTGCAGCCTCTGCACAACGGTCGGCTGTCACTGCTCTAGCCAAACTTCGAGACCAGCTGGACAATATTGGACTACTACGCGCATGGGAGTTCTGTGATGGGCAGACAGTAGCAGTTTGCAGAAGCCTGAAGTCTTCGTCAACAAACGTTATTGAGGCACTCTCCAGCCTGGGAGGGTTGCAGGCCGCGAGTTCGACCATAGGTCAGGCTACATCAGCAGCCTCTAGTGCGCCTACTAGCGGGTCTTCAGATTCACACTCGGCCGGAGGGTCAAGATTGGGAGGCACAGCGATTATAGCAGTTGTACTTGGATCAGTCTTTGGTGGGATTGTTATCGTTGGATTGATCGTTGGCGTAATGGCGAAGCGGAGGAGACTGCGCGTAACTGGGAAAGAAGGCTAATGCAAGCAGGGGCTTCCCAGCAACGCGATGGATGGAACCGAGTTAATTTCATTGGTTGGAAATACGTGGGTGATGCGATATCAGGAGCTCAACACACTGACCGACGAACTTTCCACATGCACAGTACCTAAGGAGGAACGAATGTAACATTAGTCAACTGCATACAGGTTACTGTTTTGCGCTCCGTGATTGCCCAGCCACGGGTTTCCCTATCGATAGGTATGTGCGTGGGGCGCATGCAATACCTATCTAGCCTGATATGTACTGACCCACGTCAGCCGATGAAACGCGTGTAACCCAGCTCTGCGTCGCGCGGCGACAACTCGCCGCGAGTGTTTGTACGCGGATTGTGAACGCGGCTCAGGTGCGATAGATATTGTGTACAGACCTCAGCGGCCTCAGGCACCTGCTTGACACCTCCAGGTCAACACAGGCATCTTCGAAATCGGTAGCCGATGCCGCTGCCAAACCTCGCTTAATCTCCAGATCTTACACCGGGCTCGCATCAGCAATTTGGGCGCGGGACTGCCCAATCGCCCCGCTCAACCGAGGCCACCATCGCCTCCACAAAAGCGACGGAAAGGGCCGAATTAGCCGTGGCTGAAAGACAACGAATACCAGATTCAGGTTGACGGCGGGGATGGTAGCAGCGAATGGCTGATCATCCAAAAAGGGACCGCGTACTTCAATCAAGGGAGGCTGTTCTTTGTCAAGGAAATTCACACGCAGAATGGCAGAGTAGAGGTCACAGAATTCCTCAGCGCCACCAGCGAAGACGTTAAACTGGGCGCGCTTGAATACATTTTGGATCGCACCAACCAAACAGACAGGACACTGTCCTATGACCAAGTTGAGAACATAAACAACAAAGCGGATATATTACCGTTCGAGCAATATGCGCACAGTACGCATAGCAGACGTGCTGCAAACCTTGTTTGTCGGTACGTGAGAACTGAGGACGGCCTGAGGTGTTGCGACAACGACTACAACCCGATCAACGACAAACCATGGGAAGACTGGAGGGATTGCGTCAAATGCAACTGGCCCGTTGATCTTGATGGTGGCTGGTCTTATTGCTCAGGCTGCAAGGCGATTATGCACGACAACTGCCTTACAAAGAACGGCAAACATTTTCTACGAGAGAAATACCAGGGCGAGACTTGTACACTCCACCTTGCGGATCCCAAAGACCCAAACATAGAGGCAGCCGCGGAGTGTCGGAAATGCAAAAAACGTACAAGTACGATGTGACAGGCGATGTCATGTCACTGGAATTTGGCTCTGGGAACCTCAGGCATTCCAACCCCTACTTTCGTCTCTCCATCGACATTGGAACCAGTCATGTCCGGTTCTCATGTGGTTCCCGTCATGGTAATTATGCCGCTACAAGAGACAGTCGGCTTTCAAATGTGCAGGTGCCAACGGGTACCAGAGACCTAGCTAAGATAAACGTGGGCTCAAGCACGTTCATCCCAGTCGACGACGAAGAATTTATCCAGATCAGCCCAATCAAGGATCTCATCCTTCAATCAGACGTGGACAAGAGGTTTGAGGATAAGGGAGTGTTGTTCACCCGAGATGAGGTGCTCGCCTACGTGCTCAAACTCATCATCACCGAAGCCGTAGCAGAGCTTTGCAACTCGGAGCGAGGGGACACAGTGACCCAAGAAGAGTTGGAAGAGAAGGGTATTTTCCTTGCTACTACGTTTCCAGCAGCTTTCAGTCCAATGGAAAAGACAAGGTATCTGACATACTTCTACGCGGCCTTCCGATACGTTCGGAAATTGGCAACTTCTGAACCAGTTGCTGCAACCTACAAATATGCCCCAGAGCGGAAGGACAGAACGCCTCTATTGACTCTGATGTTCGACTTTGGTGGCAGAACAGTTGATTGTGCCTTAATCCTGTGCAATAACAAGGGCGACATCAAGACTGTGCATCAATTTGGTGTCTCCCTTGGCGTTGATGTACCTCTCAACGAATCTTGGAAGGAGATCCGCAACAAAGAGCTAGGGGACATTGCTGGAAACTGGAATGCTCTAAAAAGTTACAGTGAGGAGTTCCAAAAGGTGGCCGTCAATGACCAGGACTCAACTCAGGACTTGGACGAGTACTTCCCTCCTAGTCTCAAAAAGACCCAGGGCGGCTTAGATATCCGCTCCATCTTCAAAAAACATTGGATAGCCAACGTGAAGAGGGCTGACAACGATCTGAATCAGAAACTCGACGAGATCTTTGAGGCAGGCACCTTGGAGGTTCGACGGACAGTTGTGGATCTTTTGGACGATTATCCAAAACGCCACACTCATTTGAAAATGCAAGTTGGGCTGTGCGGTGGAGGTCCGCTTTTTCCTTGTATCCGTGGCATACTTGAAGAACTGGTTTCTCGCCGAGGATACCGAGGAGTTCCACAACTGTTCACGCAAGGCAAGGTGTAAGTTTGTTCACCATCTGCCGCCATAACGATGGCTAACGTCTTGCAGGAATAGCGCTGCTGTGGTCGGCTTAGACTTGAAGGTGCAGGAGATGATGAAATACCCGTTGGCCGTTGCGCCCATCACAATCTGTCTCGAACAAAACGTCCCACACACCTTGTACCCCAACAGGATCGCAGCCACTGGTGGCACACATTCGATTTCACGAGATCCCGCCGCGGATGTTGAGCTCCTGGTCCTGGCACTCAAGGGCCAGGCGATCACAAGCCCAAAACTGCCAGTCAACCAGGCTCCTCCAACCAATTTCGTGTATATGGACAGCAACCTAGAATACGGACGAGATGCTGTGACGACGTTCAAAGCTACGTTCAGCGACGTCAAGTACAAAACAAACCAGAATCATTTTCTCGTCGCTCAGGACAACAGGAAGTTCTACTGTTGCGCTGAGCTTCGCATCTCCTGCAAACACTGGAGCGAAAAGACCAAAGCCCTAACTGCCTTGAAAATCACCATAGACATGGAAGGGGGGACGGTCGAGTGTGAGGGAATTCTGTATTCCCTACACAAGTGGAATGCCCCCGGAATCAACTCCGATGATCAGTTCGACATGATCGAGAGGGAGATCAGTGTCTTGGAACGCTTGAAGGAAGAGACGCTCGAAAATGTCAAGAAGCACGTGAAAGATCTAGAGGACGAGGGTCTTGCCAAGTTGCATACAGACATCTATCAAGTTGTGTCTCTCAACATGGAGGAGTACAACAATTTCGATGTAATCTACGCTGCCCAAGATCTAGACGACTAGTCATGCGATGCCCATGTTCTGGTCACCAGTCGAGAAAAGCAAGAGGCGGAGATGTTCGTATCTGCGGCTAGCACAGGAGTTGGACAGTTACATAGCGACTGGCGCATACGTTTTGTATACGGGTTGGACATCATTAGGGGAGGCTTTCGATTTCATGTAGCCGACTAGCGGCATCATACCTGTTGGATTTCAAGGATGCATTACCATAGAATTTCGGAATATACTGTTTGTAGAATTGTGCATCTCTGCGTTGATATCTTTCTAGTTCTCAGTCACCAAGAGGCTCTGACCGCCTCATCTCAGCCAGGTTACAATTCCAAACACCGATATGAGCACTTGACCTCAAATTTGAGATTACATAGGCAACATTGAGTCACGAAATGATCGTCTCACTCCCGACCGATACAATCGATGACTCTGCTATCGTACCACAGGCTCGGATCGATGAAGGAAGACGTTGAGAGACTGAAGAGCTCTGAGGCTGGGTTCAAGATAGCAGCGCCGCCGCGGTAGGTTTTCCCGAAGCGTTAACTAAGTGGTGACGTAGGAGGTAATCCTACAGGCTCACTCCACAAGAGGAGTAGATGAGACAGCTCTTTGTTGACACTCTCGGGTCTATCAACGTTGGCAACGGTCCCATCAGCGGGAGATAACGTGCTTGAAACACCATACAGAATACCAGTACCCGATACGGTGCCCGGTTACCGCAGATCCAAGCCATCTCGACTCCAATTTTGCACATTTTGACACACCTTCTGCAATCCAGCTTTCTAAACGGAAAACTCCCCAAATCACATCAACCCCATCAACGCCTCGCTCAACACAGCAAAGCGAGAATGCAAGCGGTCCCGCAGAGCAGTGATCCCAAGATCACAATTTTAAGTAAGTATATTTGCCGATCAACGCGACGCTGCCATACCCAATCATTTTCTGCACTTTCAGCACGCAATACTCTAATCAGGAAACCACGAAACCTAACCAGAAACACAGCTTGAGATGTACAACACGTCTAGAACGTGGACGCTACATTTACTTACCTACCCTTCTAGTACAGAAGTCCTGGCAATAACCAGTAGCAGCTCCCGCCATTCCAGCCATGTCCCACTTCTGAACCACGAGGACCTAATCTTGTTCAACACTAAATCATGGCCATAACGCGCAATGAGAGTGTCGCGGGCTTCTGTGCTCGCTCAATCGTGTACGCACCTCAATCAACGACCCCTGGGAGGTCGGTTTACTGAAGAGTAGCCAGACGGATGAGAATTACACTCAGTCAATCAGTCAATGGAAACCAGGATTTCGGGGTTTAGACACACGCTCTATACCATACCCAAAGCGCTCCCTACTAGAGCACCATCAGACTTGTCAATTTACCACACACACCCCACACGTCAGCGACAAGCCGCCATCCCGCGTCGGCACAACCCATACAACGACAACACAGCACAAAACACGATACACCAGAACCTCCAGACTGCACGACACCCACGAACCCGCAATCACGATGCGTCCACACCGACCGGCCCCGTATCCCGCCTCTGCGCGGTCCCAGCCCCGTGACACGCTGGCGCTTGTATTGATTGCGAGCTGGCGGTTGAAAACTGTGCTACGCTTGCTACGGTGGTAGGTGAAAATGGTATGCGGGATGCGGGTGCGAGATGTGAGATAGAGCTAACGGGGAGCTTGACAACGACGGCCTCAACGATCTTGACGGGGACGTTGACGAGGAGGAGGATGTTGACGGCGCCGTTAACGACGCCAATCCCTCCCCACTTGATATCTGCGACATCGACCACTAAATCACCTAGGGAGGCACACCAAGACGCTTCCGTCTGCGGCATCAATTGCAACTTGGTCAGTCAAGTTCGCTAACAACTCGACGCTGGATTCTTGGGACATGGGTACGTGTGGCGCGGACTGGACTGGACTGGACTTGTCTGGTCTGCTCTCATCTCCCCGTATCTTCCCCATCCTACTCTGGGTACTCTACTCTGCGCTCCCTGCATCTCCACACTGTCCGCCACAGAACTCTGGGCTGGTCCGCCACCCTCTCTTTACCTCTACCCTGTCCTCTCCTCTTCTACCCTCTCCTCCCCTATCCTCTCCTTTCTTCCCCTCTGTCCCACTCCTCTCCTCCACCTTTCCCTCCCCTACCATACCTACTCCACCCGACTCCACCCGAATCACCCCAGACACTAGCCTCGACAACACTCAGCCGAGAGATGGGTGGATAGACAGGCATGATCAGTTATTGTCGGATGACTAGATACATACCTACATACATAGATACATGCATACACACATAAGCGTGTGCGCATATGCACATGTGCGCACAGATGTTACGCGTGAGTACGCAAGTCAGCATCGCCCAAGTGCAGTAAGTATCGCGTGTGAGTCCACATATCAGCATCGCGTCTAAGTACACATATCGGTAATCAGTATCAGTATCCTATCGTCACCGCCACTTCCCCACGCTCCTCCACGACAACCCAATACAACCCCAGGCCGCCACACGCTCCAAGATCACTCCACTCCATCACTCACCTCCTCTCCACCTCCAATCCCACTCCACCTCCAGATCCCTCCACATCCCCTCCACAGCGCTCGCGCACCGCTCGCGCACCGCTCAAGAAACACACCCAAACCAACCACCACTCAAGCACCAACCGCCGCTCAACCACCAAGTACCGAGCACCGCTCGAGCACCAACCACCAAGCCTCCGCATCCGCGTCCGTCTGTGACTGCGACGCAGACCGCGGGGAGGGGTATGAATCCACACTGCCCGGCCCGGCCTGCGCTGTGCGAAGCGCGCTGTACTAGTGCTCGTGCTCATGCTCATGCTTCTGCTGTGCTTGTGCTTCTGCTATGCTTGTGCTCATGCTCATGCTCATGCTCATGCTCATGCTCGTGCTCGTACTCGTGCTCGTGCTCGTGCGATGCGAGATATACGATATGCGATATGCGAAGTCGAGGCTCAGGAGCTAGGTGCTGGATTCACGAGATTCACGGGGTGGGAGGATAGAGGATGGAACAATGCGTTCAGTATGCATGGATGTAGCGATACGCTGATGTGGGTATCCAGGCTAGGTAGTCGATTCCGTCGGGCCGTTCATCCAGGCCATCCAGTCCAACAGCCCAACAGTCCAACAGTCGAACAGTCCAACAGGGCATGCAGGCCAGCCAGTCGACCCCGCGCAGGCCATCCATCCAGGCCATTCATCCAGGCCATCCAGTGTATCCAGCCCCTTAACCCAACCAGACCACCTCCACCCACCCAACGCTACCAACCCATCTTCGTCACAACTACTCCCCTACCTCCGCCTGAATCGCAAGCCTCCCAACCCCGCCCTCGACACCCTCGACACCCTCTCCACCCTCCCTCACACTTGCTTTCTTCCTCCGCCTCCCCTTGCCCTTGCCCTTGACACCCCTCCCGCCCTCGGCAACAAGCGGGGCGGCATCTCTGACCCATCTCGCGACGGCATCGGCGCGGTCCGTTGCTATGGGGTACGCGGCGTGCTGGGGGTCGGGTTGGAAGCGGGTGGAGGGCTCTCTGTCTTTTTCCTTGTCCTTGTCCTTGTCCTTGTCGCCAGCTACGTCTGCGTCTGCGTCTGCGTCTCCACCCGCATGTGTTTCTGCACGCGACGCAGCTCCGTCAGTAATAGCGCGCGTCTTAGCGCCATTGGGCAGTTTGCCCTGCTTCACAGCCACAGCCGCAGCCTCGGCCTCAGCATCGCGGCGCTCGTCGTCCTGGAAGCGGACTTCGCGCGCGCGCACCGCGCGCTGGAACGACGCCTCGTCGACGACGCGCTCGTCGGCCAGGGCATCGAGGATGGCCTCGTGTTTGTGGCGGTCGCGGCGCTGGGCGGGGGACTCGGGTGTGTCGGTGGTGGACCCGGGGCGCGTGAGGGCCGAGGAGGGGGCGTGGGAGTGGGCGCGGGGCGAGGCGCTGCTGGACGCCGGGCGGCACAGCGACTCCCACGAGGCGCCGAGCCCGATCCAGTTCGCGCCGCGCCGCAGCACTTCGACCCAGTCGCCCCGTGCGGGGCTGCGGGCGGCGAGGAACACGGGGTAGCCGTCGAGGCGGCGGGCGAGGCGCGCGGCGTTGTGGGCGTGGCGCAGGAGCTCCTTGGGCGGGGTCTGCAGGAGCGCGTGGGTGAGGAGCAGCGAGTGCAGGGCTTCGGCGAGGAGCGGGTGGTAGGTGACGGATTCGTTGGTGGGGAGGGGCGAGGGCGGGGTGTTTGGTGGAGGCGGGTAGGGCGGGAGCGCGGCGGGCGGGACGGCGTCGAAGAGCTGGTTCAGGGTGAAGACGGGCGGCGGAGGGAGTTTTGGCCAGGCGTGGGCGGGGGGTTTCTTGTAGGGCGCCAGGGCGGTGGACGCGTCGTGCAGGCCGGGGTGGCCGTTTGTGTTGGCGTGGCCGCCGTTTGTGTTGTGACTACCACTGCCGCGTGTGTCCGCCTGGAACTGCCGCAGCAAAGCCTCAGCGGCGGCCACGTCAATGCCCGGGGTGTAGTCGAAGTGGGCCAGGAAGGCCGTGTAGTCACGCAGGGCGCGCTTCGCGTTCTGGCGCAGCTGCTTGCGGCTGTCTGCGCGCGCCAGCCTCGCCGCGGCCTCGTCTGGTGTGTCCTCGGCTCCCGCTGCGTCTCGCGCCTCCTGGGCCTGCAGGCCGTCCAGCGCGGCGGCGACGTGGCGGCAGGCGACGGCCAGGTACACGCCGGCGCGGTGGAACAGCAGCTGGGCCTCGAGCGAGCTGGGCTGGTCGTCGTCGGGCACGCGGGCCTCGTTGCGCCAGTCGCGGTCGCGCTCGCGGTCGCGCTCTCGTTCTCGCTCGGCGGTCGCGGGCACCAGCTGGCGGCCCTGGCGGTGGGTGGCGGCGCGGTGGCGGGCGGCGGCCAGGGCAGCCGTCAGGTCGCGGGCGCTGTTGGCCAGGTCGTCCTTGAACAGCCGCGTCAGGGCGCGGGTCCGCAGTGCACTCCCATCGGCCGGGCGCTCGGCCAGCACGTCGTCCAGGGCTGCCAGCGGGGTGCTTTGGGCCAGCATGCGGCTGGGGATCTTCTCGTGGAAGAAGTGCACGTACTTGGCGTCGACGTCGGCCGGGCTGCGCTGCAGCACCAGCGCGGCCACGTCCTCCAGCGTGCTCGCGCCCTGCATCGTCGCCACGCTCGCCGCGATCTCGTCCAGGCGATACGCGGCCGCCAGCTTGCCCGTGGCCAGCTCGCGCATGCGGTGCTTGCGCTCGCGGCTCAGCGTCCCCCCGCCAGCCACGCCCAGCCCCAGCGCGGCCGCCGGCCCCAGCAGCCCCTGCGCGTTGTTCAGCGCGGCGCTCGTCAGCCCGCTCGTCGCGCGCACCGCCAGCGTCGTGGCCTCGTCGACCAGGCGGCGGATCTTCAGCACGTCGTAGAACACGGCCGGGTCGATGGGATGCGGCCGCGGGCTCAGGAAGTTGCTGTGCGCCAGCGACTCCAGCACCTCGGGCGGCAGCTGCAGCCACGGCCCGTGGAACGAGGAGATGAATCGCCAGTGCCTGCGCGCATCAGCACTTGCAGACAAGACCCGCGCGTGCTGGAGCCCTACTTGTTGCGGCAGATGATGAGCGCCGGCGCCTCGCCCGTCTTCTTGCGCCCATTGCCCGCCGTGCCCGCTGTCTCGCCCGCGCTCTTCTTGTTCTTGGCCATGTCGCTGTCCGGTGCTGGGTGCCGCAGCGGCGTCGCGGGCCCGCAGACAAATTTCCAGCCCGCTCGCCTGCTAGCGTCTCCGCCGAACCGCCGTTCCCCGTTGCTCCAGCCCGCCGCAGCCATGGCAGGTGTACCAGCATCGTGGCTGATGTCTCACCCGACATGTCCGAGCCAGATCACTACACTAATCTCTCGCTGTCGTCTGCTCTTCATTCTTGCACTTCCGTCTTGCACCTCCGTCTGGCACCTCGTCTTGCACCCCACGTCCTGTGTTGTTCCTGCCAAGCACCTCACCATCTGCGCCATGACCCGCCGCATCCTTCGGACATTTAATCGAGCAAGCTCTGTTCTGGCTTGGCAATATCACCGCCGGTCTGGTCGTCACGCACCTCGTCCTGGGTGTGTGCGTCGACCATGACCTGACTTTCCACCTCACATGGTCGTGCGTCTCGGCCAGGCAGTCGCACCGCCACACCGCTGCATTGACCCCAGATGGCTCTACTCTTCGCACACCAATGGTCTCTACCACCCACTACAACGGCTCTTCGGCAAGCTATCTCTTGCCCAGTCGCGACGACTGCCTTGACTGCGCCATCTGCACCAGCCACTCCACACTGACCCACTGGCACCACTCAGCAATCGTCGGCATGACGACGAGCTGATCTCCGCCTTGGCCTGGTGGAGCTCTGCAGACACCGTGATACATATAACAGACAACATCCTATACTACAGGTATCAAAGTTTCGGCCTTACCTGTAGTACCGTCAGTGGCGACTATCGACATGCCTGCGCCTTACATGCGCCACGTAGCGTACGGGGCCACACCTGGACACTCAACTGCTGTCCAGCCACAGACAGAGTCAAGCTCGACTACAAACTTTCAACTCGACCGGGAAACCTCGTCTCTGGTCTTGGCCTCTGTCACAACCCCAGGGTTCTGCTGACACCGGGTCTCTCTCTAGCCGCCCAACCGCCTGGGCGCAGTGTTGCAACACCCCGGCTCACCGTTCTGTATGGACGCTGGGAAGCGTTGAGGAGTATAGCATGAGTTTCTCGGAGAGGCCTGTCACTTCGTTCCGTGATTCTTTAGAATCCACTGACACAAACGACGTTTACATGCTCTCCGCAAGATCGTCGCTTCGAAACTATTGGCTATTCTTGGACGTCAGGTCGGTTTATCCGTCAGTATCCTTCTTTTATGACTTCACAGTCACCGACGTCATATGGCTGCCCGAGTCGTTGATATTGGCCTTGCCAACTCTCGGTGTACGGCTGTGGCTCGGTCGAGGACAGCTGCACTCTCGGCGCCGACATTCACGTCGAGATCTCGGGGCACGCTCGCTGGAACGCATCTCACTGCAGCCGACCCGTCGCTGCTGAGGACGAGAGGGCTGCACACTCTGCAACGGGCCAAGAGACGGCACCTCACACCGAAGAAGGCTTCCAGACGTCCTACCAGTGCATACTGCTTGGTACAGGTGACATACACCTTCCGAAACAGTCAAGCGCCGGTAATCTCGTGCATGCACATCGGCAGCCTATTGGGTACACTCGCAGCAGCATATCGACCTGCGTTACAGATACCGCTCGCAGCGTCTTTACCAATCTGGCAGACTGCAGTGCCTCAAACTAGGATGCGCATCTGACACGGCAAGAGGCAGCCGCATAACGCGGATCTCCGACCTCACTTCAAATCTATCACTGCAGAATACAGAGTTTGTTTTGATCGCACGGTTGCATTCCTCAGCAGCAGCAGCGTCGTGCCGAGCGAGAACGTTGCGTATCCCACTCCCAAATGACAGCCGTCACATGTACCGCACGTCGTCAACGCATCTGCACGATCGCTCTGCAGCTACCGCCCGCCACGCACGCCATTAACCAGTAAAGGCACAACATTTAGAGTAACCCAAGCGACCCACAACTGCCGAAACCGTCATGGTCGGTCCACCCTGTCCTGCATTAACGCTGCGCAATGTCTAGGCTAGGAACAGCGCACGCCGCGGGAGATAATCGACAAGGATGCTTGGCCAATTGCTGGCGGAGCTTGTCGTAAAGCTTATTTCGAGACGATAGCGCCCGTCCTGACGAGTGTCATTGCGCGGGAGGCTGACGGTAACTAGCTGTCGCCGAAATGCGGGGTAAGCCTCTCGATGCTCCCGCTCAGCGACTGTTTCCCAAGGCGGGTGTACGGCACCTTGACAAGACTGCAAAGCAAGTGTCTGAATGGTGAGTGCGTCTTGACAGGCAATCTCTAAATTCACACGCGTATGACTTCACGCTGCTTGGAACAAACAAGAATGCTGGTCCATACTAGCCGTTGCATGTCACCCACACCCCCGAGAGTCAGGATTTCTGATTCGCTGCACTTGCTTATCGAGCATTCGAAGCGACTGCAGCGGTCCTCTCCACAGCCTCCAGCTTACGACGGACTCCACACACGGAAGGTGGACGATAGCGTTTCACGCCCGGTGCAACTCACTGCCTATTCGATGGCGTCGTCGGCATGTTCCCTTCCCTCGGGTACCGTGGACAACACACTGTGACTGGTCGCCAATGCGGTCTCGCACAAACACCCATGCTACGGGATGGTGTGGTGCTGATTATTCCTGTGGGCGCGATATTGACCCCTCTCCTCACCCCTGTCACCTGACAAGCAACCTCCCAGCGGCTCGTTTGAGTATCAACTGGCGCTTGTTGTTGGACTGTAGAAGAGCATATATATGAGATAGTCTTCACTTGAATTGACATCTCTCATCCCTTTCATCCAAGTGGCTGGTCACAATGGATTACATTAAACGCATCCCCGGCCGTGTCTCGCACGCGCTGTCTACTGATATCACAATCAACCGCACGATTCGCTATGGTGGCAAGACCGCCCGCGCAGCGCCCTCTGCCGCCGTCCAGTATCTCGTTGAGCGAGTGCCGGTGGTGCATTGGCTGCCCAAGTACAGCCCGCGGTGGCTGCTGAACGACACGCTCGCCGGCATCACTGTCGGCGTGCTGTTGATTCCGCAGTCGCTGGCGTATGCAAAGATCGCCACCATCCCGGGCGAGTACGGGCTGATGTCCAGCTGGCTGCCCAACTTCTTGGTTTTCATCATGGGCACATCGAAGGGTATGTCGTGAGCGGATATCGACGTTCGCGTGATATCGACGTCCAACTTACACACGCAGATCTCTCGACCGGCCCGACCTCCCTCATGGGCCTGCTCACTGCCGAGATCGTGGCCGACGTGGTCAAGGAGGGCTACACCGCACAGGCCATTGCCTCTGCCGTTGCCATGTCGGTTGGCATCTACTCGCTCGCGATTGGTCTGCTCAAGCTGGGCTTCCTCCTCGAATTCATCTCCGTGCCGGTGCTGAGCGGCTTCATCTCCGCCGCCGCCATCGTCATCATGCTGGGCCAGATCCCGTCGCTGTTCGGCATCACCGTCCGCTCCGGCACCGCCAACATCATCCACGACATCTTCGCCAAGATCCCGCAGTGGGACGGCGCCACCACCGGCATCGGCCTGGGCGGCATCCTCATCCTCGTGCTGATGCAGAAGATGGGCCAGCGCTGGGGCAAGCAGAGCAAAGCAGTCTGGCTGCTCGCCCTCGGCCGCAGCGCCGTCGTGCTCATCCTCTTCACCGGCCTGTCGTACGGGCTCAACAAGAACCGCGCCGACGACCCCGTCTGGGCCCTCAGCAAAGTCAAGTCTAATGGTATCACTAGCCCCAAGATGCCCGACACCCAGCTCATCCAGACCGTGTTCCCCCGCGCCATCGCGCCCTTCATCGCCGCCGCCCTCGAGCACCTCGCCATCGCCAAAGCCTTCGGCCGCAAGAACGACTACGTCACAGACCCCGCCCAGGAACTCGTCTACCTCGGCACCACAAACTTCTTCAACTCGTTCTTCTCCTCCATGGCCGTCGGCGGCGCCATGTCGCGCACCGCCGTGAATTCGGACTCGGGCGTGAAATCCCCCGCGTACGGCATCATCGCCGGCGGCGTCGTTATCTTATCGATCTTCAAGCTCAGCCCCGCGCTGTTCTGGATCCCCAAGGCGACGCTCGCGGCCATCATCGTCACCGCCGTGTGGCACATCGTCATCCCGCCGTCCGTGTTCTACGGGTACTGGAAGACCTCGCTCGTCGACTTCACCGCCGCGATGCTGGCCTTCTGGCTCACGCTCTTCCAGTCCAGCGAAATCGGCATCGGCACCGCCGTCGGCTTCAGCATCGCATACCACCTCCTCTTCGCGGCGTTCCACCGCGCGCGCCGGCTGACGTGCCTCCCCGCCGCGCCGGCAACACATAAGACGCAGGTCCCGCTCGACACCCAGCTCTTCGCGCTGCACCAACCGCTCCTCTTCCCCAACGCCTACAGCCTGAAATCCCAGATCACAGACTCCCTGGCCACCTTCTCCTCGCCCGCGCCTGTGTCTCCCACCGCCCACGCAGACAGAAACTGGAGCGTCGCAGCATCCCACCGCGCGACCTTACTCCGCCGGCGCGCAAACATCGACCCCGACGACGAGCCCGTGCCCCTGCGCACGCTCATCCTCGACCTCACGGGTGTGTGGAATGTGGATACCACGGGCCTCACCGCCCTCCGCGACCTTGTCGCCGACGTCCACAAGTTCGGCGGCCGTGGCGCGGAGGTCAGGTTTGTGGGGTTGAATGAGCGGGTTAAGCTCAGGTTCGCGCGGTTCGGGTGGCCGGTTAAGGAGGTCGGGGGCGAGGGGGATGGGGGGGTGGAGGCGCCGGAGGGGAGTATGGGGGTTTTTCGCACTGTCGGGGAGGCGTTGGAGTGGCGGCGGGGGAGTGGGGAGTTTGGCGCCGAGGAGGTGTTTGTTGTTGGGGATGAGAAGGGGGTTGTGTGAGTGTGAGGTTATGCGGTCGAGGGGGTGTGAGGAGGGGGTGAGGCGGGTGCGGGCACTTGCTGGGCGGGTGTAGGTGGGTTTGTATAGCAAGACAGCTTTGTTGGAGAGGAGGTGTTGCTTAGACGTATGAATACACGCGTTTGCTTTCCCGAGTCTACGCATCCAGAACACGTCGTGCGTGCGTGCGTGGACGTACTGCTCTTGAGGGACAGGTAAGCAAGGTAGTAACTAGCACCAGCAGTTGCGGGCAACACACAGGCGTACGCTTAGACGCTGCTAGCAGGCATGGCGTGCACCCAATCGTAGTCAGGCCGCTGTACGTCTTGAGCCAAGCTTTGTGCTCTCCTATTATCTACTTGTCGCACGGCTGATAACACTAAGCAGTGCAAGAATCAGAGCTCCTGTCGTAACCATGTACGAGCTAACGCCCCACGCCCCTTGAATATCAGACCGCACCACCGTCCAACAGATGCCGAACAGCAAACTCGCAAGTACAATGACGCTCGTAACCACAACAAGAATCAAGCTCGTGTTCCAGTCTTCTTCATAGTACAGGCCCCAGCCTTCAGTCAGCAGGTGGCCCGTGGCTTCGAGCTCGCCGCACATGCGCTTCGGCATCTGGTCAAGCACCGTGGTCTCGTTCGCGGCGATCAGCTCCGGATGTGTGGAGTAATGCAGCAGCTGTGATGGCAGGATCGGGGGGCCGAAATCGGGGGGTCCTTTGGGTGTGCAGGCATACTCGTACTGATGGACTGTTGGGATGCACTGGCACGCGTGATTGCAACACGGTGTGTGAAGACGCGGTTCAACGTCGTCTTGGAAGCGCAGAATGAACTACCGGCACGTCAGTTGTCGGGCTCTCGAATCGGGGGCCACGCGAGACGACGCGCCTTTGTGAGATGTATGTTTGTTACTTGTTTCAGGTGGCGCGAAAGCCGGTGTGTTTCACGTGTGAGCCGATACTCGCGACGGACGAGGTGGAAGAGTTGGCGTGAGTCCTTGATCGAGCTAATGTATATCTGGCGTAAACCTTTACCGCCTTCATGCTTGTGCATACATACCATGAGCACAGCATCTGGTTCACTCGATGAGACTGGGACTGTTGAGCTAAGTGGGGACGTCGCATCGGAAACGTTGTGCAGTGGCAGAGTGTCAATAGGCTGTGTTGCTGGTTGAAAGCTGTTGACGACAGTGGTGAAGGCTTTCCGAATTCTATTGAGGGGCTGGAATGTGTAGTGTTGATTCGAGGTTCCTTCACGGTAAGGTGTAGCAGTAACATAACTAGCGCCGGAGCGTCGCACCTGGTCAGTAAGCTTAGAGATGCCGCCTTCTCGGTACTCTTGTACGTCGTCAAATAGTTGGTCCCCGCACTCCTGGATGAGATCAGTCAAAGTGCAGACATGATATCAGACACTGCCTGCATGTCCCACTTACACATCGCCACCTGATACGAACCATTCCGGGCTGCAAGACTGGCTCCAACAGTCCCGCAGCAACCAGGAGTCTCTTCCAAGTAGCATTGAATTTTTTCGGAGGATACCAAGTGTCCAGATATGGTGCGTTCCCTTCCATGTTCTCGCTCACATTCTGAGAAACGCTGATTCGATCTTTCGGTAAAACAAAAGCAGCAAGGCGCTCACGAAATGTCTGGAACGCTGCACTTTCAAGCAGGAAAGTTCGAAGGACCGCTAGATCCTCAAACCGATCCTCGTCTATCGGTTGCACGTGCTCCAAGTCATCGTTGGGTTCGCTATCGCTCTCGTGCTCCTTGCTAAGTCGAGCAGACCCTGTGGGTAAGGGCTTGTTGTGGAACTCTTCCACGATACTGTGCGCCACATACGTGGCTTTCATGGACACGAACCGGGAAGTCAGAATCTCTAGCTCCTTGACTGCCTCGGTCTTCAAATCCTGCCCTAGTCTCTTCAACAGCCGACGCACGTTTCGAAGCAGCCTCTCAGGCCCGATGGCTGTATCTTCCAAAGCCTGACAGTAGAGTTTTACAAGCGCCTCATCTTCCTGGAAGATCTTTTGGAGTTCAATGGTGGCGCCTTCGATCTCTACTACAGTGTGAGTACTGTGGGACGAGAAGAGGGTCAACGAGGAGTTCCCCGAGATCACAGATCTTCGGTCGTCTTCCCCATTGTAAGCATTGTGTCCAGGGTTATGACCGATTGTATCATCATTGGAGGTTTCATCATGGGCTTCATGTCGTATTAGCGATCTACTATCATCCTCCCTGGTGCTTATATCGACCCCAGTACTGTTGATGCCGTGTACCTCTTGCAGGGAATCAGCATTGGAATCAGGATCTGAGGGTTCTGGCCAGAGCTCTTCCTCTACGTTTGACAGAACTCCCTGGCTCGACGTATGTTCGACGGGTTGAGTTGCATGCCGCGTCTCCCAGAGACTTGACTGGTGGAACGGCCTAGCTTCAGGGCGCTGTGTTGGTTTCTCACTGGAGTGGAAAGACCGGGCCTCTAAGTCTTGACCCTGGGTTTCTGCATTGAACCATGTGAAGTTGGGATCATGTCCTGGGCTTTCTTTCGACGGCTGACGTTGTAATATGAGTTCAGTAATGGTTTGCGATGCGGCCGATGCGGCCGATGCATTATGATTGCTTAATCCACCAGATCTCCCTTCGTGATCAAGGCGTCCTGCGAAGGAAGTAAGATCGGAGTCGATGTTGGGCTTTGGAGATTGACTGCGAGCTTGAGGGCTTGGTGAGGTAGTTGCGTCGCTTTTCGAGGCTTCATTCGTTTTTGAAGCCACAGTATCATCTGATTCGTGAGCTTCTTGGGGCGGGAGCGTTGGAGATTGTGAGAAAGATGATGCAGGTGACAAGTAGCCGGCTCCGTCACCGCATATTGGGCAAAAGTCGGGTGTAATCGCGCTGTTGGCCGCACCACATTTCTCGCATATCCAACTACCTAGCGCTGAAGAGTCTGCCGACATTTTGAAGGATAACGTTGGGCGTTGTAGAAAGGATGACAACAACGATCCTTGGAGGAGTTAGGTAGGTACATAAGCGGGGCACACAGGTATAGTGTCCGTGCACCCTACATATACCTAGGATAAGGTACTACAAACGCGCACTTACAATATCCCCTCTACTTAATGTACCTCTTCTTTATCTTTCTTTTTATTTACTTACTTAGCTCGCGGCAAGATAACAGTACACGTGGAATGAGTGCGGCGTCTAGGCTTTGCAATGGAAGGCGCTGTGCATTCGCGCAACGAGTGGGGGCGACAGTTGCTTGCGAAGGGTCACGCACAAGGCGCATGTCACGCACGTATTCAAGCACCGTCTCTCTACTAACGATTAGCAGACCAGGACTCCTCAAGCACATCTCTATCCATCCACACAAACCTAAAACCCCTAAACCCTACATCCTAACCCGACGCACCCCCTACCTTGGTCTATACATAACTTAGCGCGCTGATTACCACCCCATCTCCCCTTCCTCTTCGTAGAAGCAGCACATCCACGCACGCGTTTCAGCACCGTCTCTCCACTGACGATTAGCGGACTGCGGTAGTCGTATTCGCTGCGTGAAGCGGGTTCGGCGCGCGCGGCTGGATCTCTGCGATGTCTTCAGAGGGGGTGGGGGGATGTGTCTGTGTGGGTCGATGGGTCTGCGCGGGCGGACTCAACTTCTTCTTTCTCTGATACTGGCCGTGCGAAGAATTCCTTTGCATAGTCAAACAGGCACTGCATTCTTTCGTCTGTATAAATGCCGTGGTTTTTGAGGTAGATGAAACCAACATCGTTGACGGCCTTCAGCAGCTTCTCGTTCTCCGCCACATTCTCGGGCGCTTTATCGAAAAAGAATTTTTCGATTTTTGAGTAGTCGATGATGGGGAGATTGGCTGCGTTGAGGCCCGTGAGTTCTGTTGAGTCACTCATGCTGATTTGTGCCGTTCAATGTTCTTTCCCGATGGAAGAGTTCGCTCTTCAGAGTAAAAGGCCAAATATTTTCCAGCACTCCAAAGCATTTATGCTGATCCATAATTCAGTCTCTCGTGCAGGAGCGGAAGCCGGTTAGAGCATGTGCGGAAGCCCGGTTAGAGGATGAATGGAAGCCCGGTTAAAGGTCATAGCCACATGCGGCGTCTAATGAAAGGTTTGGTCGGACCGCAATTCCGAGCGAGCTGACGAAGTTGATACAAATCTCTATACTAGCTACCTGCAGAGATCCCAACCAGTAATCGCGTAGACATTGGCTTCTCAAATCAGGCGCTAACTGAGAAGATAAAGATTCAACCACCGCGACGTATCACCACACTATCAACTCCGGCTTGGGTGCACCAGATCGCCCCCACAGCGATGCGTGTCAAGTCAACAGTTGCTGCTCTGTCTCCTTCTGAGAACTCTTCGCTACCTGTGGTTACTGCAGACAATGTGACTTTATATCCAACTGGAATGAGCGCCATATATTATGCTTCCCTGGCCCTGCAGACAGTGGCAACAACGTCAACAGTGGTTGCTTTTGGGTACATTTTGCTCCATGCCAACATCACCAACGTCATGCTAACGGATACTCAGATGGCTGTACGATGAGACAATTCATAATCTGAAGCACGGTCCCTGGGAGAAATTCATCGGGTACAAGCGGGGGACCGAACAGGATCTGGAAGCTTTGACCAAGCGTCTGGAATCCGGAGAACGCATTGGGGCCTTGTTCTGCGAATTACCCAGCAACGTGTTCTTGCCGACTGTTCCGCTGCAGCGCTTACGAGCTCTCGCAGACGAATACGACTTCATCCTTGCCTGCGATGACACAGTAGCTGGCTTCACTAACCTTGATCTTATTCCGTATGTCGATGTCTTGCTAGCCAGCTTGACCAAAATGTTCAGCGGAGCATCTGATGTTACAGGGGGAAGGCGAGTAGCTTTGATAACTGAACTGGCATGGTTCAATCACAGACTGACAAATTGTAGTGTCACTGTCAATCCAGCGTCGCGCCACTGCAAGACTATTCAAGAGGCTTTGCAAGCTCGCTATCAGCCGAGCTTTGTCTTCCCTCTTGACACGAAAGTTCTGAAATACAACAGCCAACACATACGATGGCGTGCCCAGAGATGCAACGATAATGCTCTCGCTGTCGCCCGAATGCTGCACGGCCATCCACTGATCCAGCGCCTCAATTATCCTACTTCGATGAGTTGCTTCCTGTCTACCATAGCCTGATGCGCAAGGAGGGAGGCTACGGCCCTATCATGAGCGTCATTTTTCACGATGAGAAGGTTGCCCGCCGCTTCTATGATTTGCTTAACGTACCTAAAGGATCTAGCTTTGGTACTAATTTTACCATTGCAGTGCCATTTGCGCTGCTCGTTTATTATGACAATAAGCACAAGATTGCTGCATATGGTCTTCCGGAGCATATTATACGGATTAGTGTTGGGCTTGAGAATGTGGAAGACATCAAGACGGCTATTCGGGCAGCGCTAGCAAAATGTGATGGGAAACCCCAATTTAAGAGCGAGCTCTAAGGGTGGAGGTCAGAGCCATCTGTAAAATAACTGTTGTTGTCAAAAAGAGGCTTGAAGGCCGGTATTCCAACTCTAAGAAAAAGTTATTACCAATTTAGTCAGGCCGGAATTGTACTGTATATATCAGGTAACCGAGCTCTTGAGCTTAGCAGCTAAACCATTCTATCCTACTCTTCTTTCAATGTCTCCTCGCTTCTACAGGCCTGTCTCACTATCTTTGTCTCCGTCGGCAAGATAAGTAGTCTCAGCATAGGGCATTCTTTCGCATAGCGGTTAGCCAGAATATTACACTGCTTGAGACAACCTTCCTGGGTACGCAGAGCTGGCTAAACTATAATAACTCGGTGTTTAGAGTAGTTATAGACCGTTTTAAATAGGAAAGTGATTGTATTGTTAAGCATGTGGGTCCTAGGAAATTAGAAGCTACTAGGTGTAAGACAAGCGCTAGCAATGCTTACAGTAGAATCAGGGAAAGGTGTTCTTATCTAGAGATTATTAAGTCGTAGCGTGATATCGTCTATTTCCTACCGAGCAGTCATCTTATCTTGTAAATTTTTAGGTAAAAGTTTCAGGTCTGAAGAGGATAACTTGACCAATCGTGCCTCCAATCTCGACTCCCTTCTTTGGGAGGCCAGATATCATGGAAAAGCCTCTCAGGCTCTCCGTCAAACAGCGTTGCATATCTATAGCGGGCCTCCCTCTCATGTTTCCCTAATTCTCTGACAGTGACATCTTGTCGATCGGTTCGTACAGGGCGCTCGATTAGCCATGATCGACTCAAGACATCCAAGGGCCCGGTGATGAAGCTTGACGGGTTGTTGCCGCCATAATCCCCACCCCCAGTAGTATACAATTTGAGGCGCTCTAGCCGCTTTCCTGCCTTATCTTCGCTGACAACTTTCCAGATAGAGCGTGCTAGTACCTCGTCAACTGCGCAGTTGATGTAAGTCTCCCTTACAATACCCCTTTTCAAGTGAGGTTTATCAGGATCTACGAGTTTTTCGTCGTCTGCGTCGAAATGCGGATCGTATGTGCTGTCATGCCCGACATGCCAATTCGAACAGTCCAGAGTAAGAAACAGAAATCTCAAATTGTGCATCGTGGCGAAGATCCTGTACAGCTCAGTTTCAGACGCGCTGGATTTATCACGTCTGACTGGAACTGCAAGGTCCTCTAGTGCAGGGCACTCAGCTTGGATTTGAAGAAGACGATCTCGAGTAAACTCCACGGGGATTTCTCGATCGACTCGAGCGTCGACCCAGTTGTGGTATGTCCTCTCAAAGGTATGAATACTGAGCTTCTTCAGCGTTGATCCGTGACGAGACACAATAGCATCTACCATCAAAGAATCAATTGGCCCCCGAACAGTTATTTCTTGAAGCGGAGGTAGCGCGTGGAAGAACGAGACTGCATTCGCACTGTAGTCTGGTCTTTCAATGTACATATCATCGCGGTCAAGATACACGCAAAGGGTTCTGAGTTGCGAAAATGGCTGGGACTGGGATAACCATCCCATGGTTTCACTGGTTAATCCCTTCGGGTAACTTGAGTTGTCGCTCCCAAGGGTAAGGTGTTGCAGACAGGAGAAGTCTGTATGTCTAGTCCAGTCCTGAAGCAGCTCCGGAGACTCCAAGTGCGGATATCCTTTGAGTGACAACGACGTCAAACTGCCGATACACTTTTTCGTGTAGCCTGGGAGACCCAGCCACGGTTGTCGAGGGCGTATGAATCTGTTTGCTAACATAGGTTGAAGTTGCAGAACAGTGACTTTTTTTAGGTTGGGCGCCATGCCAGCGATCTCCATTATGGCCTCCGCGTTGTAGTCATCGTCACCATCGGTGTCTCGCCGACTGCAGGTGATCTTCACGGCATGAAGTACAGGAGATTTGGCAAGTTGCATTTCGTACGGGTAAGGAGTGCCCCAGAGTAAAGTCCGAAACCGAAACGTGAGGTGATGTAGCCTGCATTGAGGGTGTTGCTCTTCGAGAATCTCGAGAAGACTTGGCGGGAATTGGCTTTGGCAGTCGTAGATCAGGTCCTTCAGGTAACGCACTGTTTGTAGCAAGCTCACTACAGGCGCCCATGCCAAGTCCTCCTCAGAGAGTTTCTTAATGACAGGTTTGTCATACACCACATGCCTACCGCTCCAGTCGACGTATTCCGGGTCGTCCAGTATCTCCCCAAGGCCGCAAGTTTTCCAATGAGGTTCGAAGCTGTCATTGTTTGTGGCCTTGGCGTCGAGTCGCAGGTTCCCTTTGATTGTGATGCACCGGACGTGATAAGTGGAGTCCTCTCGATGCAAGACTTTCAAAAGTTCCTCAACGTCGCGTTGCAGTCTTTGGTGGTTGTAGGCTGTGATCTTGATGTGCTGATAGATAAGGAGCGTAGAAGCTGCATAGCAAGCCTTACTTGCCAAGCTGAACTCGCGCAGGCTAGGTTGGTGTACTGTGTGAACCCAAGCTGCTATCTGCTGCCGAATTTCGAGTGGCAAGGCCGGTAGTGTAGCCATTATGGTCGCGATTGGTGTTGCGTTCGATGGAACAAATTAATCTGGCAGGCCGGACGTATGTTGTCGAAGTAAAAGTAATGACTGAGCAGGGCTAGGTCACAGGAGAATGAATTCTGAAATGCGTAATCAAAGATTACTAGTAGACTGTGGGTGAGGCAGTGTTACACCATGCGCTGTAGAATAGACGCTGGCCTGTAGGCTTCTTATAGGGCTCACGCCGCTTACCTACGGACCCCGCGTTAGCGCTTCAGCCCGTGCACCCCGAGAATTAGTGGGGCGCTAGCCTCTTGCTCTCTGCATGGATGTGCACAGCTGTCCTCGTCTCACCAACCTGCGCCTCGTTTCGCGGATTTTGAACATTTGTGGACTTCATTGGGCCAAACTGAGACTATGGAGAGGATTATTCTGTCCGTACCTAGAACCGGAGATTTCCTGGCGAACGCCGGCTGGGCGAGCGGCCATTGAGTTTGGAACTTCGCATCGTGATGGAAAGATGAGTTGGGGCACGGATGTCTGGGAGTATTTAAATGGGACAGTCTATCGAGCTCTTGAATTATCATATCTCATTCATTCGCTATCCCTCAGACAGGAACTGGTTTCCTCTGTTCATTCGTTCTTTGCAATTGCTTCATTGTCACTCGCTGTCCTGCTACTATTCTACACCAGTCACTTTAGTGAATTTATATTCGATTCAAAACGCAACCTTCCCTCCTATCAGACCTCAGAACTTCTTCCTCAAGATGGTATCGGTGAAGAACATCGTCATTGCAGCTTCCCTGCTTCTTAATGGGGTCGTTGCTGCACCAGTCTTGGATCGCGAGCAGGGCGCTGCTGCCGTCGACATACGCGCCATTGATAAAATCCCCGTTCAGTCTCGCAATCTGAACGAAGCCCCTGTGGCCGCGTTCGGGGTCAGTAAGGCTAAGGACCAAAAGGCGAAGACGCCTGCACCCAAGCCAAAGACGCCTGCACCCAAGCCAAAGACGCCTGCACCCAAGCCAAAGACGCCTGCACCCAAGCCAAAGACGCCTCAGCCTCAACCCAAGCCCAAGCCCAAGCCCACGACCCCTCAGCCTACGAAGCCAAAGACCTGCAAGCTTAAGAAGCCACGTAGTCTGGAGCGCCGCGAAGGCCCTCTCAAGCCAGCAAAGAGTGCTAAAGACATCAATGAGGACATGTACGTCCTGTCAGCGACCGGGGAGGTAGTTGTCACCAACTTGAGTGGCTGTACTGCTCTCTTCCTCTGGGATGATAAAGACAGGCCTTCCGTTTTCCATATCTTCTGCGGCGATGAGACCGCAAAAGCTTGGGAAGCAATCGACAAAGTAGGAAGGGCTGCAAAGGCATACTCTATCGTAGCTTCGAAAGAGAGCAGATACAAGAACACGAAGAAGGAGATCGTGAATTATGCAGAGAACGAAGGATGGCCTGCACTTAAGGAGGATATTCAGGGCCTCTATGATTTAGACGCAACTAGCAAGACTGTCCTTAAGCTTATTGCCAAGGCTGGAAGCAGGACTATTACACCTATAAGATACCCGAACCCTAATTGTCAGTAAGGTTCAGCGCGTAAATCCTCTTTGTAGCGATTTTTAGTTGCTATATATTAGGTAATAGGTATTTTATAAGACAAGGTCGATACTTCAAGTTCTGTATTGTGCTTTAAGTAAACTATCCAAGCAACCTTAAACGCTAAGTAAGTTACACACTCTAGTATATTATATAGGATAGAAATTATATACAAAAGTAAATTTCTTAATATTAAGACCTAGTTTGCTAGCAGGTAACTGACACAGTTCTTTATCTATAGTGAATCTACTCGCAGCTCCAACAGGCGGTAGTCACGTCACCGTTAACATCACATCCCTCCGCGAACACCGCCTTCTTGGGCCAGGCACACAGCAGCTGTTGCATCTTCGACTGGTCCGGCTTTGTGATTGTCACTGGCGTGCTTTCGGGCGCCGTGCCGTTTTCGACCCACGCGCGCAATTGATCAAACAGAGCCACAGGCTGCCCACCGTTACCGCCCCAGCAGTGGCCAAGACCTGGCACACTAAAGTAACGGTAGAATGAAGGTGTATCAGGAACAGTATCGGAGATATCCTTGTAAAATGAGAGGGTCCCATTGGGAGAGATCGAAGGATCAGCCTAGATTGGTCAGTGAACAAATGTAATGAAAATGACTTCAGGTTATCGAATACTCACAAGACCGTGGTACGTGATGGTCTTGTCACCAGCTTCCTTGAACTCGGAATAATCTGGATCAACAGCCCCAATCAGGGAATCGAACTGCTTCTTGAAAGAGAGGTAGACGTGGTCGAAGCGTTCGTGCGAGACATTGTCGTCTGTGATGTTGATGGGGCTACCCTTCGCTACGAATGTCGCATCAATCACGGCTGTGATCGAGTAGTTGTTGCCGCTGCATTTGCCAAGCGTGTTGCAGTTTGTCGCGGCGAGAGAGGACAAATCGGTACCGATGTTGTAGCCATACCAGAATTGCTTGCCAGTGGAAGAGACAGGTCCTGACCACAAAGCACGAGCAACATCAACAGTCGCGGCGTCAATGATCTGCGTACCATTGTAAGTGGTGCAGTTGTACTTAGAAACCTCCCCGATGTGGGCAGTGGCATTGAACCTGCGCAAGCATGCATCCGGGTCTGTGATGAGACCATCTTCGACCCCATCATATTTGTCACACTCCTCAGTCGCTAAAACGGTGAGTCCGTTCAACTGGTAAGCGTTGGGGAACTGGTTGGTGTTCGCCATATAGAAAGCCGGCCACATGCTCTGGAGAACAACCTCAGACCAATGCAAAGCTGGGGCCGCGGCGATGATGCCGTCGTAGGCATCAGGATAGCGCTGTGCAATCATGGAACCTTGTCTTCCGCCCTGCGAACAAGCATTCCAGTAAGAGTATTTAGGTTGCTCGCCATAGTAGTTTTGAATGAAATGCTTCGCACTGACGGATTCGTCCTTTAGTGACACAGAACCCAAGTTTTGGAGCGCATACAGGTTTGTGTTTCCAGGACTGAGAATACCCCACTGGTCGAAAGTTTCCGAGCCAAGGCCAGCGTCCGTTGTGACGGTGGCATATCAGTCGGCGACAGCTCCGATCATGCCGCCGTATGTCAGGATGAAACGACCCGGCACCCAACCACCCCCGCCGATGGATTGCAATCTGCCGTTATAATTCTTGTCAGGAAGCCATGTTTCGACATAGAGCGTGTCGTTCTGCCCAGGGTGCGTGTACGAAACGGTGATGTTGCGGAAGGATGCATCCTGTACGTGGATGGAAGGCTGGGAATAACGCCAGCCATCGGGGACAGGGAAGCTGTAATTCGTAACGAGGTTGGCTGAAAGAGAAGTAAAGTTCGCACCAAAGAGACCAGGAGTTGTGAAGGTGGCAGCGGCACAGGGGCTCGGTGCTAAAGATGTTGCATTCGTCATGATGTATGATGTGCGCAGCTTGAAGGAGTCGATGCGATAGCTGGCCGGTCTTGATTGTTGAGAGACTGTCCGTGGCGCTACATTTATAACCTCGCGCGTATGCGTATATGGAGTGCCTGCGTCAATGTGGCTGAACCGTTGTCCGCCGGAGCTAGGTCAATTTCTCCATCGGTAGCGCGATAGCTTGGGTCATGCAAATGGGGTGTGGAACCGATTCGCCTGAAGCTGGGACCTGCAGCCTTCGGCCGACTACCCTTCTATTGCTCTAGAAACAGGGGCGGCCGTATGATGAACGAAAAACTCCCGATCCAGCTCTATTGTGCCGCTAATGCACCTTGTCGCTGCAAACGCTGAGCTGTGACCAAGTGAGCATTTGCGCGTATCCGCTGAATTGAAGGCTGATGGCCGTCAAACGTAACACAGACCTCCCGGTAGCGCGAGTGCGAATGCTAGGGAAAGTTCAATTTTGCGTCTTTTCCCTGTCCGGAAATGGCCTCAAATGCAATGTCAACGTGTAGGCGTGGCCGATGCGCGGAAGAAGTATCGACGATGGACGAATGAGCTTCTAGTATCTACAATGTCAACTAACGTTACCTGGGCGAGACAAAGAGCTGGAATAACGCGCGATCTTGCTCTGCAAATTGCTGCAGAAGGCTTTGTGCTGCTTAAAAACGACAACAAACCCGTGACCGGGCACACGTCCGCTACATTCGTCGTGACGTGCTCGCGCGCGAATGAAGATGTTGTCAGTGCGACGTGCCTATGTACAATCTCAGATCGGCGCCGAGTCGAAGATGTTCGCGCACTGCCAATCTTTCTCCAGCCACGTGACGCCTGAAGCGCCAGAATGGTGTACGAACTCTGCAGTCTTTAGCGAGGAGGCGAAATCGCTCATGACGATATCGCAAGCGAAAAGGACCACATATCCGCTTGTCTTGACGGGCGGACTTGAGAAGCTGTCCACGACCGCTACAAGCTCAGGAGGGGATGCAGACCAAACTGGGCAGGGCACGTCAACTCCGTCCAGACCAGCCGTCACGAGCGCGACGGGTGCTGCAGCCTTTTCGAAAGTACCAGCGATAGCAGTTATAGGTGCTGCAGTCGCCTGCTTTCTGTAGACTGTGCTACGCTGCCCAAAGCAAGGAATGTATCGCAGGACAATGGATAAACATTCATGTTCAAGCTACGAGTTGAATGTTGCAGCCCAAGGCTCGTAATCATCCTTTTGCAAAATTCTCTCGATCTGGCGTCTCCGAACACCAACATTTCCTCCGTCAAATAGAGGCAAACAAGCGGCGTCCTGTAACAGACGCGAGAACGGCATGTCTTTTGCGTACGCTCTTCTGTTCAATAGTTAGCTGTCCATCACACCCAGTGCCTCGTTGCGCGGATACTCACATGCCAACCACACTCATGCACTCAATCACGGCCTTCGGCGCCATGTCACTGCACCAGACTTTTGCTTGAAGCGTGATTTCCAACCTCTGCTCCCACCCTAGGGCTTCTTCTTTACTTTCCAGAACACACATAGCCTTCCATGTGAGCGCTCTCGCGGCCTCAATCTTCATCTTGATATCAATCAGTCGGTCCGCCACGCTCTGCTTTCCAATGATAGGTTCTGTGCCACCGCAGCTGTTGGTCTTGCAAAACGACAGTGCGACTTCGAAGGCATCCCGCATGATGCCCACACACATAGCACCCACGATCGCGGCACTCATACCGAATGTCTTTTCAACCAGCTGCGCACCCTCTCCAGGCTTAGCCAGCAGGTTTGCAGCAGGCACACGAAGATGCGTGAAACGGGTATGAGGTCCGCTAGTGGATTTGTGACCGCCGAGCTCCGGATCCGAGAGCACCTCGTAAGCGCCGGGCGCGTTGTTGGCGATGTCTTCGCGAGTGATGGCCAGCATTAGTATGTTCGAAGATGGATTGACTGCTGGGTTCTGGGGTTCATTCGGTCGGCCTTGTCGGCACACAACACACTGCACATCCGCACCTCGAGAGTCCCATCCGCCGGAGTTGGTCGTCCACAGCTATCTCATGTCAGAGTTATATTACTGTAGCCAGTATGTTACCGGGAATCAAGGTAGAAGTATGCTTCTCTCATGGCAATACCACGTCACTCCGCCACAAGATAACTCACCTTTTCTCCGTTGACAACCCATTCATCCCCATCCTGGTAAGCCGTGGTTTGTAGTCCGGGGCTCCCTTTGCGGAGCCAGTTTGCTGTTCCACCGGGCTCACTATGCACGAAAGCTGCCAGTCTCTCACCTTCTTGTCTCGTGAACGGCTTTAACAACCTCTCGCGCTGCTCCGGATTCGCAGCCAGTATCAAGGGCGTCATTCCCAGTCCAGTCCCGAGGATGGTAAGAGCAGTGCTTGGATCTACAGCATAGAGTTCTTCGACGACAATGGCGGCGTCTACTATGGAAGCAGAAGTTCCGCCGAGGGGTATTGGGACTTGACCTTTGATGAGGCCTGCAGAGACAGCCGATCGATATATAGGAAGCGTAGATCGAAAGCGTGTCGTTTGTGTAGGAAAATGGTTATAGAGCTTGGGCGCCGTAGACAGAACATCGTGTGCAAAATCCTTCACGGCGGAGCGAAGCACTCTCTGCTCTTGAGAAAGTGAGAAGTTGACCATGGCTCGGAAACAAAGCGTCGTTATGGCTGATGTCAAGTCAATCTCAGAACTCATATACGACCAGAGCGATAGGATGCGGAACTACGGCGGGGCTACGAGGCCAATGCACATGCGTCGTTAGGGCTCACGTCAGCACTTGGCATTATCCGACTTGGTAGTAAGCCGCTTGTACCCCACTCTTTCCCGATGCCTCCTGCGCTGACCATACCTATTGTGATGCAAGTTAAAACATGACACATGCGTTGTGTTTGCTGGATGACCAGGGAAAAGTCTAATCAAAGAGAGCTTCGATACAGTTCCTCGCTTCTTAGCCAGGTCCGATGGCTACAAGCATCGCGACCAGGCTTCCTAAGACGGCAGATTCGTCGTTTAGGACACACAATTAATCAAGAATTAGCTAAATAACTTTTAGAAACCTTAACTAGCGCAAAGACCTAGCCTTATTCTCTATTAGTAGCACTTATTACATGCGCGCTTTATAGCAATATTATAATTATAGACTCTATTCTTGCTAATAATAAGTAGAATTAGGCCTATTAAATATTTAATACTAACGTGCTTACTGGGTTCGTGGGCCACCTGGTCTAGTGGGCCACTTTTGCCAAGACCCTCCCCCATCACACCCTACTTTGGCCTGCATTGGCCCAATCTAGCTCTATACAAGATAAAACAAGCTGTAATATTACTCAGAGACTACTTCTACATCATTCTTGCATGTTCGCGCGTTGTGCCCTGTCTCTCCGCACGTTCCACAGCGTCGTTGGGATGGTTCACCTCCTTTACCCTGCACCTGCTTCTTGCCCTTCTTTCCATCACCACGCGACCTGAACTCCTTTAGGGCAGTCAATCGCTGTGCCTCTTCAACTGTAACACTTCCCTCTGTCTGTATTCGCTTTCTTTTATGTGATTTGCGCTCTGTAGCAGCTGCTAGAGCCTCTTGAAGCTGGGCACGCTCTTTTCTTAGCAAAGCCAGTTCGTACGCTACCTGTGTCCCCCCCTTTGCGTAGCTCTCAAGCGCGCCATAGATAGAGATTGGTGAGCTGCCCTGGTGATTCTTAAACTTCTCTCGAATCAGAGTCGATTGCGACTCAAATTCCACAAGGTTCTTTGGGGTTTGAGACTGCCAGGGCTCGTCGTTGGTGGGCAACTGGGGTGAAGGGGTCCGCAGCTTCACATTAAGGGTTGATATGACCCTTTCTGGGTCAAAGGGGACCAGTCCGGCCCCTCGGAACCCTCCCTGGATGTTGCTGGGAGTAATAGTCGCATTATAGGCTGCTCTGAAGCATACCAGGAACGTCTGCTTGTCTATGTGGTTGATCCGGTTGCGCAAGAGCTTGTTGACCTGATGCCCATACTCCAGCTTCAAAGGGGCAAAACAACCCACGTCAAGCGGCTGGAGAAGGTGCGATGAGTGAGCAGGCATAGTAAGGGTGATAATCTTGCTGTTCTTGCTGTACTGGAGGAATGCTGCTGACTGGTGGCTCTCGTGGCCATCTATAAGTAGCAGACGGTGGGTCCCAACAGTACGCGCCTTAGTATGCCTGTCAAAGTGCTTCAACCAGTCAACACCAAGCTCATTGTTGGTCCAGCCGTTTCTAGAGACCCCAATTACCCAGTCTAGGGGCAGATCTTCGTCCTTGTACCAGTTGGAGAGGTGTTTCTTGCCTTTGAAGATAATAAAGGGTGGAATAGCCCATCCTGCAGCATTCACGCCCAAGATTAACGTAGCCCACTCTTTACTGCCTGGCTGGACTTGCTTTGCTCGTCCTGGGTTCTCTGCGTCTGCAACAACTGCTCCAGGGGTAATCTGGCCCATAGCAAAGCCAGTCTCGTCGAAGTTGTACGTGTCTTCGTCCACGATGCCGTACTTAGCTTTAACATTGGCTACCAGGCTGAACCAGCCTTGTATTATCTCAGGATCCTCGCAGAGGGCTCTCTTGTAGTCGTACTTGCGGCTAAACTTTACTTTAAGCTTTGGTTGACGCTTAACAAACGTACTGGGCCAGTCTCGGCCAACAGGGGCCATTCCGCGCTCTGCTCGCAGCAAATTGGCCATATCAGCCACATCTGACAAGCGAGGGGGTTCTCCTCGCTGTATGAGGTAAAGAACATGATCAACAATCGCCTCCTCCGCGTGCTCGTCCAAATACCGTCGGCTAGGCATAGAATCAGCTCTTGAGGGCTGTCCCGCGCGTCGTCTGCTTAGAGTAGTTCGGGGCACGTTGTAGATAGCTGCAGCGCGTCGCTCTGAGAGATTCGCGTCTTGTTTAAGAGCCTGGAGTGCAAGCTGTACCTGAGCTTCTTTCAACGCGTCTAACTGGTGTTGTTGGGGAGGCATTAAGGTAGTAGTAGTATTTTGGTGTGGTCTTGGCAAAAGTGGCCCACTAGACCAGGTGGCCCACGAACCCAGTAAGCACGTTATACCTACTAGGTAAATATATAATTTATAATTTTATTAATAAAGTATAAAAATAGAGGTATATTGCAAAAAATTTATAAAATAGGCTAAGGCCCTCTACCTATAGCACAAAAGTTGTTACGTACGTGTTATAGCAAAGTATATTCTAAGGATACTTATGCATTTATAAGAATTAACTATTAACATCTTAAATCTTATAAATAAGATACTACCTAACTTAAATAACCTCTAACTTAGCTCTAGCTTAATCCTAAATTAAGTCTTAGATATATCTATAGCTATCTAGAACTAACACCCCTCTAACTTAGTTCTAACTTACCTCTATTAATATTTCTTATCTATCTATAGCTAACTAAAACTTATAGGTATAAAAGGTAGGCTTATAGTAGTCTTAAGATAGATAGTTTTTAAGTATTCTTTATATAAGACCTATAGAAATAAGATTCTCCCTAGTTATTAACTTTTCTAGTGCTTCTATATACCTTATAGTAGAATTAGAACTATATTAGAGAGTCTTATTACCTATATTATTATAGCATTATAAATTATATATAATAATTTCTAAGAGCTTTAGAAATATAATAGATTATATAAGCTATATATATATATCTATAAAGAATTAACTTAATAATTATAAGTATAGCTATCTATAACTATAGGTTTAATATATTAAGTAACTCTATAGGAGTTTAAAAATTTTTAAGTCTCTAAACTATATTTAACCTATAATACTATAGAAGACCTATAACTCTAAGTAGTTTCTATAGTAAGAGTAGACTATAAACTAGTTATATTCTATACTATTTATAATAAGAGTAACGTACCCTACAGGCGAGCAGATTAACAGGCGAGCGAATCACTTTTACTAAGCCCCTACCAAAACTTAACCTATTATAGCCTAAAACACTATACTTTAGTCCTGCACAGTACAGTATAGGCTAGAATATTATTTAGAGACCTCTTCTACATTAATCTTGCACGTTCGCGCGTTGTGTCCTGTCTAATTACACCTTCTACAGCGCTGTTAGGTTAGCTCGCCCTCTTAAGTGCGCACCTACTTCTTCGCCCTCTTTCTATTACTACGCGCCCTAAACTCCTTTAGAGCTGCTAGCTACTGCCTATCTTTAACTATTAGGGTCCCTTCCTTCTAAACTTGCTTTCTTTTATGTAATTTTTGTTATATAGCAGCCTTATTAGCTACTTAAAGCTCCTTAATTTCCTGTTAAGCTAAAACCAGCTTGTAGGATAAGATTGCTCCCCCCTTTGCGTAGTGCTTAAGCGCGCTTAGAATAGAATTTAGTAAGCTGCCTTGCTACCTCTTATACTTCTCTCAAATTAGAGTTGATTGCAACCTAAATTCTAGGGTGTTGCTAGGGGTTTGCAACTGCTAGGGTATGTTGTTGGTAGGGAGTAGTAGTGATAGAGTCTAAAGCTTTACATTAAGGGCTGATATGACCTGTTCTAGGTTAAAGGGGACTAATCTAGCACCTTAAAACCCTCCTTAGATATTGCTAGAGGTAAACACCACATTATAGGCTGCTTTAAAGCATAGTAGGAACTTAGTCTTTGTAATGTGGCTAATTTAGTTGCGTATAAGCAATTTGGCTTAGCGCCTGTACGCTGTCTTTAAAGGGGCAAAATAGCCTATATTAAGTAGCTGCAGAAGGTGCAATGAGTGTGGAGGCATATATAGAGTAACAATCTTGTTATCCTTGTAGTATTTCTGGAATTGGAGCAATTTGTGGCTCTCGTGGCTGTTAATAACTAGTAGTTAGTGGGTACTAGTAGTACGCTCCTTTATATGCGCGTTAAAGTGCTTTAACTACTTAAAACCAAGCTTATTAGTAGTCCAGCCGTTACTAGAGACTGCAATAACCTAATCCTAGGGCAGGTCTTCCTCCTTGTACTAGCTAGAGAGGTGGTAGCGCGCCTTGAAGATAACAAAGGGTGGAATAGCCTATCCTTTGGCATTAATACCCTGTATAACCGTTGTCCACTCCTGGTTGCCTAGCTAGACTGCCTTTGGCCTTCCTCGTCTCTCTGAAGCTGTAACAACTGCTCCCTAGGAGATCTGGCCTATTATAAAGCCTGTCTTGTCAAAGTTGTACGTGTTGTTATCTAGGATACTATACTTAGCTTTTGTGTTTCGCACTAGGGAAAACTAGCCCTGTACAACCCTAGAATCCTTATAGAGGGCTCGCTTGTAGTTATACCTGCGATTAAACTTTACTTTAAGCTCTAGTTGACGCTTTACAAACGTACTAGGCTAGTTTGTGCTAATAGGGCCTAGATTGCGCTCTGCGCGCAGAGAATTGGCTATTGCAGCCACATCTGCTAGCTGAGGGCCAAATCCTTGCTCGTCTAGCTCAAGTATGTAATTAACAATTACCTGCTCCTCTAGATTATCTAGCCCTCGTGAGTTGGGCATAGTATCGCCTCGTGAAGGTTGTCTAGTGAGTTAATAGCTTAGTGTAGCTTAAGGAACGTTATAGATAGCTGTAGTGCGTTGCTATAAGAGTTTCGCGTCTTGTTTAAGAGCTTAAAGCGCAAGCTGTATTTAAGCTTCCTTTAACGCGTTAAGATTAGGTTGTTGTTGAGGCATTGGTATGTAGAGGATACTTTAGTAGGGGCTTGGCAAAAGTGA